GATTTGTCGTTGTTGGAGATGGTGGACTCGCTGGAAAAAGGCATTTCTCTCCACCCGCTTGACGCCCATTTGCCCGTGGTGCGCAATGCGCACAGCGCTGATAAGAGGTGCAAATGATTGCCGCTGTCACCATCGCTTTGATCCAATCGCCATGCACCTCGTGGCCACACGGTCAGTTCCCAAAATTTTGGTTATGGGAATTGGGGACTTGAGAAAGGTGGTTGGTGTGGGAAAGTGGGAAGAAGCAGACTGACGACAACTCGAGCTGAAAATCAAAAGGATAAGAAAAACACATGACCTTGCGACAAACGACCAACCATCACCACCATTGACCACCGTGAATATCACAGTCGGACATCGACGAGGACTGATAGGAAGACGGCGTACCACATCAGTACAGAGAGGCTTTTTCGGGGTTTCCAGTTCAGCACAGCCTCTCCGCATTTTCAGCGTAACACCGTGTCCTGCTCCACTTCTCTTTTTGGGCTCGTGGCCCGATACGGAGGAGGCCAGTGTCCTCCGGGTACTTCAATGTTACACTCCTATGCCGATAGACCTTTTTCTAGCTGGGCCTATCCCAGTCGCTCTTTACTTGTTATAAAATGGAGGTCCACCAACGGAAACTTTAGACCCTGGCTGGGTTTGTCCTTTTTTCCCACCTCGGAGAGCACTTCAGCAGTTCAGAGAGGCCTGGAGATAACAGAAGTTCCCTTGGGTCCTGTGGAGACCCGAGGACTCTAACAGGCTAATAGCAACAAGCCACGCTAATTCGTAGCTACCCACGCTAACTTTCGATCCCTCATCCTCGCTCAATGCGATTGGAGAGAGAGTCCACTTGGTCGGGACTGAACACTGGAGGGATGTGCAGTGTCTTTTGCCAATCTCGCCCCAGACTGGGCCTGATACCACCATTTTACACCGCATACTCCGTACAAACCAAACGGGAGAAAGACGCCAGTATCTCATTGTGAGACACGCCAAAAAATTAAATTTCCCATTTTCCCAAAATAAAAAAATATTCCCCATTTCGGCCAGCGTCTCCATTAAAATCCATAAAATTATATTCCCATGAAAATCATAACAAGATTAAATCATTTTTCAATTAAATTCACTCTAATTCTCCTACCCTCCCCAAATTTCATTATTGAATATTTTTTTTTAATAATATTTCCTCTCAGTGCACCCCGTTCCTGGTCCCACTCGGTCCATGACTAGTGAGCCGGCAAGTAGAAAATAGAAAATAGCACAAGCAGATCACTCTTTTATCCACCGCGAAACCCTTCTGGTCTATCTCGTTCTCTTCCTTCTCTCCCATATTTCCCAGCTTGCCTATCATCGGCCCTGTCTCTCTTTTATCTTATTTATTTTTCTTGAACCTTTCCTTATTTCTGAATTCCTCTATACTTTCCCACTAGTATTTTCTCGTTTGACTGTTTTGGGTTTGGGAGGCTTTTGCAACTTTTGTGATATTTCCTCTTCTTTCCCCAATCACTTCCTCCGGTTCCTTGAGCTTCGCTAAGGATTCCTGTCCTTCCTTTACAAGTGTTCCCTCTCATCCTCCTGTTCTCCCTCTACTACCTCTATACCCTAATTACCTTTTTGGTCTACACACTCCTTTGTTTCCCTTCGTCTCGGTTTTTTTGAGGATATACCGGACTTGACCATCAACAAACTACTACAACCACTACCCTCTCGAACCTCGATACAATCTATACATCCTAATATTCCACGACTCTGACGCGGTTTTCAATTTGGCGATCACTTCGACAGGTGTGTTAATGATTCATCCGATCTCTTCATGGTCGACAATGATGCATGACTTTGGATATGACAACTAGAACGCAAGGGAATCGGGGCAACTGACTCCAAAATCAAACAATCCAGATCTACCGCAATGGACCCATACACAGTGACCTCGACTCCGGTCCAAAGTCAACCTTCGTTTGCATACTATCCCGACTCAACATCACAGCACGGCCACTACACCAGCCAGCCACAGGACGTCTCGTACTATGGACAGATGCAGTATCCCGGCCAGCAATGCGAGCAGCCCATCTACTCGGCCCAGCCCGTCATGAACATGCACCAGATGGCCACGACCAATGCCTTCCGCGGTGCTGCCATGAGCATGACTCCCATTGCCTCGCCTCAACCCTCCCAGATGAAGCCCGCCATCTTTGTGCAGCAAGGCTCCCCGGCTTTGATGCCCATCGACACTCGCTTCATTAATGCTGACCTGTACGCTTTCCCTTCAACGCCGCCTTTGTCTTCGTCGGGAAGCTCCATCAGTAGCCCTCCGTCTGCCCACGGCACTCTGCACACGCCAAGCAATGACGGCTTCTTCGCCTTTGAGAAGGTCGAAGGCGTCAAGGAAGGGTGCGAGACGGACGTGCACACCGAGATCCTGGCCAACCCGGACTGGTCTCGTTGCGACTCCCCACCCATGACACCTGGTAAGTCGAGATGAAATGGAGTCGAGACGTCATATCTTGGAACAGACAGAACCATGCACATGCAGATGATGAATCTTCATGCAAGGGATGATGACGATCAAACAAGAAGGCTAATTTCCCGCGGCGTTTGCAGTGTTCATCCACCCGCCATCACTTACCGCCATCCACACGTCGGATCTCCTGTCCGCGACCTCCTGCCCCTCGCTTTCCCCCTCACCATCTCCAGTGCCCTCCGAGTTCCTCGCTCATTCCCAGGCTTTGACCGCCGAGTCCGTTAGCTCTGTCGGCTCGGACTTCTGTGACCCCCGCCAGTTGACCGTCGAGCCCTCCGTCAACGTTCCCACTCCCCAGGACCTTCCTCCTCTGCCAACCCTCACATGTGATGAGGAGGCCCCTCGCGCGGTTCTGGGCAGTGCGTCCGTGACCTTGCCAGTAAATGAGAACCCTTCCCCTTCATTCGCCGCCTCCACCGCGGATCCTCTGAGCTCCTTGCCCACTTTCGATAGCTTCTCTGACCTCGACTCTGACGATGAGCTGAACCACCTGGTTGAGTTCCACCCGGGCGCCAACGCCGTCTACCTCGGCGGCAAGCGCCAGCGTGTGAACCAGTACGTTGTCGAAGATGATGGATTCTTGAGTGAGCACAGCCTGGATGATGCGGATGACCACGAGGGTTTCCTGCACAATGGCCTTCCCTCTTTCGAGTGGACCGAGTCGACCCAACCCCAGATAATGGAGACCGAGGAAATCGCCCAGGAGGAGGATGAGGAGGAGGTGGAAGAAGAGATCAAGTCCAAGAAGCGCAGCAGCCGCAAGTCTTCGCGGAAGAACTCCAATGTGGAAATGGAGGATGAGCCCGTCAAGAAGATTGCCGTGGCTCACTCCGAATGCAGTGCTCCATCTGTAGGCTCCCCCTGCACCGATTCCGAGCCCGCTCCCGTCTCCGTTAACCGTCGCGGCCGTAAGCAGTCGCTGACGGATGACCCGTCCAAGACCTTCGTCTGCACCCTGTGCTCGCGCCGATTCCGCCGCCAAGAGCACCTCAAGCGTCACTACCGCTCCCTGCACACCCAGGATAAGCCCTTCGAGTGCAACGAGTGCGGCAAGAAATTCTCCCGCAGCGACAACCTCGCCCAACACGCCCGCACCCATGGCGGTGGTTCCATCGTCATGGGTGTCCTGGATGCCAGTGAGGCTGGCATGTCGTTCGACGAACAACATGACGCCGGTGCCCTTGGCCAGGTGATGTACGAGGCTGCTCGGTCTACCGAAGTCGAAGACTCCCCTGCCACGGACCGTCGGGCGGCGAAGAAGCGCAAGCGTGACTTGGCCTAAGTTTTTTTCTTCTTCTTTTGGGCTTGATTCACTGCTGCGATTGATGATTTCTATGAGACCAGGAGATTCTCCTACTGCATATATAATACATACACATCTTCGGTCGGCCTTACTCTCATGGCAGGGAGTTTGGTCACCGTTGCGGTCTTGATTGGGTTTGGCGTCCGGGCATTTTACAGGTCATCGGTGCACGGCGGCTTTTGGTTTCCTTCTACTTTTTTTACATCACAGAGGGAACGGGGATACAGCATGAGGCGAATATGGGAGAAGGAGTTTTTTTTTTTTGTCTCTTTCTCTTCGCTCTCATGACTTTTTTTTTACTTTCTTGGGCCTTGGGCTTGGGCTTCTTTCGGCGGGGAAGACGGGTCCCATCTTTTCATGGGTGGTCTCTCTTATATTTTCGGAGACCATGAGCATGAAGAGGAAACCCAAAAAGAAAAATAGAGCGATGGTATCTGTCTCTATGGTTACCGGTGGTGGGATTTGGTGTTGATTTCCTTTGTCACTTGATTTTCTATTTCCTTGTTTCTTTTGTTTTGTCTCTCTCCCACCTTCTTTCTCTCTTCTTGACTCTGTCCGCAGATCCGAATCCGCACCAACTATTGATCTGGGCTGATTCGGTCCGTCGCAAGATCAGCAAGACCCAGGCCTTCCTTTTGATCCCCTTTTTGATTCCCGTTTTCTCTCGCTGATCTTTGTTCTTCTCTTGATTCCCTTCTTGGTTGATCTTTTGGTCCTCTTTTTGGATTCTCGTCCATTTCGTTCATACCTTTTTTGCCCTACTTCGATGTAATTTTTTTTCCCCGAGCTCTTGTTTTTTTGACTCTTGTGCTCTCTCCCACTCTGTTTCTTGTGCTGGTCACATTCGTGTATAAGTTAATTTGACCACTACCCCTTTCTTTTCACCCACACACCCTTTTGTCACCTCATACCCCTTTCTTGTATTGCATTTCTTGCCTGTCCTATCGTTTTGGTATCAGGTTTCTAAGAGTCCCTAGTGGATCTTAGTATCTCAATTACAAGCATAATCTTTACATCACCTGGTTCATTTTAGTAGGCTTCTTGCAATCATAGGACTCAGTGGTGAGATTTGAATAAGACCAGGGGGAGCCTTGACAGTTCTGAAAACTTAAATCTCAGTTTCAGTTCGTCTCAAATTGAGAACAAACTTATCGTCAACACATGAAGCCCTCGAGACTTGGTGCCTTAGCCATGACCCCAGCTTATCGCGCTATCGATAAGCCCTCGAAGTGGGGAACACAAAAAAGACCGCCCACCATGACATATTCAACCACATACAAACCATAAGGGAACAGACAGCTAGGGCAACGGGCCATTGGAAAGAAAAATGACCCTTCCAACGTTCAACATGCCCCCTCCACCGTCTACCCCATCACCGGGTCTCAACGTGATAGCCCTGATCTCGGGCGGAAAGGACTCTCTCTACTCCATCCTGCACTGCATTCGCAATGGACACAAAGTAGTTGCCCTAGCAAACTTACACCCGGCACCAAAAACCACGCCATCGCATGATCAGTCCATCCAGAAATATGGCCAAGATGGCTCCGGTGATATGGAAGAAGACATCGATAGCTTCATGTATCAAACGATCGGCCACAGCGTGATCCCACTCTACGAGTCCGCCCTGGATATCCCGCTCTATCGCGCACCGATTACCGGCGGCGCAGTCGATACGGCTCGGATATACAGACACGATGCAGCGGACCAGGCAGCAGAGCACGTCTCCAGCACGAACCCAGGCACGGGCTCAGACTCAGAAGACGAAACAGAGTCCCTCGTCCCACTGCTCCGCCGCATCATGCAGTCTCACCCAGAAGCCAACGCCGTCTCGGCCGGCGCAATCCTATCCACGTACCAGCGCACCCGCATAGAGAACGTCGCTGGCCGACTCGGTCTCGTCCCGCTAGCCTGGCTTTGGATGTACCCCTCCCTCCCCGCGCCGGCCGAGCGCGACGCGGATCCCGCAGCTATCGCGCAGGCGGGGCTTCTCGAGGATATGGCGGGGTGCGGGTGCGATGCGCGCATTATCAAGGTTGCGTCGGGTGGGCTTGATGATGGGTATTTGTGGGAGAATGTGTCTGGTTCTGGGACTTCGGGGCGGGCGCTGCGGAGACGGCTGGTTAAGGGGATGAGTCGGTTTGCGGCGGCGGAGGATATTCGGGGCGCGGTTTTGGGGGAGGGTGGGGAGTATGAGACTCTTGCGCTTGATGGGCCTGGATTCTTGTGGAAAATGAGGATTGAGGTTGAAGAGAGGGATGTGAGCATTGGGGAAGGGGGTGTCGCGTTTGTGAAGTTGAAGGGGGCGAGATGTGTTCCCAAGTCTGATGGGCTGGAGTATACGCCGAGAGATGTGAGGAGACCGGCTTTGTTGGATGGGTTGTTTGATACGGCTTTGGCTGGAATATCGTCCCTGTCGGTGCATCAGACGGGGTTAACAGTCTCTAGTGAGTCTGTGCCGTCGCTGGAATGGTCTATCGGCGAACCGAATCACCATTTGTCTCCGTCGACATGGACTGTTTCAAACCTCGTTGCGCCAGGGGCAGGTCCCGGCGCGGGCGAACAGATGAGCGCTATTGTCACCAAAGTCCAGCATGCACTGTCATCTCCTCCAGTTTCCATCTCATCTCCTCGGTCCACGGAGGATATTGTCTTCGCCACCGTCCTCCTTCGATCCATGTCCGACTTTGTCCTTATGAACAACGTCTACGTCTCCCTCTTTAAAAAGTCAAATCCGCCAGCCCGCGTTACGGTCGCCTGTGGTGATGCCCTCCCTGCCAATGTGAGGGTCATGGTCTCCTTTGTGATTGACCGGGGCGCACGAGACCGGCGCCAGGGCCTGCACGTGCAGTCGAGGTCGTACTGGGCACCGGCGAACATTGGCCCATACTCACAGGCAATGTCTATCCCATTACAAGACGAGGGGAGAATTATTTATATTGCGGGCCAGATTCCGTTGGAGCCGGCTTCTATGGAGGTTGCTGCGCAAGGTACGCCCTGGTTTGATGGGTATTCTCTGAGGGCTGCGTTAGCACTCCAACATCTATGGAGAATCGGCGAGGCTATGCAGGTTGATTGGTGGCTCGGTGCCGTGGCTTTCATAACTGGTCGTGACCATATTGAGGGGCAGGTGCGTATTGCATGGGAATTGTGGAAGAAGGTCCATTCTCGGCCTGAGGGCGATGACGATGGGGATGAAGGTCCACAGCTTGATGCTTGGGATATCAAGTACGGACGGAGAGCGGAGGAACTGATGCCCCAAGCGGTAGAGTCGAGTCTTCCCAGGTTCTCGATTCTTGATGAGGATTGCCAATCGACTATCCCACCTTTCCTAGCAGTTGAGGTCGATGAGCTTCCTCGGGGAAGTGATATTGAGTGGCAGGGACTGGGGAGTCGGTGCCAGCAGGCGAAGGTGCTGAGCTTGGAAGATGGAACGTCGACAATTGCCGATGGGCGATACAGCTACCATTCCCTAGAGCTTGAGCCTGAAAGCTCTGGTGTGTCATTTGAAGAGAGGCTTCGTTCGCTGGCCACATCTCACTGCCAGACGTCCGGCCTGTCTCAGGCACTTTTATACACTACACTGCCAGTACCGGAGAGAATCTGGCCAGGCCAAATTGTTCCATGCCGATCGGTTTGGGGGCGGGAAGGACGACGCTTGACTGCTGCTGCGGTCTTGCAGAAGGAGTGCGGAGTGGATGTATAACTACCCTAAGTGATAGATACATTGTTGGATCTAGTCCCATCAAAAGGTCTCAAGTTGGTCGTGTGGAAGCAGATATCACTATTGAAGCACATATTTTGGAAGCTGTATCTGAAGTATCGCCTATGAATCCCAAATATAGGATTCCAGGTAGTAATGGAGTCAGTCGGAGGCTCACTCCTTTAGTCCGATCAAGTGTTGTATGGCTAGATTGTGGACTCCAGATATCCGGATGTCATATGGTGGATCGCCCCAGCTGGCCCGAACATGTGATAAGCAGACTCCCTTCCGCGTTCAGGAAAGATAACAACAACCCGCTTTCCCTCGACCTCACCGATTGCCTTTTCTGACAAGCACTGCGTCTTTTTTCCCTTCTTGAATTTCTGTTCCTACGATCCTACGATCTCTGGGTTCCCCTGTCGCTCTCTCTCACCCTACCCCGGCATGACGTGCTCATCGACATAGGAATGGTGTCATGAGTTCTCCGCGGGGCCACGAGGAACAAGAGGCGATCCCTCGCAGCAGCACGCCTGCATCAAACTCCGATGTGATCGCCGAGGATCTGCGACAATTCACTCGCTCTCCCCATCCCTATCACCGCACCAACGGGCGTCTAGGGTCGCGAACACCCCCCGAATACGGCGATCGCCTCCAGCCGCTATCCGCATATTCCAAATCATCGCGGACACCGAGCGACAGTGGCACCGAGGCTGATGATGAGAGTACTGGCATTTTGAGAGGCCTGCCGGCGCCGCCGGTTCGGCCCCGAAAAGGATTGCGCTCGGGTGTGAATGGGTCGCTCGATACTGATGCGTGGCTGCCTACATTACAGCCGTGGCCGTCATTTGTGCGCCAATCATCACGGGCGTCGAGGCGAAGTTCGTCGGAGGAGACTGAAGATAGATTTGCGGAGGGGAAACATATTCGTCGGCAGAGGCGGGTTGAGATACTGCGGCGACTGGTCGAGACTGCGCTGCTGTTGTCAGTCGGTGCTGTCGTCTTGGTACAAGAAGATGCCCGTGCAATTGCTTGGGCTTGGAGGAAAGGTAGGACGACTTCCGCTTGACTCGAATCTGGAGCCCAGGATCTGTATTTGCTAACGATATAACAGAGCTCGCCGCCCATGGCATTACGCTCATTACTCTCTATGCTGCTTACCCTGTGCTTCTTCGAGTCTCGAGGAGCCGGCGGTGGCGCATATGGCCCTCCAAGTCCAAACGCCCGTTCTTCTCCATACCCGCGAGTTTCGACCCGGCTCCGCTACTATATCCAATTCTCATTCCGATTTTCGTCTCCCTATCCTTGACAAACCATCTTCCGACCTTGCTTATACCCAACCTCATACTGAGTCTCTCGTCTCTGCCGGCGCCTGTTATCCCCCTACAGAGCTGGGTCAATGGCTTTAGTGTGACACATTGGATGGTGACCCTGGTGCCGATCTTCGCTTCAGAACATCTTTCTTTCGACTATACAATTCCCAAGCCGCTGTCACTTCGCGGGCATGATGTGGAATCGTTAATTCTTCTATTCCCTTTACATCAAGCGTTGATACCCACTCTAGACTTTTTGTTGATGACCAGCATTCTCCCCGCCGAATTGCAGCTTTTGACGACGGCGTTAATCAATTTGTACTTATTTGCAGCCTCTCCCCACGCGGAGATTCTAAAGGCCTTGCTATGGCTTGGTGGAATGTGCTTATTTGCTGCTTGTCGACACATTCTCCGTTGGGAGGTGGCTTTAGCTCGGATTCCCAGTTGGAAGTTCCGTCGTTCACTGAGCGGGCCGCTTTCTCCGCGAAAATTCTTTAACATGATTGACCACCGACTATGCCAGAAACTGAGTCGAGCTGGGGTCTCAGACGAACCTACTTCAGACAGTGATGGGCCAGGTGGAGTGCCCCGACCTCGCAAGACGAAGACAAGGCGGGAATCTCATGAGCCTGTATCAGCGGTGGACAACCTGACCGCTGAGCAAGCCTTTGAACAACATGCTCGCTCCCAAAATCGGCGGCGACGACATACCATTTCAACCTTTGAGGAGGCAGTTCAAGAGGAACGTGTGCGCACTACTCCTAGTGGACGCCGCAAGAAAATGATGGGACCGGGGCTTGTCTCCTTCCTTTCAATGACCGCTGCCCAAGCGCAGGTCCGCAAATGGCTGTATGCGATTTATGTCTACGCTATATCCCTAGCGATCATCATGGGGCCTGTCCGCAAGTATATTGCCGCACGAGCTCTCCAAGGACAAGATCCTTTCGGGTGGGCCGTTGGGTACCTTTTGGGTAATTTGTCAGGGGTTCGATTCTGGGTACTCATGCTGAACCTCGAATATTGGATCCAATTACCTGCACGGCCCGATGCCGACTTCCAAGATCCTTCCTGCTGGCTAGGCTGGGTTGAGCATGTCCGCCAGACAGACTTTGGACCTGCCAATACCCGCCTTCTGATGATTGCCTACTGCGTTGTGGTTCTAGTGATGGGGTTGGCAATCGTGTTCCAGCTCAGCTCCGTTGCAGAAGTAGACACTCGGCGCAAGGTTTTCCACGGCATGATGGTGCTCATGTTCCTACCCACCGTATTTGTGGACCCAGCATTTTGTGCCTTGGCACTAGCCCTGGTTCTCTCGGTCTTCTTGCTTTTGGATCTATTCCGGGCATCTCAACTACCTCCGATCTCGCGGCCCTTGACCTACTTCCTCGCGCCATACGTGGATGGGCGCGACCACCGGGGACCAGTCATCATTTCACACATTTTCCTGCTCATCGGCTGCTCAATTCCCCTATGGCTGTCGCTCTCCGACCTTGATCGGAATGGTGAAGGCCCTTGGGCAGGCTGGGAGGTGCCCACCCGGGATGTTAGCATGGTCAGTGGTGTCATCTGTGTTGGCATGGGTGACGCTGCGGCCTCGCTCATCGGCCGTCGATACGGTCGGCTGAAATGGTTCTGGGGCGGGGGCAAGTCGCTCGAAGGCAGCGTGGCTTTCATGGTGGCCGTGTCGTGCGGGTTGCTTGCCGTCCGTGCTTGGTTAATGGTCGGCGGCTGGGCCGTGACAGGGACCGAATTAGCCGGCGCGGAGGCCTCCACCGTTCGCTTTTGGTTCTGGACGGCATGCAAGGCGATATTAGCGGCTAGCGGGACTAGCGCGACCGAGGCGATTCTCACTGGCTGCAATGATAACGTTGTCGTGCCAGTTGTATTGTGGTTGTTAGTGCGGGGTCTGGGCGTTTGATCGTGCAGATGGGAAGGGGTGGGCTTGCGTATAGGTGGATGACTTTTGGGTCTACTAATGGCTGCCTTGTAGATATTTTGTATCATATACCTTAAAAATTCAACGCCCATATTTAATCCGGTATGAGTCAGAAAGGATTCCGATCTGACGGAGATTGGTGCAATGGCCTCGAAACCCAGTTTCCAGACCGATAAGCTTTTGGCGATTATCGTTGCCCAGCACCCTTGGTTGGGGCTGCCGATCTCGGATCGGGGGAGGCAAATCGATGTGGATCCCCAAGCATGGTGTAGACGTGATTGCTTTGGCAGTATTTGGTGTGGTTTGTGGGTGGAATATGTTGGAATTTGATCTGATCTATAATACAGTGTAACTATACGTTCATAGTCTTTTCGTCCTTTTTGATGTCATATACGCACGTATCCCCAGTATAAACAGCATTCGCCTCGCAATGAATCATTATTCCCCGGAACGTGACTCGTGACTCGCGATAGGTCACGATCTCGGCTTTATCTAATCGATAACACCTGAAGCTGGGCACCTGCATATGGCCGCCTGCTCCCCCTTTTTCGGGCTCTGCTTCTTCTTCTTGCTCCTCTTTTTCAACTAAAGCCAAATCTACGAGTTCGTCTTCTTCCTCTCTACTTGTATCCCCCCTCTCTTGTAATTTGACATTTTCCAAGCTCCTCCTGGACATACATAAGGTACGTTGACGAAGTACCCCCGACCCACCGCTCTCCTGACCGCCTTCTAGCAGATCATCGCCTGTCACTCGTTATCGGCCATTAGCCATCAGAGCAGGTCACACCCCTCCCCAATCACCAGCCTTCACCACCCACCGCCGTCCTTGACGTCTGGGTCCAGCTTTCCCGCCCTTTCAAACATCACATCATCTTCTTCCCCCATTAGACCAGCTCTACCCGCCCCCTTCCTGCATACCTTCCCTTTACCCTCCCACTTCCCCCCCACACTTGGGTTCACCGTCCCCCTCCTTTATACTGGCTACAACCGAACATTCCTACTCTGCAACTATACATCATCACTTCACCGCTTTCCACGACGTGCTTGGGACAACGACTGTCGTGCGAACTAATCGCTCCCTGAACTATTCATCGAAATATTATCGTCCTTTTATACCCTGGTGGACACTTAGTTGCTTCACTCGACAACTCGACCTATTCAGATAGCTTCCCTCCACGGCTCTACTCCTAGCCTGAGCCCAGACTCGTTGCCTTGACGGTTCCCTCGTTCTTCCGCCTCCTCACTGTACGATCATCACGCATCTCGGCTCCCCTGATGGGCCTCTCGCTGAGTCCAAGGTCTCTATTCTTGCTGCGGTAGTTGTGGTTGACAGAGCGTGGGTGTGCCCGTTGGATTTCGGAGCTTCGTCTGCGGCATATCAGAACCCAGGTGGCGCAGCCACTCGGCGACAGCCATGGCATCTCAACATTCACGGAGGTCACGCGAGACCACCCGCCCAGAAATGACCATCGGTCCCTATACACGGCATAACAAGATCGGACAAGGGAGCTTCGCGACGGTCTACCAAGGTGTACATACGGTGAGTCATCGGGTATTGATCTGCGTACCTTGAGAGTGCAGTGCTAACAGTCGCGTTCTTCTGATGATAAGAAAACCCGCACCTTTGTAGCCATCAAGTCCGTCAACCTATCGAAGCTGAACAAGAAGTTGAAGGATAACCTTTCCTCCGAAATTGACATCCTGAAAGGTCTCCATCACCCGCATATTGTCGCCCTTATCGATTGTCATGAGTCTACATCGCATATTCACTTGGTCATGGAGTTCTGTGCTCTCGGGGATCTCTCGGCTTTTATCAAGAAGCGAGACACTCTATATGACCATGCATCTACCCGAGATATGATTGCGAAATATCCAAATCCACCCGGCGGAGCCCTGAACGAGGTCGTTGTTCGACATTTCCTCAAACAGCTATCTAGCGCCCTTCGCTTCTTGCGTGACCGGGACCTCATTCATCGAGATATCAAGCCTCAAAATCTCTTGCTTTGTCCAGCGCCAGCCTCATACCGGTGTGGATCGTCCCAGTCCGTTCCGTACAAAGGCAGCGATAATTCCTACGAACCGACAACGGGTTTGGAGACGCTACCGATGCTCAAGATTGCTGATTTTGGATTCGCTCGGTCCTTGCCTGCCACTTCGCTGGCAGAAACGCTGTGTGGTTCGCCATTGTACATGGCACCCGAGATTTTGCGATATGAGAAGTATGGTGCCGAGGCTGATCTGTGGTCGGTTGGCACGGTCCTTTATGAGATGGTGGTGGGACGACCTCCTTTCCGGGCCACGAATCATGTCGAACTACTTCGGAAGATTGAGAAAGGGGAAGATCGAATACGATTTCCTGAGGAGAACCCGGCATCGGATGACATGAAGAAGTTAATCCGCGGGCTGTTGAAGCGAAACCCTGCGGAGCGGTTGAATTTCCCCGAGTTCTTCAACAGCAATGTCATCACGGAACCCATTCCAGGTTTAATCGCTGATGACTTGCCCCGAGACCGTCGGCGTACATCTGCAGATCTCGGACGAGGACCGTTGCCGTATCGAACCGACTCTCGACCAAGTCAAATTGATACCGATGCTGGGAGGGATTCGCCTTACACCACTGATCAGGAGGAACGCATTACATACCCGCCTCCTCACCGGCCGAGGCCCACGCGTGAAAAGACCGATACTCCACCGAGTGCTTCACCTATGCGTCGGATAGGAAGCGCCGACCGGCCATCAACCGGTGCTCTGAGAGAGACCACGCGGGGTGGTACGCCGCCACAGCGGCCTAGTGCAATCACTCACGCAACGGCACCCGGCCGACAGGAGCTCATGGATCGAAATACGCCAACGGCAGCTATGGAGCGACAGAGAAGCCGGAAAACGTTTTCCGGAACGTCAAAGCCCGTCCAGGATGATCGAACGGTGGAGGAGCGTGAGCGAGCTGCTCAAGAGGTGGCATTTGAGCGGGACTACGTGGTAGTTGAGAAACGGGCGGTTGAAGTTAATGCATTCGCGGATGAGTTGGCGCATAGCCCCCGGATCCAAGGCGGCTTTGCTCGTGGCCCAGGAAGCTCTGCACCTCGTCGCGCGACTACTCAGGGGCTTCCTACTGTGGCCTCGACTTCTCCACATTACGTGTCCAAGGCTATGCAGGTCATTCCTGGCCGCGCGCGAGCCGACTCACTTCACCAACGCCAACATTCATATGAGCGACGATATGGACAGAGCCCGACGTCAGCGACATCTGCGATCTCCAAAGCTCTCAATATGGCGAGCGGTCGATTGTTTGGAATGGGTTTCTCGCCTCCCTTGGCTATCAACAAGGGCGGGCGGTCACCGCCCCTAGCTTACAATCCTTTCCCAGCCTACCCAGCCGCACAAGCAAGTTTGCTGCTCATGGGCGATGGAGCCAAGACCAATGCCGCTGTCGATGAGGACTGCAGGACGGTCCAGATCATCGAAGAATGTGCAACCCGTAGTGATGTTGTCTATGGGTTTGCGGAGGTGAAGTATAAACAACTTATACCACTGGCTCCATCAGCCTCGACAGACCCATCTGTACGACACATCATTGGTGGCGCTGAGGATCCTAGTGAATCCACCGATGATGGACTAACGATCGACGCTATCGTGACCCTTTCCGAGGAAGCCCTAGTCTTGTACGTCAAGGCTCTATCTCTACTGGCGAAGTCCATGGATATTGCAGGTGCTTGGTGGACGCGCAAGAACCGAGAGGATACCTACGGAGACACGTCACATCGCACTGATAACAGCGGACTCGCCGGCGCTCGAATTAATAACGTGGTGCAATGGGTCCGAAGCCGGTTCAACGAGGTTCTGGAGAAGGCCGAGTTTGTGCGTCTGAAGCTTATCGAAAGCCAGAAGCGACTACCTCTCGATCATCCTGGTCATCCGGATAACCATTCGGTGGGGTCTACTGTTGCATCGAGCGGATCAGCTGATGTGGTCGTGAGTGCTGGAGTGACGGCGGAAAAGCTGATGTACGATCGCGCATTGGAGATGAGTCGGACCGCAGCTATCAATGAGTTGACCAGCGATGATCTTGCCGGATGTGAAATCGCCTACGTTACTGCCATCCGTATGTTAGAAGCAGTGCTGGAGGATGATGGATTGCACTCGTCTTCGGGTCAATCTAGCAATCACCAGCACTCTTCTCATGGCGATAAGGGGTCGGTGGATGGCCTGCAAGGGGAGGACCGTCAGGTGGTGGTCAAGTGTGAGTTCTCACATCTATATTCGCATAAGTTTGTTGGTCACTGACAATTTCAACAGTGGTCTCTAGCATGCGCGGTCGCCTGGCCGCTCTTAGGAAAAAGCTGGCGCTTTTGGCAAAGCGAACCACCCCGACTATGAACAGTGGTCGAATGCCATCGTCGAATCTAGTTCCTGTAACACATGCGACAGGCGCAACGCCACCGCGATGAAGCTTCAGACAACGACCCCTTCCGTCCGCTCGTATCCCGCGCATTCTCTTTCCTCCAGCCTTTTGACTGCTAGGCCATATATAAACCGCGTCCTTTTACGCATTCGTCCCTTTTTAACGTTACTTATTTCCATCTCCCCGGGTGAGGAGATGCTAATTCTTTTCATGTTCATGTCGTTGATTCATGTCCAAATTTTCAGTGCGCTGCCATATATCCCACTGCACGAGGGGGAAGCGGAGTTTTTTTGATTCGTCTCTGCTTCACTCTCCTTCTCTCCTTGTTTTGTTCCTTCCTTTTTGATTGGGTTGCTTCCATTGGCGTTACTCTTGCGGGGTTACGATGATATACAGACTGGTACTTTACTCTTTTTGATCCTTTTTTTCGCGCGAATTTTTGAACTGCACAAGATCAGGGAGTTTTTGGAGGGCATTCTGGTCATGGAATGGGCGGTTGGATTGGATTGCATGTGACGCAGATTTAGATGAGATGCCCTTGATCTTGGATGAAATTGACATAGTTTCAATAAAACTCTCCAAATCTAGTGATGTATGCTGCATGAGGGCGAAAGAGTAGGTGATAGGATGCTTGTGAGTATTCTTTTCCTTTCTACATCTTGTCATCAAGCTCCCTTTCTTGAATATACAAGGGCGATTCTCGAATGATCTACAATGAAAGTAAGACGGTCCCTACATGATCATTTCTTGATTGATCCTTGTCAGTTAGGGTTTTCTTGAGGTCCTCTCGGCTATTAGTTTCCTTCCAGCCTCTTCGAAAACTCCTCCCATGATGTCGACCAAATTTCAACCATCTACGTCAGAATTGTACCTCGATATTGAAACTCAAATAGCGGCTCCGGTCTAGACAATGAGGCGATTTGACGCAATCAATGTGACCTCAGTCATATTAGAGTCAGAGACATATCGTCAACTAACCTTATAGTAGAAGCTGAGATGATCAGTTTGAGCCAAGGGTTCGGGCAATGGCGTGATCGGTTTCCGTGTGTCAGGGTTTCACTGCGTTCTTGGCCAGGTCTAGGCGCAGGAATGTCGAGATGCATACCGCAATATTGAACGAAGAGGACAATATCTACAGATCATTGTGAGATCTTCGAAACTTTGGCAACAGTTCGCATATGATTTCATACTCTAGCAGTATGTAGGCAAGATGTCCTTGACATTTTCAGGGCCTATTTTTGTCGTATGCTCTGATACCGCATTCCTTCTCCCGCAAAGCCCTTCCCGCATCCATCCCGACGGTCCAAGCTCGGCCCAGGGCCTTGACCGTTCTCGGCTGTGCCCGAAACACGAATTTTGGGGGTCGCCGAGGCTTTGATGCTGAGAACGAACCTTGCAAAGAAAGTGAGAGAAGGACGAGCGAGTCTCGGCGTCAAATGTCAAGTGTTCCTCCAACTATCATCCATGTAGTCACTTCTATAATGCACTGCGACTCACCGTACAGATCTAAATTACTTTTGGTACCTGCAAAGCCGACGTGAACTAAAACTCGGCCCGGCCAAGTATAGCGTCCGCGCCATACCGATCCACGACCCTCCCTTCTCGAACCCTTCCTTTGAGAAAAAAACGGAAAGTGGATCAAATGAGGCGTCGCTGCGATCTAAACATTCTAGAAACGCCACCGCCAATCAAAGCCATGTGCTTTGCTCCAGCGATTCGGGCGGCGATGTTCACACCGTGCTCGGGTCTTGTGAGGTAGTATCCTGCCCAGGCGGGATTGTATTGCATCACTTTTAGTGCTAGCACATCATCAACAGCTGATGCCGTTGCTAGCCGTTGGCCATGTAATATTATAAGCAGTTCAGCGTCGAACTCTGACAGTTGAGATATGCTTTTTACTATCGGGTGCATTTTTTTTCGAATTCAAGATGGCGGATTCGGCGGTATCCTCTGCCTCGGAGAGGACGCCGATTAAGTCGGGCACAACTGTCAGATACGATACGAAACCTGCGGAGGTTGTGAATGGACCGAGACCGGCGGATGGGATTACAGGCCTATGTAAGTATTTTTCTTGCGATTTGGTCTGCAAATATTGACATGTCTAACTTTACTTGCTGCTTGGTTCTTTGTAGACGAAGGAAATGTCTTTGAAGCGTCACCTGAGAATCGTCGGCAGCTGGGTGTTTTCAGCGCAACGCTACTCATCTTCAACCGTGTCATTGGGACTGGCATCTTTGCGACACCGGGGACTATCCTATCTCTTTCCGGCAGTGTTGGTCTCTCACTATTCATGTGGGTGATTGGCACGTTTATTGCCATGGCTGGTACTGCAGTCTATATGGAATGGGGCACGGCGATTCCCAAGTACGTCTTTCTCAACATCTCGCAAGAAAGATGTTATTCTGATTAAATTCCCTAGAAATGGCGGTGAGAAGAACTACCTTGAATACGTTTACCAAAAACCCAAATTCCTGGCCACGGCCATGTTCGCTGCTTACGCCGTCCTCCTGGGCTGGGCTGCCAGCAACAGCGTGGTATTTGGCCAGTATATCCTCAACGCTGCCGAAATCGAGGTCGATCGATGGAATCAACGTGGTATCGGCTTGGCCTGTCTTTCTGCTGCATTCCTTGTACACTCGATCGCTCTCAAGTGGGGAATTCGTCTGCAGAATTTACTCGGCATTATCAAACTGATTATCATTTTGTTTATCGTCGTGACGGGCTGGGTCGCTCTGGCTGGACACACCAAGGCCGAGACGCCGCATAACTTCCAGAATGCTTTTGAGGGAACCAAAGGCAGTGGGTACAGCATTGTGATGGCGCTGTATAATGTCATTTGGTCCTTTATTGGATATTCGAATGCGAATTATGTGAGTCGAATATGCCCCTGTCTTCGTGAATTACGTCGAAGCTAATGTGAACCAGGCTCTGAGCGAGACGAAGAATCCTGTTCGCACGCTGAAAATCGCGGCACCGCTTGCAATCGGCTCTGTCGGAATCCTCTACATGTTTGTCAATATTGCCTACTTTGCCGCGGTCTCAAAGGAGGATATGTTGGAATCGGGTAGTGTGGTTGCTGCCGTGTTCTTTGGAAATATGTTTGGCAAGCAAGCCGAAAAGGTCATGTCGGTCTTTGTGGCTCTATCGGCCTTTGGCAATGTTTTGTCGGTGCTGTTCTCGCAAGGTCGAAGTATGTGTGACATTCCAGATTCGAGTACTTTTATATACTAACCAGGATTGACAGTTGTCCAAGAACTCGGTCGAGAGGGTGTTTTGCCCTTCTCCAAGTTTTTCGCCAGCAATTGGCCATTCCATTCACCAGCTGCCGGCTTACTCGAGCACTACATTGTGTCAGCAATTATTCTGCTGGCTCCTCCCCCGGGCGATGCATACAACTTCCTTCTCAAGTGAGCACGAATCTTAGAAAATATCTCTGAACTGGATCTAATCAATCTTCTAGTCTCATTTCATACCCGCTCTCGATCATCAACGTCTTCGTTTCGGGTGGACTGATCTATATCTACCTGAACAGGAGCACCAAGTATCCCAACTGGAACCCTGGGATCCGTGCGACACTCCCAGTGACTATTTTCTTCCTGTTGTCGAATATTTACCTGGTCATCGCTCCCTACGTGCCTCCCGACGCAGGCCAGAATGTTTACGAGCAGCTACCATACTACCTGCATTGCGTCGTTGCTCTAGGCTTATTTGCGTGCGGAGCTTTGTATTATATCGTCTGGGCGATACTACTCCCCCGATGGGGTGGCTATGTCCTTGTGAAAGAGTCGGTGGTGGATGCCGATGGATGGTCGCGTAGCGTGTTTACGCGGATCCCCAAGGCTTCCGCAGAGCGTGGCTAGATGGGGTTGACTGATTACTGAACATACATGGATTTGGATGGACATATGACATATGCATAATTGAATGACTGAAGCTTGATATTCATATACGAATTATGATAGCTTCTCGACATATCTTGGCGTTTATGTGGCTGCATCTTAGCACAAGCCACGGCAGTCTGCCCAATGAGCAGTCATAGGTCGAAACAGTAAAGAAATAAATTCCTAGTACTCGAGAGTCTTCAAAGGTTAATATATCAAGGATAGATGTCCCAATGCTCTATGGATGCCTATTCAGAAAAAACAGCAGAAGCCGTGTATCATAGGCCCCTCAAACTGACTGGTGCATAGTCTTGCAAGGAGGAGCAGCTCGAAAGCTACTCCATAGTCGACTGCCGTGGAAGAATCGGGGCATGCGCTGGTTTGAAACTTGCGTGAGGTGAAGAAAGAAGAAGAAAAGGAAAAGAGAAAAACCCGAGAAAAGGCGGAATGCACGGCCAAGCCCTTCACCGCCTGGAGGTGTTCTGCCGGGGCAAGTGATTCTTTTCCTTTGGGGGAATCGATTGTTCTCCGGCGCGTTGGGTTGCTGCAGTCTTTCTTTGTTCAATTTTCGCTCTTGTATATTATTGGGTGCTTGGGCTCTGTGTATATTATTCTCCTTTGTCTATCTTTGCCCCCTCAATTGACGGGGCTGTGGATCTTGCCGATGCGTCGTTTCTCCTCGCGTGCGTTGCTTCAAGCAAAGCCACCGCTTCTATCCGCCAGACCCCTCCCCCTCTTTCTCTCCGCCCCTCGCTCAGCTCCGGCTTCAAGTCTAATTTCTCGCCCTCGTTCCCTTCAATCACGCTCATCCCGATCTCCGCTCTCCCAAACCTCCAAACGCTACTGCTCCTACCGAAGAATGTGCAGCTCTCGACGTGACGAGCCCTCCGGCTCGACCAATGTCCAGGGCCGCGAGGTCCTGCCTACCAATGTCAAGCCATTGCACTACGACTTGACCTTGGAGCCGGACTTTGAGACTTTTAAGTATAATGGAACTGTGACCATCGAGTAAGCAATGCCCGAGACGGCCGATGCTTGGAAGGTTACGCTGACACGTATCAACAGCCTCCAGGTCAATGAGGACACCGACTTCGTATCCCTCAACTCCAACGAGATCGACATCCACAATGCTACCGTTCGATCCAATGGCGCTGTCATCGAGTCGAAGCCCGAGATCATTGTCAACAAGGATACCCAGGTCGCCACCGTCCAGTTCAAGCAGGCTCTCTCCGCCGGTGCCGATGCCCAGCTGACTCTCACCTTCACTGGTATTTTGAACGACAACATGGCCGGTTTCTACCGGTCTTCATACAAGAAGGATGGCAAGACCGAGTATATCGCCTCGACTCAGATGGAACCCACCGACTGCCGTCGTGCCTTCCCTTGCTTTGACGAGCCCGCTCTCAAGGCCAAGTTTACGGTGACCCTGATTGCTGATAAGGACATGACCTGCCTGAGCAACATGGATGTTGCTTCGGAGACTGATGTCAAGGATGGCGCTAAGAAGGCCGTCAAGTTTAATACCTCGCCCGTCATGTCCACCTATCTGGTTGCTTTCATTGTGGGCCGTCTGAACTATATCGAGACCAAGAACTTCCGTGTCCCCATCCGCGTCTACGCTACCCCGGATCAGGATATTGAGCACGGTCGATTCTCACTCGAGCTTGCTGCCAAGACCCTGGCTTTCTACGAGAAGGCCTTTGATAATGATTTCCCTCTGCCCAAGATGGACATGGTGGCCGTTCCCGATTTCAGCGCCGGCGCCATGGAGAACTGGGGTCTCATTACCTACCGTATCGTCGATCTCCTGCTCGATGAGAAGACTAGCGGTGCTTCCCGCAAGGAGCGTATTGCCGAGACCGTCCAGCACGAATTGGCCCACCAGTGGTTTGGTAATCTCGTGACTATGGACTTCTGGGATGGTCTGTGGCTCAATGAGGGCTTCGCAACCTGGATGTCGTGGTACTCTTGCAACGCCTTCTACCCCGAGTGGAAGGTTTGGCAGACCTATGTCATCGACAACCTCCAGAGCGCCTTGTCTCTTGACTCGCTGCGTTCCTCTCACCCTATCGAGGTCCCCGTTAAGCGTGCGGATGAGGTTAACCAGATCTTTGATGCCATCTCTTACTCCAAGGGCTCCTCCGTGCTGCGCATGATCTCCAAGTATCTTGGCGAAGACATCTTCCTCCAGGGTGTTCGCGCCTACATTAAGAAGCACGCCTACGGAAACACCGAGACTGGTGACCTGTGGTCCGCTCTGGCTGACGCCAGTGGTAAGCCCGTCGAGTCCGTCATGGACATTTGGACCAAGAACGTCGGCTTCCCTGTCATCAGCGTGACCGAGAACCCTGCTTCCTCTTCCATTAGTCTGAAGCAGAACCGCTTCCTGCGTACCGGCGACGTTCGCCCTGAGGAGGACAAGACCCTCTACCCTTGCATGCTTGGTCTGCGTACCAAGGAGGGTGTTGATGAGAACACCATGCTGACTGACCGTGAGGCTGAATTCAAGGTTCCCGACCTTGACTTCTTTAAGGTCAATGCTGACCACTCTGGTCTCTATCGCACTTCCTACTCCCCCGAGCGCCTCGCCAAGCTCGGCCAGGCTGCCAAGGAGGGTCTGCTGACCACCGAGGATCGTGCTGGTATGATTGCCGACTCCGGTGCTCTGGCTTCCTCTGGTTACCAGAAGACCTCCGGTTTGCTCTCCCTGCTCAAGGGCCTCGACACTGAGACCGAGTTCATCGTGTGGAACGAGATGCTGACTCGCATTGGCGTGCTCCGCGCTTCCTGGGTCTTTGAGAACAAGCAAACCAAGGATGCCCTCACTGCTTTCCAGCGTGAACTGGTCTCTGCCAAGACCCACGAACTTGGCTGGGAGTTCTCCGATAAGGATGGTCACATCCTGCAGCAGCTCAAGGCTCTCATGTTCGGCTGTGCCGGTACCGCTGGTGACCCCGTCGTTGTCAAGGCTGCACAGGATATGTTCGCCCGCTTCGCTGCCGGCGACCACTCTGCCATTCACCCCAACATCCGTGGTAATGTCTTTAGCATTGTCCTGAAGTACGGCGGTGCCAAGGAGTACGACGTCATTCTGAAACGCTTCCGTGAGGCCCCTACCTCTGATGAGAAGACCACTGCCCTCCGCTGCCTCGGTGTCGCCGAGGACCCGGCTCTCGTTCAGCGCACTCTTGCCCTTGCCATGAGCGAGGAGGTCAGAAGCCAGGATATCTACATGCCCCTGGCCGGTCTCCGCAATCACGTTACTGGCATTGATGCCCGCTGGACCTGGTTGAAGGAGAACTGGGATGCGATCTACAAGCGTCTGCCTCCCTCGCTTGGCATGCTGGGCACCGTTGTGCAGCTTTCCTCCTCCGCCTTCTGTACCGAGGCTCAGTTGAAGGAGGTTGAGGACTTCTTCAGCGCCAAGGACACCAAGGTAAGTTTTTATCCACCCCACTTATTATCCACCCCGACATAGTTTTATCTAACAAATCTACAGGGTTACGACCGTGCCGTTTCTCAGAGCCTGGACGCCATCCGCGCCAAGGTTAACTGGTTGCAGCGTGACCGCGAAGACGTTGAGTCCTGGCTGAAGAACAACCAGTACTTGCAGAGCAAGCTGTGATATCGTTCTATTGGCGCGCCGGTGGCGGTCTTGGATTTCCGGGGTGTTGATTTTTTTTCCAAATTAGGTTCAAGCAATACTGGGCACTAGCACACGGGTTGTGTTTGTTTATGCCTCTGGCACTCTCTTTTGCTGTCTGTCTCCAAACTCTACTCAACCTATTAAATGGCATAGAATTCACCTAGTACCATTTTTGCTGGGAAAAGTTAAACTAGAGCTAGAATGAATAATCTTATGGATAATCTTCCATTTTGGACGCACTTCGTAGAGAGCCTTCTGAAATCCTCGTACTTTATGAAGGGTTTCTATTTTGGAGCAGATTCCTACCACGATTTCTCTAGTCTTAGAGAAAGTGGAACAAACGGAGTAGAAAATTTTCATCAGAACATCGTTATTCCCCGGACTGCTCGACTTGAACCCCATCAAAGGAGCCAGGGAATGGTGGTATAGATTCAAATAATACAACTGTTTCAAGGGGGCGTTTACGCCCATCCACCCTTTCCACCAAACCCAGAACTATCCTCAATCTTCTTGCCCTGACCACGCGTTGGTTTCGACTGTGCTGCTTCGTGCTTCCGCAATTCCTCGGGTACACGAGAGATCGGGGATTTAATAAGCATTTGCTTGAGATCGTACCTGTAAACGATATTAGTTGTCTGAGTGGCAAAAGGGGGAGGGAAACGAGAAGGGGAATACAAAAACGTACATGACATCGGAATCCTCATTACCCAAGAAGGTAATGGCAACACCACTCTTTCCAGCACGACCGGTACGACCGATACGGTGGGTGTAGCTCTCGATAGAAGTAGCCATGTTGAAGTTGACGACAAGTGAGACGTCCGGCACATCAATACCTCTACCAGCGAGGTCAGTGGCGACCAGAACATCGGTAGCACCGCTCCGAACGGACGCCAGGGCGGCTTCACGCTGCTCTTGGGTCTTGGAACCATGCAGAGTCACAGACGAAAAGCCCATTTGTTTGATTTCCCGAGCGATGGCATCACAGTTACGCTTGATGTTGACGAAGACGATGATCGGAGGACGGAAGTCGCCGGATGAGAGAATCTCCGCGAGTCGCTTCTTCCGCTTGTCTTCGCCGGGAATCAACTCGACGCGCTGCTCGACTGTGTCTACTGCTTCGCCGACGCCACCGATTGTGATGATCGCCGGGCGACGTAGGTATTTTCGCGCGATGCGCTCGACAGCCACGGGCATCGTGGCTGTGTACATCATTGTTTGGCGGTACCGGTTCTGTCCGCCTAGGTGCTGGGTCATGGCGCGTGGATTCTCGGCCTCTTCCGTGTCTGGCTTTTCGTTTGTGACAGGAAGTGCGTCAAGGATCTTGTTGACGGGTTCTTCGAAACCGAGATCGATCATACGATCGGCTTCATCCATAATCACGTAGCAACATTGGCTGAGGACGAGCATTCGGCGCTCAATACAGTCGACAAGACGACCGGGAGTGGCGATAATGATTTCGGCGCCGTCGCGAAGACTGAACGCTTGTTCCTCAAGCGAGTGACCACCGACAATACTGACGACGTTGAAGCCAAGTGGCTGTGTAAACTTCTTAGCCTCAATCTCAATCTGCTGGGCCAATTCACGAGTGGGCGCTAGGACAATAGCATATGGTCCGTCGTTCTTGCGCCATTCGAACTCGTCCAGTCGTGGAAGCTCAGAGATGTATACCAGTAGTGGGAGCAGGAATGAAGCTGTTTTACCGGAACCAGTCACAGCGACACCAATGAGATCGCGCGATTGAAGAGCAATGGGAATAGCCGCACGCTGAATCGGGGTGGGCTCTTTGTAACCAACACGATCGATAAGCTCAAGCAAACGCTTCGGCAGCTGGCTTTCTTTCCATGAGCGCATGGGATTAGGCACACTGCCACCCTTGGTGGCAATGTTGAAATCTTCCTTGAAGATACGCCAATCTCGCTCCCGCATGTGTTCCAGTCGCTTCTCGCTCCAGTGCTTATCAAGCTGATTCCGTGTGCTCTCCTCACGACGTCGACGCTCCATCTCCAAGATCTCCTTGGCGCGCATACTACCGGATTCGTGATCCCGGGTCTCCAGTGCTTGCGCATACTTGCGCACCATGTTGTCCGCAACCTCATCTCCGAATCCTGCGAGTCGACCACGACCAAAGAAGTTTGCCTCGTGTCGGCTCTGGTATAGCGGGTTGTAGTCACCGCTAGTGTCTTCCTCAGTGTTCCATTCGAAATTAAACTTTCGGTCTGTGGTGCGCTTCCGCTTCTTTTTTGCCGAGAAATTCGAGGTCTGCTCCGTGCCCATGTACCGTTGCTTCAATAGTGCTGCTTGTGCCGTAGCCTCGTCTTCCTCCGTTGGTCGCTTCTCTCCCTTTGGGTTCTTCGACTTTGGGTGAGGCGGTGGTTCCATGTCGCGGTTCCGTGGTGGCTGTCCATTTCGCGAGGCAGCGGGTCCTGTAGGGATATCGCCACGCATGGCGCGTGGTCCGGCAGGGACCCGTCCAGTTGAATTTCGGTGATCATGTTCCGGTTCGACTGGTTTCACTGGCCGAGACTCGGATGGAACACCATTGCGATTGGCACCGTTGGAAGACGCCTTAGCTTGTCGTTCAGCTTCTACTTCTTTCGCTCGTTTCTCAAGTGCAAGTTTCTCACGTTGTGCTTTAGACAAGAATTTTGGCTATAGAAAGAAAATCAAAAGGTTAGCGAATGGAGCTGGGTTCGCGATTGCAAGGATCACTTCCTAGGGTAGGCATACCTTTGCAGCTGCGGCGTCCGCATCCTTCTTCTTCTGGATGAGTTCCTCCACACTCAGGGGAGCTGCAGCTGGCTTCTTCGCTCCCCATCCCAGCTTCTTCTTCTTGACTTCGATCGGGGGCGCGGGCGGCGCATCTTCTGGTGGAGGGGGAGGAACTCCAGCATCTGGGGGAGGTGGTGGAGCACCCAAGTGCTCAGGAGGAGGTGGAGGCGGAGTTGGTGGTCGCTCGACAGGGTCTGGGGGAGGTCCAGGTGGGCCATCGGCTGAGCCGTTCATCACTATGCCTTCCATAGTTGCTCACAAGAGAGAGCAAGGTGATGCGATGAGGTACGGGCGGCGAGATGATGCATCTCCGTCTCGAATTTCTACGGCAGTCAGAATGAACCAGACGCGCGGTCACGTGCAAATCGGCTGGTATCCGCAATCAACTCTTGAGGGCATCTAGTCTACGATATCGTCAAATTACAGGTCAGAAAAGGGCAACGGGACTTTCCTTCAAGAAATCAAGACAAAATCAAGCAACAACCACCTCGAAGTATGCCGATCATCGGCTTCAGGCCCTACCTTAGCCCCTACTTGGATATTTGGCATGAAAGGAATGGACTAGATGCGAGCGAAAATCACATTGAATGGTTAAATAAAGTACAATTGATCCGGATGGGACCACCTATCTTGCTCCAACCACAAAGGGGTACCGGTAAGGGAGAAGGGGAAAGTAGTGACCGTATGTAAGACCTCTTAAGGGGGACAGGGGAATGAGGGCCGTTTCGGCGCACCAAAATCGCTAACAAACCTGAGGGAAACGAGAACGATGCCTGGATCGGCAAGAACATGATGCTACATGGAAAAGAGTTTACCCACCCAGATTGAGAAGGTGTCAGGCACCAGGCAGAAAAAAAGACAAATCAGACGGCAAGGTGGGGGAACCGTCGGGGATGGAAGTATTCATAGAGAGACGTGAGGAGAGCTGAGGCCATTATAAAGCATCAGGATTGGCTGGAAGCCATAGGCCTAGGCAACTAATGCGCCGTTGACAGGGCTCTGTTGCTGCTGCCAAGCAGCATAGGCTTGAGCAGTAGCAGCAGCTTGGTCTGGAGCAGGTTGTTGAACTGGGGGAGGAATTGCGGGCTGTGCGTCAGCAGGAGCCACCGGAGGAGCCGCGAAAGTGCCTCCAGTCCGAGCAGCAGCCACAGAGGCCGGGCCATGCACCTCACGATCCAGGGTCATGTATTCCTTGGCAGTGTCTTTGGTTCCTCGTTCGAGGAGGTATGCCATGTAGATTTGCACAAGCTCCTTGACGGTCTCGGGAAGAAGTGTGCTCTTAGAGCGCACATCAGAGACAACCTGCTTGATACGCTCATACTGAGTCGACTCAACATCGGCACTTGTGGGCTGGTCGATCTCAAACATGAGATAGCTAGTCCAGAAGGGCCGGCTGTCAAGGTAGTACTGCTGGTTATCTTGGAACACCTTGCGAGCATCATCAGGTGCGCCCTTGATCTTCCACAGCAGACGCGCCCATTCAGCAACGAGAGCCGCTTTAGTGGCCATTTCGCACTGCGGAGAGTTCAGCTGGGTCTTGTACACCTCAATAGCCGCCTCAAGGCCACCGTGGCGGCGGCAAAGATTGGCCAGCGACGTGATAGTCTCAACGTGGCTGGGGAGGTTCATAAGAATAGCCCCGTGGATATCCTTGGCGACATCTGTCCGACCTGACAACTCTTCAAAGTACGCATAGTGCAGTCGAACCGTGGGGTTGGCGATGGGAACGTAGAGGTAGCTGGCACGCTGGTAGATAATTCGCACCTCTTCCTCTTTGCCTGACTGAGCAGCCATCCAACGTGCGTAACGGAGCCAGAACTCATCATAGTGCGCGCATGTCACGAGGCAGCGCTCATACAAGAACTGAATGCGGTTGAACGAACCTTCGGACTCCTCGAAATCAAGGTACTTCTTCCAATTCGTGAGCTGACCCTCATCCAATTCTGTCACGTGGAAATACGGCCGCTTGATTTCCGACTCGTAGGTCCAGCGCTTGGTAGTCTCGGTCTGCGTCTTTGAGAACACCTCCAAATGGTAGTTGTCAACACGCAGTCGAAGATCACGCTCAATCTCAGCTTCAGCCTTGGCACCTGGAGGGACGTGGGAAGACGCAGCCTCGATTTCCGATCGGAACTCGGACATGGTCTCTGTGGGGGCTAACTCAGCCAGAGGGCGAGTCTGGGCGAGCTGACGATAACGCTCAAAGTAGCGGGCATACTGGTGCATCGGGATATGGATGATCCGGCCGAGAATGGCAAAGATCTTGTCCTGGGCCTCGACTCGTTCTTCAAACTCGATGTACTTGTCCCAGAAAGGATGCGCCAAAAAGTCCAGGCCTACGCTGCTCGCACCACGTTCGAAAAGACTATGGAAATTCAGTCAGTATGAAAGGTCCGCAACATAGCTGGAGCGTGGAAGGGGTGGGAGGTATGGGGGAGGAAGAAATGATGGGGCAAACTGGGTGATCTCTCTGTCACGGTATGACAGGCCCGAAAAGTGACGAGGGTGAGCAAGCTATGGGAAAAGCAGCCAGTGCTTTGCGCAAAAGGTCAAAAGGGAGGGGCCATCGAACGAAAATTGTTCCTTGTGTGTTGTCCACGTATGAGGAAGAAGGTCTTTGGTCACGTGGAGAAGGAAAGCAGCCTGAATGAGCCCTGGGTGAGAAGTAAACACCAGTTGAGTCTGGGTGGTAAGGTGATGATCTCTCACCCATCATCAATGGAACTGCAATGTTTTTCCGGTATATATCCATATTTCAAACACAATCGGCTTCATACAGGCTTTCGCGAGCTGCATTGGTAACGGTTACAGGGTAAGGGAAGGAAACCAGCTTTTCTTTACTTACTCTCGAATGATCTCGGCATCGTGCGAAGTTTCGGCTTTGAAGGAGCAGTAGTTGGTCCAGAGGTCCACTGATGGAGAGATACTGGCAACACCTCTTTCATAGACCTATAGATCGTCTTATCAGTAAATGCGACGCTGTGGGTTGAAGTTGTAGAACGCGGGGGGGCTGGGGCCAGGGTCCATACCATCTCTGCGGCTTCAGTGCCGGTGATGGAGAATTCTAGGTCGGCATATTTCTTCCAGTATCCGAACAAAAGGGGGAATTTGGCAAGGAAGCGATCGTAGACGTTGCGCACTGTGGTAATCGCCTGGGGGTTGGAATTGCGATTGATTCCACCCTCGAGAGCTTCAGCGCCGCGAACAAGCTTCTCCCAGGTCTCGAAGTTATCAGGATCATCAACCTATGCGCAATGTTAGTAACTATCAGAGACATAAGGCAGGGGTGCGTGCACGCTTCAGACATACCAGCTCGGTTTCGAGCTTCCTCAACTCGGCGTTCTCCTCCTCGGAGCCTCCAAAGTGGTAGTCCGCCATGATGGCAGGGATTCTGGGTATGCGCACAGGAAACGAAGCGTATCGATTGAGATAATGAGCCTAGTGACAATAAATAAGAGTAGCGCCGGCGATAAAAATGGGAGGTGTAAAGGGATGATAAGGCTGAAACCAGCAACGGAGAACTGGTGCTGAAGGAAATTACGAGATGGGAAGTCTCGCCGCCTTAGGCCACAAGGCCCCAAATCTGCCCATCGGGGTTTAGTGCATTGCGGCCAGCGGCTTCAACTTTTATCGGTTGCCCATCATCCAAAACATCGTGATCATTTCCGGCCTCAATTGATCAACCCCCCTTGACGACCGTGATGTCCTCCATCACGCAGAACGTGGGCGCTCTGCCTAACCGCCTACGCAACTTCTTCGCTCGTTACCCTCCCCAGATATACTCCTCCCTGGTCGCACCGCGTCCGACTCCCCCGGAGAGCGAAGCCTCCGCCGACCAGACCCTTCCCTCGCCCTACACCCCCGATCGTGATGCAAAGGGTGCTCACCGACAAGACCCTGAGGCCTTCTCGCCCTCCCGTGCGCTCTTGTACAACGACCCTAAGAACCAAAACCCATTCTTGCCGCGGAAGATCTTCAACTCAAAGAAGTGGATTGGTCCCCGATACGGGCTGCGACAACAGGCGGATCTAGTCAAGTTGGCTGTGAAGTACAACGTCGAGCCACTCTTGCCTCCTGGACCCAAGTCCACCGAATACAAGGCTGCCAAACTGGCGGAGCGTGGTCTCCGGATCAAGGGTACTGGTATCGGCCAGAAGGTCAAGGGTCACAAGTGGGAGCGCACAATGGAGGCGAGACTCGAGGATCGTCGCAAGGCGATGGTGGAAATGCCGGAGATGATCCGGTTGTGGAAGCAGGTGAGTATCCTCCAAAACATGCTGAGTACAGGAATGGAGCTAACTTTGTCTTGTAGAGAGGTCATGGTCGTGGCTGGAGACAGTGGCCGAAGCGGTAAATGGGACGCTCCATGTGAAAATATTGCTTTAATTCTTTCGATCATTTCTCACTGGTCCACTCTTGCCATATCTGTCCGCGCCATCGCTCGATCAAATCCATCACGTGTGGAATCCCCTCGGCAGAAGCATTTGTATGAATCATTGCAGGGGTTTGGGACGGGAGTTTGTCTTTGATTTGCGCTATTTCTTTTCAATTACTTGTACAATATACAGCGTGGGCATTTCGCCCGATGATACTCGGGGGGCTAAGCTGAAGCCATCTCGCTACTATGTGCATATAGGTCACCAGGAATCAACATTGAGGTTTATTTCATCCCACCTAAGCTAAAAAGTGTTAAAGCATTGGAGAAGCTCTACGCAACTGCATGCCATTCCCAGCCGGCGTGATATTGTACCGATTGACTAGTTAAATAGAGCGGAACCGAACGGGTACTAGAGCTAATAGTCTGGTCTTGGATGTGATGGCCCCCAAAAACCCCGGCCCTTGTTCTTGATATTGCAGTACCTATAAGCCACTAGCACTAGGGGGCCAAGGACTAAATCCGTATTTGTCAACATCCCGGATCCTTGCAAGATCACTGATTCCATTATCGCAGTCTTTGTCGGGTCAACAATGCCATTATTGGGCTCTTGAAAGAGATATGCGCCTTCTGTCCTTCAACTAAAATGCTTACTAGGTATCTATGAGCGGCCGCGGCTTCCAACGCTCGGGATCACCACCTGTCTTGAGTATTGTATTACTATATTTAGGCGGCTCTGCGGTAAGCTGACATCTGGGCTGCCATTCTCGGTATAAGGAGAACATCTAGTCGAGAGGGAAGCGCCCCGTGCGCGAAAAGAAGCCGATCGATGTGATATGAATTAGGGTGATGAAATTTAGCTACATCTTTCTCTGTAGGACTCTAGGTCCGAAAGCGAGCCACGGAGGCATGGTTACCCACGAGCGGGTCTGCATACATATCTAAACGGGAACTCTTGCTGCAAGTCATGTGGGGGCAAGCGAAATGATCCACGGCCCCATACTACCTCAGCTCTGACAAATTGTATTTATATTGATAGGTTCATGGAATGACTTCCTCAAGGTGTGGATGGACATGCCAGGAAGAGTAAATTTACATCTTTCCTTTTTTTACGGGCAATGCAACGGCAAAGTCCACGTCACATGACAGGCCTGGGTTGCCACTTGTGTATGCGGGGGAGCCAGTCATTTCATCCGCCTTTCTCGACCACCGCCCCTCTTACCGAGCACCTTTCTTTATAAAGACAATGGCAGCTCCCGATGGATATTATCATTATTCCATGAAAGAAGTGCAGCCTCTGAATGCCTAAAACAGGAAAGTTCACACCCCTGCTCGAGTGCTTGATCATCCTTGTCGGTAAGCTCCGATCGTTTATACTTACCCGCCTTATCTGCTCCCCCCCCCTTCCCCTCCAGTCCACTCAAACTCGTTGTCCACTCTTTCATCGTTGCACATTAATGCAGTCTACTCCTGAATGCATATCGATACTTGCATGCAATAATCTCATCGACTAGGAGACTAACAGATGGTCAGCTTCAGATTCATGCCTTGCCTTTGGTGGCTATAAAGCGGTCGTCTAGCCACCTTATTGGAGGCACCTTGCTCAAGACCACCACTTCTATTTCCACTATCTGCCCATGCAGGGATCTGCAGGGTGCTTTTCCAGGATTCCAAGTACATACATCCCTAATTTTTCCTCCATGATCATGGAGCCCTCGAGCATAGAAAATTCACGGGCTGGATACAGCCATGGTTATTCTGCGGATGTGGATACCATTCGTGAACAGGAGTACCCCTTGTTGAATGGTATGAATATATCGCCTCATTCCCATGATCATCATACTGATCGTGTATCCTGTAGAGACAATATATCTTGATCATGCTGGCACAACGCCATATGCCAAGTCTATGATTGAGGAGTTTTCTCGGCAAATGACATCAAACTTATTCGGAAACCCCCATTCAATGTCTCTGTCATCGCAGCTTTCTACACAGCGGACGGACGATGTTCGCCTGAGAATTCTCCAATTTTTCAACGCAGACCCTGAAGAGTATGATCTCGTCTTTGTGGCTAATGCAACCGCAGCCATTAAATTACTCGCTGATTCTCTGCGGGACTCTGACCATCGCGGATTTTGGTATGGCTACCATGCTGATGCCCACACCAGTCTTGTTGGTGTACGTGAATTAGCAGAAATGGGACACCAATGTTTTCAGAGCGACGCAGAAGTAGATTCTTGGATCTCTGAACTCCCAGACATTCAGACAAAGGCGCCCAAGCTCATTGCATTCCCAGCCCAGTCGAACCTGAATGGCCGTCGCCTTCCTCTCAGATGGTGTAAGGAAGTGCGTTCGGCATCCCGGCAAAGTGGAGGGAATGTATACACACTACTTGACGCTGCGTCATTCGTGTCGACGGCGCCGCTTGACATCGGTGCAGTGGCGCCAGACTTTACAGCACTCAGCTTCTATAAGATCTTTGGATTCCCAGATTTGGGGGCGCTGATTGTCAGAAAGAGCGCTGCACGTGTATTCGAGAGGCGCAGATATTTTGGGGGAGGCACCGTCGACATGGTCATTGCAGCAGGTGCACAATGGCATGCAAAGAAGGAGTCTTCTATCCATGACCGACTTGAGGATGGCACCTTGCCTTTCCACAGCATCGTGGCTCTCGACGCCGCCCTGGACACCCACAAACGTCTATATGGCTCTATGGCAAATATTTCCACGCACACTACCTTCCTCGCCAAGCGACTGTTTGACCGCATTTCTCTCTTGACTCATTGGAATCAGAAGAACGTATGCCAGATTTACCAGACGAATTCTGTCTATGGATGTACTATGACCCAAGGGCCCATACTTGCCTTCAATATACGAAATAGCCAGGGCGAATTTATTCCCAAGACTGAGGTGGAGAAGTTGGCAACCGTCCAGAACATTCAAATTCGAACTGGGTCAGTTTGCAACCCTGGAGGTACTGCAAGCGCTCTTGGCTGGTCGGGCTCAGATTTGCGTCGCCATTACTCTACCGGTCTACGTTGTGGAGATGCCCATGATATTATCGGGGGACGACCAACGGGCATCCTGCGTGTCAGTTTTGGTGCAATGACGAATATGAAGGATATTGACTCTATTGTTGACTTTATCGAGGAGTTTTACGTGGAGAAGATTCCTCCTGTCGTTGCTTTGAATCCACCTATCGAGGAGACTGGCTTTGTTGAACGTCACTTCTACATTGAGAGTCTCTCGGTCTTTCCCATAAAAAGCTGCGGTGCCTTCAAAATTCCAGAGGGCAAGCGCTGGGAAGTCAAAAGAGAGGGATTGGCCTGGGACCGAGAATGGTGTCTGATTCACCAGGGTACTGGTGCCGCTTTGAACCAAAAGAGGTATCCACGCATGGCCCTCATTCGCCCTGCTATCGATCTTGACCGGGGTATCCTACGTATCACCTGTGGTATACTAGCCGACCAAGTGAGCCTTGAGATCTCACTTGGGTGGGAAGACACCAGCCTCATTTCCACATCACTGTGCACAAACAGCAAACGGCCATCTATGGTCTGCGGCGATCGAATCTCCCTACATGCTTATTCTTCACCAGTGGTATCCGCATTCTTCTCCGACTACCTTGGTGTGCCTTGCACTCTCGCCAGGTTCCCACCTCAAACTGCCAACCGATACTCACGACCGCGTCGAATGCCCAGCACATGGAAAAACAGATTCCGAAAGCTTATCATGCCCGGTTCATTCCCGCCTGACCTCCCACCTCCTGTCCGCGAGACGAATGTTAATCCTCTCCTGCTTTCCAATGAAATGCCAATTTTGGTCGTCTCGCGCTCATCCGTCAACCGTCTTAACGAAAAGATCAAGGCCAATACCAAGCCTGGTACGGGTGGAAGTAAGGCTGTTGCCGCAGATGTCTTCCGAGGGAACATCATCGTGGCTGAACGACTTGCCCAATTCGGAGAGGCGGAGCAGCCCTATGCCGAGGACCACTGGTCATCTATTCGGATCGGCCCAGATCAGCTCCGAGTTGATGTTTTGGATGCCTGTCAGCGATGCCAAATGGTCTGCATCGACCAGTTCACGGGCCTTCGAAGCGAGGAGCCGTTCTCTACCCTTGCGAAATCAAGAAATCTAAATGGCAAAGTTTGTTTCGGTAAATATGCAGCACTTGCACCGGAAGAGACAGAGGGCTTTGAATCACGGCCTGAACATAGGACGGTCATGGTGGGAGATATTGTTATGCCTTTATACCATGATCAATGATTGCATGGGAACAGACACTTATTTTGAGCGTTCGGGGGACCTCTTTTTCCTAGCTGACAGCACTACCATACCCAAAGAGTTGATCTTGTATAATGCTGCTGTTACTGTATTCAACTTTTTGACGTGTTCGAATAGCGTTTGTACAATATCCCGGGAACTCATTTCTAAACATATCCATGGATCGATGCAATTTCTCCAGATACAGGGAGCTCCTTTCAGTTTAGCATTGTCCCACATGTACCATACTCGAGCTTAAATTCTGAAACAAAACATCAAGGTTGAACTCCCAGTCAAGCCACTAGAAATAAAAACAAGTTCTACCACGCCTTTGCATTTTCAATTTGAGCTGCTTACCATCGGGACCAGGTCCATTGACCTCTCTCGCCTATCACGCCCTTAACTACAAGTCATGAAACAATTTGTCGTCCCTTGAGTACCAACCGGATAATCCAACGCAGGATCCGGGCGCCGGAACCAATTAGCCAAAAAGTTTGTACAATGATCCACATGCTCCATCTTGGCAAGCATATCGTCCAGTCGATCTCCACGCATATGAACATCATGTCCACGTCTCAGAAGGTACAGACAATGCACCAGATGCTCGCACAAAGAAGTCCAATAGAATCCCTGAGTATTATGTCCAACTTCATCGTAGTCTTTCATCTGGCGTATCATGGCCTCATCGTAGTAATAAATGAAAGGCTTGCCAGCATTGAATGTCTCAAACTCCTTAGAATAGTCGTGCGGACAGTCTTGGTGAAGCCAACACGCGGACAGTGGGTCGTACTTGCAGCCTAGTGATTCAGCTTCCCCTGTAGAGTTACCACAAGAGAGGATCGTTCGGGGGGTTGTTGGGAGACATTGGCGCTGGCCGTGCACATTGGCCGAGTCGAATGTGGACGATCTGACGACGGGGATCTCGCGGAGAGGCTCAAATGTGAGGATAGCGATAATGGTGAAGACTAGCAGGATCAGGACAAGAAGCAGACTACTAATGGTGATTGCGGCTAGGTTGCGCTTGAAAAACAGCGAGGTTGAGTGATTTCGTTGGCGGTTCGTCACAGTCGCATCGCTGCAGGTATCATCGTCTGGTTCTGCTTTAGGCACGGGCTGATACTTCTTTGAAAATCCCACGTCCACCGTGTCTTGGAAATTTGGCGAATGAAGGTGGTTCTCATGCACAGGAAGATAAAAATGGCCATACATTCCTCAAATCATGAGTGAAATTAGCTAAGATGATAATATTGTTCGAGTTGAAAGTATCGTCTTCATGTAGGAAATGAGCAAACAAAGAACTTGATATTCAGGGTACACGGCGAACTGGCTATCGTCGAGGGCGATCAGGCAGAAGGGTCAATTGAAGTGAGAAAGTGACAATAGCCAGTAGTAGTGAGTACTGTCGTTGATTACTAGCCCAAAACGGTGTTGAATAAAACCCAAATCTGAGCCAAGTAGTTGACTCTGAAGCGCCGTGGCAAAACCTTAACTTATTGACATCTCAATTCGGGTATCCATACCCAGGAAAGTGGTTACCCTGGTAAATACTCTGAGCAAATCAGAAGCACTCGTCTCCTCATGAAAGAGGCTCGTGATGTCGATGTAGCGAGATTGTGGAAGGAACTTATTATCGGACCAATCGTAACTTTTCCTCGGACTAAGGACGAAGAAATGCGACTTTAGCCACTACTGGCGGCCAGGCCACTCGGTGGAGATGATGGAGCAAAATATGTCAGGGTGGCCGGATCGCTGAGGGATGAGTCCCCATACTTCCACAGTCTCGCTGGATCGAAACGGCGGGTTTTCAACTCACGGGCGTCCCTCATCCCCTTTTTTCTAAGCTACGGCTAATGCTTATGCGGGTCGTTGCTTTCAGGACGTCGCTTTCTCTGGGCTTCGTGATCTAATGAAATAAAATTCAATATTGAATCAATCATACTAGGCCTGTATACCCAAAGTCTTTACAATCCTAATAACACTCCTCTACCGTACCTCACTTGGGTATACTGAGCCTTGAATTCAAACCGCAAGCAGCCGGCGTCCCTGTGTCCCCAAACAGGCCCATTATTACAATCTGTGAAATCCGTCAGTATTCTCTGGCACGTAATTTAGTCACTGCTATCCGGGTACTTCTGATTTCCTAACGGGGCCCAAGGACTCTCTTCTTTTACCACCCTGCAGCCATTGACGCACGAGATCGAGTAATAGTATGGGGCATTATTTGTCTTCGTCTGCCACATAATGGATCACTCTTTTCATCCATAATTTTAGCTTGAAGATCATTGCCTGCATCCGCCCACCCGGTATACGAGTTTTGCCAGGGGGTATGCCTGCGTGTTCGTCTATCTCTCACAGCTCGATGTCGATTCTGGTGTTGGGTCTCCGATGACAGTTGGCAAATATCTATGCTGTCTAGAGGACCCGACCCAGATAGCGTTTGTGCGAATTTATTATCAGATTCTCATTACTGGGACTGAGGACGCTGATCTGGCTACCCTAGCCCAACAAATCCAACCTCCGGACGTGTGTGGTGAACTGGAGGCGTTTAAAATCTTAATGGGTCAAGGCTGTAGCTCTGTTCCACGTTTCCTTGGCTACTGCGAAAGACAGCAATGAGAGAATGAGCTCGTTTCAGGTGGTTATGCCAAATACCTCGTATGGGAGAAAGTACCTGGTGATTCTCTTACAATGGAATATTATTGGACCTTGGATCCATTTGCACGAAAGGATATCCGTGAGACATTTCGTGCTGCCTTTGAGTGTGTATACGCAAGCCTGAAACAGGGAACTGAAAAATGCTAATAAGGTCAACAGAGAATTGCTGCGATGTGGTGTGAAACTATCGCGCTCTCGAATCTCCAAGATCATTTATGATCAGACCACAGGCAACGTGTGCGTTAAGCATCTATCCAACTTCATTAGGGATACTTGCTAATTTGAATGGGTATAGTCGTATCTCGGGATTTCGAATGGCATGGTCAATCAAGGGTCTTGTCGAATGGTTAGATACTCGTTATATCTCGTACGCGCTGGCTAAATCACCTAAAAGGCCCCGCAAGGAGGACTGGCTCTCTAATCCAGACACATGGGAGTACTGAGGTATTTGTACTACTGTATTTAGCGATTATCAGATTAAATTCAAGTTTATTTCCTCCCTTAAATTTCATTCGGCCCAGAGTTAGCAATTTGTGAGTTTCTCTTCATGCTAATTTCTTGGTCTCAAGCTGTTTTTATATGGGGACGACGTCTAAGCTTTCTGGTACTGCGTTTCTCTTCGCCATTTCCAACATCATGGGCGGTCTGCTTGAGCATCATCACACGTAGGCTCGCAAATTGTCTCGTGTTCAAGTAACATGCCCTGATTTACATGTCTGGGGATCACCACAAAATACATTCTTTCAGGAAAAAGCGACTTTGCTCTATGAACCTCAGGCCTCACCAAATAGCACGTCAACAGGATTAAAGACGCGTTACTTGCCAGCAGAAAAATAAACTCATGAACCATCCCTTCTCTGGCATGGTACTAGCTAAATAGGAGCTGCAGATCAACATAGCATAATGGGTTAGCTTGTGGAAAGGATCGCTGAAGACAGAATAGAAAATGGGAAAGGATCAACATCTCCCTTCAACAGTGCCGTGCCACATGGCATCCCACCGACAAAGCATCATCCGGGGCCGATTACTTGCCCATAAGCACGGTCCAGGGACGATCACCCGATTTCACAGGTTCTCCATATGCCAACCCTTTCTCATGTCATTCACGACTCAATATTTTCCTGAGGTTAACCAATATGACTCCAAGGATTTTAGTCCGCGTCCCGCGGACCTTCCTTCTTTACCATCAAAGTTTCACAAATTGTGGGCTCAATGTGTAGGTATTCCTAACCGAGAGCGACCCATCGGGCAGCAGTCTGGAACGAGAGACTCGAAAAGAAAAGCAATGCTGCTATGAACAGGGTCGCTAACAGAGACAGGGGTAATCAATGCACTAATATCCGAGCTTCGTGACGGACTTCGCATGAGTTCCTCGGCGAAAGCTATGGTACCACTACAGCCACCGGAGCACGGCAGCGACGTTGTCGCCATAGCGCCGAGGGTGGTTCTACCGAGCCTTGGATGGAAATTTGAATTGACGAACCTATGAGACGACCGACGGCACAAATGGGCGCCACGTTTTTTTTTTGCGATCTCAAAGAGATTGACTTAAGAAGGTCGGCGCTCAGATACCAGTGGTCGATGTGATCTTGTACGAGTCCACGAGTCTTAGGAGTCTTGGGCCCTTACCCCACCGATTCAATTTGGCGCGGACAGACCACCTCATTTCGGTGAGTGGGTACGCTGTTTCTAGGATTCTTAGGACAAGAGGGGGGGCTCGGGGAGGCTGTATACGGTTATCGGTTTCTCAACATAGAGACGCATTTCACTGGACCGCCGAGTTTGCCCCGGACCTTTAGCTCCAAGACCTTGGCAAAAAGATAGATACCGTTCAGCCCTTTAAATACAATGAATCTGCACACGTGCATTAGTGGACACGATATAATGATGGAGAGGCGTCTGATCCAGACGCTGCTGCGGTTGTGGTGGCTGTTTGGCTTGGCTTGGGATCACGCTACGCCGCAATGCTACAATAAGCCTGAGAACGCGATTGTATACGTAGTACCTATGTCGGAACCGGGCGGAAATACCACAAGGGACAAGGCGACCTTTCGTGAGTAGGGCAAGTCCCGAAGTGCATCTGCTGACACAGATGATGAGATTGAGATTCTGGGAGAAGTATAGCTAAAATTGGTCTGTGTGGTGAGTGTGTATGTCTTCGTAGTTGCTAATCCCATAAAAAGGATTATGCTCTAGTGCCATATCTTCCGGATCCGCCTCGGCCCATTTTTCTTTCTTAGCACGATGACGAAGCGTACAATCGGCCCCTACATTACCAAGGCCCGGAGCTATGACCACGCCGGTTGATCTAGGATTCCAGATCATTTCTCGAATCATTCGGAGCACTTCCGGCTTGGGATTAGCTTTTTCCAGGTTCGGGAGAAGATCCATGAGAGCTAAGAACCCAAATTCGGATGGAATAGGAAGGAACCAGTCGTGGAATCGATTTGGGATGCTGATATTGATAGAATTTTTCTCTTCAGACGGAGTTAAACAAAAGCCGTGGCTGATATAACCTTGTGATTGTATCAGGGAAGTGTGGACGGAGTATACGGAAGTATACTAAATTGACGACAGTCATGACATCCATCTGGCGAGGCAGGTAGACATTGCCGAGTCTAGATGTGGGCTGAGTGCGACCTAAGGATAAGTACGATGCAGCTGGAGTATCCTAGTCGTTGAATTGCGCGTGAATCGTTGAATGAGCTCCCGAGTGTAACTAGGGCCATGACTAGGCAATGCATCAATCATGGGCCGGCATGTCAGAAACTAGTCTCCTAGTATCGAGGAGTCTAGGGCAAGGAGCCCAATGCCACATGGGAAAGAGGAACTGGAAGTGACTTGTGTAGTCAAAGGGGAGTCGGACCCGCCAGGCGGGACGATCTGTTGGCCACCCATTTGGGCACGTTTTGCCGCGGGGGCTCCACATCGGCCAGATTGGAGGTCCATTTGATTATTCTTCGATTATTGCTCCATCGATTCGGTTCACTCGGGAAATTCCAGAATTTCTGTTTCTGTAATTGCCTGCGCCATTCTGCGCTCTCAACTGGTTCGCTCTTTGCCCACTCGCGCAGTTTCCTGGCCTGGTACCACCGGTTCAGCTCGCTATGTTGACACTCCGGCGCTTATCACGGGCGCCATATATTCATTTCCTCTCCCTTCTCTTGCGATACTTACCATCTCCGCCGTTCCCATCAACTCATGTCATGGTGCTTGCCGGTCGATCTCTGGATGGAGATCCGCCTTGAACCCGCCTTGTCCCCCTCAAATGCGCCTGCTCCCCGCCACCTGTCGCTATTAAAATAACAGTCTCGGGACCTCGTCCCCTCGAGGTCGCGGCCATGAGCCATCAGTTCCCTTATTCACCAGACTTCCAAGAGTGGGAGAGCATTTCTTCTCGCCGTGAAAGCACGGTCTCAACCTCCACCGTGTCGTCCGCCTCCACCAGCATTCTCTTCCAGAGCCCCGCAACCTCCCCCGGGACAAGCTCGCGGAAGCAGTCATGGCAGCTGTATGACGACGTAGTGCGGCTCCAGCTTAATCCTTCTATGACCATGTTGGTTTTTCTTCTCTTTTTGGACTATCGCACTAGCCGGGTTGTCATGACGTTGTCTCAATATCGCTAACGTGTCCGTGCTTATTACAGTTCTTTCGTCAAGAGTGGTCAACTTTTCAAACTACGATATACGTACGTTGACGTATGTAAAGATTCAACGGGGGCCTTGAAATGTCTTGAGCTCGGGGGAGGTCTCGGCCAGCAAGCGCCCTTTATTCACGCCTGTAAGTGATGATCGACGGAGGACTATGACCAGTGATCGGACTCGAAGAGAACCGCAAACATATTGACAACATACATTAGTTCACAATACCAAACTCCCTGTCCCACACCTTGAACATCCCAAAGACAGCGAACACTACCCTCTCCGCATCTCCTTCCTCGATCAACAGACCGTTCAAACCGCGCATGTGGTCTTCATGACGCAATTATCATATAAATTTGAAAACTGGCAAGGTATGCGACCGTATTACTTTGTTCGTCCGACTGGCCCTTGCTGATCGTGAACAGATTGTGTACAGTTTCAAGAACTTCTCTTATGCTCCAAACTGGTCTTCTTGGGCGGCATGGCCGAAGCCAAGTCCAAGGGCCGCGGAGAAGAGTGTATCAGCCAGAATCTCCGAATTCTTCGTGGGCATAGTGGCAAACGAGTCATGCTCTTTTTTGCCAATTCTCAGCGTGGTGCGCTGAAACGATACGTCTCCATTCCTCGTGAGTTTCGCCTCTCTTCATTTTCTCTTCAATCCCATTTCCTACCATTCCATACATTCTCCGTCTCGCGTTTTTTTGGTAATATCCGTTGCCGAAATACCTGCACAAGAACCTTGATAGCCCCGCAATTTCAAAACGAAAAGTTCATTTCCGAAACGTCTATCTAAAACCAGCCACAGTCAACTGCGTGGGGAGCGTGAAACCACCCAAGAAATCCGGGCGACCGGTACTCATCGAGCTCAATCCGAACTTTGAGATCTTATCGCAAATGCGAAACCTTCAGATCACATTTCTGAATGATGATGGTCAGTGCCCTTTCAAGCCACATAGAAGTGATGGAAGTGACCGAAGTCTGAGCACATCGCTTACAACGTTGTTTAGATGCCAAGAGCTTTTGCCAGCTGCTGTCGATGGACCTTACGATTGGATGAATAGATTAATTCCCAGATCTGTGGCCTTGGGTACCTTTTTTGGCTTTTCTTTTTGGCTTTTGACTTTTTCGTCTTAATTTCACCACCGATTTCCCACTTTGCATGGCGGAGTTTTTGGGAGTGTGATTACCGTGTGATACCATCTAATGCAAACACTTATCGAAACATTGATATTCTCCTATTGGCGTAAACCCCTTGACCCCCTCGAAGCCGGACTTTTGTAGAATTAGCCAAGACGCTGAGTGTTGGTGGTGGTGAGACACAGTAATGGAGTAATCGTAAGCCTAGTCATGGGTAATCATAAGATATCGCAGGGCCTATTTTCTATCACAACGGTGGTCTCCTGTCAAGTTCATGCTCGGATCAACGTGGTCGAAAGAGGCGTGGTGCAAAGCATATTTAAGTGGAGTGGGGCGTAAGCCGAGCGATTCAAGCACTCGGATGCCCGCACGTGTGGAAAGCGATCGTTGGGTTTGGCTCGTGCTTGTGGGGGGGCGTTTAACTAAGTTGGGGGTTAGTCTTATTTTGAGTGACGATGTGGGAACTCCGGAGAGACTCCTCCTCCGCCTTCACACTTTTTACTGTCTGGATTGCTATGGTCCAGTCCTTTGCTTTGAGTGACAACCTTTTGGTCCCCACTCATTGTACCTCAAACAGTACTCAATCTTGCCCACTCCACTCAGTTCGTTCAATCCCATTAAACCGAGCCAGCGCTATGCGCGCTGGAGCTTCCCAGAGTGGGCTGCAGTAGCGCGAACAGGGATCATCTTGGGTCACTAGCGAGGCTCAACGTGCTACAGTTATTGGCCCCACGCCGCGCACCTCGCGTGGGTGGTCATGGCCAGTTCTGGTCTTTTGCGCCTTTTTCACTCATGGAAAGTGAAGGTGCTCCGAATGAGGGGAACGGTCCCGAGACCCGAACGATGGATCAGACTATATCTCACCTTCGATCTCCTGAGCCTCGCCCTTAAATCCTTCCGGGCACCGGCATGAAACATCGTTCAACGGTCCAGGGATTCCGCTGAAGCGACCATGGGGAAGTTCCACGCCCGTCTCTACAAGACCGACCGTGCGCGGGACTTCGATCACGAACAGGTGGGCTACTATCACGCTTCAATGCCTCCCTCGTGGGGTCTGTCTTTTTTTTGAGTGAGGGGGCCTTGGAAATCGCTAACGTGAGGAATTATGGAATAATAGGATCGATATGTCCGCATGCGCCAGATCTACGAGACTATCGACCGGCAAGGCTATCAGTGGATTGTCGTGCTGGTCGCTGGTCTCGGCTTCTTCCTCGATGGTTATACAGTGAGTTGGCGAGCAAACGGAACATCAAGCCAGTGGTGACGGATGGCTGACGAACCCCGCAATAGCTCTTTGCCAGTAACATGGCTCTGCCCATGATTTCCTACGTCTATTGGAGGGACGAAACCTCGTCGATAAAAGTAACTTGCATCAACATCGCAACTTTGGCCGGTACGCTATTCGGTATGGTGATCTTTGGATTTTTGGCAGACAAGAATGGGCGAAAGAAGATGTACGGTGTGGAGCTGGTTCTATTGATTACGTCCACGCTGGGTGTGGTCATGTCGTCGACTGGTGAGAATGGCAGTATGAATATCTACGCCTGGCTGATCTGGTGGAGAATCTGTGTCGGAATTGGCGTCGGTGCAGACTACCCATTGTCTGCCGTGATCACCTCCGAGTATGTATAAACTGCCGTTTCGCATGATCTCCTGACGGAACAAAAACTAACAACGACTGTAGATTCGCTCCGACTAAACATCGAGCCCGTATGATGGCTAGCGTCTTCTTCATGCAGCCGCTGGGACAGATTGCCGGAAACTTGGTGTCACTAATTGTCATTGCGATTGCTCGTAGTAAGGGGTCTGATGACCTTACACGTACTGTTGACATTATGTGGCGCTGGGTCCTTGGTATCGGCGTCGTGCCAGGTGCTATTGCGACTCTCTTCCGATTTGCCATTCCTGAGAGTCCGCGTTATCTCGTTGAGATTGAAGATGACCCTGTCACCGCTCAGTTTGACGCGACCACGCTATTCAACGACCAGCCCTCGAGCCCTGCTTTTGACCAAGCCAGCTTTGCGACTGGAACTGGCAGTGCTATCCAATTACCACCCATGTCATCCCTTGCCAGTGACTCCATTGACGAGGACGAGGAGTGGAGTCGTCTGCCGCCCGCGACACTCAACTCTCACTGGCGCCTTGCACGGACAGATATCATCCGATACTTCTGGACCGAAGGTAACTGGCGCAGCTTGGCTGGTACCTCTCTTGCCTGGCTACTTCTGGACTTTGGGTATTACGGAATTGGTCTCTCCAGCCCGCAGTTTTTGGCTAAAACATGGGGCGCCCTACACCTTCAAGGCGCATCACCTATTTGGGAGACCGATAGCCGACCCGGTGCCACTGTCTACAACCAACTCTTTGACACCTCTGTCCGTGGTCTCGTCATTTTGAATATTGGCAGCTTTGTCGGAGGTCTCCTTTTCATTCTCTTTTCGCACCGCATTGACCGTGTCGCCCTTCAAAAATACATGTTCCTGGCTCTGGCAGCTCTGTTTATTGCTCTGGGCAGCATGTTCATCAACCAATATACCGGTCCACCTGCCGTTGTCACTTTGTACATCCTCGGCCAAATCGTTTTCAACTTCGGTATGTTCCCGGAATAAGATTTAACACCGAAATCGTTTGCTAATAATCTTCTAGGCCCCAACGCAACTACTTACATGATCCCTGCCGAAATCTTTCCTACCCGTTACCGCGGCACTTGCCACGGAATCAGCGCTGGCTCCGGCAAACTCGGCTCTATTCTCGTGCAAATATTCTCAACTTACTACCGCTTCGGCGGCGGAGATGCCACTTCAACGCGCCGTCACGGTATCATCCTTTTCGTTTTCAGTGCCTGCATGATCATCGGCGCAGCAGTCACCCACCTCTGGATTCCGCCCTTGCAACAAAAGAAGGGCTCGAACCTGATCTGGGGCGGCAAACCCTACACCCTCGAAACATTAGCTCTCGGCCGCATGGGCCGCAAGAGTCGCGAAAATAATTTGCGAAAGAGGGCGTCCCGACAACGTGCGATGTCATTCAGTGGCTAAACCTTTGGCCTCTTTCCTTCATTCTTATTATACCTTTTTTTTCTTTATTTATATTTACCTCCCTCTGATTTATAGACGGTGTTTCTCCGGATTCAGGGCTTGACATCTTTCTTGGTTTGGAATGGTGTGAAATTGGTGCTGACTATGTTTCCATTTGAGTGGGCTGGACTGGACTGGGCTACGCGAAGACTCGGATATATCATCTTTGGCTGGAAATGCTTGAATAGATACCCCTTTTTTACCTTAACTGAACTAGTTTCGCGATATCAAGATAGAGTAATTGAGTGCAATCTGCACCCAGATCATGTCTTGTAAGCAATCCCTGGTCCAGCGGGGCCTTGATAACTCACTTCAAACCCATCCATCGGTATTGATCTCCATGTAACATTTCAGATAATGGTCATAGTTCCCAAAGTAATAACTTCCAATCTTTTTTTCGACGCCCAATTTCGTACTTACTGATTTTACGCAAAATCCCCGGATTTGCCGGAGTTCAGCGAGGCTGACGCAAAGCATCCACAAGGCTCTACTTCACCGACACCTTCAGAACTTCAAATCACAAAATCTCCATTCAAAGAATCTTTTCACGATGATGCATCACATGGTAACTCAAGTTCGATACATGACTCGAACGGATTAGGTGAGCGCATTGCCGAGCTAGAACGATTGTCTGCACCCACTAGATCCACGGGATCGAATCAACCACATACCACGATTCCTCCTCTGATACCTCGACTCAAAAGTAGTGGCGGAGTAACAAGGTTATTCGGCGCTAAACATTGGGTCCCAAAATTCCACCAGGTAGGACGTCTTAACAGAAAGGATCGCACTGAGCTAATCATCATTCTTGGCATCGCTTGCTGCGTCAGCTACGCAGCACAGCCAGTGATGCGGATGGTAATCAAAATGACATTAGCAGGCTTCTCGGAGAAGTTCGAGCTTTGAGAGGGACCATCAAGAGTTGACAAGGGCCACAGTTGGCAGATCCAGTCCCAGATCTACTCGATGATCTACCTTCAAGGGGGGTTTGCGACGAGCTTCTTCATAACTACTTCAGGACCCTAGGCTTGCCCACCAGACGCAGCAAATCCCAAGCTATGCGCAGCTCGCACACCCCCTCATTCACGCACTTGAACGTATAAAGAACCAAATCTATTAATGCTTGGTCGCAGGAATCCCGAGTATGAAGCGGTACTGTCTACTTGTTGGTGTCCTTGCACAGATCCAAGCTGTACCTCGCGGCGAACAAGCAGAATGGGCTCATATCTGCGAAGCCTTCATACAAAGCATGAAAACCTGTCGTAGTCTACTACAACACTGGTTGGCTAATTTCATTACCGGCAGAGTTGCTCCCCAAATGCTTGTATCCATTGGCCGGAGCACATTTCTTTTTCACGGAGTGTGGTGTTTGATCGCGAGTGTATTCTCGTTTTCACTTGTTTCGGAGGCCTCTAACGGAACTTTTGAACAGGTTGCTGCTGTTTTGAGCGATAGCTTGCAAGCCGATGAGGATAGTCTTCGTTGTCAGGTCCAGCGAGAGGTCTGGGCTGAGACCAATGTGCAGCCGCAAGCTCCTTAGAGTCCGCACATCGGCTCTATCGTGATCTAGCGATGACTTTCGTTCTTCCAATGTACTTTCCTAAACTTTAGGTCGTAAAATATTGTCTCTCTCTACACTCGCTAGTATTTGCTATGCTACGTGGTCGGATCATTACGAAATTACCTGCAACGAAAATTTAGCAAGGTGTAGTCTTATAAGGCAACTACTAATTGCCCACCTCAAAACTCCGAATAGAGTGCAAAGGAAATAATGAGAATGCGCCTGACATCTTTCGCAGAAATCTAGAAACCCAAAAACCATCCAATCGCGAGCCTCGTTCTGTTTCGTTTCTATTCTTGGTTAGTTCCAGTCTCCACTTGTCCCTGACTGGACCCTGAACCGAAGTCGCGGGCCGGGTCAACTCCGCGCCAAAGAAAAGAAAAGGAGGGAAAAAGGGCCTTCGGCCACCCCGGGAAATCTTACCGTTCTTCTTCCCCATAATCGATCCCCCAATCGATCTCCGAATCTCAGAATGGCCTTGAAGACTTGCATTACAGTCCTGGCGACTCTGGGCTTAGCGACCGCGCAAACCAGCGTTGTCTCGCTATTCATTCCCGACACCGACCCACAACCGCTGGCCGCGTCGATCGTGGCAGAGGTTCGTACTCACGGGTGGAGATCTTCGAACTCAATTGAGCTGATCACTTAACCTAGGGCGCTGGCACTACAACCTATAGCATTAACTGCCCTCCCGGTACTGATAGCTCGGATTGTGGAATGGGACCAGGCATGTGGTATACCTCAGCTCCCAAGACCATAGAATGGGCAATGAGTGAGCCTGAGGAAGGATTGTACGTCTTCTCCCCCTTCCTCGATTTCACGTAGGATATGACTTGAACTTACAATGACTGACAGCTGGGGCCGCGTGGTCTGCTCTATGGGCGGTACGACAACTGCCACTTGCACCGATATGATGAGCGGAACTGGCGCCAACTTCCCTGGAACATCGGCATCTACTCTAGCCCAGACCGATATAACATTCCTCCCAGTCACCGTCACTGCTGGTCCTACTAGCACAAATTCTGCATCTACCGCTACTGGTACGGCCAGCTCAGCCCTCACATCTAGCAAGGCGAATGCTTCCGGAAGCAATGCCTCATCCACCTCTGCTGCATCGTCCACGGCTGTTGCTTCTCATGCTAGCACTGGCGGCTTGTCTCGAGTCACCGGTAGCCCTCACCGTGTCTTGGGGGGTGCTGCTGCTGCTTTGATCGCGGCTGCTTGGTGAGAACCGATATTTTGAGCAATGACTGGGCATCTTTTCTGCAGGAATCGTGAAGCTCGAATTTTGTTCTTTGTGTATCGGAGTCGAACCTTCTCTGGCGTCTGTTCCTCGAATTCATTATTGTGGGGCTGTAAATGTGAGGTCGGTTCGATTGTGCCAAATTAACGCCAATGCCCACGCTATGTACATGTATTATTACAATATGCAATTCATCTGCTTCTTCATAGATATTCGCATCAAAATCGCCGAACATGAATTTCACTTCCCTTCACTGAAATTCAAAACCTGTCTCCGTATACTCGGGGATCTTGAGTGGATGTCCACCAGAGTTAAACACATACTCATCTAAGCTCAAAACGTCTGGTGGACTGAAAATGAGGTAGAAGTACTTGAGGGTCTGGGACATCCAAAAGCTCTCCATTGAGTCCTCAAGGATTGGCTCGCCATCTGTTGTGACATCCACAATAGCTGCATTGGCATCGGAAGTCTTGGTCGCATTCTGAATTTTCTGGAACAGCTCCCATGCAATATCAAGCAAGTCTTCTCGACCGGTGAGTCGGTAAAGAATGAATATGCTCTCAATGGTCTCCGGTCGTAAACTGTAGCGAGTGTCGGGGATAACAATAATGCCCTTGGGGATGTGGTTTTCCCCGATATACTTGTCAACATCCAAGTTGGGATTTGGGTCCGGTTGGTTGGTAGTCCATTTGTAGACCTCTTGCTTCCAATGCCACTCGTTCCACGGGCAGGTCTTTTGCGACGCACATGGAATGGTTTCGTATATCTCAGTCATAATACCTAAAGGCATAGCATTGTGGGCCCATATACAGCCGTCCACTAACTTGTGAGCGATTCGTCGATGAATCGGGACATTGAAGAGAGCGCCACCCATCGCAAACATCCCCCCTGCAGAGCACGCGCGACTATGAACTTGAGGATCCAAGTGCGTGCGCGGCTTGCCGTTCTCAGTCATTATGACACGCACCGAGCCAGAGACTAGAATGTCTTTCCCTTCGGCATTCATCGGTCGAAACAGACTGTGCCCTGCAGCCGTGCGCGTGAATTTCTCGTACATCTTGCGATACATGGGCTCTTGGCCGCGCAGCAATGCGTATGCTTTTGGCAAAGCCTTGTACAGGGAGTCAACTTCAGCTCCCATGGAATAGACGTCCCCGTCGGAAACTCCCGCTCGAGCGTTGATAACAACGGGCCACATGCCAGTCAATTTGGTAGAGTCCTGCAGTCGATCAAGTGTCGCCATGACATTTTGCGCGGTATCAAAATACTTTTGGTCCCCTGTGATTTGAGACAAACGCGTGAATTCAATGACAAATGATGCGAGTTCCGAAGCAGACACTACTTCTTCGGCGATTTGCTCCTCCTGACGAGCGGCTCTGTGGAGATCCCAATGTATGATAGGCATGCGGTTGGGGGTATCAAAGGCAGCATACAGCATATCGCCGACTTCAATCGCTTTTTGCAGCAACCTACTGTCAGAACTCAGATCATATGCAGCCAGGAGACCGCCAAGGATGTGGGTATTGACCTCGGAGGTATTGATCTCCGGTGAAGAAGTATCCGCAAAGCTCATCTGATAAACAGCTGTCACTGCATTTTCAAACTCATCATGCATGCCCATGATCCACAGTGTATCAAGATTGTCGAATATTGTTGCCCCCCAGCCGCCAAGACCATTCCGTGGCGTGCGACTAATGGGTGCGAGCTCGTCTGCCTGCCATGCTTTGGACTTGTACGACTTCCAACACCGCCTGAATGCCTCCTTCACAGCCGACTGTCGGCCAGTCTGATACCATAGGGTGATTCTAGACGTGGTTGAGGAGGCTGACTGGATATGAGGCAGTTTCTGTTGATGATCTTCCGGTATTGAGTAGACTGAGGCAGCAGGGAATCGTATAGGCAACGTTGACCATATCGAGTCTGGCTTGGGTTCGGTCTGCGGGTGATCGTCTAACGGTTCGGGATTGGTGGGGGGTACGATCGCCGGCGGGCTCTTCTCGGTGTCGACCTTTTTCCATGATCGGCTGCGATTGTACAGGAGAAATACCACCAGGATAGCCAAGAAGCATCCCAGGTATTGGCGTCTAATCTGACTCATGTTGGAGGAGGATTGGCTTCAGCTTTTACGCCGTACCTGGCGGCTCCAGTATCTTCATATGTGAAGATACGATCGGCGTAGAGAATGCAAATGCGCTTGTATGTTCGAGAGGGACGGGAAAAGCAAGAAAGACAGGAGAAGCAGGTCCCTTCGCGACCAGGAGACGAGCGGAGGTCTAGGCAATCAAGCCCCGTGTTGGACCTCCTCATGAGCCCTGCCGAGAGAACGACCAAAAATAAATTTCAATCGATAGTTTGATCATGGAGAGGAGCTTGTCTCCAATTGAGTACAAGTGGCTCCGCAAGCGCGTCGCTCCGGCCAACGGACGAATACGATGCGGGCTTACGACGCTTCCGCTGGTCTTGGAATCGCACGGAGTAGCTTGAGTGGTCTGGGCATCCGCACCGGAGTTTCATGCATGTACCGTTATAATCTAGACTCGTCTCTGGCCGGGGGTTCAGGGACTGGCTTGGCTTCCTGCTGTGCACATTTCAGTATTGATACTCGAATGGAGCTCATGCCATGGAGAGAGCCTTTGAAGAATGTATCTTGAGGAAGAGATGATAAATAAGGGAATAATGCACTCAATTGAGTCGAACTTGCTGTGTGTGAAGACACGACAGCATCTCCACTTCAGCCGCGTATCACATATCCGGTCAGGGGAGAAAACAATGCAGGTACGGCGGCAAGCTACTCTCGGCGCAAATAGTTGTCACACTACTCTGCGGCTATTGGCTGGTCAGGAAGTAGTTCATAGTTACTTTTTAACATGCAGCCTTGACAGGCTAACCGGCCAATTCATGGGACCACACTTGTCAGGAACGCTCCTTTTCTCCATATTGGAAATGTGGAGCCCTTGCAGAAACCCCCAATTGGGGGGAAATACAAAAAGAAATTGTTTTGCATCATCCGTGAATCGAACACGGGCCTCGTCGATGGCAACGACGAATTCTACCACTAGACCAATGATGCTAGTTGATGTAAGGAGCCTTAAAACTTGAACTTATATTCCATTAATTTCCATGACATCCTCCTCATCTCTCAGCGACCTATTCAACTGGTTAGAATATGCACATCTTTGTTCTTCTGACTTGGTTAGTAGGTTGACTAATTATTAAGTACTGTAATTAGAGATGATATTTGAGAATATGAAGTAAGAGACTGGTATTGTTTGCAAGGGCAATTTGATTCTATATTTTCTGGGAATCACCAATGCTTAGGAGTCAGTTATATATTTTGTTTTGAGGTAAAACACAATGCGACATGGAGAGGGTCGAGAGGGCCTAGGAACCGGTGCCAAGGCCAACACGTACCTAGGCACCTAACAGACCTAGCTTTTGGAAAATACAAAGATACCCTTCCCTGTAATAAATACAACTCGAATGGATACCCAACTCTACGACTGGAGGGATTGGAACCCTGCCCGCCTTGCGCTAAGCTACTGTTGCTCGTTCTAGCCCCACAGTCCGCCGAGACCGGCGAAGAGATGAAGACCTAGGAGAAAATCGATCATGCTCAGGACAGACAACCTTTACTTCTCAATTTTGTATCAATCTAATTTGAACTATAAACGAACGCCACCTTGAAATATAGTCCGTTATAAACCACTCGCTACCCTACGAGAGATTGGGCGGCACTCCAAGCCCAACCTACTTGTGTAGCTATCTTCGTACGACAAGGATGCTGCATGCTACTAGACTGACTAGTGACCGTCACATGCACCAAAAACCGACGAAAGCCAAATGAACAACCAGCGCCTGATGGAAGTCTGGCAATTCGATGTGACCTATACTGTAGTTCATTTTCAAGGACTCATATGTGGGAAAAAGCGGCCGAATCTGTCAGAGAACCCTAGATCACGGCGGGGGTCCGTAGACACCAGGCCGAAATAGACTAACTTAGTTAGCTAGTGCAGATTACTCTGCTCGTCACTCAGCTGAGCGTTCCTGGTGGGGATCCCCCCACCATTTTGGAAGTTGCTTAAGCTGTGGCCAGTCAGCAGTGGTGCGGGGTTCACATTGGCAGTAGCATTTAAATCCAGTCGGTCTTGCTCCGATCGGTGTTCCATGTCCCGGAATTCTATTTTACTCTCAACCTGACAATCCCATTCAATATGGCAGCTGTCGATGTCGAATCTCGTACGGTAGACCAGCTCAGTCTTCCATCACGCGAGCGCGTGGAGCCTGGCTCTCACAATATCCCACTGGGCCAATTCCCAGAAACAAACACGGCCGCCCCAGAGAATCCCGACCAGATTGTAAACGCGGTTGTCGAGAAATTGAATAACGCCCTTGAGAAGAAGGATGCCAATGCTGTCTCTCAAACATTCTTGGAGAACAGCTATTGGCGCGACCACCTCTGTCTGTCCTGGGATTTCCGAACCATCAAGGGGCGTGAAGCAGTCGCTAAATTTGCGACCGAAAGCCCGAAATCCGTCAAGGTTGAAGTCGACCGTTCCTCTGCATTTAAAGCGCCGCATAACGGTCCCATAGATGCTTTTGGTGAAGTCCATGGAGTTGAATCCTTCATCAAGGTCACCACCAGCATCGGACGTGGACACGGTGTCGTGCGATTGGCCCAGCAAGGGAACGAGTGGAAGATTTTCACCATCTCCACCACTCTACTCGAGCTGACAGGCCACGAAGAGGCAACGAATGCCCGCAGACCTGTGGGAGTGAAGCACGGAGAGCAGCAAGGACGCCAGAACTGGCAGGATCGACGCAATGCCGACAGTAATTATGTGGACAAAGATCCCGCTGTACTCATTATCGGTATGTTCGATTCGATCCATAAGATTTGGGCCACCATCAATGGAACTATCAGGCTAATTTCTTATATGCAGGTGCTGGTCAAGGTGGTCTTACTGCCGCTGCTCGACTGAAAATGCTTAACGTCGACACCTTGATCATCGACCAGGAAGACCGCATCGGAGACAGCTGGCGTCGGCGGTATCACCAACTCGTTCTGCACGATCCCGTGTGGTACGACCACCTCCCCTACCTGAACTTCCCATCCAACTGGCCAATCTTCACACCCAAGGACAAGCTGGCCGAGTTCTTCGAGTCCTATGCCAAGCTACTAGAGTTGAACGTCTGGACTCGGACCGAACTCGAGTCTGCCTCCTACGACGAGGGCAAGAGGCAATGGACCGTTGTCCTTCAGCGCAAGTCTGGAGACGGCACCACTGAAACACGCACTCTACATCCGCACCATGTCATCCAAGCTACCGGCCACTCAGGCAAAAAGAACATGCCTACCTTCAAGGGCGCGGAAAACTTCAAGGGTGACCTGTTCTGCCATAGCTCCGAGTTCAAGGGCGCGAAACCTAACTCCCAGGGGAAGAAGGCGATTGTCGTCGGCTCCTGTAACTCAGGCCACGATATCGCCCAGGACTACGTGGAGAAAGGCTATGAAGTGACGATGGTGCAGCGAAGCACTACCTGCGTTGTGACGTCGGACTCGATTGTCAACATTGGACTGAAAGGTCTGTACGAGGAGGCTGGCCCGCCAACTGAGGACTCGGACGTATACCTGTGGAGTATCCCTCCCGAACTCTTCAAGGCCCAGCAGATCAAAGTCTTTGAGCTGATCGCCAAGAACGATGCAAAGACCCTCGATGGACTGGAGAAAGTTGGATTCAAGGTCGACCGGGGCCCTATGGATGCCGGTCTTCTAGTCAAATACTTCCAGCGTGGTGGTGGATACTATATCGACGTTGGTGGTAGCCAGCTGATCGCCGAGGGGAAGATCAAGGTGAAACAGGGACAGGAGATTAGCGAAGTGCTTCCTAATGGCCTTCGATTCGCTGACGGCTCGGAGTTGGAAGCGGATGAGATTGTCCTTGCGACGGGATACCAGAACATGCGCACGCAGGCGCGCCTTATGTTTGGCGACGAGATTGCCGATAGGGTCGGTGATGTATGGGGCCTTGATTCGGAGGGCGAAATGCGAACTATCTGGCGCCGTAGTGGCTACCCAGGCTTCTGGTTCATGGGTGGCAACCTGGCCCTGTGCAGATACTATTCTCGTCTGCTGGCATTACAGATTAAAGCATTGGAGGAGGGCATTGCCTCATACTAGGTTTGATCTGCGATATAAAGACTGGAGTTTACTAGCATTTCATTCTCATAATTCATTGATATTTGGCGTCACTTCAGCCGAGCCACCCTTCTTGCTGGGCCACCCATATTCCTAATGTAAGAACGTGCGTATATAGCCACATTTCCAGATTTACGTGAGCATCCCGATCGCCGCTCGTTGCCGTTGATAAAGGATCTGTCAAGTCCAAACACATCTGCAGGTGCTCCATGATAGAAGTTTTCCGGACCATGATTTCCAGCCCACCAGGGGTCATGGTTGCTATACGACTCTTTCGCCGTGCCCTGCGATCGATCAAAACTAGAACAAATTGGTCTGAATGAAACGGCTGCGAAGAATTCTCGTCCTTGCCCGCAAGGCCACGCTTTTCCCATTGCATAATCATTTGACCGGGGTCGCTCTTTTCTCTGGTTTCATCGTTGATGGTAAACCGGTAGCATGGTGTTTTTTCCGGGCCTGCAAAGCCCACGCTGGCATGCCAGCTGCGCTGAGCGTCGCGAAAATGTATAGTCGAGGCCTTGGCCTCGCCACTGGATGATTGACAGATGGCAGACACGATATCTTTACTTTGAAGATTGCTGTTCGTACTCTCCTGGTAGTCGGATTTCGCAGAGTCCTTCCGTACTGATGGTGCGCTGGAAGTGTATGGTTCATCAAGAGTCGCGTAGATATCGCCCGCCCGTAGCTTTGGTCGTTGAGGAAACTCGCGGGTCAATTTCGATTTACGCAAAGGTGGTTGCCATATCTCTAGAACGGGGACAGGGCGATGGTTGTGCGAGAGTTGTTGGATTTGTAGTAATAATTTAGCGGAGAGCCGGAGCGATGATTTTGGTGGTGGTCGGGCGATTTGAAAATTTGCTTGTATTTTGGTTCGTGCGGGCTGTGAAACCGGACTAGATTTTTGAGATTAGACCTCTATCGCGGGAGATAGAAACCGGACTATTGGTGCATACCGCTCATCGCTGGCCTCGCTCTCGTAGTTGACTGAGAGAGTGCTCAAAGTAGGTTCATGCTGCATGAAGATCATGACGACTGATCTGCCAGCTGCAGTCTGGAGAGTGTAAATTGACAGTGGATTTTATTATGTGCATGAAGATGAGACCTTTTTTTTTTTCTCACACCGACACATCGAGGCCTCGAGTCAATAAATAGTTAGTTCGATCTTGGCCTGACCCAGCCGTACTCGTGTCCATTTCGACGGCCGTAGCGCACGAACCATGTGGGGGAGTGGGAGCCAGGGTCCGCGAATACGCCGTATTGCCCAAAAAGGCAGTGTCCATTTTAGCTGCCTGGAAATCCCGATACGAGAAAGCGAGACTCCGTGAATCCATGGAATTACGATTGGTTTCCTCCGTCAAGACTACAGATCGGGCCCCCAGCGTGGCTAGACAAGCGGGAATGACCGCATTGAGTAAGCTGTGCGATAACTTAATCCTTCATTCGTCGCCGCTTATGGGGCTTTGGGGGCTAAAACAAAACACTCAGCTGTAATTTATTACTGATACTTTTAGCTCAATACGATAGCCAGATATAAGCTCCTTATAGACGACTCATAAGGCGGATTCAGCGCCCATAGGACCAGAGTCAACTGGCGGCTACGCCCCAGTGAGCCGATGGTTCAACCTGCGCCTTGTGAGCCACAAGTGCGGTCATTGGTAGTCTCATGTCGATCAACCGAGGCAGCGCTAGCTACAGCCTCATCCGTCCATGGCTTACGGGCAATCACCCTCCAGTAGAGACCAAGGGTTCTGACTAGTGCTAAAGGTGATTTCGGCTTAGGTATGATTACAGCTGCGCATATCATCTAAGGTGCAAAAGCGACCGGGGCTTTCAAACCCCTTCCATTTAGAAATCCACGTCGGCTGTAATATGCGATACCGGCTCAACATTTCTGATCCTTGTGAAGTCCCCGTGGAATCTCCGTAGAACCTCCGTGGAGTGCCCGTATTCTTATCCGTGTCCGTGAAAGGATGGGGTAAATTGACAATGAAACCAATCCAGTTCTCTAGGTCGAACTACCCGGAAAGGAGCTGAGATTAATCGATATAATAAAACAGTCCCAGTCAAAATATTGCTTATCAAGGAAAACCTAAGCTGATCTGCTGACATTAAAGCTCATGGCTCAAAAGGTAAGAACTAGCACGAATGCGCTCTACTAAGAGGCTGCGGGCTACGCCCAGCTCGAGAACTGACTACGACAGAGCAGAGGCTTATAGGCGCAGACCGAAATCGCAAATGACTATAGTGACGAATGGAGCATATGATCTCTCCATGGCAGATATTGATTGGGCGATCGAATCCGGCAGGATCGCGACAGGAAAGTGCTGAACCATCGGTGGTTGGAGTTTGAACTGGACGTATGGGATGCCTAAATGGGAGAAGAGTGCGAAACACACCTCCTCGATCGGCGAGTTCAATCCACCAGATTTACGCGTTTGCGATATGGGTCCGAGGATTAAGCCAGCAATTTGAAACCATTTTCATTAATACCTGGTTAAATCTGGGCTTGTAACATAAAACTTATTTAGAGCAGAAAAGATAACATGAGTAATGGTATCTCTTTAATCAACCTGGTTCGTAATTGTGATCCATGCTCTACTGTTGGTCAAATGGACAGAATCAACTGGGAGTCAGTAGGTATGATTATTCATTTGATATTCAGAGATGAGAGGCCGGTAGAAAACATTTAAATGACTGCTGTGTTGCATTTGGTCTGAAAATCAATGAAATGCAAAAATTGCGCCGAAAAGTCCCAAGAAACCCCAGACCGCATCTTCCAAGCAACCTTAGGCTGCTATACGCCCAGTCGTCGATAGAAGACATGGTAGATCGCTGAAAATAAATTTGGCCTATGCCAATTCATCCATCCATTCAGTTATTCCCGTTGCGACGCCATTATGCGCCGTATAGATCCAGAAAATGGTCCTTCAAAACTCTTGCCATATGATATTCTTTCATCGTGGTAGTTCGTGGTCATCGATAATTCGTAGAGGGATAGAGAGGGTAAGTGCAAGCTGTTTCACTCTTGCGGCGTGTGAGGTGTGTATTGGTGAGGGTTGTAGTGGCTCGAAACCTCGTCCGCGGTATCTACTCGAGTTGCCTCACGGTTAGCGATGAACGCGATCGGAAAATGGAGCGACCGGAGGAATAACATACATCGTGACTCGAGATCCTTAACTGCGCCTAGCGACTCTTGCTTCAAGTGGCCATAGTTGCGCATTCGCACCGTACGCATGTATTGTCCTTGCTCGTAGGAGGCACTGTATCGCGCTTCTTCTTCCAGCGGTCGGTAGTGGCGGAAGAGGGCGGCGCCGAGAGCCGTGACGGCCAGGCAGCCGACCAGCACAATAACGATGATGGCAGGTGTGGTGAGACCCATGGTACTTTGAGAGAAGATCGAACTAAACGAGTGATTTCGTCACGATATGATATGGGCAGAATACGAGTCTGGTGGCTTTTTAATGTATAGTTGTAGCCGCTAGGCGTTGGTTAGTGCATGGCGGGTTTGAGGGTCTGGGGGTTGATCCACGGTGGGTTGGAAGTAGTAGATTGAGGGTCGTAGGGGACAATCAAAGCTACACAAGCGATGAGATAGCGAATGAGTCGAACAAAGAGGAGAAGGAGGGGAACAGATGGAAGTTTAAAGATTCAGTAGAGATGCGACGAGGTACATGTACCGAGGGCAATGCACAGCATAAAGACATTCGGCTTACGCCAGTCTTGGGGGGCGATGCCTCATATTTCGAAATCTGATCTGTGCCTACCGCGGAACGGCCGGATCACCATTGGCTGGCCATGGCTCATTTCTGGGCCCTTCGAGCCGGCCATGTTGATGGACGCTGGGGTTTGGGTTTACTGTATTATCATTGGCTCTGTTGGCCTTTCGGGTGTCGTCCCTCACAGATCGCACTGCCCGATCGGTGCAGATACCGCAGGGTGACCAATTATTGCTATTGTTGGGTTATTGAAAATTAAGGACAGCATGGAGAACAGTGTCTGCCTGTCGACAAAATTTGTAGATTCAAAGCCAAGTCACGGAGTCCGACGATCTGTAAGTGCGGACGGAGTGATGATACATGCCATGAAGTTTTTCTCTGTGTCTTTCGACAGAGGACTATTCGATCAAAATGGAAATAAGTGGAACTTTGCAGCCTGAAAATAGCAGTGCTGACGCAGAGTTCAGGCGTGGTTCCAGTCTTGCCCGCGGATTAATCCAAAGCTTGATGGGGGGCCTACGCCGATTGGCTCTCGCGTTGTCATTCGGGCTGCGTGTGGGTGGGGTTGTTTCAGGTATGAACAGTCAGTGTCAATGAAGAGAATTGATTAGTATTAATCCAAATCAAGAAGTCTTGAAAGATGTAAAATGAGAGTGATAAAGCTTTCAAACGAGGTAATCAAGTATAAACTGACGCGCTTGTTTTGTGAACTCGACAGAGAGCTTAAAAGAAGGGCGAGGGGCCACGAGGAGAGGCAATCCCCATCCCATGGCTGCGGATGATCAACAGATCAGCTTGAAGTCGACATCTGAACGGCGCAGAATTTAGATAGCGGTACACTTATGTTCTCAGCCGCGGTGCAAATAGGTCTTTTCAACGGTCGGTCATTGTCTTTTCAGCATCGAGTTCGCCATACGGAGTAGACCACTAAGAGACACAATGAATTATAATCTAGAGATTCACTTTACCCTGAGTTTCTATGTATGGAAAGATTGATAGCTATTTATGAGACCAGCAATCTGTCGGATAATGAAGATAGATGCTACCAAACAATCAAATTGCAGCCGGAGCGGGGGTTGGCGCCAAGGGTCTCACGAATAGTTGATACTGGATTTGTGGATTCAGATACGTAGGCTTTCGCTCAAGATGATTATAGAGAGCCGCATATGACACGAATTAAAGCCTTTGTATAAATGATGAGAGGAAAACTGAATGCATATATGGTCGATTACGCTATGTGGCAATCGAGTCCCAGACGTTTTTGGTCTCAAAAAGAGCAGATCACAGATCCACATTAACCCGATTCCGCAACAGGTCTCAAAATAAAGATTTCAGCTCAGCAAATAGCTCTCTCGCAACTGTTCCATACTCTTGACTCATAGACTCAGTCGCATCCTTCACCCACTTGTCTGCCTTCTCCTTGAGCAATTCCCAAACATCTTTGGATTCCGATGCCCGATTTTCTAAATAAAGACCCACAAGGCTAGTAGCAAGAATCCGTTTCCAGTCAGAATTGCTCAGAATATCAGTCTCGTCGCCTGTAAGCGCGTTGTATCGATGAAGCAGCTGCGCACGAAGAGCATTTTGATCAATGTCTATTATCCGATCAACCTCGTCGCACCAGTCCCAGTAACCCTCAAATGTCTGCAGCTGGATGAGTTGCTGCAATTTCGATTCTCCGCCACTAGCTTCGGAGCCTTCGCCGTCGCTCTCAAGCATTGACATTCGATGACTCCTTCCTGCAACTGTAAGTCGTGCGATGGAAAAGGCTCTCTTCTTGTACGAATCCTTGATCTGAGGAATCGGTGGAGGAATATAATCATCAAAAAGTCCGAAGCCCATATCTTCGTCCGACTCTTCATCTTCCGAACAAGCCTCGTAAGGCGTCGTGGAAGCACATGGAACGAATGTCGATGCAGGAGCGCAGCTAGCTGATGCATCACCAGAGTCTCTGGGATCGTGAAGAAGCATCAAGACACCCTGCTCCGCCGTATCTGAGTCACATTCACCCTCAATATCCTTGTCGCTCATAGCAGATACATCGCCTTCGTGAGTTTCCGCATTTTCTGCCTTGGGTTTGGAATCGGGCTTTGTTTCTCGAATAGCCACAAAGGAGCAGTGCTTGCCAGCGATCTGGAATCGAACACCCAGCCGTTCGCACTCGTTCTGTACGAGTTCATCCATTCGACTCTCATATTTCTCCTTGATTGATACACCACCTTTAATCTTTGCATCCTGGATCCAGCCTCGAGACTCCTCAAGCTCGGTCATGGCCTTTTTGGCTGCTAGCTGGTGAAGGGTTTCTCCACTCCCAACGTCTTGAACCGGTATCTCTAGCTCTAGTGGGCCATGTCGGCTATTGGCGCGTAGCATGACCTTGCCAGGAAGAAAAGAGCTCTCATTTGAAAACAGGACAAACACCGTTGATCGAATGGAGGGAAATAAACAAGGGAGCACAGTCGGTGCATGAATGATTGTCGGAACAGACAGCTTTGGCAAAGGCTGCCCCAAATCTTCCAGAATTACCGAATCATCGTGGACTTCTTCAAAGATGGAAAATTGCTTCGTGGATGCTTCCAGGGATGGTTGTTCACCCCTAACTGATTCAATCTCCACGAAACCATCATCCAGAACAGACAGTCCCAGATCCAATCGACAGCCATTGAGTCGTGGCATCAAAGCCCCTTTAAGCATGCGGATTACCTTTTTATCTAGTTCCTCAAAGTCCAGGACTGACTGAGAAAAGCCTCGCCCTGCTCGAGCAATTCCGTTGACGAGAGAATGGGAAGTAAAGTTTCCGATTCCCAGAGTGAAGAGACGGGCAGAGCTTTGTTGTACAGCCCCGGTCACGAACGTGAAAATTTTCGACTGGTTCCAGACCTGCCCATCGGTGAGGAGCAGGACCTCGGGGACCTTATCCTTGTAGTGGTTTTCCACAGCAGCCTTGAGAGCAGCCAGAATTTCTGTCCCTCCCATATCCGCATCGACGGTCTTCGTGAATTCAAGTGCATCGGAGAGACTTGCTTTGTCACTGACCCTGCTGCGAGGCCATAATTTGCTGCAGTGACTGCCAAATGAGACAATATTGAATGGCACGCCGAGGGGAAGAGACTTCAGGAATACCTCCAGGGCAGACTTTAGGGTCACAATCTTGTCTTGCATACTGCCACTTCGGTCAAGTACAAAAATAATCTCTGAAGGGTCTGGCGGAAGGCTGAATTTTGGGACCAGAGAGACCATCAATGCTTGCTGGTTGGGCAGAGTGGGATATGTTTCCAGGAAAGCGATTGGCTTATCTTGATTATCAGCGTTCACAGTCAGAACAAAATCCTCTTTGATGACTGCATTGTTCTGCAGCTTGACCGAGGCGTAACAAGGCTCGAAAGTAGATTCTGGCATGTAGGAGGCCCGGCCTAGGTTCAACTCAATGGGGTGACTTGGCGACCGGACATTACGAATTGTGCAGCCCTTTTCCATGATAACATCAATCGTGATCGCTGTCTTGACAACAGTTCCCTTGGGGCCAGTTGATACATCATGCCGCTCACCATATCGTGGAGCGATGGCCGTGGGAACTATGTACCGTGGTCCGTTCGTTTGGGCGTCCTGTTTCAGTTCTTCCACCACTGTGATTTCAACAACGACTGTCCCACCGGCTGGGACATTGCCCACCCTGGTCTTGAAAATATCGCCAGCATTGCATGATTGGTCAAAAATTGCAGCAGTCTGTCCTTTGGCCTTCGCTCTCTGGTAGATCTCGTCGGCCTTCTTCTTTGGCTTCACTTTGCCCCGAATAACGTCGGCTCCTACACGGCAGGTAAAATTGACAACACTGGACCCGTCATAGAGTGGAAAAGTATAGAGCACCTCTGGAATAGGCTCTGAAGATGATGGATTCACGAAGGTCTGAATGAAGAGGGCCCTGGAAGTGGTCGACAGAAGTGTTGCGTGCACGTCCAACCCTACCTGGGGAAGGTATTCGTTGACTGTACGACGCTTTCCTGGGACCTGGTAGAAGCAGCCGTGTGACATCTCTATTTATTAATTCGTTTGAAAGAGAGAGAATTTGTGGTGATCTTGGTCTCGTAATGGATTTCAGTAAATGAATGGGGAATGTTCATGAGTTAAATAGTTTCATATTCCCTACAATGTAATTGTTTGCTTAGCTAGTCTTGAATAAGTTAAATTCATGATGGGCTGGCTTGACAGTATGGGTGAGGCTCTGCAACGCTCAGTCTGGCCATGGCTGCTTGAACTATTTGATTGGCTGACGGGTAAAGAGTAGCCTCAAATGGTGCTTCCCCAAACGGGTCTCCGATTTGTCGAGTGGGAACTCCTTGACCCCGGTTTCCCGGTCCGCAGCAAGACCAACAAATATCGCTCGTGCTATTAGTGCTACTACCCCTCATTGAAATTGCCTTGCACCTCATTCTGAGTCAAATTTGAAAACGGATACGAGATGACTCGAAGCATGAAGCAATGTTGGTGGCTAGTCATCACTGTCCAGTCGAGCTACACTCAGAGCGCCTCCCTAGGAGATATTCATCAACTGCCCAGACTTATCTCTCTCGTCAACTTTCTTATGGTTCATGAAAGGATCATTTTTTGATGTGGAAGGTCCCCCGCATTCCATGTAGTGCTACTCCATCTCTTAACTTGTTGATGAGATAATGAGCGCCACTGCTTTCTCATGGTGCTGTTCATTAAGACTTTGTCTTCGGGTTTCGGATCATGCAGTATAGCTTGCGGTTTTCAGGTCAGTCATTGATCGGATTTAAAGCTGGGCCTAGCTTACTTTGCAGACGTCTCCACCTTCGGCACATTGAATCTCTTTGACCAGCTCAAAGCCCATCTTTTCATAGATGGTGATATTGGGGTGGCCCTTGCTACTTTCCAAGTAGCAGAGCATACCTTCCCGATCCGCCTTCTCCATGACACTTTCCATCAATCGTTTCCCCACGCCCATTCCACGAGCCTGAGAGCTGACACCTACCATGTTGCAGAAGTAATAACCACGGGGATCTGTCCAGAGAGTATTATGTGCGTCCATTTGGACCTGCTTCCAGATCCTGTATCGAGGCACATTTAGACCGCCTCGGCCTAAGAACCGAACATTATTCAGGAGCTGTCGGAAAGAGAGGAGCCACTCCTGCGCCCAGATTGACCAAGTCTGAGATGTGCGCGCTGCCTGAGGTGAGTACCACCAGCCAACACCGACGACGCTACCTGGTGGTAGCTTGAAGTCACGGTCATCTTTGGGGTCGCTTATAGAGCAGGTTACTTTGGCAACCGAAATAGGGCAGTCACAGCTAAGGCCATACTGAAAGTGTGCAGCTAAAGAGGCCGCGTTTCGCTGAGTATTGAACTAAAGAATTTGTGGAATGTTAATTGGTTTCTATTGCCCCGCTCGATCAAATGATGTTGCTTTTTCCTCCTCGGCGTCACAGAAAAAAGAGACCGGGGATATGCCCTTAAATAACAATAGTTCATACCTTAGAAGGATCGTTGAATGCCCATCGGAAGTAAGGGTCGTCGGAAAAGGCTTTCTGGACACACTCTACGGCCGCGGGTATGTCGGCCTTAGTTAAAGGGACAACTTCGATTGACATATTCTCTGGTCTTGCCACTAGTGCCTTGCACAATCGTAATGACCGACGGCTTAGATCGCCGGTTTGGATTTTTGAGTATTGTTTCTACTGGCTCTGCGGAGAGGCTGGGACAGCGATATGGTATAGGAATGTGAGTGGAGCCGTAAAGGATAGAGAGACAAAACCGCCATCTAATTTGGATTGTTGTAATGTAGTCCACTGATTGATGGTAGGCAGATGAGGAAAAGGGGAGAGTCAGATTTAGGTATGTTGCGACGGGCCAGTAGCAGGAAGGTGGTATAGTAGTAAATCGAAACTGAAGTCATTCCAATAATCGCAAAGGGGTTAGGGATGGGGCTCATATAGCTGTCCCCATCGTGCTCCCGCTCCATTGTTATCGCTCGTCCCCTCAACTGGCGTCTCACTAACCAGTTCAGGAAGCTCCACCCGGGACATATACGGATGACCACAGGTAGATGAGTTGCACAACATCTCTCGAAGCCTGTAAAGATACCGCTCTCATTCCGATAGTAAGCGTAGACCAACCATAATCAAGGTAGTCTGCACGCCAAGGGTCCAGTAGGTTCAGAAGGACTTTATCAAAATACATGCCTGTTGACCAACGTCTCCTTCCTCTTTCTCAATCAAACGCGGGGATTGGCGTTTTCGCGGATTGGCTAAGGTGGAGAAGCTATCCGAAATCGGGCAGGTTGTTGCGGAGACACTCAGTCATTGGCTATACGAGCTCCGTAAGAGGAACTCCTTACTGGTCTTATCAGTAGACGGCTAGGGATCGTGAGCGATGCCGCTTCAGGTCGTCGCTCAAAATCTTCTACACTCATAGAATTACGATAGTAGCTCATAGATCTAGTCCAAATGGTGGGTAGAGTTTAATTTTCATTTTTGGAAGCCAGGTTGGATCCTGGCGACTCGGAGATGGAAGTAGATCCGATCAATAGCTGGTCGGAAGCTAGCGCTAGTCAGCAGACAGCGGTCTGTGGACTGGCCGCTTAAGCCCATTTACCCAGCAGTCCCATCAGAACGAGCCCGGTCACTAAAGCCAATCCGCCTGTTGACACTCTCGCCAAAGGTGCATTAAACATTTCGCCCCCTTCAATCACCCAGTCTCGAGCCCACATATCTACAACGCCTACCCACACAAGAATACCAGCAGAAAGGGCATCTAATGTTCCAAGCGCAATCAGGGTGCTCTTCTCGTTCCCGTTGAAAGAGTGCAGGACGCCCAGACCGATAGCCATCCCGATAGGAGTGATAATGGCAAACGCACCCGCCATTATGGCCTTCGAGGGAAAGATTGCCCCAGGGAGCATTGAAATGCGAGCCCCAAGCGCCAGACCCTCGAAGAATTGATGAAAGACGATGACCACCAGAAGAGTTCTATAGAAAGAGTCGCCAGCAACAACTAGCGTGAGACCAATCAGGATACTGTGAAACAGTATACCAGCTTCCATCACAACTACCGAAAACTTTGTGATTGGTCTGGTTGGATCAAGGGGTGGCCCATGGGTATGCCCAACATGCGCCAGTCTTGTCTGCTGGTGAGGTGGTACATCCTCTTTGGGAGAAGATCCTTGGGAGCTTGTAGGTTCCGAAGGTGACGTGCCTACTTTTATAGCCTTTGCAGTGGTAACTCGGTGGCCGACATATTCGAACAAGAATGCCAGAAATATACCAGCCATGACCACTGCAGAAGTAGTTGCTTCGTAATCCAGTTCGCCCAGACATTCGTTGGTGAACATAAGAGAAGCATGTGTGTATAACTAAAAATTTCTCAGACTTAAATATCTCAGTGGTTCAACGGGTTCGACTTACATGAACAAAGGCTGTCGAGATAATGATGCCTGTACCAAATTGTTTCAGGATCGTTGATACCACGGAATTGATGGTTGCAAATGGAAGCTTAGACAGTAAGATAGGCGCAAAAACACCGATCGCACTGGTGATAAAAATCACGAAGAGCGTTCCAATCCTCAGGGGTACATTGTAGTCTCTTGTCTGAATGCCACAGGACTGATGGCTACTGTCCTCGGACTCCCCTGCGCTTATACAATGCCTATATTACAAAAACCATCAAGTCAGCGATTGCGGAGAACCGCCTCGAGAGTCAAACTTACTCAACACCGGCATGGAAATGGCAATTAGTCTTCTCTGCCGACTCGGATTCTTCAGACTCCACATGGTTATGACTGTGTTCGTCTGACTCCTCATCGCCAATGTCTTGCTCTTGTACCAGAACATCATTACCATCTTGATCCACGCAATATCTTTGAGTAGATAAAGTGTTAGAAAGATGACTGTGAATTTATACTGCGGAACTTACGACTCATTTCCATGAGTATGACAGCCAGTGTACTTTGCCGGTGTTCCACTCGTGGGTGTAGCGGTTACCGACACCAGAACTTCGTGTCCATCATTATCAAAGCAGAATATTTCTGACCCATGGGTGTGACATCCAGTGATGGAGCTCGCGGCAGCATCTGTGGTAGTGGTGGCCGCAAATGCTTTGACTGCACTCAAAGATATGACACATGCCCTGAGAACGTACATTTCGATTCAGAATGCCCCCGAGACGAGTAAAGCAATAACGATGAAGAATGCCTCTGTGAAAATATTCCGGGCGAGTTGCTCTCTATGAAAGGTCTTGCTTTAGAACTTCAATGGGTACCTTGACGGTTTTCCTGGTTCAATTTCCGGTCGCCAAGAAGAAGAATTTCGTCCCGAGTACTGCCAAGCATAGAAATTCGCTCGTGAAGGAGGTTTTTCCTTGGGGATACTTGTTTCCATAACGCTCGTTCTATCAAGGTCCCCTGTCCCAAGACTCTTGGCGGGACTCCGCTGGTCTTGATTCTTGGCATTAGAGGAGCTTTTTCACCACCCCACCAGGATGAAATGCCAGGGCATAGGAAAAAAGCTCTCAAGGTACTCGCTTGCACTTCTTCAATTCGCAGCTTACGGTTCTCAGGATCATTCCACAAGGTTGAGCCAAGTAATCATTGCGGCATTTTCGGGCCATATTGTCAATCCAAAAAGCTCAGTACAGCATTCAGAGTTATGTTTTGGCAATGAAATTGTCAGATCAGTGGAAAAAGATAGAGTCGGAAGTCAAATTATAAAAGGGATATCTCTGCTCATTTTTCCAGTTAGAGATACACAGAAGTTCGCACAAATACAGCATTCATCATGGCACTCTTTGTCAAAATCATGATGATCTCGGTGGCTACTACAGCAGCTTTGCCGGCTCTAGGCTCTGGAAACTTCTCAAGGCCATTTGAGAGGACCGATGTTACCCCTTGGAACGCAGGTGGAACGGCACAGTTCCAAATTCATGCTAGTTGCAATGCAACACAGCGTCGCCAAATTGAACTAGGGTTGGCTGAAGCTGTCGACCTTGCAGCTCATGCTAGAGATCACATTTTGCGCTGGAGAAATGAGAGTGAGATTTACAGAAAATACTTTGGCAATAGCCCCTCGTTGGAAGCTATTGGAGCTTTTGAAGTGGTCGTCAGTGGTGATAAAAATGATGTTCTATTCCGCTGTGATAACCCCGATGGAAACTGTGATCTTGAAGGTAAATACTTAACGCACTTGCTAATGGTTGGCTCGGGACGCTGACTCTTGATTGTCTTCAAGGTTATGCTGGGCATTGGCGAGGCGAAAATGGTACAAAAGAGACCGTAATCTGCGACCTGAGCTACGAAACTCGCCGTTCTCTCTCAACAATGTGCGGAATGGGCTACACAGTCTCAGGATCGGAGACCAATACTTTTTGGGCCTCTGATCTACTGCACCGATTGTATCATGTTCCTGCCATCGGTCAGAACTGGATCGAGCATTTTGCAGATGGATTTGAAGAGGTTATCGATCTCGCAGTCGAGAATGCAACTCTGTCGACACATGATTCGGAAACTCTCCAATACTTCGCCTTAGAAGTTTATGCGTACGATATCTCAGTCCCAGGTATTGGCTGCCCGGGAGAGCTGCATGAGCACAAGCACGAAGAGGGTGAATCGGACGCCGCAAATTCCGGTGAAAGCCAGCCCACGGCCACAACATCGACGAACGAAGCTGCTTCTACTACAGCTGATGTACCCACTGTGAGGGAGCTCTCCCAGTGTTATCAATCGAGATCATAGACTAATTGCCACAGAACTGCCATACCCACGAAGGAGGCGCGCTCCACTGTACCTGAGAACACGAATGCTTCGAGATTAAGACTTAAAGGGCGCAGCAGGTATAGAAAGGTAAGATGACTGGAACTTGGGCTCGGTCGTGATGAATCTACACTGTAGTCCACAGTTTGTGATTTTTGATTTCCCATCCCATTCCAAGCCAAGAGCAAGACTTATCAGTTTCGATGCGGGGTCCAAAAAATTAGTCTATGTATAAGTGTGACCATGACGGATGGGCTCTATGTTGCTGCCCGGTTCGGACTTCATATCTTAAGCACCAAGGCATTAAGATTAATATTGCATGCAACGTTGCTCTTTCCCTGTTCTCTCTCCTCGCTACTTTATCAGATCCGTTCTGCTTAGTTTCTCTTGTAATTATTGAGCTGCACGAATTAGTATAAAATCGGCGAATATGAAACTTGCACCAATTGCATTAGAGATGCTCAAGCGGCCCAAAGTTACCCTGTAGGGATCGCACATGACACTTGAATTAGAATTACCTTACCGTGTCGGGCACTTGAAGCACTACTAGCTTACTACACCGCATCCCTTGAGCATACGAGATACCAGTTCTCTTTTTTTGTGTTAGGCCTCGGTGTTGCTATGACTTATTTCATGCGATCCGGTAATGCATATCGGCACTAGGTCAGGGAAGCTTATTATGGTGTTTGCGTTGAACTTCAATATCCATGCCCCCAGATCCACCCCTGTAGGTTCCAAAGGCATATTTGAGTCATCCAGGCAATCAAACTTTCCCCTGATATTCTCCCGGTGCTTTTGATCTTGTGCGTGCGTCTGCTTAAATTCAATCGATGGTATCTATAATCTGGAATATTATCTTGCCGTTGATTGTATCTATCTAGAGGAAATATGTCTCGATAACGATTGTCACGGTATAGAGGAAGCGAATTATCGTGTGTATGTACAATATCGGTATCTGGCTCTGGCAGGGACCGACGAGTGGTTCGCCTTCTCCTGCACAACGACATGGTAAGTTTAACCTGAAATCCGTCTCCGAGTCATGTTCGGCACTAATCAAAAACACAGAAAGACAGTGTGGATGGGACGCTCGGTGTATCCAAGATCTACACTCGGCTATTTGATTTTCCTTTGGGATAGTGAAATAATCAGAATCGAGCATGACACAATGAACTTTTCTATAAAAGGATTGATAATTCGTTTATTGTGGAGAAGCACTCTATACCATTGTTCAACCGAGACCAAAACGCCAAAAACATGCCACCTCTACCTCTATTTCATTCTGATCTGAGGCTAGACCAATCTATGCCGATGCACAATGACCGCCGTCAACGCGGAGATCAGCGCCTGTCATCCAGGCACTACTGTCAGCAAGCATGTACACGGTAGGCCCCTTGAAGTCCTCGGGGGCACCCAGGCGACCGAGCAGGGCGCCGCGCATCCAGGTCTCCTCGACTTCAGGCTTTTCCTTCAATAACGCGTCGGTCATGGCAGTACGAATATACTAAAAAAAATAAGTTAGCAAGATCTGTCAGTTTCCAGCTACTTTTGAACAAATTCTCACCCCGGCAGAAAGTGTGTTAACACGGATATTGTGTTGTCCCCATTCCTGTGCGACCGATCGGCACATCTGGTGTACGGCGGCCTTAGAAGAATTGTAGGCTGTACAAGTCAACCCCTAAACAGTAGCAAATGGTTAGTTCATGATCTGTTTTTTATGAATTATCATTCGCTCACCCGGTTAGCAATCTGGCCAGACATGGAAGCAATCATAACAATGCTTCCCGCCGTCTTCTGCTCCACGAAGATGCGAGCGCAGTGCTTAGCTGGAATAAATGTGCCAAGAACACTGTGGAATACGAAATTAGCGGCCCATTCGTAGATCCGTATAATACAGTAATTGCTCACTTCACATCCAGCATCTTTCGGTAACCCTCGATGGGATATTCCAGGGCCGGAACCATCTGCTGAATTCCAGCACAGGTAATGAGCCCGCGCAAGGGCTTGTTTCGGCCCAGAGCATCGGCAGCAATATTCTCTAGGAGACCCTTGGTAATCTCCTCATTGGTGATATCGCACTTGGTATAAGTGGCTTTGAGACCACGGGACGTGGCAAGCTTCTGAACAGCAACCCACTCCTCAGGACTAGGTTCTGGGAGGAGGTCAAGACAGGCTACCTCGCCGCCAGCTTCAAGGACAGCAGTAGTCAAGGTCATTCCAAGACCTCGACCGCCCCCGGTGATTACTACAGTGCGACCAGCCAGAGAGAAGAGATCGCTGGTGGGCGCGAACCCAGCCGGAGTCTCATTTGACTCTGGGACGACCGCCGGAGTAGTATGATCGAAGCTAATGGAAGGGGACATCTTGGAGATACAAGGAATCGGGCGTAAATAGTGGGGTGTTCAAGAACGAAAAGATTCAGCAAGACCCCAGCGCATTAGATGAGAAGTTGCGCTTTATAGGGAAAACACCTTGCAGTGTGACCACAGCACCGAGTTCCACCGCCACCACAGAGGACCGAATCAAGAGAATTGAGCTCGAAGAACCACAGTGGAACTTGGACTGAAGCAATCACTTTTGCTCAAGGTCCATTTTTTCAACGTACATTATTGACCAACAGCACACGTCAATTCTCGCAGGGTCAGATTTAACCAACATGGGGTGCAAAGACCTACGCTTTAAAGTAAGTGTGCTAATAAGTTTGCGGGGCATGAGACAATGAAGACCGGCGAAAACGAGGATCTGCGGGTCGCTAGCGGAGATGAAATGGATCTGACACGTTTATCGCATGATTTGAACATAAGCTAAGCCTGATCAAACGTCGACGGCAATTCGGTACATGACCGGCAGAGCGATGTGTACTACTGCAGGACAATCCAAGAAACAATTCCGATCATGTCGTGGTGCTTAATGCTTCCCAATATGGCAATTTCCTGTTTAGGCAAGGAGTTGCGCATCCAGGCTTTCAAAATTTTTGCCGAGACCCCCGAAACTATTTTGTGCCGTGGCATGGTCCAGTGGACAACCTGGTTCGGCCCACCGCTGTACTTCCTTCGATGCAGGAACGAAACCGAGCCATTTTAGTTGCCCCCGCAATTACTGAAACATGGCAAGAAACTCTGGGGCATTTTGGGGACCCCAGCCTAGATATCACGCCGTGGATTCCAAGAACCTTGAATAGCGCCACCCGATTCGCGGCGATTTTGATGATGAGGTCGTGATGAAAGGTTCTATAAAAGGGGTGAATGCCCCACATGTACAGCAGCATTTTTTTCAACTTTCCTATCATTTGAAGACCGGCTTTTGCCTCAAAGTTCGATCGGACGATATTCGTTTTCACAAAGCAAGTCATGACATTCCTTGTGGGAAAGCATTTGGCTTGGGCCATAACAGCCACTGCGGGTAGTGGTTTCTTGCTGTAAGTGATTCATCCAGTTAACAGTTGCGGATTCGGTCTTCTGATAAGTTGTCGTACGCAGATTCGGCTATGATCAAGGTGTTATGTCTGGCTTGTTGACTGGAGATGCATTCATTGCAAGATTCCCTGCGATTAACACGACCAAGACTGGGCACGGCAGCTCATCCCTCCAGGGAACAGTGTAAGAAAGTTATTCCATGATATAATACTCCAGACATGACACTGACTAGGCCTTTTTGGGTAGGGTCGCTATCTACGAAATAGTAAGTCGCAGAGACAGGGGAGTCGTGCACCAGGCGCTGATAAGTTCAGGGATGTTTCCTCGGTGCTATCATGTCTTTGTTCATTGGTGAACGGCTTGGTCGTCGCAAGTGCATCATGGCTGGCTGTGCGATTCTGAGTATCGGCGCAGCTCTTCAGTGCAGTGCCTATAGCATTGCTCATCTTATTGTTGGCCGTATCATTGCTGGAATTGGCAATGGTTTGAATACAAGTACCATCCGTTAGTCTTGATACCCGGGCCATTGACGAGCAAAGTCTGACTATCGCAATAGCTGTCTGGCACTCGGAGTTGAGCAAGGCCGCGAGTCGTGGAAAGGGGGTACGTTCTTCCTTTTAGACCCATGGAAAATCCACGCTGACGGTGACTACAGCTGGCTATCGAGCTGGCCATCAACATTTTTGGTGTCATGCTTTCATATTGGGTTGGTCAGTATCTCCTAATTTGCTTCCTTTCTGCGTAATATGCTCACCAGAAACTCCGCCCAGACTACGGATTCTCATACAACAAGAGCGAAGCCCAGTTCCGCGTCCCAATTGCCCTACAAATTGTGTTTGCCATCCTGACCTTCATCGGGGTTGTCTTCCTACCTGAATCCCCACGATGGGTACGTCATAAATCAGCTTCATTCTGATGTCAGCTAACATGAGGCTATAGCTTATCAAACACGGGAACGAAGACAAGGCTCGCCATATCATCTGGAGCCTGCAGGATAATGCCAAAGATATCGAGGAAAATGACACTGTTGTTACCGTCGAAGTCCAGGAAATTTCTCAGGCCATAAGAGAAGAGCAATCAGCCTCGAGTGAAGGATCGTTTAAGCTCATCTTCCAGAATGGGCAGCAGCGCTTCTTCTACAGAACACTTTTGGGTATGGGTGGACAAATGATGCAGCAAGTCTCCGGAATCAACCTGATCACATATGTCAGTCTTTACTACAACATGATTCGGGGGTTTTAACTGACTGGAAGTAGTATGCAACGGTGATTTTCGAAGAGTCCGTTGGAATGAGTCACAACACAGCGCTCCTGCTCGCTGGCTTTAACGGGGTCGCATATTTCTTCTCCTCCTTGATTCCTATCTGGGTCATCGACAGGTGAGTTATGCAGCGTCTAGAGGTCAAATGTAGCGACTAACAATGGGATACAGACTCGGTCGTCGTAAGCTCATGATGTTTGCCGTGACCGGTCAAGGCGCCTGCATGGCGATTCTGGCGGGAACAGTCTGGAATGGCGGACATGCGGCCGGCTTAGTGGCAACGGTCATGCTATTCTTGTTCAACTTCTTCTTCGCAGTGGGCCTTCTCGCAATCCCCTGGCTGCGTATGTATTCCCGCAACATTTCCAGGAACCGATATCTCGGCTAACCCAATCTGCTTTTCCAGTGCCCGCGGAGTACTCTCCACTTGCGATTCGAACCCGATCGGCTGCTCTCGCGACTGCTACTAATTGTATGAGGCTCCGACCTAGAAACCCCTTTTTTGTTCAATAAATGCTAACAACTATCTTTCAGGGATTTTCACTTTCCTCGTTGTCGAAATCACCCCCGTCAGCATCTCTAACATCGGCTATCGGACATATATTTACTTTGCCAGTATGTCTCTCTCCAAGCATATCCAGATGCCGTTCATTCTAACTTTGTTTGGCAGTTTTCAATTTCTGCTTCCTTCCTCTGATCTACTTCTTCTACCCGGAGGCACGCAATCTTACTCTAGAGCAGATTGACTATCTGTTCACTGGAGAAAAGGTCAAACTTTACTGGCATCTGTCCATGGGTATGGCCGGAGACGTCAACGCAAGGATTGCTCAGGGCAAGGATCTCGAGAGTGTACATGCTCAGCATGTTGAGTAGGATTACCTATTTTCGCATGACATCAATTGTCAAGCAAAGACTGTGGTGTTCAGTTTGGAGAATAGCCATAGATATTTTCAGTGATAAATAATTTCCGTGATAGGATTCGGCTGTTACAGATTATTTCTCTAAGCTCTCATTATCCTCTCAATTATCTCATGGCATGAATCAGTAATGCACACCCATTTATCCAGCCAGTTCCTGCCTTATTGCTATTACGACGTGGCTGACAGCGCCCGGGTGAACCCCACGGAATATCTCCACACGCGACAGGGAAATTTCGGCAACCCGACCAACAGCGGGGAACCGAGTGGGCCCTGAGGCATTTCCGGCAGAGCGCTTAAACTCTCCTTTTCCGGTAATAATAGCCCGCTTCACCGTCATCTGGAAATCCCCAGACCAGCACGTACCCCAGAAATTTACCCCAGTTGATAACTTTCCATTGGCAAATATGACGAATATGACGAGAAATATTCTGAATAGTCCCATGGAGGGTATTGATGACGACTTGTGCAACTCACAGCCGTTGTCACAGCACAATGCGCCAGGCGCAGAGCCTGTGGAGCGGAAGAAACGTACACGAACGGGATGTCTCAACTGCAGTCGCCGGCGACGCAAATGCGACGAGGCCAAACCGATCTGTACAGGCTGCAAGCGACGGGGTGATGATTGTCAATGGCGCATGCTTGGATCTTTTCGAGAAGCCAATATCAAGGTGCTGGGATCGGACCATCCCTCTATGAGCCAAGGCGCAAACACCAACAAAAACAAGCGACCACGCAAATTCAAGATTCTGAATGCTCTACCAAATAAACCTCGGACGAGAGGGTTTTCTAAACGACCATATGAGGCCGCTTGTGACCGATTAGAGCTAGAGCCGCACGGCTCTGCTTCTGGCGCAGCACCGAAAACTGCGGCCATTGCTGAAACTCGTTCGAATGATCCATTGCGGTCAGCGATTGAGGATTCTGGATCCTCACCAGAGGTTCATCAAGCGCCATTGACCCCATCCTCGAGGGGTGCGCAGGCCAATTTGTTGCATCACCAAAGCCCTTCATCTTGTCACCACGAGCGCAGTGACGAAGCAGCCAATAGTTCCCCATCGGACGAACTGGCTAGTCCGCACCACTCAACCCATCAATATGACATCCAACACAACTCTGTCATGGATGATACATCTTCACAGGTCTATGCCAACACAGGCCCGGAGTTTTTGGTTGATGATCTTGCGGCCTTGAGGGGTTTTACTCACCACGCGCAAATTAACGCGTCAGTGACAGACTCATATTACAACGGGCCCTCTCCTCTTTTTGACAACAGCGTCTTCTCTGATCCGGCAGGTCTTACAAATGACGTCTTTTTACCTGGATCAACTTATGAAGCGTTACACACAACCTTGAGAAACCGGCAGCTATGGACAGCCAGACCCGATGGTCCCAGTCGTGCCAGCTCTCGAGGCTCATACGCTCATGCCCGTACGCCGACGGGCTATAGTGACTCGGACTCATTAAATCGCGCGGAAAGGGAGCCTAAGACCGGAAGATTCTTCCAGTTATCTATTGAAAGGGAACACGTTCTGTGGCAGAATTACTTAACTGAGATATGCTCATGGGTAGGTTCTCAAAGACTGCAATTTAAAACGCACTTGGCTGACTCTGAAAGCTCGATATGTTTGATAACAATCATCACTTTGCCTCTACATTCCCACAGATGGCGAAGACCGCACCTCATTTGCGATATTCCTGTCTGGCATTATCTGCGCGTCAACTTGAAAGACAGCAAAATGCTAAATCTCAATCGGAAAGTTTATCACTCTACCAAGAAGCGATCCACCTCCTATTGCCGGAGCTGGAGAGCAAAACCACTCCTGTTATTGCTTCTTGTGTTATTTTGTGCGTCCTCGAGATGTTGAGCTGTATGCATTCCCCTGCCGTCCTCCCACCGACTCAATCATTAATGCCTAATAGGTAATCCCAAAGAGTGGCGACGACATCTGGAAGGATGCGCATATCTTATACAAGCAGCTGGTATTAACGGATTCTCTGGGAAGGAAGAACAAGCGCTGTTCTGGTGTTTTGCACGCATGGGTAGGTAAACATATGCTTGAAGGTGCGCTCATGCTCACGAATCATAGATGTCTGCGGAGGTCTTATCTCGGAAGAAGAAACCATCATCCCACTCCACAACTGGAGACCCCGAGACATGAGCTGTAATCAAGCATCGCAACTCTTTCTCTCGTCCTCGAGTAGCGATTTCGACACCTATGCCAACTATACCGTGTATCTCTGCGCTCAAACGCTAGGTGTTCTTTTCGGACCTTCTTCCAACACTGCACATCTTTGTACCCCCCTCCAGTCCATCCCGGAAGAGGACGTCAATTCATACATCCATCGCTGGAGGGAGCTCTTTGAACAGGTCGAAAAGTGGTATGAGAGTCGCCCAAGTCAAATGAAGTCCATCTTCACTGTCGCCCAGCCCGGGTGCTCGGGAATGGACCAGCCATTTCCAATGGTGTTATATGGCAATGGAGCAGCCAGTACGTTTCACAAAATTTGATTGTGCTTCACCCCCCTAGACTAACACCATCAAGTCTCAGGAAATCAACTGTACCACGTTTGCGCCCTATTGTTGCTTCAACGCAAGCCTAAAACACTGTCGCTATATAAGAAGCCGGTTAGTCCGCCTCCCCAATGGTGAAGATTCATCACTAAAATATAGTCAGAAATCTGTCCTTTGGCATGCTCGACAAATATGTGCTATTTCGGCGTCTAATACGCACCAGTAAGTGGTTGACAATTATGTTTGCTCTCGAGAAAAGACAGCTAAATACTTCTTCTAGTGGTTGTTGGACAAACGCGCTCCAACCCCTGTGGATTGCTGGTCGAGTCATGTCGCACTATTCTGAACATATGGCTATTGTAGAGACATTGATGAGAATCGAGCGTGAAACCGGCTGGGCTACTGCATGGCGAGTGGAGGACCTGAAAGACCTCTGGGGTGATTATGACAATGGTGACGATTGTGACATGGATGGGTAGCGACTCAGATGATTTAGTCCAATATTTCTGGGTGTGGAACATGTAAAACTTCAGGTCTTGATCCAAACCAGGCCCTTCTGCAGCTGACCGGCATATCGGGCATGTATGTACTCGAGAACCGACATCGGCCGTTGGGCATATATTAACCCAATATTTGTCACCGACCTCTGCCAAGCCTTTATTGTTGATCAGCGACCGCATGATCGACTGCCGTACTGCATTTTACCCTTCTATCAGGTCGGCACAAGCCATTTGCATTACAGTATACCAGTCACCCCCCTTTACAGTCAGTGATTTCGGATAGATATCCACAGATTGTTCTAAATATAAGCTTTGCTATCGTCTACATTATTCATTCATCCCTCTAGATCTGTTTCCCGGGGATATCGACAGCCGTGCGGATATCATTAGCCCAGTTCAGACACTTAAGTGCAGATCACCCGACTAGTGACAGATTTATCGAGCCGCTAGACAAGCCAATCAATTTCTCTGCCTTTACACCCTCTTTGCTGTCAATTGATCCCATTTGCCAACGATCAAGCAGACCTTCGCTATGATCAGAACAATGACAAAGAAAGCTCGTTGAAGGGCAGTTATTAACCTCTCAACTTATGCAAAAACACAATCCCTAAACTGGCTAGTGGGAGTCCGTAGCCTTACTTTCGGACGTTGAATCAACCAAGCTTAAGCCTCATCTGCATGTTTCAGGGGCTGATAAGCAAGCCGAGTAAGGAGATAGATACTGTTTGTGGTGATCGAGGGCACTGACTTGGGAAATCGAGAAATACACACGAAGCACTACGACAGCGCCTTCACTCGCTGCCCGTGGTATGGTACGATACAACCCCTAGAAAAGGGAGTGACCTTTCACCCCCTTTCCCGCATTTCCCGCCTCGAAGAGCCATCAACCCCAGCAATCCTAGCATTTTCGATGCGATAAGGTCTCAAATTTTGCCTCGTCATGTATCCTCGTAATAGGCCCAGCCTTTTGGCAGATTCGCGCCAAGACAGCCCGGCCAAGCCCTAGGTTCAATGATCGGCGCCGATCACTCTTCCCATAAATATTCCACATTCTGTCATCACGCGTCGCCCGCGTTCCACTTGAAGGCCCCCCTGGGATGAATATATGCGGGGCTTGGTCCTACGCTGTGAATAGTCCTGTTCAGAATTTCTCCTCTTCCCATGCAGCGATGGCCGCCAACTCCCTGATCACCTACACTTGACACACCCAGAATTCTTGACGGTCCCGACTAACAGCCATGCCTGGCCATATCCAATTCGCAGAGCCGATTCAAAAGAAAAATGAAGATCGACCATCTCGGATAGACACGAAGGATAGCTGTACGAGTGACGAAAAGGGGTCGACCCAGAGGACACTGTCTCCAGGCAGTGAAATTGTTTACTTGACAGGATGGAGGCTCATCCTTACTACCATTGGGTACCTTTTTCTTATGGCACCGAGATTTCTTGTCAAGGAGGCTGACGAGTGATTCGGAGACAGGCTTCTGATTGGCTTCTTCTTATCCAATCTGGACGTGACAATTGTGAGCTCGTCGCTCACCAACATTACCGATAGCTTGGACGGTTTCGAGAAGAGGAGCTGGATTATTACCGGATATCTAGCGACTTACACGGGTACGCATTCCTTATGCAACCTAAACTCTGACTATTCCTTGGCTCGTGTCTCATTAATCAACGCGCCACTCCATGCGCCTGCAACTTAACATACACCATAGCATCGACATCTTTATGCTAATCTCGCGATCACTCCAGGTTTCATGGCAATATGGACCAAAGCCAGCGACATCATTGGGCGGAAACAGACAACGATTGCTGCTCTTGTCATTCTGCTCGCATTCTCAATTGGGTGTGGTTGCGCCCAGACTGTGAATCAACTGTGAGATGCGATGTTACTAGCCACAACTCATTCATAATCTCACAACGCTCGCCTAGGATATTATTTCGAGCTCTCCAAGGAATCGGAGGCGCTGGTGCATATGCGCTTGCAATCCTATGCATCTACGAGATAGCTCCGAAATCAAAACTTCCGACCTACAGTGGCCTCATGTCATGTTGTCTGGCTCTGGCTTGCCTCATAGGGCCGATCATCGGAGGTGCCCTTGCGGGTGACTCGGCCTGGAGATGGGTATTTCTCATCAAGTATGTCCACAATAGAGATACCACTGTCAAGGATAATACTAATTGTGCTATAGTGCCCCCCTGTGTACTATTGCAATCGCCATCATCATGATTGCGATGCCCAAAAACTTCGGTCTCGATCAACATATGCCTTCATTCAGAACAAGAGCGTCGTACCGTTCCTTTGCCAATCTTGACCTCGTGGGATCCATACTTATAATTATCGGCTCGTTCTTGATCGTCACTGTGCTGAACGAAACCAATCTCGCCTTTTCATGGTCTTCGGGAGGTGCGATCGCGCTTCTTGTCTTGACGGGTGTTTCCTGGATCGCTTTCTTTGCCTGGGAGTGGTACATATCGGGAATTCCTGGGAAAGATCCGATCTTCCCCAAGCGTTGGTTCTTTGATCGGCCATGGATGGGTATTCTCATGTGAGTTGACTCGAACATTGCTTCCACATTATCATTGATCTGACGGTTTGCTCCAGTACCTCATTCGTGACCGGAGCTCCATTCAACGTTGTCTTGGTGTATGTCCCACAGCAAGCTCAAATCCTGCTCGACAAGTCACCTCTTGACTCGGGAATTTATCTTATTGGCTATACGGCCGTTGCAGCGGCGGCGGCAGCTCTTGTCAATATTGTCAGCTCCAAGGGTCGCATTCCCTTCGTTTATTCTCTGCTTGTCGGCTGCGTGATCCACACTGTCGGTATTGGACTCCTGTCCACCATTGCCACTTCAAAGGGATTCCGTGCCACGGACATTATCTATGGAGTCATAGCTGGAATTGGTATGGGTTTGATTCTGGGCGTTCTGATGCTAGCAACGCCATACTTAGTCGAGGACAGAGATCTGGGTATGTGCTCCAGGAAACTCCTAACCAAAAAAAATCTCTGTTACATGACTGACCGGTCTTACGCCGTCTCTTACAGCAATTGCCACTGGCACTGTGGTACAATTCCGGTTTCTGGGTGGCGCGATCGGTCTCGCCATTGCCTCGAATATCCTCAATGGCCACCTAACCCATCATCTGCAGGGTGTTCTCTCATCGCACGAACTACATTTATTCCTTGAGAACGTGAAATATATCTCAACCTTTTCGCCAGACTTACAGGAGAAAGTGAAGGGTTTCTTTGCCGTTAGTTACAACACGCAGTTGAGAGTCATGATTGGATTTGCGGCTGCGCAGCTTCCTGCCGTTCTCCTACTTATCAAACGGGGCCGGCGACAGCTTGCGGCCGACAGGATAGCGGCATGATAATAGTGATTGTTGGGCTTGTTGTTAAATTCATGTTCATTCAGCGAAGGAGTACTTTGATCAATTTGAGAATCCACTGTGGTTCCCGATCTCCAGAAATGTCTCATACTGTTTGACCAGTCCCTCCGGGCCATCATCCAGCGGTGCGGGGTAGGTAGTCTTCTCGCGTAAAGGCATAAACGATCCACCTTGGCTTTGAAATGATGAAGCCACAGGATCGGGTTCTCATTGGCTGCGTCTACACGTATCGGGAATTGTAATGGTTGTCACAGATTCCCACATCTTGTGCCCCGACACGCAATTTGGCATCCCCGTGGCGAGAGGCGATGACAGTTTCGCCCAGAAGCAACCTCATGTGGAGATACAAAAGCAATAATTCGAAGCAGAGATTGATCGGACCTTTACGTTCAGACAGACGAGATCTTGCCCGATCGATGTCCATGGTAGATTAGAGGAGCGCCGATAGGCCATCTGTTATCGAGGGCCTACTGGTTGCAAAGATAATTCTCGGTTGAAAGGCTCAAGTGACTAACCTTTAGGGCATTAGCCGTCGGTACTTAGTCCAATGAATCTCGGGCTGGAAAGACCCCTCTTTTGAACGAGTAGGTGGAATTCAACAAGCGCGACTACGAATCTACTTGCAAATAAGGTCGCTGACTGAACATTTCTGAATGATAAGGAAGAAAATAAGTTCTGGATTGCACTCGTGCCATTAATTGATATCAGAGGGCTTCTGCGGGGTAGGTCCCATGGAATCGAGATATATATGTCGGAGCCAAGTCCTCCGTACCAGGTATCTTGGTTAACCCCGGACCACCCTACACGAGTTTTCACTGGGCAGCCAACAGAATACAGTCGGAAGTCAATAATTATTACCGATCGTTAACGCTGACAGTTACAATAATGAGATTGACGAGGCAATTTCGGGCTTTGATTGCTGTACAAGGGTTCAGGGGTTCTTGCGTTGGACGAGGATTCGAAAGTGCGAGTGCGAGCATCAAGTAGTAGTCAGTTTTTGTTCCACAGAAGCAACACTAAAGAATCGTTGGACAACAAAAAGCGACTATGGGTTCAATTGATTGATTCCCTTTTCTTCATTTCAACTACGGAGCACCGATCTGCTCATGTCCGCTTGTCTGCTGCCTTATTGCCCCATATTGCTTTTTCCTCAACGCAAGCTAGCCTGTTTCGGGTTAAGTTTCCTTGGCTGTGGGTCAACCCTTTTTGCTTTTGAAAACGGCAGATAGATCAAACCCTTACCCAGACTGTGGGTGGCACTGCGTACGTATAGCGTTTATATGGCTTTAAATGTACAATAGAAGTCATAGTTGAGATGGCTCCTTTGTTTGATCGTGCTAATGCATGTCTCAGGCAAACGACAGTCATCCAAACCAACACTCCAATAATGAGGAGAAAGTGGGACTAAGACTGGGGCTTTGACCCACAACTTAATTCATAGCTTGACCTTGGTCAAGAGAAAGTTTAGACTAGCCGAGCTAATTGTCGTGCCTGGGAAAGGGAAAAAGGGGGTGAAAAAACGTCTGCCCACGAATGCAGTCGTGTCAAAGTGGGCGACCGAATCGATCCTCTGGTATGCGCCCGAGGCTTCCAGCTACCAATTATGTATCTTTCAGTCTTCCATGGCAGTCAATCCCTTCCCCTCTTTCATAAATTGGAATGTTGTGTGAAGGTGGCACCGGATGCTCGAAATCTAGGGATGAACACAACACTGGCAGAGAATACCGTGCATTTCGGAGAAGAGAGCGCGTTGTAGAGACACCCTGACAGTACAGGACGTACAGAACATAGGGCACTCCCACTCTTCTATTTGAATTTCCCGCTCAGCCAAGTAAGACAAGGTGATGATTGCCGAGAAATGAGGAGCAAAGTGGTGGCGAGTTACAAACTTTTGGCAAGCGTGACTCGCCTACGGAGAGAGTACCTTCTACCTCAAACAATAGGCTCGGATCAATTTAGCATGCAGAACTAGCGCTTGAGCTAGTTTGCCACTCCTCCCCTTTCCCGACCGTTTTCGTCATTAGGCGAGGAAATTGTCTCGGGTCTCCTGCTCCTGGACGGGGAACGCATTCCAGGTGGACTAGATCTTGTTTATGTACGGGGGTGTCCCAACCTTAGCCATTCCCATCAAGGAAATTACCAACCATCCACCCCCAGACCACCAAATTCGAACAGCACGCCCAAAATCACAGCTAAGCGCTCGACTTTGAAAGCAGTCCCTGTACTCCAGCAAAGAATCCGGGCGGTCTCTCTCTCTCAGTTCTTTTGATCCCCTTTCCGGGCTCCCTTATCCCAACCCACCCTCTCTCTCTCTTTTACCTTCTTGCAAGCCTCGCGATGAGCTTGCACGGACTCGGCGTGATTGGCGCGCAAGTGGCCGTATCGATCAAGAGCAACGATGAGAAACACACCTCGACGCCAATGATTCAGTCCCCCTCAGCCTCCGTGCAGTCAACACCGTCATGCCACGAGTCCCGGAACCCGGACTTTGATCCGCACGTTGACGCGAAGCCTTACTCTCCTTTCTACCGTCATGGATCACCCACCATCTCCTACGAGCAACTCACCTTCGAGACTAAGACCGCCAGTCGTGAGCGCAGCGGATTGAGGGATATCGAGAATGCCGATACGTACTTGGTGACACGAAATGACAGTCCGCGACGGTCGAAACTATGGGAGGGCGAGAATCCGCGTCGGTCATGTATGCAATCGTTGACTTCACGACAACGCATGGCGTTGAAGGCAGTTGTGGCAGTGGTCACGGTGGGCACGATGATTGCTATCGCTTTGGGCATTACGGCGGCGGTGGGTGGAGCAAGCTGGAGGAACAGTACGAAGCAGGCAGCTTTGGGCGGATAGGTGAGCTCTCCTGTCAATTGACGGCAAGTCATGATGGTGATGGCAGCTGCTGATTCTCTCCGCCAGAAGTCTGCTGAGTTTCCTGGACTTGCTCGTCTTGCCTGGATAGTTATCTTGGGTGGCCGTTCTTGTTCGACCGTGGTTCAGCTGGTTACCCCCCGGCTCTCGTCGCGATTTTTTTTCCTTTTCTTGTCGGTCTTTTTTTTTTTTCACTTGGTTCTACTGGCAGAAGCCAAGATTGCATGGCGTTTAGGCGAAAGGTTCTTTTCTGGCCGGAGGCGACTTTATCCCGTTCGCCCTAATCCCATTGGGAGATGGAAAGCCCGCTGCATTGTACATTCCCTGCGAAGGCTCGACCGTATTCTTATGTGGTCTTTACGATGGCAAAGACTGAATTGTCAAAACACTATTTTTGCTCCGTCAGGTGTGCTTGTCTATGTAGGAGAACGGCGTGCTTCGTAGAAATAAGTAGAATCTCGCAGTCTCGCGCTAAACGAAAGTTGTTGAGAAACTGGAAAGAAGCTCCACGGCAGGAACAACGACGGCCCGGACACGTGACTCCACCCACACCTACAAAAACGGCGAGAAAATTCTCAGCCTTCTTGTTTTCTTTCCTCATCAAAAAAGCATCAGAGCCTGCCACGACCCTCGCTCTGTCTTCGTGACAACCTTTCACGGCGATGGGTTGCCTTCGGCCCTACAGCCTTCGGGCCTACGGGGCTGATCGGCTCTGTAGAGTAACTTCCCCGATAGGAAGTTCGCCTCCCGTTGGGTCTTCTTCAGTGAGGGCGATGGGAGGGGAATGTCGAAGACGGGACACATCTCTTAAAACATCACCAAAGATGATTTGATTAGAGTCGCAGTAGGACCCTGCTGCAGACTAGATCATCGTTCTGTAGACCTAGCAGTAGCGATCAGGAACCTAATTGAGTCTTGGAGCCAGTAAAATCACGTCGGGTGTAGCGCGCATGTGTGGGCAGCCCGCCTGGACGTGGTTCGAGTTGGGGTGTTCCTCCCGTGGTCACCTGAAGCCGACCAGAGGTCAGACTTTATTTCTTTCCACCATCTCCAACCACACCAGCAAAGCTGTGTTCACAACCACACATGCCGTCTATGCACAGCCAGTGGCTTGTTGGTTTGCATCACCTGGAATTCCAAGGGGAGCATGGTGGTCATGGCATTGGTTGCCGTTTCATCGTAAAACCTGATCATCGGGGGTGGTAGCTACGGATCGTGGGTCAACCCTTGACTCGGAGCTCAACTCGAAAGGGCGGCCCCGTCATACAATGAATGCCCTGCAATTACCGTGTGGTTCAAGGACGATCAGATCAATCTTGACCAATTGACCAATTGACCAATTGACCAAGGATCAAACCCCTTTCCCTGGCAGGCCAGTTTTTCCCCCTCGTGAATACCAATCACCTGGTGATCCATCCCTCTCTACGGGCCGGGGAATGTAGCAACAACACCCACGCAGGAAATCATCCGGCATTTTGTTGATGGCTCTAGGGGGCTATCACGGCAGATGTGGATGTTGTTTTTCATTCCCAGCGGCATTCTGATGGGGATGCTGGCCTTGGCTAGGTCTTGATGTCCCGTCGCTCGCTGGAAACTCACATTCCATGGTCCAAGAACTACGGTGATCATGAATGTTAACCAAGTACTAAAGCACTAACGAGCTCCTGCAGGCATGAGTGCTTCGAAGTTGTGACGTGCTTTGGAGACTTCGACCTAACTTCGCCATTCTTTTTACGTGCTCCCTCGGCATTTCTTTCACAGTCACTCCTTTTAACAACAGACAGTTGCCCCCGTTGCCTCAGTAAACCCAACTTTAACTACATTCATCATCATGAAGGGCTTTGTTGGTGGAATTCCTATCGCCCTGCTGGCTGCGGCTGCGCAGGCCATGGAGCATGGCACTGTTAGTTTGACTCGAACGAGCCGTGAAGAAGAGAAGATGCGACGCTAGAGACTGACATCTCCAATAGCAAAACACCCAGGGCATGCAGACTCGCAGCCATTACCCACATGTCGGCGGCACTGCTTTGGGCGGGCCTTCTGGCAATGATGGTGACGGTGGCTTCACTGGGTTTGCCACCAGTGTGAACACCAAGACTGATGTGGATGAATATAGCAAGGACGACCACTCGATCAACATCAAGGACACCGATGTCTACCCTCCAGTCCGCGAGGTCTTCGGACCGGGCGAGGGTCCCTTCCCCAAGCGCAGCCAGTACCCTCACTACGGAGGTACCGCTATCGGTGGACCATCTGGCGATGACGAGGGCCAGAGCTTTGATATGCCCTTCACTGCCAATGTCAAGACCACCGTGGACGAGTACTCCAAGGACGATCACTCTATCAAGGTCAAGGACACCGACGTTTACCCACCTCCCGTCTGGAGCCCCGCGGGACCTCCTCACTCGGCCCACGGCTTCCACGGTCCCCCTTCTGGTCTCCGTCAGGCTGCCAACCCGAATGTCGAGCACTACCACGTTCCGGCTAGCGCGTGGGAGAAGCGCTGGGGGTTTGAAGAAGACCCCGAAGAGGCTTCCGAGGAGGGCCCAGAGGAGTACGGTGGCACTGCCATTGGTGGTCCCAGCGGAAACGACGGCAACTACGGTCCGCATGGATTCGCGGGCCCCATCGTCTCTGGCGGTACTGCCATCGGTGGTCCCTCTGGCAATGATGGTGGTCAGTCCTTCTCCGCTCCTATCTCCGTCGATGTCACCACCGGTGTTCACGAGCACTACGAGGATGACCACTCCATTGGCATCCAGCACGAGGATGTCTACCCACACCCCTCGTTCCCCATCGGTGGCGGCCCTGGTCCTTTCATTCCTCAGGGTGGTGCTCCCTGGCGCCGTGCCTACTCTCCTGACCGTGTTGCCGGTGGTGGCACTGCCTTGGGTGGTCCTTCCGGCGACGATGGTGGCATCAGCTTCGGTAACCCTACCTCGGTCGGTGTTGACACCAACGTGAATGAGCACTCTGAGGACAACCACGCCATCAATGTAGACAGTACCCACTTCCATCGCCCCGCTGCTGCCGCCCCTCACATGCCCTGGATGCCATACCACGAGGAGGCCCCCATTGAACACCCTGGCCCCGTTGCTGTCCCCGAGGCCGAGACTCCCAAGGTGGCTTCTGCTCCTCCTTCAGCTCCCCCAGCGGCTCCAATTCCTGAGGTGCACGAGGAGCAGTCTGCACCTCCCTCTACCCCTCGCGAGGACCAAGACGACAACGAGGACGTTCCCCAGTGCGCTGCCCAGACCCATGAGGTTGTCCACACTGTGACCGAGACCCAGTACAAGGAAGTCCACCCCACTCTGACCGTCTACGCGACCCCCGTCGTGTCCCAGGCTGTCCAGACGACCGCCGCTGTGCCCATGTCTGCCACCCCCGAGGAGTCGTACGTTGACCCCAAGGTCGATTACTCGGCACCGGTCGCACCTTCATCCTCTGTCCCCTATCAAAGCTACGACTACAGTTCCCAGCGCCCCACGAGCTCCAGCGCTGCCTACTCCCTGATCCCCGTGCACGTCCCCGTTGCCACTCCCTCGTCCAGCGGTGCTTTCTCCAAGGCTACCCCCTCTAGCAGCTATGGCCTGCCCAGCGGTGCTGATGCCCTGCACAGTGCGTCCGCCTCTGCTCAGTACTCTGCCGTCGTGTTCCAAGGCAGCGCTGCTCGCCTGTCTGGCGGGATTGCTTCGGTTGCCGCCGCCGTTGCTGGTGTCCTTGCCTTTGTGTTGTAATATTTCTGATTGTGGGACCGCTTGTCATAATGTTGGAGAATTACTTCTATTTTTTATGTTTTTCATTCCTCCTTCTTTGTCATGTGCCTTTTAGTATAGCTCCGTGAACTGCTGCATTGATTGTGCTGTTTAATGTTGAAAGCCTGTCTTAAATGAGGTGTCACGAGCACTTACTTGAAATACGAACCTGATTTTTTCCTCTCACGACTTTCTTCAATCCATATCTTGTCCGACAGTTTCTAGACTGATGAGATCGTCTGTGCTTTAGTCAAATAGTCAAATGTCGGCATCACTGTCCCTCGTACGTATTCGCTTACGGCTAGCATCTTTGTAGTATTGACCGTCTTGTTAGGGCTCGGCATAGACCATACCGTCATTGCTTATCGACTAGCCCCAGATTTACCGAATTTGAACCACCATACATCGTTAGATGTATGATCTGGCGGATTTACTATCAAAAACCACAACCTTTCATTCGTGGAAACTTTTATCCAGTCCGTGGCAAGTTGTCGTGTGATATCATCTCTCCATCATCCCGACGATTTTGCAGCGCAGTGACATCAACCAGTCAAAATCATGGATTTCAAGTGTTAAGATTGACTTGCAGCATATAAGTAGTTCTATCAAAGCTGAAAACGGTAACATGAACCAAACCGCTTACGATCTACTCGGGTGCTCTTTGCTGTGAATCATATCGCGAACGCCTTCGTATAAGCCAGCCACTCGCACATACAAACCTCTCCAGTTCCATTCTATCTATCAAACCATCACATCCAACATGGTCCGCCAAGATCAAGACCCCCACCAAGGAGGCACCCTCTCCGACTTTGCCATCAACGGCACCACAGTCCCCAACGACGCCGGTAAAATGAACACCATCCCGTCCGTCCCCCGTCCCGACCAACGCGCCGAAAACCCAGCCTTCGAGCACGCCGGCCTAGCCCAGCCCTCAACCGCCTTCGCAGCGGACAACGCCACCGACGTGCCCCGTTCGACGCGGGATGTCGGACAGACGGGTGAAGTGCTCAGTGGAACTGGGGATAGTCTGCCGGCGAGTATTGAGTCGAAGCGTACATTTATGGGGACGAATATTCCTGGTGGGACGGGGGATGTGAGGGGAGTGAAGCATCATAATCAGAATCGGAGTCAGTTTGATCGGTATGCCAAAGAGGATGAGGATGCTGCGGGGAATATTGGGGAGCATAGTTTGCGGAATGAGTGAAGTTGATGGTTGTGTCTAGACTGATGATTGCTTTTTTGAATTGATGCTTGTTATTTCGTGACCTAAGTAAAATATCGTGATATGTGTTGATCAAACATGGAGTCCAGCATCGGGTCCAACGAAGCCCTTGTAGAGCTCGTCAAGTACCTCTCGCTTCCTCTTGCGGTCGGCTATCTCTGCCTCCTCTTCCTCGTCGGGTTCGCCATCGGGCTCTTGAGAGACCCAAGCGCGAATGGTTCCATCGCCGTGAGCAGAGAACAGTTCAAGGCCTTCCCCAGACGCACCATTTCCCCGCCAGATCAAATCATTGATACGCGCAGCACTGAGGGCACTCGCCCGACCACGCGCCACCTGTGATCCACCCATGAGCCCTGGAACCCGAAGACGCTTGATAAACGTCCCCTCACGAAGCTCAAACATAAAGATTTCACCTCGGTCATCTTGCTCGTTGAAGTTCGGCCATAGAAGTGTCTCCTGCCCGGGGCCCGTCAAGCCCTTTGGTATTAGAAGGGGCGCCCGCTCTGCCAAGTGGGAGGTTGAGCTGTTGCGAACCCGAGGACCGAAGTGGACCAATGTGTTCGCACCGGTCCCTGAATCCCAAACGCGGATACGTGAATCTTGGCCCGTCGTCACTATATGGCTACCATTCGAAGTCCAGCGCACGCCAGTGACAGGGCCGTTATGAGCGCGTGCATGGCGAGAAAATGCTGGCCGGCTTTCGAAAGATGACGGTACGGGTCCAGATCCTGGCACTACCAGACCTACCGGATCGTCCATGTCCAAGGTTGCGATTGCAGAGTTGTGGCCGCCACGGCGGACATCGAAGATAATTACTCGATTGTCGACGGAGCCTGATGCCAGCAGGTGTGGCCGATGGGGAGCCCACGAAACTGATAACACGGCACCATTGTGGCCTGGCAAGCCATGTGTGGCTAACCCGGATCGAAGGTCGATTAGTCGCACTGATTGTTCGGATGTAGCGACCGCGACAAGCAGGGTAGATCCCGGCTGGGAGGAGAATGAGTGGGCATATGGGGTGCAATCGAGATTAAATGTATGCACCGGAGTAATTTCCGGCGACTGCAGCGCAGAGAGCTTCAATGTGCCATCATGAGACGTCGAAAAGATGGTGGACGGGACTGGATCGAACGGGTAGATGGAGAGGGAGGTAATGGCGTGAGTATGCGCATCTTTATGTGATGATTTCATGACAGTCGCACGGGCGCGATGGATATGATCAAGCTCCGATCCTCGACTTTCAAGGTCCCAGAGGTGAATAGATGGATCTGCGCCGCCCGATATCATGCTATACTAGTTAGAGATACATCGGCCGAGAATGATAGCTGTTAATGCACATACTACCGGCCTTCAAATTGATCAATTGCCAAGCAGTTGACGCCTGACTTATGAGCAACCACATTTTCCGCTATCGTAGGATCCTCTTGATCCAAAGGTGTCGCGTCTCCTTGACTCTGATTCTCGGATGCGGCTCTGCGGCCGGAGAATCGAATCCCCAACGCAGGTTCGAGGTTGTGCACTAGTCTTGTCGTTTGCGCGACATGGAAGGTATTTGGAGAGACAGACCCAAGGGCTCTGTTAAGAAGATAGGAATTCATTCATACATCAGCGCCACGGGATAGGTAGTTCTGAGAGACGAGCACATGATAAACACTTGACGCGGTAGCTGCGGGCGGGTGACCTCATCGGATTAAGGTTGTGCCGGCGCAATTAATTTTGGACCAGTCGAGTGCTCAAGTCACCGTTACATATTCGAGCATTCGCCGGGGCCTCACTATACGCTGCTGGCAGCAAGGGAGGATGTCCCATGGCAGATCGCTCAACTTGAGCCAAAATACATTTCTTGCGCCTCCTGAACCCAAGGTCGACGCCCCGGAAAGCGAATATTCTTACAGACAGACCAGACGCACCACTAATGTTTACGATGCCGTTGCTGGTAAGTGTTCAAATATTAGACACCTCACTATCAAAGGATCTGTCTGACCAGCTCCAGGCCGAGTCAACCGCAAAGGGCACCACCCAGCAGAGGCTTTTGCCTCTCGCTACCGCGACACTACCTCATCCGGAGCCCGCACTCTCCGACCAGAGGAGGTTCTATTTCGGACGCAGAACACCGTGACAGACCCCTTGGAAGAGGAGAACTATTTTGCCAATGAGAATCTACGACCTGGCAATACACTCCCGAGCTCCGAGATACTCGAGGCAATCCACGCTTACGCCGCTGATTTTTACGAATTCGCAACGGAGGATCACGGACTTCACGACCACCACAGCATGGACGAGACGGCCCTCATCGCAATGGGAATCTTAGTGGAGGAGATGGCCAAAGAGGCCCTTGGGGAGACGGGAGACTTGGTACTGGTGGAAGGTGAAGAGCTGGCCAACGGCGCCGACGAGACGGGTGCAGAAACCGACACCACCAACGCGTCTCAGTCCAGAGAGCATGCTCGGAGGAGGAAGAGATCGCATACCCGCGGTAATAGCATGGTTAGCTCGCAAGATAATCTCAAGGGTGTGCGGCAAAAATTCAAGCGCCGGAAATTGAAGCGCGGGGCTTCCACAACGGACGCGGATACGGAACTTGATGAACGATGAATTCAATGATGCTGGCGCTGAGTGCGTTGGTACTTGCCATCGATCATTGCACATCGATTATCAAATTATACGTGCGCTACGAGATGGTTCATCAAAAACCATTGAAAAAGTACCATTGCAACTGCGACCGGGTGTTCTGGCCTACGCATAATCGCTGTGCTGTTTCCACACAGCCACCCTGGACTTGCAGCAATCGCGCCATTGAGATTCCATACCACCCACACTACCCGCGCAGAATAGGGCCGGGGTAAGAGCGCGTCGTTTGACCCTGTTGGGCGGTATGAGGCGAGATCGCTCAGTCTCACGTCAGCTCAATGAAGCTTGTCTGACCGACAGGTTCCGGGAGGCCAGGGTCCGACTGGTGCCCTATGCATTTGCCATGTTAATGACTCGAACTGCGGCAATCAATGCAGCTTGATCGCGTTGTCGATTGATTGGCGCCCTGCGAGTTGATGTGGCCTCGATAGTTTCGACTTTCACCCTTCATCAAGCAACTTCGGGCTGTGTCATTCTGTTTCGACCTGCAGACAAAGGAATGTCTCGAGGTTTGTAGCCACTGGATTTACTTCCAAGATGAGGATATCCCGACAGCGCGAGACTTCTTAATGTAGTCTTATATGCTCACGTGCCCATTATACCCGGGCTTACCACCAAGTATTTGAATGTGCATGCTGATACCGGTCCAATTATTGTTACACTTTCTAGACCTAATTGGCCAAGCAGGCAGATGCATAAATGTGATCATATTATTCAGAGGTAGTGGTTTTGTAGCCCAGTTCTGCTCACAACAAAGCCGAGGGGGTAAAAGCAAAGTGGTCAAGTCGTGAGTCGTGACTGAATGGCAGATGACAAGGTTCGACGCCTCCCAACTTGGCGTTCCTCCAAGCCTCCACTGTTGAATGCTTGGCCTTTTCAGATCTACCTCATCGGGAAAAGTCCGTGATTGATAAAACTTCAGTGACTCGAACCACGGAAAGGGTGATCTCGTCAACAAACCGTGTGGACCACGAGTTCCCGGCGGGACGACATCATGGTACGTAACCCCCGACGGGCGAGGTCTTTCACCTGGATTGTTGGATGGGTGATTGGAGGGGTGGGGGGGCTTTCTTGGGACTAGAGACACCCGCTAGTACACCAACTCCAGACGAGACTACTGACGCGTCGTTGGCCCAATCCAGTCGCCTAAGCTTTCCAAAAGTGATAAACTGGATCTGATCCTGACTCACCTACGCGCCACCAGCACCTGTCATACGCTGAAAGATCTGGAAAAGGTGCTCCCCAGTGTGGCCTCGATCCACAGCATCCAAGTCAAAGAATACATCCAGACCCTCACCGAGGAAAACAAACTACGAGTCGAAAAGATCGGCAGCGGGAATTGGTACTGGAGCTTTGGAAGTGATGAAAGGCACGACCGCGAGCGCCAGTTGGCCCGGGTGACGGCGGAGGTGGAGAAAGCCCGGAAATCCTGCACCGATACTGAGGCGGACCTGGCCGCTGAAACGATGCAGCGTCAACGGGAAGTCGACGATGCCAGCTGCGATGCAGAGCGTGAGACCCTGCAAGGCAAGAAAGCTGACCTCCAAGAAGAAACTCGCCGACTCCGTGCTGCAGAGACCTCTGCAACTGACTCGGTGAACAACAAGGGCGTGCAGCAGCTTCGGACGGAGCTAGCGGAATTCCGGCAGCAGGCGCTTCAGTGGACCGATAACATTTACGTGTTGGAGGAGTATCTGCGCAAGTTGGCCGGTGGGGACCGGGAGGTTGTTCAATCGATTCTGCGCGAGAGCTATGGAGATGAATACGTGGACGGCGAAGGCCTGCGAGAGTTGTGAGGCTGAACGAAGGGTGTACAATAATGGACGAGCCACCCGGTTTACCAGCGACCAGCAATTGGGTAGTAGGGGGCGAGTACGAGAGGCGTTCTCAATCCATTCCTGGCCGGTCCCTCCGGGTCCCTCGGGTGTGAGCGAAAAGCTTAGCATGGAATAGTGTTCCACGATGAAACCCCGAAATTGAGCCTTGTCCAAGTTTACTGGATGTAAATCGTTGACCGAGTAAAAGAGCCACTGGAACGTGTGATAATCCCTCGAAATTGCCCGGAAAGGGAATCACTAGCCTGACTCCTGAGCCACCACGAGAAGCTTGACCGTGCGACACGCGAATGGAGGAGCATCCGGCCTGGCCTCCCGTTCTCCGCTCGGAGGGAACTCTGGACCTTCTCTCTGGCTTATCTCCAACTCCCTCTTTCTCTTCCCTCTTCTCTCCCGTTCGTCCTGACTTGACTACGCTAGTAGTTCACCGACTAGTCTGACCAGTGACTCCTACGATTCCTTACTCTGGGCCTCGACCGTCTCTCTCTGCCTGGGATTTTGTCCATTATTCACTTTCCCCCCTCCCATCCCTTCGTGATCACTCTCCCCTCTCTCACCCGCCTTCTTCTTACCACCAACTACACACCCTATCAACCCCCCCACCCACTGCCACGCTCACCACCTCTCGTCGTTCCTCCTCTCGACCTCTCAACCCGAGACCTTGCGCCACACCCCCCAAGACCCACATTCCATCTCCTGTCGCGCCTCGACCTCGACCTCGACCTCGACCTGCCCTCGTGAGATACTCGACCCTCTCGCTCTTCACGCCACGACTGGCATTCTAGCTCTCCCTCCCCGCTCCCCCAACACGATCTCGGTGATCTCGGTGATCTCGGTCCCAATCGACCTCCCACGCGCGCGTGCTTAGTGGGGGTGGACTCTCGATCCCCGGCTCTGCGCTTCGTCGCCGCGAAACAATGTGGCCCGCGGGCTCTTGGTCATAATTCCCTTTCCGTTCTTTGGATTCGGGGAATCTCTTACGTGCCGTGGAATACCGGTACATACCGTGGCGTTTGGAATCGGACCGTGCCCTGTACAGTAGACACTTGTCGTGAAGCCCAGAATTCCCCCTCGACGATAAGGACAACTCGAAAAACGAGACCGACCATTCGATTAGACTCGCTCACGGGGGGAATTTTCCGGCTCGCCCTTTTGAATCCTATATCGCCATAATCGCATACTGCGCCAGGGGTCTTCATCATTGCGTCGGTCGATCCGCGGCCCCCTCCGATCCCCCTACCTCCGATCTCCTCCCCTCTCTCTCCTCCAGTCTCCGCCATTGTATGGATGAAGTAGGATAGTGACAGCGTGTCATGTCCTCTCTCCCTCCCAGCAAGACCTCTCCGTCGCCGGTCAGTCGAAGCCGCAGCTCCTTTCTTTCAAAGTTTCGCTCCCCACTTGGCAATCGCAATCGCAGCATCACCGATTTCTATATCGATCCCGATGACCCGTGGCGCTCGTACTTTCCCGGGGATGTGATAAAAGGCACGGTTATCGTGACTGTTGTGCGGCCGGTTCGCATCACACACATCGTGGTTTGTCTGCATGGATACGTGAAGGTTTTCAAGAACGCGGTCCCCGCTGGGGAAGCGGCTCCCGATTTGGGATTCCTTGGACCAGGCCGCGGCCGGCGAGGTGCCGAATATATGGGCAATGGCCTGGCAACTCTGTTCGAAGATGAGGTCGTTCTCTGTGGCGATGGGCGTCTCAAAGAGGGAATCTACAAGTTCCGCTTTGAAATGGGGCTGCCTCCATATGCGCTACCCAGTAGCCTTAACGTACGTTCCCTTTCTTCCCCCGGTTGATCAAGCTTGACCGTTACTGACGTGTCCGTCTGCCTTATCTAGTTCGAGCGAGGTACCATTGGATATGCTCTAACATCAACTCTTACCCGACCCACGACCATGAACCCTACAATATCTTGCCGAAGGCGAGTGAATTTCCTCGAAAATATTGATATAGCACCCTTTCCCGCCCCCAAAGCCCGCGTCGTCACGCTTGAACCGGTTTCGAAGCGCTCTAAACCCAAGACAAAAGCCAAGTCCATCAACTCCGACGCGACCGCAGCCCCAGATTCCGCCTCTATAGATACCCCCATCAGCGGGGCAGCTGGGTCGGTGAATAACCGTCCGCCCCTGAGTCCCTCTCCGAGCAATGTCAGCTCTTCCAGCCGTCCTAGTGAGAGCAGTCAGAGCTTTCGGATTGTGAGCGACCCGAGCTCCTCAACAAGTACGGGAGGCCGAAATAGTGAAGGTCGCAGCGAAACTCTTTCAATATCAGATAAGACGATCACCGCAAAGGCCGAGGTTTTGCGCGCAGGCGTGCTGCCGGGCGATACTTTGCCCATCAAGGTTACGATCAACCATTGGAAGCAAGTGCGCAGCGCGCACGGCATTGTCGTTACTCTCTACCGGCAGGGCCGTATTGATATGCATCCAGCGATTCCCATTGGTACCACTGCCGCAGGAAAGAAACCTGTATATGAAGACTGCTATCCACGCTCACGGACTGGACTGGGGGGATTGACTCTTGGCACAAGTCGAACCAGCAGCACGTTCCGTAAGGATCTGTCGCAGACATTTGCGCCGCTGATTGTGGACCCAAGCAACATGACTGCAATTGTCAAAACTTCCATTCGAGTCCCCGAAGACGCGTTTCCCACTATCACTCGCGTGCCCGGCGCAATGATCAACTTTCGATATTATGTCGAGGTCGTGGTAGACCTGCGAGGCAAAATCACTTCCCCCGATCGCTTTTTCCCGAGGTTCAATATGGTTTCTGGCGGGAGCACGTTCTCGCCCAGCGGTCAAATTCTCAATCCGGCAGATGCGAATGGAAGTGGTATCACGGCCAATTGGGGTGGCAACATCCTAGATACGGACCAGATCCGCCGAGAGAAAGGCGTCGTTTCAATGGCTTTTGAAGTCGTTGTTGGAACGCGCGATACTCAGCGTGGCCAAGCTACTATTGAACCCACGCCCTCCATTGCTGCAGATTCGACGGCATCCCATACCACACCTCAAGCTCATTCTGCAGTGGTCAGTCCCACGGATGGAGAAGAGTGGCCCGAAGCGAGCCCGCTGCCAACTTCCCACACTGGATACAGTGGCCAGGAAGACTATGACTACGGTTTCCCCCAAGATGGCTATTGGTCAGAGTACCCTGAGGATTACTCGCAACCGTTCCAGCCGAATGGCCCAATGACGGCGCATCCGGAGTTGGAAGAGCCTGCAGATGAAAAAGCCAGATTACGACGCCATGAAGAAACTCTTCTGCCCAGCCAACCACCACCAGAGGAAGCAGAGGCAGGCCCCTCGAATGCGGAAGTAGCTGTGCCGACCGCGCCAGTCTTGCCTGACGACCATCACCTGCAAGACTACGAGCATCTCCCGTCACCGGTTGCCAATGGTGTGCCGCATGTCGTCCAGTCTGCTGAATCGCTCCAGACCGTTGTCGTTGCCAATGGTCATGCCGCAGGCCCCGGTGAACCCTCGGCGGCAGCAGACGACAAGCAGGAGCTCGAGCGACAACGGCTTATGCAACAGACCAGCGCGCCCGGTGCTCCTCCCGAGGAAGAAAATGGCGAACCTAGCGAGGCACCAACTGCTCCCACGGCGCCCAATTTTGATGAGGATGACCAATTGGTGGGCGGCACGGCGCATGCGGACGAGTCTCTACCTCGGTATCAGCGATGATGACGGATCATTTCATTTGGCGACAATCTCATGCTATTTTAATTCTTGTACATTCTGCATTTTGGGGCCGGGATATTTCTGAAAGATACCACTATTCGCATATTTTACACAGTCACATGGCGCTGGTTGACACACTACACGGCGTTGAGAGCCTCAATTGTACCATAAAACATTCTCTCACAGAGTCGTTGTTACCCTTTTTCAAATTTCTACCTATCAGCGTGGAAGCGTTGACATAACCAAAACTACAAACTAAACTTCTGTAACCCCGTAGGTTATCGCCCGTCTCCGTGGCTAGCCTTATCTCGGCCCGGTCATACTTTCTGGGGCGCCTTGGCACCCGCTTAGCGATTACCTTCACGTCTTCTCCTCACGAGTTCCCCCTTTCCTCTCTTCTCCCTCATTTCGTTCACTCCGAGAACAAGACCCTCTTCTCATCCTTCACGATGGCTTTCAAGAGCGGGTCGTTCGCGACCTTCCTCATCCTATGCCGTGAGTTCCCATCCCACAATCCCCCAATTGCGCTGAGGCCACCAAGGCCTCAAGTCAAAAGCGCGCCCACGAGAGCACACCCCAACACACATCACCCACAAGACAATTTCCATTCACTAACAGTCCCCCGTTCTAGCAACATGTTTCTTCCTGGGCATCATCTTCTCCATGTTCCCCTACGACTACCCAATCCTGTGGTCCACGACCCCAACCCCGGCCTCACACTTTGATTACTTCGAAGCACACCTCCGCTTCCTCCATGCCTCGCCCCCGCTCATCCCGCGCATCCTCCACATCGTCATCTTCCTCGGTCTCGCCGGCCTAATTACCAAGCTCTACCGCCCTTCCGAATCAAACATGCTCTTCGACGGCGCCTCCCTGGTTCTCTACATGTGCGGTATCACCGTCTACATTGCCAATATCGTCAAGGGTCTGCGTCTCGCCTCGGCCGGCCAGTACGGCGCCGAGCTGGCGACGAGCCCCGAGGATAAGGATCAGATTCTTGGTCGCGAGGACTCGCTGAAGGTCCTTGCTGCTAGTAATACGATTCTGGCGCTGGTGTTGGTCGGCATTTTGGTCCTGCAGGCTGGTCAGTGGTATGCGGAGCGGAAGGATGCGCAGGAGTATGAGTCGCTTGCGGTCGGCAAGAAGAAGGATGAGGGTGAGGCTGCTACTTCGGCCAGTGCTTCCGGTTCGTCGACTGGTAAGCCTGGTCGTCAGGGTAGCCAGCGCAAGAAGGGTAACTAGCCTTTGCTAGTGTTCTTTTTTCTTTCTTGTTCCCTTGCTCTTGTTTTTGTGTTGTTCGATACAATCTTGGGGGTATCGGGAGGTGGTTGGCGGTTTCTACCTTGTCCCATGTGGGTGCGTACGGAAGATTTCCCGCCCATGGCATAGGAATTTATACAATACGAATCCGTAGCGAAAGGAAAACCGTTCGCTTGTTTGGTATACAAGCAATAAGAAAAGAAGTAACGTCTTGAAGACGGAGGATTCGAGATTGTTCTATGTACACAGATAGGTCCATGATGGCACGGCACAGTATGATAGCATTTCTGTACGAATGATATGAAATGATATGAAAGAATGAAGATGCTAGAGAAAATGGACGCAAAGGGTCATGAATATGGACATGGGGGGTTATGGGCCAGAACCGTAAATGTATCTCGAACATCATAGAAATGATGAGTAGAATGATGGTATATGTCGTCACCGCAGAGGGGGAATCATAAGGTAAGGCAAATCGTGCAGGTTAAAATGATGGGGGGCATAGCAATGAGGGAAAGAAGAGACAGACGTGACAATTTCAAGCAAATGAGAATGGACTCCGAGGTAGATCTGGAGAGCGCGGGCTCAGTGCTTTGGCGAAGAGATCTTCGCCAGATTCGGCGCTTGAGGTGCGGGCAATGGTAGTCATAGAGCCAATTGCGGCAAATCCTCCAGGGCTACTGTTCTGCTGAAATTCCTGCAAAGACTCGGGAGGATGCAGTGCAACAGCCTTGGGCAACTCAGAGCCTGCAGGGTTTGTGCCTGAGTTTGGAGTCGGGGTAGGATTGGTCACCGGAGTTGGGATGGAGTTTGCCGGGACGGTGGCAATATTGCTGAATGAGCTGAATGAAGAAACGGCGACATCAGGCGACTGTGGAGAGAGAAGGTGCGCCGAGTTTGGGCCTGAGTCTGCTGATGTCAGTTCTCCATCCATTTTGAGGAGCCAGTGATAGCAGAAGACTTACTATCATTTGCGGACAAATCTCTCTCACTGGTTTGCAATTTCAGTCCTTTCAGCTTGTCGGTCAATTTCCTCCCGCTGATGGGCGACACTGGTGTGGCTGGCCCAGTGGGATAGATTGAATTCGAGGTCGACGAGTCGTGGCTGCTCGCAACGGCGTCAACAGTGCGCGCCGTGACGCCAAAATTTGTCTCAATCCACTCCTTTTCTTTGACTGCCATGTGCAATGCAACTCCCTCGGCATTGTTCAAGCATTCATCACGAATCTCCTGGTCCAGGACGCGCAAGCGCTTCTTCGCCCAGATTGTATGTAGGACTCCTTTCTTTCCCGCCGAGCGACCCGTCGCACCCAGCTCTGGAGGGAAAATCGCCGGCAAGGGGTTCAATTGGAAGATATCGCGAGGGTTTGGAGGGGGGGCTGGCACGTTCTCAGTCTTGTCTGAGGGTCGAGGTTCATAGGTGAGCGTAACGACTGGTGGGATGGTGACATGGGGAGGGAGCAAGAAGTAGACCCGGCGAAGGCTATCACTGGGCCGATCATCAGCGGGCAAGACAGTAGTCTTGCCAGTCCATGAGACATGCCACGACCCCTCCGCCACAGATCTAGTCAGGTCGTCATCCTCCCACTCGATCATCAAGATCTTTGTGCCCTCATTGCCCTTACCTGCCTCGAACTCGAACCGTGCTAGTGCAGATATAGACAGAACACTGCTGTTGGGGCCGCGTGGTGTGGCGAGGTCGGCGAATTCGCTATCTGGGGTAAAGATGGGCGGTGCTTGAGCCATGATGGAGCAAGACATCAAAAACAGAACTGCAGGCTCGCGAGGCTTGGGGGGGCGCACGGAACACAGACTCGGGGGACTCGGCAACAGGCTTGGGATGACGCACTGCTGGACAGATAGGAGAGTACGGTACAGGCAAGTGACAACCGGGCTGAGTTGGATGGAGAGGTGCAACGGGCTGTCGCGGGGAGTGAAAGTGTGAGGGAAGAGTATCGGGCGGGCCGATCACGGGATTCTACAGCAGGAATGTCTCTTTCTTTCTCGATGCGCCTTCGATGAAGTGCGAGGGCGGCTGGGATTCCACCTTAGTCTATTTGGGGTAAGGCGTAGCATGATCTCTACAATGTTATTCGTCCATCTTTGCAGGGGCAACACGACCCAGCTTTATCGTGGCTCTCTGCCCCGCCTCTAAATATAGTATCCACAACGGTGCCATTCTTTCTTCATTCTTTGTCCCCCGGTTCCACAGAATTCATTGAAATGAACGCATGGAAGGATTCAGACTGTCGTCCATGTTCAGTGTTTTATCAATGCAATTTATATATTTCTGTAGCTTGAGTTGATACTCATTTATGGTTTCGATTTCAAAACAACCCTTAACCCCGCACCAGTTCGAATGGTCTATTTTTGGCAGATGCAGTGTGATAGGTTTGACATTACCAATATGCACGCCTGTCCCCTCGGTCGATAATTTGGTATCTGTGGAGAAGTCCCTTGACCCTCCAAAGAACGGGATCTTAAGAGCTTTCGCTTTTGTGTACGCAAGATAGACCAGGAGGGTCAATGTCTTCAATAGCTATTCCAACTGATTGTTACAGGGCGATTGATTCCTTCCAACGGAGCTGCCCATCTAATCAAAAAAGTTTGGCCTTCTTCTAAACAGATAGCGGATATGTGCATTCGCTTGTATATACTGACTATGGCTATCATCGTGCTCTATGTTACAGTAGTTATGTCAAAGCAGAGAGATCTACTATTTGCAAAGCAGCGTTCGGCGCAAAGTTTCTATTTGGATGTGCGTCAAATTTAGCAAATCTAGCCGCTGATTTGGATTATCAGGGACTTCCAACCAACATCATCTGACGTGGACTGTATAGGTCTTAGAAGCGTGATTTTGGTAGCCTACAGAAGGGGTATTCGTTCGAGGTACGTAACCAGCTATCTTTCATGATATCCGGCTTGATGCTAAGAATATCCTGAGCAACATCCAGTATAAGAGCCAGCTTCAGAGGTTGAAAAAGATAGTACGAATAGTGATGGTATGATACTGTACCATACCTGAGACGGCTTGGGAAACAAAATCGGGCTTTCAGAACGAGACACACCTGTCTACAGTGGCATGGTGACTCCCTGAGACGAAGGTTGGCTGGATGGTCGATCAGCCTGCTTCAGTGTGATCAAGTGGTTATAGTTCACCCTGGGACTATCATCCTGGTGGGGGCTTGTGGCGGAGGACGGAGGATATTACGAATAAAAAGCAGCGAAGAGAGCGGGAACACAAGGGCATACTGCATGGAAATGGGTATCAAAATCTATAAATAAAACCAGAGTGTTCATCAGATCCCAGGAATAGAGACAATAGAGCCGAAAGTTGACCATGTCCAGATTTGATCAGTACCTTCCGGAAGAAACTAGGATATCGAGTGGACGTGGTCTTAGAAAGTCACACGTGGTTGAAGCTAGACCAATTGGACTCACGGCATAGCCTGAAGAACCTTTATTCTGTTTCATGGACCGACAGGGCAGGGGACATGCATTAGTTTGAAAAAAAGTCTCCAAGGCAAGGGATACTATGATGCAGGGTTAACCTCCACGCTTAGTGGTATGGCAATACTTACCCAAAGTTCCCCCGCTTCATGAATATATGGCAGGAGTCGCACTTGACCAAAGAGAGGAAGAGTCAATTGTCTGAAGGGTAAATTGTACCATCTCCCGTCTGCGGAAATCGTCAAGCAGAAAGAGATAAACTGCGACAATTGCTTACATATCCGCGCCTGTAACCTCTTACGGTATCTTGAAGACAGTCATACAGCTCATGATATTCCGTTCTTTAGAGTGGACATAATCATGGTAAGATTTTAAGAGCATGCATGTGAAGGTCTCAATTTTGCTTTCTACGAGGGGCTTCTACTAGAGCGCGCTTTCAGATCCTATTCAAAAGACAATATACAGCATATTTCGGGGACCAAAGCAATTGAAAGACTATATGTAGTCCATAAATGCGTGCCAATTTCCGCGTGGGGTCAATTTATTGAGTCAAAACCATAGTTTGCACTAGGTACAATTTGCATGTCAATTTTGGCAAATACGTTGGGCCGAGACTAGGCATCCGGTGGCCCCTCACCTCAAGACGATTATGTTCCCATAGGATAAGCGTCAACGAAGATCTTCTCGTGTAAGTGATACCAAAGCATTATCACGCTCCGAACTAGGTAGTTTTTACAGTTCGACTGTGAGTCTTGACCACCGGAACGAATTCAGGAGTCTGGTTCTACCCACAGCCTTTGAGCAGTCATTGGCTAGAAATAGGGAAGGGAAGCACATAGCGTAGAAAAATCACGGTGCCTATCACACTAGCGAAGACATACTTCGTGTTACTGCCCAAAAATAGCATCTGATCCGCGTGGGAACAAGCGGAATGTGCTCATACAGTAGGCAAATAGAATCTTCAGGAGAGATACAGAGGGAGCTGAAGCACCACTTCAAGAGGCTGATACATCCAGTGATAGCCCCTCCTCATACCGCCAATCATTCTACAGGGTTCCTATATCGTTTCACAGCACATACGCTAGAGGTGATTAGGAATAGCGCCGGCGCTTAAATGAGATTGATGAGCGGGTTGTTGATGCGGGCCTCAAGTATGTGATTGATGATTGGGTATAGCATAGGGGTGGGGCTTTTTGGTTTTCCCATCCGTCCTTGGGTATTGAGCTCCTTTTTTTCACTTCCAGGATTCGTTGTCAGGAGGTAAGATGTCTAGTAGTCACAAGCACACACCGTGATATGACTAGTTAGGGTACATGAAGGTAGGGTGAGAGTTCCGGGTCTATTCGATGGGTGTGCTTCGAATCAGGCTCGGTCTTGCACATACACGGTAAGGGGTATGAAATACATATTACGGTTCCCCACCCCTGCTTTACAATACAGTCTGCAGAAGTGTTTATCGAGGCACTTGCTGATTACATAGTTTAAGGTATTATATAGTATTCGCGTGGACCGATGGAAATGATACAGAAATTTGGATCATTCTTGAACTCCACGTATCTGCTGAGTTATCATGTTTAATCACAAAAGACCATTGAGTGCATCCGATCGTTAAACTAGTGCACCAAACACCTTAGTCGATCGTGACCACGTATGTATTTACTGTTCCAATGCTTGGCTTCTTGGTGTTACGAGTATTGCTACACCCATGTGATCTGGGCAATCTGACCACAATGGTAGCCTGATTTCATTTGCTCTTAAGTCCGTGCCTTATTTACTCTCTAATTAAAGGTGAATGAAGTAGATACATCAGTTTTTCCCGTAGGCTTTAAGCCATCTTTACGAGGTTTCCTCCGTTTGGTCCCATATGAGAGTCGCACGGCTCCGTAATGAAAACTATGCCACTGTGCGAAATCCTTATATGCTATGTACACAATTTGCCTAGACACGATTGCAAATATGTGGCGCACCACATAGGGGCCATGATTCGGTCCTACGAGTCATTGTCCCCCCGCCACTGGCCTTAAGCTGTCAAGGCAGAGCTTCGTGCACCGAACAGCCCTCTGTTCATCATTTACGGCATCGTACTCTTTGTGATATTTGTGGACCTGGGAAGTGACGGAGCTGGAAATCTAAGAACTTGAAAGCCTGCTCTATGCGTGTTGATAGGAGCATCCTTAACGCGCGCTGGTTCCCAAATTCTGGGTCCGCGGTATCTAGCAGCCTATGAGAAGGAGACTGCCATCTAGAGATAAATAGGGTCTTTCCTGCCAGAGCTTCAGCGCGTAGTAGTTCCAATCCTGGAGGAGGTAGGAGCCATGCTGGCTTGAGTGAAATCGATCCTTCAATTGGGGCGAAAAGAAAGAGAGAGAAACGGCCTCTAATAACAGGTCCAGCCCACTATCTGAGCCCCCCGGAATATAAAGACACATCTGCATTAGCTTGAATGACACCACGAATAGGATTCTCTCTGCATGTGAGGTATTGTTGGTTTTTGAACATTTACGGTGGTGCTCCCAACGTCCAATGCGGCTTACACGTGGGGAGGCTCCGAAGGAACCGTCCGCTCGGGTCTGCTCTGGACTTTTGGTTCTTGAAATAGGGCCAATTTTCAGAGTGGTCACTGCTCCATGCCAGCACGGCTTTTCTGGTGTTTCCTAGAGCTGGGCTACTTGAACCTGCCTTATCGATATCGGCCTGTAGTGGTCTCTTATTACCGGCCCACGTCACAATTTCGGCGTTGGTTTCCCTAAAATTGAAATATGGCCCTGACATACCATTACATACATCTGGACAAACCTCAATGGAAGTATATGGAAGATATTGGTGTGGAAACAGGTTTGATGACCTAATGAAGAAGGGAAAGGCGGAAGCTACTCATAGAGAGAAGTTAAGTGTGTGAAGTTCCCTCGCAAGTAGGAGGGCAGATACCATTGGTGTGTTTCGCCACCATTCAGAAAGCACAATGTGACTTTGTTAAATATCAACCTGAAATGGAAAATAAACTCCGATTCCTCCAGACCAACCAAAAACCGAGCCAATTCGCCTAGCAGGAAAATCGCTTGCAAGGAAACAGGATTATGAGTGAATTCTGCAGCTTGATTCCCGCATCAAAAGTCACCATGATAAAACATGCAGATCAATCTAGCAATAGCGTGTGACAGATACCATAAAGTAGCTCAAGATTGTAGGAGCAAGACGTAAGATAGTAGATAAAATGCGGGAGACGCTGCCCGAGAAGGAACAAGAAGGAAATGCATATGTTCTCAATGTCGAGGGGACTTTGTAGGCTTGGGTCCATCCGAAGCCTCTTGTGAATCATTTGATTTTCTCCTCTTGCCTTTGGGAGGAGGCTCCAGGTGCGTGCGTTTGTATGTCACAGTTCGTGTCACAACCTGCCTTACGCTAACAGATTTCCCTCCAGCACTTCGAGGAGTTTCGATGCATCGGATTTTCCAGTCTGATGGGGAAAATGGAGAGTGTATGGTGCGCGCGCTTCGAGGTGAATCGGTGATGGGTGAGTAAACACAAGTAGCAGGAATTCGTAGACGTCGTAAAGTATTTGGGAGTCTTGCAGATCGAGGGCTAGCAGCGATTGGGGAGGGAGATGGCAGGGTGGCACTTGTGGTCTTAGGTCCTTCGTATGCGGAAAGAGGGGCGTTGGTGCACGCACTCGAAGGAACCGAAATTGGCGATGGACGCCGTTTCTCGAAATTGAATTTCGGAAATTCCGCCCCAGCGCTCGATGGGCTATATGCTGCGGACGCATGCTTCTCAAGGAACTGCGTATATGAAAGAGGCGTCATGGGTGTTGCGCTTCCATCTTCCCGCTTAATGGAATCTGATCGGCTGCTTGGAAGATCGTCGTATAACTCTGATGGGAACGTGTGTGACTTCGGCGTCTTGAGAGGATAGAGGAAAGGTTTCTGAGGCGCCATACTGCCTGAGGCAATATATGAAGTGGGCAGTCTTGAAGAAACTGCAAGAACAGCCTTCGAGATGATGGTGTGTAGGGGAAGAACAGGCAAGGAAATGCAACAGGTGCGCAAAGCCTGGGAACGAGAACGAGTGTGATAGAGAACGGGAGGTGTAAAGAGAGGGCTGAGGGGCTATAAGAGTGGAAAGCAACAGGAAAGAGTAGAGTTTTGACTAGCTACTCAAAGAGTCGAGGAGACTAGTCGTGGAACCACAAAAGAGGGCCCCCAACTTGGGCGCAGCGAGCGACCTCAGACAAGGATTGATCAAGAGGAGCGGAGTAGGGCGACAATGATTGAGGCAGGTAATGTGTGGAACAGACCGACGTGTAAAATACAGTATCGCCGTGCCAGACGGTATCGATACGAAAGGACGTATGTAATGTGATCTTGAAAAAGGCCGACTAGGGAGAAAAGAGTTAGTCTGTCTGCCTACCGGTAAGCTGACACAGCCGTGGAGAGGGGGCAGTGCTTCGGGGTTCAAGCATTGCATGGAGAGAGAGATCAACCGGCAACAGACCTGCTTGGAATAAATTTTTAATGGGTAGAATATCGCAAAGACCTTCAGGAAAAGAACGAGTGAAGGGCTTTGGTGGTTGAAAGGTAGGCAAGCTAAGGGGTCAAGAACCAGTCCAGCTGATGATTGCAAGCCTCGTATGTTCCGTGAGGAAAATGAACGTCTGTTGTGCTGCAAATGGGCCTCTTCCTGAGTCTTAAATCATCCCTTCATTGCTATTCCAGCCGCGTGGCTTGGAGACAGGAGTCTGATCGGCGTTTAATTGCACTTGTCGGGCGCCATCTGACACAATCCTTGCAGCTTGAACTCCCGCCCTGGCCCATGAAACAATAGACTTGGTAATTAGATCGTTTCATCTTGGCCACCGCCTGAAGCTACATTGGGTTGGCCATCTATTGTGGTTCGCTCTGACTAAAGCGCGCGGTTGCTCTTCAAAAACTCAGCGGTTCCATCCACAGCCGAACTACTCAGGGTATATTCAGCGGTGCACTGTCGACCATGTGTCCAGAAGTGCACAAATGCTCTTTGTGATTGCCCGATGTACTCAAATCTCCGAAAATTGATTGCCGACATCCCGTATCTTCCGCAGGTTTAGTAGGAAGAGCCCTAGCTATGATACGACATGGAGAACAATTCCATCATGCTTTTGCTGATTTTGACTATAACAAAAAAAAACCATGAAATTGGCTATAGTCCGGCCTTAATATATTGCTCAGGCTCTGTTCACAGCACTGGTTGTGAAGGCTTTCAATGTTCACAGAGGGAAACTAGACTCTCCTGCTATAGAGCCAGTCAGAGGAGCTGCTACGGTTTCGGGCTCCCACAATCATCTCTATCAGTTCCAAAAAAATAAAGCTCGAATGTTTATCATGTATTAAAAGGCAGACTAACATGTGTGTGGGGTTTGAGCGCTTCTTGACATGCTCTAAGGTCCAATAGTCGGATTTTTTGGAGCCAGTGGGGGCTTTCAGTATAGACCCTTGGGCGTCAAGCTCGACACAGAACAGCCATTTCTCTCGAATTGGACCAGGAATTCGTACTCCTCATCCATAATTTTGCTCAGAGCTAAGACCTAATTCCCTCCTGAGATCTTAAAATAGTCTAGATTCCAGAACGGAGCCTACTCAGCGCCAAATTTACTCCTCGAATTTTCTGGGAGTTAATCTTTGACTTATATTTGCTCTACATTGGGTATCCAGGAATGCAGTTCTATCTCATAGAGGTCATAGAGGAAATAGATTTAGCAGCATAGGTCATTTCTCTCCTTGACTAGTAAGGACGAGTAACCTACACGCATTTGGCCTTTTGTGGCCCTGGTTTTAGAACTGGCCGCCCTTCATGATGTATGATTATAATGATCCCTCCCTGTAGGATCTCCCTTCTGTGGCGTGTGCCGCTGGTTTTCGAAACCAGTCTTTGTTGGCCCTTGTAGGGTCTTTTGCTTCTGTTCACTTGTCTAGACACACTCGAACTCCTCTGCTTTTTCCAGCTTCCTTGCGCTTGGCGATCCCATCGCCATCAGATTACGTGTGAAATTATCAATATAAGACACTCGGTTAATGAAAGTAGAATATTGGATATTTCTCAATTTGAAGGAAAACTGAATCTTGTCAGGAGATCAGAGATCTATCTGAGATATCCTGTCTCCTATGGGAATGAGATTATGCGGTATCAATTTTTTCGTGCACTCGACAATCCTCGACTTTTTCCGTACCATTATTCACACAACATACTGAGCTTTGCACTCCTGATTGTGCTACTTCAGCATCACATTGGCTCTTCCTTTTCGAGAACTGTCATTGAGTATAAGTTCTGAATGGTCAGGGAAATAATTTAATGCTAAAAGCTAACATATTTTCATCTCTCACCTATCATTCTAAAGGGATTCAACAACGGTTTTGCAACGAGTCACCCGATAATAATTGGAAGTCTATGGACAGGTGGCATTTTATGAGGAATGGAAAGGGCGAAGCTCACAAGGAGCAAGTAAGAGTTTGGGCACATGAAGCAGAAGCCAAGAAATTAGCCAAAGCAGCAGACAATGGAGGGATGCGATGGTGATGCGGAGAGTAGGTACTAGAACCAACCCTCCTATCTTCGTTTGTGGCATACCCATGGGTATACGAGGGTCGGGACTGAATGACTTTTTGAATGATCGGTGGTTGTATTCTACTCCATAGTCAAGTTTTGTAAGATTCCAAAGATGGAAACCCATGTCAAGCATCAATTGGCACCTATGAATCCCGTAAAAGGTAAGAAAAATAGTGGTATAATGCATATACTCAAACTACATGCCGCATGACAATATTGTCCTTCCTTGTGGGCAAGCCATCACTGATTTAATCAGGCCAAGCCTACATGAAAGTACGAACTCCTAAAAGAGCGAATAAAAGCAAGTGAGATCGCAGAAACCCAAAAATAACGACCCATAACCATTAGCACCTCTTTACGTGAGATCGGCTGTATTTCCGGAGGACAACCGCAATCGATCAAGCAAACCCCATACGATAAAATCTCCAGCTTACAGTAACAGATACCTCCAGCCGTTGCGGTGCATAATATCTCGCCAATGCACGTTCTGCTTCTTGATGGAGCGCATTCCTGGACTTCCCAGATCCGGAGAAGTGGAGCTTTCCTGCTTGAAAACCAACCCACTCGCATGGGTTTGCTCCGTTGCCACAGGCTCAGAAATGGAGCAGTCGTCTGACAGGCGCCATACTTCATGCAACACGCGATACATTCGGCCAAAGCTACCAAAGTCCCCAATTTCTCCCAAAGCTGCTGCTCTCTCTTCGAGAACGCTGCGAAACGAGCTTTCGGGGGTCGAAAATGCGCCTGCCATAAGCAAGGGCCACACCAGTGACCTATCGAAACCGTAGGGACCGGCCGGAATGAACTGGATAGCGTTTGTTAGAGCCAAAACAAGGTTCAAATTGCTGGGCTGATTGCGATCGAAGCCAGGGACGAGGCTGCAAAGATAAATCCGGGCCGCGATGCGGAATATGGTGCTCATAGACTTTGTCAAGATATCAGGCCGGAAAGCACCACTAGGTATGTATGGGTGCGTAAGTGTCGGATCGGCGGGCTCAGTATGCTCGAGTTGTGCTCCAAGGGCAGAAACATGTTGGCAGAGAGTAAGCTCATCTATATGTCCTTCAAGCTTCAAAGAATCCAAGCACGCAATCTCAGATATGAGATACATTATTCGGTCATCACATCCCATCAGCTCGCGCAGACCTGACGGTGTACCAGTGAGGTGCTTAGAGCGGTAAGAATGAGCGAATTGTGGTGTTTTCCCGAGCATAGTTGCACCGAGAATGTCAATCCAAGTAGTTAGAGTCATACTGAAAGGCGTGATTACGCCAGAATCCGCCGTGCGAACCGAGGAGCTTGGCAGCTCTAGCCGGTTCACCAAGTTTGAAGCCGCTTGAAAATGATCGTCCCATGGAATGTCCGGCAAACAATCATCGGGTGCTCCGACTGAACAATGGAAGAAGATCATCGCGAGGGTCGCGTCTAGAATCTGCTCATGTTCGGTGTCATGGTTGAGAGACTGGCACAATTGGGCAATTGCTTCGTAGCGATGTCGCATAATATCATGATCAATCTGCTCGGCACTTAAGCCCACTGTGGATTTGAGGTGAATGGCCGAAACACTCAAGCAGCAATGGAGGTAAGATTTGTTCGTTTCAAGCGAATGCAAAATTGATCTAGCGCGAGCGGCACCGAGTTGGTGAACTTCAATAATTGGAAAGATCATTCGTAGGACATTCTCGACGAAGTGATCAAGGAATGCGCGATCATGCTCATCCACAGGAATCATTGCAGTGTCTATGTGTGGTGCCATAGAATAATTGCTGTGCTGGACAATCGAGGGGTCCAGAGGTCCGTATACCCCAGCTTGATTGAAACACTCCTCTTTCAACCATTCGTCTCCGTGGAAGTTTGGGAGCGTAGCATGAAGCTGTGGTGGACCCATCGCACTATAGGTAGAGACAGAAGAGTCGTGTCGTAGAGGTACATCATTAACAAACGTTTGGCGCTCAGTGTGCACGTCGATTTCGTAAGGAGCGTAATGAGCGGGATAAATATGGGTTGGAAATGCGGTCGTTGGCATGTTGTTAATGAAGGGATCGTAAGGCTCGACAAACGACGGATGGAGAAAGTCACCTTCTCCCGAGAGTGATGGAGACGTTTGTGAAAGATGCGCATGCTCGCCATTTTCTGTGTGCGGAGGATAAGTAAGACACATAATCCGATCTAGAATATCTTTACGCATACCTTGTGACCCACGCCTCTCCAGAGTTTTGGTGTGTTTGATTTTGTTCTTGACTCGCTCCTTTTGCATCCGCCGCTGCTCCGCGCTGGCCCACCACATTGGTCGCTTGTACTCGCATTTCAAATTGAGATTGATACAAGCGGTGCATGAGGGGTGGCCTTCGTCGCACTTTTTCCTTCGTAAACGACATGTAAAGCAGCCTATTAGTATCTTTGAGTTAGATTTCTATCACGAACATGATTTCATAGCCAAGATGCTCGCGGAAATAGTTCCTGACCTGAGCGCGATCGCTTGTGTGATTTGCTGGTCGCCTTGCTCGAATTATCACCAAGGGTGGAAATGACGGTTGGTGCACGCGGTGTCTTCGCCGCCGCTGCCAATGTTGGGGTAGGTTTCGAACCCGGCATGCTGAGAGACAGAGATCGAGTATATGAAAACGAGAGTATTTAGAAACAGATAGGTCTGGTCAACAGACGGCGAAAGTCGCAAATTTGAATTAAAGGCTGGCCGGCAGCTGAACTCGGATCCTCCACTAGCAGAGTAGTGGGGCGAGCAAGAAGGAAAAGTGGAAGGGAAGAGGCCTTGCTCTCCGATCTATCTCGCAGAGATAGAATACAATCCACAGCTAGATACTGGAAAGCAGACGATAGAACGACCTGGGCGGAGCGTCAAGGTTTGAAACAACAGGACAATGATGACTTTAAAGACTACTTGATTGAGTTTGCAGCTCTCGCTGCTTCTATTTTTTGACCTGGTACACGGGCATGGCGGGCGATCGTAATTCGAGTAGCATGAACATCGGGTGGAGATCTGCGGACTTGACAAATGACACTAATTTGCACTAAATTTGGGATCATTTCCAGCAGGGATGAGGTTTTGTTCATTAGCATGCATGTATGGATTTACATGTCCCAGGTGGGGCCATTTCCCTCGTCGTGAGCAGGACCGAAAGTGTGACTGCCCGGATCGATTGGCAAGGGATAGACGACATCTCAGATCGTTGATAGGCTGGGAGATGCCGTCACAAAGTTCTGTTTAGCATGGTTCCTTGCAATCACATCGTCTGTGCGTTCTGTTCTATCAGCTCCACCCTACCCCAGCCTCCCGCGCGCCCGCCTTTGCTCTCCAAATACAAGCCCCATTGTCACTCAAAATGCTGGACCTACGGGTATAAAAATGCGATTCTTGAACGAACCTCCAAGTTTGTCTATCTTGCGGTATCTTTCTTCTCAAATAAAGCATAATGGCGACCGCTTGTTGCATTTCGCCTGATTTTGTCAGTTGGTCACATTTGGTGATAAGAGATGCATATAGTGGGGTTGAATCGTGATAGGGCGGCAGCTGGTGCATGCCAAGCTTCCACTTCTGCCAGTTGATTGGCTTCATCTCCCCAAGTCCTAAGCGGTTTTATGGTGTGGGCCGAGTCCATGGCGAGAGTCCACAGCCAATCGTGCGATGATGTAGAAGCGGGGGAATGCACCTGCATGCTTCAATCCTGATATGCAATAATATACCGCCTATCTACGAAAAGAAACTAGACCAAATTTCCAAGTTTCGTATTTCTAAGTTTAGCTAATTCAGCCTACTTAGGCTTCATTTACTATTAATAACCGTCATTTGTTCCCCATTAGGTTCAGAGAACGTTGGCTAATTGATTCTAATTATGGGTATTTGACAACATGTTCTATTTACGGATCGAGATTTTTCTAATTAGCTTCAATTAAGCAAGTATCTCTCCATTTTCAGTCAGCCCGACCAAATAATGATGTTTTCTCTCATGGTTCGCCAAACACCAAAGTTCAACCCAAGTACCTTTCAAGTCAGGGCTAGTGACCTGCAGATAGGAGGAGGCTTCTAAATGATCTCCTTATGCTCTGTTCACTTGCATTTAATTGTGTTCCTGTAAGAAGTACAAAGACCTGCATTCGTAACGTTTAGTCGCCAGTCATTGCGGCCCAGTTGCCACGAGCGATACCGCAGCCACATTCCGGTAGCTGAACCTAAGGTCTGCATTTTTTGGTAAAACCATTTGTCCTCAAATTATAACTGTATAAAGCTCTTAAATTCCCAAGTACCTGAGACTTTGGTACAAGCTTTGCTCGGTACGCGTCGCGAGGAAGGACTCCCATATTAGAAATCAGCAATTGATTTGACTTGGATGGACGGAGCTGTGACATTAACAACTCATCGTACTGCTTTAAAATAATGATTTTCCAACAGGGTAATCCAAGTTTCAGCTAAAAAGAAAGTGGCTCCGATGAGTGTGTCAAGTCTTCTCTTTCAGGCCGTGATTCAAAAGACACCAGGCCATTTTTGAAAATTCTCGAAGCTATCAGTGGGAGTGTTTCCTGCAGATTATTATCTGCGTTCTGTGGGGTCGTCTTATGACAAAATGGGAATTTCACGTTCCCAATATACCATGAAACGAATCATGCAATATATTGGTGGATACAGACTTTATGAAGCGCAGATGACAAGGTTCAGGAGATCCAGCAGAACTTATTGAAATAAAAAGAAGGCCTGACCTTAATCTGGGTACAGTTTGTAATGTTGAAGAAAGATAGCCAGACTGGTCGGCGAGCCTTCTTGACTGGACCGACCCCCAGTCAATGTAAACAGTTGCTTTTCCACAATGATCTTTACCGTCGAGCCTTGAGAAGCAACAGAGTCAGACGGGGTTTCCTCTGAAAGTTGGCTAGATTGTCCAATCTTCCTCATCTCAATTAGCATACGTAGATGAAGGCGGTTAAATGATTATACTTGATACACATGCTCTCCATTTCAGGAAATCTTTAGGCGCTTTACATGGCGAGTTGTTCAAAGTTTGGTATGTGTTTCTATTATTAATTTGCTATAATTAACCATGATTGCGACCTTCCTGGAATAGAGGCAACAGTTCCCGTGTGTGATCAACGCGGCTGGTTACCTTAGCGCCAATGTGACAAGCACCATGAGCGATTGGGTATCACGACTTCATCTGCCTTTCCAATTTTTTTCACTCAGCCCATGGTAGCCTATCAAATAGTGCCAAGGGGCTATCACTGCAGTAGTATGATTCCTACCAGCCTCTCATTGCTGTTTCCTGACCTTCACCTGCATGCCCGTCCCATGTGGGTGATTAGTCTTAGCGACGTTACTTGTTTGCCCAACTGGGAGGTAAGAGTGAAAAGACCTACCTAGCTAGCCAACCATAACCCTGTGATGCGCTAGGGTAGCTTGCTTCGGTCCTCGCTCCAGCAACCCCCGCCGTTAGAGAACTCATGCAACTGCACGCTCCATCCGTCACATCGTTACCACTGGCTGAGAATCCCACACCGTGGTTATTTTTGAATCTGGCGTTTTTTTGGCCACGGGTGTCTGCTCACTTCTCCACTTGACGGAGTAAGAGGGGGTATACATATAATGGATCAGTTTCCCGATCGCACCCTACCTTCAATACGTATACTCTCAGATTCTGTTAACTTCGCTGTGCGACCGTTGAATTGAACGTTCGTCTGTCTACATGTCCTAGCTTGAGGAAGGTTTATCACGCAAGCCTCACTAGTATATTGTGCTTCGCTCTATCACACACCCTGCATTACTAAAAGTCGGCACTTAAATAAAACGTCAAAATGGTGCGATGAGATGTCTCGGCAATTCCAAGGCTTTATCTGACTATCTACTAGGCGACCCAGGAGGTTTTCTCCAATACCCTACAGTACCTCCAATCAAAAGACCAGGGGACGCTGTATAGAGCGCCCCGAACTACTTTCCCACGGCCTCCGTCCGACACTACGGAGATCATGGACACCGATTTCGACTCAGACTCAACGGAAGGGTACATGGAGAATTCGCCCCGAAGAAGTCTTCGATCAGTATGCTATTTGATCTATATCTCTGTTGGTTGTTAATTCTAACACTGCTACCTCTAGTTTGGAACCGCAAGTGTCACTACTGCCTCCACGCCAGATGATGTAAAGACGCCTGACTCAACTGGACTTAATGCATTCCACTTCCACATTGACGAGAATGAGAAGCCTATTGCTGGTCCAATGGGCCCTCATCTTTTCCGCCTTTCAAAAGACTCCATAGATCTCAGATCTTCCTTCGAAGTCGACTTGGTCTTTCAAGATACTCCTATCAGTGCTACAACCCCCTTGTACAACTCCGCATCAAAGCTTGGTCCCGACAGGAGGGACACTCCTGTCCCCGGACACAACCTAGCCTTGCGAAAGAGCAAGTCTCAGTCTACTATTGGAAGTCAGACAAATGAAGCTTCAGATGCAAACATTGCAAGCTGGACTCCACAGGAAGTCGTGGCATGGATGCAGAAGCTAAATTTCGACAGCGAACTTGTGGAGAAGTTCTTCATCAACGATATTTCCGGGCCGATTCTCTTGGAGCTTCAATCAGAGGACCTGAAAGAGCTTGGAGTTCAATCATTCGGCAAACGCCACCAGTTGATGAGCTCCATCCGCCAATTACGCAACAGCGCCGATGTTCGCCCGACTAAAGTTCAAATCCCTGTGCAATCAGATCCAGTGTCTCGGGAAGCAACACCACAGACGACAATGGCTGATGTTGGCACCAGTTGCCCCAGCTCCGGAACCGACGAAGAGAACTCTGGGCAGAAGTCAAAGGACCACAGCCGTCGTCGTCATCGTCGCCGCCCTCGGGAGGTCATCGTTCCCGAGGATTCAGTCTCCATTGTTGGCATTGAGCAGGTAATGCCAAAGCTCCATAGGTGTTCGAAGGGTGAGGATTGCCGCAAGTGGCAGAAGCAACAAATCAAATTCGCTCGTCTTGCCAAAGACCTTCCAGTTGGATCATTGGGAGGCTCTGTGATTGTGACCGGTGATCCAGGCAATGCCACCACCGCTCGCAACCTGGTCAAGAGCCCCAAGTCAGAGATCACTCCTTCCCTGATTGCATCTTCGGATGCCCTGGGCCAGAATCCAAGCACCGATATTCCCTTGTCGAAAGAGATGCTCCACGGTGTTCAGCCACTGGACCCCCAGGAAAACGTCCGCCACTTCCTGAATTTCCAAAGATTGAGCCGTCTGCAACCTGCAAACGACCCAGCAACCCCGCCCAGAGACACCTTTCCTTCTCCAGAGGCGGACTCCCCTGGGACTTTGGCGGAAAATCTGCGTCATCTTCCCAAGCTCCGGATTCCCAGCACCCATGCTTCGTGGCGAAGCTCAAACCTTTCACCCAACTTGTCGGCGCAGCGAACAGTGACGCCTTCCATTGCCCGAAACAAACCCTCATTCCCGAAATCCATTCCAGACCGGGCTCAAGACGAAATCTCTTCTGCTTTCTCCCCTGCAGATTTCTATCGCCAAGATCCTCACTATGGACAGTCAACACCATCTTCCGAAATGGATGTTCCTCTCACCGCGATCCCTGTCGGACCAGTGGAGCGAATGTTCTCTCAGTCAGTTCCTCCCGACATGCGGTTTGGAAATAATGAGGACATCATTCAAGACCCAATTACACGCCCGACTTCTACAAAGGTTGAGAATCACCGACGCTACACCAGCTCTCACCTTGCTCTGACTCGTCTGGACGAGAGTCAGGCGCTACGACCAATTGAAACCCCGGAGGATCTCGAGCGTACCCCTCGCGCTGGCCCCGGTCGTGTGCACCCATTTGACCGGTCTGGAAAGCTATCTAGCGACATCAGCCACTCTGGGTGGATGAAGAAGCGCAAGACTACTCGGCTCCTTCGTCACGAGTGGGAAGAGCACCACTTTGCTCTGCGAGGCACCCAGCTTTCAATGTACTCCGACGAGGAGGACACTCGCCGCAATTCTAAGGCACTGGAGCAAATTGACGTTGACGACTACGCTGTTGCTTGTTCATCGCTCGCATCAAGCTCAAAGCTCACTGCGGCATTCAAGAAAACAGTTCTCAAGCGCAAGGACGATACCCGTGGAGATACCGCCTTTGCGTTCTCTCTCATCCCATCCCCAAGCAATGGCTCTTCCGGCATTGACCGCAAGTCTCTCTTCACTGCTGGCGGAAAGTCTCACCACTTTGCTGTGAAGACTCGCGACGAGCGCATTGGCTGGATGCGCGAGGTCATGATAGCCCGAGCTCTCAAGAAAGGTATTGAGAGCGGTGCTGCCATCAAAGTGAATGGCAACGCTATCTAAACGCATACATGGAAATCCATGGTTATAGCGGCTTTTGTTTCCCATCGACTTTCATCGTTTTACTCGCTTTATACCCTAGCATTCTGCAGATATCTGGCCCACGCCGATTTTCTCCCACTGTACTTCCATTATCTTTTCTCAAACCACTTGCTTTCATACCCATGATGTTTATGAATGGACGATTTTCTTTGTTGTTTGCATCTACTTCGGACGGTGTTCAGGATCAGACCGAAAAGGACTTAGACACATGTATTTAGCGAGTGCAGGCTCACACCATTTACTAGAGTCAATTCTCACAGATAACTATTCATTTCTACACATTATGTCTACCAAATTGCGGTATGTAAACTCTCATTATTGCCAGTCAAAACCCTGAGTGAGATATGATGTGGTGCTGAGTTGTCAAATGTGATCGACCTAGACATGCCTCATCCGTTTCCTAAAGAGCTGTCAGGAACGCCGAGCTAACCAAAAGACCTCGATACGGTGTGTTTCAGGTGCCACGAGAAGGTGAGATTAAGTGCCCTGTATCACGCGCCATCTTAACGTTGTTGGATATTATTGGGGGCTTGGACGCAAGGGACCCCGCTTTCGGCGCGTAAAGCCTCGATGGGACTGGTTTGCGCATGGGGAAATGTTCCCTGGGCGGCAGCATGGCTGTGACCAGATGCATATGGCAGGCGTCCAATTAGATTTTGTCCCCAAAATATAGGTTCTGGCTTACAACTGTCCGCCTGCCAGTACATACATATCATGGGGCCAACCGAAAATTCCTTGTGCAGTATTCTCTGCCTAGGTATCTGGGGAATGATTGGACCATTCTGGGCTGGTTTCTGTGACTGGGAATCTCGTCCCAGTAAACGAGTCAAGACCTTAGCTAAAGTTCGAGCTCATGAATTCGCACCGAGAAAGGGCTGTAGCCGCCGCCACTAAGTCCTGAGATTGCATGAGAGTTTTTGGGGCGTTATGGCGGGGGCTGGGGTACCGATCGGCGTATTCCACGTTGGATGTATTCCAGTTAGCCGCTGGCGGGGGTGAGCCTCGCACAGTAGAGTAGCCCTTTACGGGCAACAGTTCATTGAGCTGACTATTATTGCACGAGAGCATCCTAGCGTACATTTCTTCCTTTCCATCTTTTTTGTCTTCAACCACTGAACTTCTTCTTACTCCTATACCACCGTCCCTGAACGTTTGGTCGTCGCATCGATGCTTTATGGCCGCCCCCGCCTAAATACATCATGCTGGACGTGTCAACGGTTCGTGAAAGTCTCGCTCAAGTCTCGCAGGATACACGTGTGGCTATGCGATGCTTGAACGGTGGTAAAGACTCTCATGATTCTTCTCTCCGGGCTCTCTCATTGCTGGTCGACATTTCGGACCTTCTTTATCGGATAAAAGACGAGATCAGCTGGTCAGAGGAGAAATGGTTCGTGGCGATGGGTCGCCTCAGGGCCCTTGGGGAGCTGCTCGGGTGGTTTCGGTCGAACATGAAATCAATCGAGCATTACTTCCAGCCAGGCGGGGTTGGGGTTTTCTACTTCAGGAAACATCTCCTAGAGCAGACCTACATCCCCAAGTTGGAACAGTTCAAAATTATGTTTCTGCTGGCCCTCCAGCCCGATTCAGAGTGAACCTCCCTTTCAAAAGCCTGGGTGCTCGACTGGGAATCCTGGCACTGACTTTTCCATAGGGAGAGATCACGTCTAGATAATGATATTAGAAATCAGTTAAGGAAACATCGTGATGTCGAGGATGGTATGTTGAGTTTACAAGTTTGCCACAGCCATCAACCCTTGCTAATTACAAGGTTTTTCATACAGCCAATCTCAACGCTGACTTACAACTCGAGGAGGAAACCCTTAGCATGGTGGGCCGGCGTTGCTCTGAACACGTTATCGCTTTGGCAGACCTTTGTAATCGACGGCAAAAGGGATCGTGCGCTTGGATTTTTGAAAACTCGCATTTTAAACGGTGGCTTCTTGGATCTATGAGAACGCTTTACTGTGTTGGCCCAGGTGGGTCTTTGACTGCTATTTATTTCCTTGATGCAGGTCAAGTACTGACAGTTTCAATAGCTGGCGTGGGCAAAACATTTCTATCGTAAGCTCAACAGACTTTTCCTCGTCAAATCTAATCTCGGCCTAACCATCTTCCCAGCTCCGTCATTATTGACTTCCTGCAAAGGACTTTTGCTTCTCCCGACGTTGCAACAATTTTTGTCTTCTGCCAGGAAGAAAATGGCAAAGAGCGAACCTCACTAGATATCTTGAAAGATATATTGGCGCAGCTAGTCTATCGCAAGCGAAGCTCGTCCTACGTCACGTCATCTCTCTATCAGTCAGAGGCACTGATTGAGGGCAGTGCTTCCCCTAAAGCCTACCAAAATGCGATTCGGGCAGAAGTCAACCGTTTCTCCAAGGTCTTATTCATCATCGACGGCCTGGACATGCTGTCCGATAAGGATCGCCTTTTGGGTCGGCTCCAGAAGCTTCCAGAGCAGGCCCAACTTTTGATCACTCTTCGAGAAATGAGCGATACGAAACCATCAAACAACTTAGGCTACGTGAGTGTCATTGCTCCACCAGAGGATATTGGCCTCTATACACTTGAAAGAACACGCACAGACCATGGCCTTCGTTTCGTTTTGGGGGTGAATTCTCCCGATCTTGGCTTAGAGGACAACATTGTCCATTCAGTAGTTCAAAAGTCCTACGGGATGTAAGTTACTCCCGTATCTTCATCCAAATCCGAAGGCATCAGTCTTTTCTAACCGTTGTTTAGTTTTCTCCTTGCAAAACTCCATCTTGATCTTCTATCGCAATACACGGACCGGAGTCTTCTCGAACGAGCTCTAATGCACCTCCCTGGAAGTTTGAGTGAAGCTTACGGAGAAGCCATGAAACAGGTTATTAGCAGAAGCTCAATTGCAAACCGCTACATCTATTGGACTCTTTATGCCCTCAGGCCTCTTTCTGTTGCTGAACTCAGGGGTGCTATCGGTGCGTGTGAAGCGGTGGAGCATCAAGAGTCACCTTCTTTTGAGCATTCACTTCAAGCGCAGAGCGCCGGGCTCCTGACTGTTGATGGGGTGTCTGGAACTGTACGCTTCGTTCATAGAACAGCGAAGGAGTATCTAGCAGGCTCTGCTTCTCGTGTCTTCTTTCCTGGAGCGCAAAAGGATATAGCCGAGGCTTGCTTGACAGTCATTACCCCTGATGATGTGGTTGACGAGTGTTATATCAACTGCACTGGTACATATCGAGCGTCAAAGAAAGGTTTCCTCGATTATGCAGCCACATACTGGGGCTATCATGCCAAAGAGGTCGCAGATGAAGAACAGACAATACAGGTCTTGATCAAAACATTTCTGAACAAGCTTTTGTGGAGACGACCACCCCTTGACTGTGACATGGGACAGCATACAAGCATACCCTCACGGCTGGGCATTGGACGATACCCACCCGACTGGAGCGGTCTACATTTGCTTTCGTTCTTTGGAATTGTTGGTAAAGCAAGGCGCCTTCTAGAACAGGGTGCTGACATCAACAGTCACCACAACTCCCTTTCCATAGCTCCTTTGCACTGCGCAGCTTACCAAGGGAATGATGAAATGGTTGATTTTCTTTTAGAGAGCGGAGCCGATCGCAACGCAGCCACCAAATATGGACAGACGGCGTTACACCTAGCGACCCAGAACGGCCATCGAAAATCCATGCGAAGCCTCTGTTTAAGACGTGTGGACACTCAAATTGCGGATAAAAACGGAGCAACTAGCCTTCACATCGCTGTGGGAACAGCCACCGATGAAGCGACGGTTCCACTTCTGGTCAAAAACAAAGCGGACGTGAACCTCCCAAACACCAAGACTGGAAACACTGCTCTACATCTTGCAGTGGAATGGAGGCGGCCTCGGATTATCCTATTTCTTCTGGAGAAAGGCGCAGCCATTGACGTCGCTAACAATGATGGGCTCACACCGCTCCAACTGGCGGCGACACTTGACAATTGTGAGGCAATCACTTTACTATTACAACAATGCGCTCAAGTAGAGGCTCGCTCTTTAGCTGGCCCAACTGCTCTGCAGTATGCTGCGTGGAAGGGAAATTGGGTCGCCTTTGACCTCCTTCTCATTGGCGGAGCGGATATCAATACATGGAATAAACAAGGCGAGACCCTACTCCATGAGCAGGCTCGATACGGCTCAACGATTTCTATTGCTTCAAAGTTATTAGACCAAGGAGCAAACATCGAGGCTCGTACGTCACAGGGCTACACGCCCATTCAATGTGCCGCGATGATGGGTAACAAGACCATGTTCCAGTTCCTACTAAAGAAAGGTGCCAAAGCAGATGTTGAGACCGCAAAGGGGGAGACACTTCTCCATATTACTCCGCCCGCCAATCAAGACTGTCTGGACATACTGAAGGCTGTTTTGAACGAAGGCGTCAATGTCAAGGCAACTTCAGGTTCAGGCTGGACAGCCCTTCACCAGACTGTCTATACTGGGACAGGCTCCCCTGATCTCACATCTGATAAAACGGCAGAATACATCCAACTGCTTCTGAACCGAGGGGTTTCGATAAATGACCGTTCCATCTCATCTTTAGCCCAAACACCTCTTCATCTCGCAGCCATTGCTCCGATTCCCAGACCGACCCTCGTTGAATTGCTCATAAAGCGAGGCGCTGATGTCAATTCGGTCACTGGAGATGGAAAAACTGCCATTCATCTCGCTGCAGAGCGTGGGCGAGAGTCAATTTTGCGCCTTCTACTGGAGGCCGGTGCTGATCTTTCGATAAAAGTCCCGACCGATAAATTTTCCGAAAAAGCAGACAAGGAAACCCCAATAACCGCGATCGACTTAGCAAAACAAAGACCATTCGCCGTCCTCCTCTTTGACGAAGATGGAAAATTGCACCCAAGATCATCAAGAAGCCGCCCAAGCAGCTCGTCAACCATAATTGACGACTTAGAATCGGACATGTACGAGTCAGAAACGGGAGAGTCGACGTTGGTAGGGAGTGAGCAGCATTACATTGTGGTTTGAGAAGTATGTCAAGCGTTGTATTAGGGAGTTTTTGGGCATTTTACAGGCGACGATACCCAGCCCTGTGAGTATGACTCTGGGGAGTATTGCGTGATTTACAGCTTCTTGTTCTTGGTTTTACCTGTTCTCCACATGGTGTTATTAGGAGAATTTCCGTTCTTTTATCTTCGATTAGCGGGTGTTCTTATTACTGGTCTAGGCCACAAGTCTGCGGAGGAGAATGACGGGGCTCGCTAGCTTTGTATTCATGCTTCACGGCACCAAAATGAGTGCCAAAATGTTGGTTACTCAAATCGATCAAGCCTAATTTGTTCATCCCATCATCCGCACAACAACATAAGCCCATCCGTCTCCATAGGCCGAGCACCTGACAACCTCTTCGATAGGGGCAGACATAGGAAGCACGGCACCATGTAACACCGGCTTTGCAAGAACAGGAGTTCTCCGACTGGGGAAGAGATTTGGAAGCAACGTATGCAAGACTGCCCCTATGGTCTGGGGTTGCATACCTGGGCTCGATCGGGGACTGATGGATTGGCCGGGCTGGATACCCGGAGAAGGAATGGAAGGAGGAAGAGGAGACTGTACTACTTTGAGTGACCCGGACTCTTCATCGGGTGGCAGCGGTAAGAAGATACGAATAGGCACGTTGCGGAATGGTTGCGATAGAGGAGGTAAAAGAATGTGAGAAATACGCTGGAAAGATGGAAGGTCCACTACGGAACGATCTGGAGTCAGTTTCATATATTCGAGATGATATTGAGGCGTGCAGAATATACCATTTTCCACTGCCTTCCAAAGACCGGAAGAGTCCTCCTTGGAAAGGCTCATGATGCCTTTTGCGGTACCGTTTCGGAGGAAGTCGGCCTCTTTAACACTGTTGATGAATGCGTCGTTCATGACCATGCCGTTCTCGTCGAGTCGAACGAGGTCTTCGTCAGGCCAGTCACTGAAATGGACTGTCAGTCGCCAAGGGAAAGGTGAAGCATTCTCTGGGGAGACATCGCTGCCGAAGCCGGTCTTAGTGGCGGGGTCTGCTCCAGCATACAAGTCGAACAGGAGACCGACTGGGTAGTGCCATTTCAGGGGAACTCCCTCAAAGGCAAACCATCCATCATGGTGCCGAGATCCGGGCTCGATCAGGTATGGAGAGAAGAAGGCTCGAAGCTTTGGAAGCAACGAGGGAAGATATGAGACACGTGGGTATGAGACCTGGATGGCGAATGTTAATCATGTTCACAGGCATATCGGTGTGTGCGGACATTACAAGATAGGCATCCATTTTGTCGAAACTCCGGCTCTCAGAAGGGGCGAGGACGATTTCCATGGGAATTCGCCCGTCCCAGATGCATTTCTGGATGGCTGCAGAAGATGCCGAGTTGTCCATCTCGTAGTTATATTCGAGATATCTTTTGCTATATGTATTCGTTAGCAATTTCTTCGGCCCACAGGTTTGATGCGGCAGGTAATCACAAGACTTTGCCAGATCTTGAGATGATCTACTGATTATTAAAGTGAGAGGGGCATGTCATAAACATGCAGATAATGCTCCCTGAGACGATGCTTGTGCCCACTGCAGAGGAGACTACGTCCAAAGTGTTTGGGATCTCACATACGACGTCCCTCCTTGTATAAAACTTGCCGCTATTTTGCGGCTAGCGACTGCAGAGGACAACAAAAGTGTTGATGATTGCGACGCATCCCTCCATGGTCATAGCCACGTGACGGTGCCTGAGGCTGTCAACTACGACCATCCAAACTCCCGCTCATCGCCCTCCGCCAGATCAACAGACCAGCAACATGCTATGATGAACTTGATCCTTGAGGTATTTTCAATCCAAATATTTCATACCATTTCCGTTTTCTAATCTATCGGGTTTTCAGTGGGTCCAGCGAGTCCCTCCCCCGGCACCGTGATGTCCTCGATTTTTCCGAATCCCAACATCAGCCTTCTACTCTCATCTCGTCTCCGAGCGTTCAGATACCGTCTGTGAATGGCCTGAACTTCTTTAGGATCTCCTCATTCGACAGCCCGGGGATACCGGCCCACGGTTATAGCCAAACTTTTCACAACCGTGCTTCCGCCCTTGAATGCGATCGTGGCGCGTTGCTCGTATTCCTGGCCCTATTCTGGCGTGTGGAAACACTCGGATATGTCTACCAGGTCCCATAAGTCATCCCTATCGAGCAAGGCATGGTGGACCTCTTGTGGTGAACCTGCCGGCCGATGAGCTGGATGGACGGCAACATAAGCCCAGGGCATTGTTGCCCCTTCCACCCAAAGGCCGACAGGAACCCACCATAAGGTTCTTCGAAGACATTCTGAATCCAGATGTAGCTTCTTTCTGCCTTTAGAGCCGCAAAGAGACTGTTTCACGTAGCGAATCCGTGCTGCATGCATTTCACATCACTCGCAAATTGAGCTGATATTAGCCCGCATGATTGTGAAAATGCGGAGCGCATCCTCAATAGCATCTACTGGAAGATCTAGCAGCTTGCACACTGCAGCTGTCGAGGCTGCGTGGCCGAACGTTGTGCCAGAGTGCCACCCTCGTGTTAGCATATGCCCACCATAAAGTCCATAGTCCAACACGTTGACCCGTCTCATAACCCACAAACATGGGGAGGATCGATTTGCCGTCACACTCGGCCGCCATGCTGGCCTTCTTTTGACCGGAAGCCACAAGGAGCGGTGGCAGCAAGATTGGGTTAGAGTGGACCGGAGCTAGCATATGCCAGTCATCTAGCTCGAGGGACTGAATCTCAGTACGTATTTAGGTAGTGGGCCAAGTTTTTGTTGGTAATTTGATTCAATCCTCCCCACCCGTCGGTTATCAAAGAATGTCTATAGAAGATGTGTTGTAGAAGGTGCTAGCACCTTATTCTATCCCCACACAGTACAATTGCCCTGGAGTTCCATCGAAAAGACTGTCGTTGCAGTCTTCTCAACCCAAGAAGGTGAGCTCCGATCAGTGCACAACAGAGACCATCAAGTATCACACATACTTGGCTCGGATTTTGACAACCTCGGTCTAGGGATCAAGCATGGATTCATGAAGACAGGCGTGTTGTCACGGGACTGTTCTGCTCGTTCTTAAGTATAGTCGGGCCGTAAATACAATAAGGCATGCCGAAAGCGGCCCGAGGATTGAGCTTTGTCCAAACCAACCACCTACAAATTGCTCATCATCGGCTAGCAGCAGGCCGGGAAAGGAGCTGAAAAAAAAAATCTCTTTCAAATGGAGGGCTTCGCCTAGAGAGAAGAACGCCAGGTTTATACAGACTTCTTCACCGGTGACAGTAATAGACCGTCGGCAATTGGGACTCCACTCGGCCTTCGTTCTGCTTGGAACCCGTCCGTGCAAGAGCTGGGCGGGCCGTCTTGGCCGGTAAAATGGAAGAACTTCGGGAAGAATATTTGGGACTGCATCGCTTTTTCCAGAGCTTAAGGCCATTCAGCTATTGAACTCTGGTGCAGAATGATGGACAGTTGATTGAGTTTTGTATCAAAACTCAACCCTCACGATCGGCAAGCTTTTTTTCCCCTGGACAGCAATTCCATGGCCGAATTGAACTACCGGCCCCCGGGTTTCCCCCAACCAATAAAAAAGTCGGCGACGTGCGCATTTTAGATCATCCCGCGCCTTTCGGCCCGTCCACGTGACTGCAGCCTTTGCATTCTTTCTTCGCCTCCCTCGGGATTCGTCCGCCTTCTCCACCATGGTTAAGGGTTCTCCCCCATGGGACAGAGCGAGTTCTCATGCATTTACCACTTGTATCTACGAATAGGATACTCGACATTTGTACAGAACTCATCGTTCTCCTGCATGCTCCCCGCACGCGACTTCCGGTGCGATCCGGGGAGAAAATATGTCCCTGTCTGGATGAATTATGCCCCTTGTGGCGACTTGCGCATCAATCCGGCGATCCCTTCCTGGGAGTCTAATGTATATCCAACGGAGCCGGCTCAAAATGCAAGTCGTTTGTGACAATGCCATTGCCTCTCACCAGACTTCTCGCCAGAGTGGCCGCGCCAAGATGCATAATTCACACAAAAAGCCTGGGCATACAGACATTAAGGATTAAGGATCCACATGTAAAGATTCCATGCCAGGAAGTAGGGTTCCGAGTCAGATATATACCAGAGATCATTTGCTGTCCCCGGCTGAATGTTTCAACCGGGGAAAACACTACCCCGGGCCAAAAGCGTACACCCCGTGGGACCGTTTGTAAGAAAACCTCCATACCCTTCGTAGCTTCACGCTCAAACCCCATACTGCCCCATCGCTCTGGGGTTCGACGCGACGTACCTTGTGGAGATGGCTCGTTGAGAAGAATTTCCATACCCACATCCACACAACCACTGGGGACCGAAACATTACTTAGAGGCCCCATTCCTTCCCAGTCCTTCCTTTTCTCTTCAACTATATTCCATCCCTTCAGAAAAATTTTCCCTGACTGAACCCGCACTCTCCCATCCCCTCTAGCTGTTCGACTTAGCAGCCATGGGTGGTATTCTGCACCTCGTTGAGGATCGGCCAACTCCTCCTTCGGTCTACAATTGGCGAGTCTACGTCCTTGCCATCATTGCATCATGTGGTTCCAACATGATCGGTTATACGAGTGCCTTCATTGGTACCACTGTCACACTCACATCGTTCAAGGATGAGTTCGGCCTCGAGAACATGTCCAAGGCTGGCCGAGACCTGATCAGTGAAAACATCGTCTCTCTTTTCATCGCCGGTGCCTTCTTCGGTGCTCTTCTCACATACGGACTGAGCCACTGGATTGGACGCAAGTGGTGTCTGGCTATTGCTTCCGCCTTGTTCTCTTTGGGTGCCGGCCTTCAGTGCGGTGCCAACCACGCTCGTGGTCTGGGTATTCTGTATGCTGGTCGTGTTCTGTCCGGACTCGGTACTGGTATCGCATCCAACATCATTCCCATCTATCTGTCGGAGCTGGCTCCCCCTGCCATTCGAGGCCGTCTTGTCGGTCTCTACGAGCTGGGATGGCAGATTGGTGGCCTGGTTGGCTTCTGGATCAACGTAAGTCATAATCCTGGACTCCCCGCTCGGCTTGAAATTCTTTTTCCCCTCGAAACTAACGGTCGTCATTGAATAATAGTATGGCGTTGAGCAACATGTGGCCCCTAGCCACAAGCAGTGGATCATTCCATTTGCTATCCAGCTCATTCCGGCCGGTATGCTTTTCGTAGGTTCGCTGTGGATTCGGGAATCCCCTCGTTGGCTGTTCCTCCACGACCGCCGAAAGCAGGCGGTGGACAACCTCTGCTGGATTCGCCAGCTTACTGCCTCTGATCTCTATATCACGGAAGAAATTGCCGCTATTGACCAGGCCCACGAGGAGCAAAAGGCTATCGTTGGTCTCGGCTTCTGGAAGCCTTTCCAGGCCCTCAGCAAGCGCCCGAACATGATGTGGCGCTTGTTCTTGGGATGTATGCTCTTCTTCTGGCAGAATGGCTCTGGTATCAACGCGATCAACTACTATTCGCCTACTATCTTCTCGGTGAGTCTATAATCTTTGAAAAGGGGCACTGAAACAATGTCATTTCTAACCTGGTTTCACAGAGCATTGGCGTTGCGGATGACACCGTTAGCATCATGACTGGTATCTTTGGAGTTGTCAAGGCTATAATGACCTTCGTCTGGCTGCTCTTCCTGGTCGATCAGCTGGGAAGACGTAAGCTTCTTCTCATTGGTGCCGTCACCGGTTCTATCTGTATGTGGGTTATTGGAGCCTACATCTATGTCGTGGAGCCTGCCGACCATCCCACGGACACCTTAACCGGTAGTGGTATCGCCGCTATCTTCTTCTTCTACTTGTGGACTGCTGTCTACACTCCTACCTGGAACGGTACCCCCTGGGTCATCAACTCGGTAAGTCATCATGCTTCCGCCAACATCGGACCTGTACTAACAATTATGAAAGGAATTCTTCGACCCTAACTTCCGCTCGCTGGCTCAGGCCTGCACCACTGCCAGTAACTGGCTGTTCAACTTCCTCGTATCGCGATTCACCGAACAGATGTTCGCGACTATGGGCTATGGAGTCTACTTCTTCTTTGCCTCCCTCTCCTTCCTCGCCTTCTTCTTTGCCTTCTTCCTCATTCCCGAGACCAGCGGTATTCCTCTGGAGAAGGTCGAGCGCCTCTTCAAGATCAAGCCCATCTGGAACGCGAACAAGAAGCTCAAGGCTGAGCTGGCTGCAGAGGAAGAGCAGTTCCGATTCGATGTCAAGGATGGTGCTGTTCACCAAGAGAACCAAGACTCTTCGGATGAGCCTTGAAGCGAGATGATACGATATTGCATTAAGGAAAAATAGATTTTTTGTACAGATATAGACATTGGTACATAGACAGATGTTAGGGGGTTTTCTTCTCCCATTATCATGATTGACTTTGGAAACGATATTAGCGTCCAAATGAATTGCATTTTTGACACGTTGACTGTTTTCATATAAAAGCTCAGGCGTCTTGGCTGATTCAGCCAAGACGCAGTGGAAGAAGACACTTGCGTATATGGCTTAATTATTGAGCGAGCTAAGAGATTTTCCGGCTTACCGGGATCTCCGTCACTAGTTCTTCTTAGTGCTTCCCATCCCCGCCAAGGCGAGTCATTCGACATCCACAGTGATGGTCCTGATGGACACTCGCTGATGTATGCCTCAGGCATCAGACTCAAGACTCATGTGACCAAATTCAAGGCGATAATCAGGCCCAACGGACGTTACGAGTCGCGACATCCAGATTCTACTTGACAACAACGTGCCCTGCTTGATAGTATGAATTTGACCACCAGGCATTCTCCTGGACAAGTCTACAGGCTGGACGAATATCGTCACAAGGGGATGTCTGGAGCCATCAACCTAAACTCATTTCACTAGACAGTCACCATGACATCCCAATCAGCACTACCCTATGAAGAGCCGGGAATCTGGACGATTCTAATCCAATCGGGGTTCCTTTTGGTTCTCAATTTCGCCAACTCTATTCTGGACAGATTGGTGTATTGTGGCTTGATAGGACAGATCTTCATCGGAGTGGCTTGGGGAATGCCGGGCACACAGTGGCTGACCCTCGAGGCGCAAGAAATAATGCAACAATTGGGTTATCTCGGCCTTTTGCTTCTCGTATATGAAGGTAATATCATATTCCGTGTTTCTTCCCTGCTTGCCATTTTATTCGATATCAAGGTTGTGTCCATTGTGTCTTATTTGCCTCGGACCTTGGTTGTGACGGCAAGCTCACTCCAGTCAGTGAAGATCTCCCATCATCCCTGGGTCGCGTACATCAAGTATATTTGCTTCCCATATGAACCTTAAAGATGATCTATCTTGCACATACGACCATAGGGTGTGGAGAACAGGGCTTCCCGTCCGCTCAGCCGTACTTAAGCCACATATAGTATGCGGTTAATTCTCAAAGCGCCCTGAGCCTTAAAATGGCGTCCGATTTTATCCTAGGGTGAGTGTGGGTGATTTGGGTGAGAAGCCTGGAGACTGGGGTGATAGAGGTGAGAACGGGGTGAGAGCGGGTGAGAATTCTCACCCAGGATCACCCACATACCCACTTTTACTTGGAGACCAGCCCATAAATATGAGTGCTGGGTGGCTGCCTGGTCTTCTGTTCTTCTTTCTCAAAGTTCAGCCGTTTCAAAGAAGATGTCCCTGAAAGACTTCCAAAAAGAACTCGAGGAAAGAACTGCACGTGCTGCGTCACGTGGCTTCACCCTTGAGTATCAAAACAAACGAGAACAAGAAAACAACACCATCTGCCTTAAACAGCTCGCTCCAGCTACTCTCAAGAAGTATGAAGACACAGAAAAAAATTGGGCATTGTAAGTACTGCTATTGACAACTACAGGTCGCGGCTCTAATTTCTGCAGATGGAGACTTTCTCGGAACGAAGCGATCAATGCAAATTTTTCCAAGAATGAACCTGATCCTACCCCTGAAATTCTAAAATCTTTTGCCGAGGACTATATTGCAACAAGAAAAAGGATACCTTCGCAGAAGTCTGCATGTCAGAACTTGATAAACTTCACGTCAAGATGGGAAAGAGAGACATTTCGTTCTCTGCCGAGGCCTGTCAAGGACGATGTTCTAAACGTAAGACCACTTAATCTCCTCAAGGCTATTCTTCCTTACAAGTTGAAGTATATTAGGCAGGATCTGACCGTCAAATATCAAATGCCTACAAAGCCACGCGAGCGTTTTATGGTCACTGCAAAGGACATTGACTACCTTCTTCGGGGCCTTTTCGGCGACGATTGGCACGATTACAAGCACGAGAGAGCACGTGTACAAACTGGAAGTGCTCTTGCACTATTTGCTGGCTCAGGTACTAGGGCCGGTGCTATAGTGGAATCGAGCGCTTATCTTCACACCAACGAATGTCTATATTATGGGGTACGTTTGGACCTCATCCCTCCCATTCCCTCCCTATCCCTAAAGAGCAACCAGGCTAACCGAAGTCTCAAAGCATCTTACATTCAATATGAAATGGAGTACTAGAGATCAACTGAAACGCTGGGTGACGATTGATCCCGAGTTTCTGAAAGGATGGCGCTATCGCGATGACAAAGATTTGTGAGTGCCAATAAGCTTTTGTGGAATTTGACTGCTGACTTTGAGATAATTAAGACCAAAAAACTGGTTCAGAGAACATCCGATTCTCGGAATGAATTTTGTATTCTGGGTAATAGTGCATGGCATTGCTGATGGCGCCTTTAAGGGTCTCAGTACAGTGGCAGACGTTCTCGCTGTGAGACCTCCAAAAGGGCGAGAATCATATACACTTGAGTGGAATGAGAACGTGAAGAAGCTTCCTTTCTTTAGGATGGTGGCTCCAGAAGGACCCCATCGAGAGAAAGGATTATCTTTTTCTTCTATGCACTGGAATTTCACGCGTCTAGCTCAGCGCGAGTGCTTCAAGGACCCACTGCGCGTACATGGGATTCGTGGCGCTGTTGCAAATTGCATTGACCGTAAGTCATTCCAATTCTCCTTAGACAATCAGCGCTCACAATATTTAGCCAAGGCGTCGGAGGCGACCCGCAGCCAGGCTCTCGATCATCAAAGCCATAACACATATATTAAATACCAATCTGTGCTGAAGGCTTTGGATATTCAGGCCCTGTTCTTTGATTTGCAGCCTGATTATGAATGTCGGGACATGGAGCAGAGCATGGCTCACCACAGAGACCCCAATGCCCCCCAGAGATTGGACGCAGCTGCTATCCAAGCATTCGAAGAGAGAGACGACATCAAATCTATGAACCGGAGAATTGCTTATCTGACTTCAGAGATCGCCGGGGAGCCCCAGCAACATAAGGAACTTGCTGCTGAACGTACAAATATATACAGCAGGAAATCCAAGCTCTTAGAAACCTGGAAGAAGGTATTCATACAAAACTGGTGGCATTCTGCATACGACGAATACATAACAGGAAACGAATTCACGGAACGCGACATGACCTGTTTATTCAACATATATAAAAAGTACCTACCAGAACGTGCTCGTCTGAGCCAATCACTTTTTACGGAAACATCATTGGATAGTGTGATTGGTCAACAATGCCTAAGGGATATGGTTGCGCTTTGCACATCCACGGAGCGCGTTGTTTACTATCCCGGGCTATTACCCGAGGACAATCGATGTCCGACATGTTCCAAGCTTATGTCACAGTAAGCATACTCGGCCTTTTGTTTGAGAATCCAGGACTGACCAAAGTAGAATTCCATTCCAGGGGAGAGCAAAACATATCTTGCAGTGTCGAAGACGATCTCTAGGTGGGCCACAATACCAACAACGATATAGGAATGAGAAGCGCGCCCATAGGCGTGTCCAGCGGAACTTTGTGCAGTTCTGCTATCTCTGCGCGGAAATTTACTGCGATGAGCAAGCCTGGATTGGCCACTGCCAAAGCCACATCAATAATCTTCAGCCTCGATGTGGGATGTTAACGTTCCGTTATACGCTTGTTGCCCCTGGCTTCTGCCCATTTTGCCTGGGTGATGAAGACAAGAAACCAGACGAGAGATTTCAACAGTGGGTGGCCAAGGCAACACTGCTTAATCATATTGACCAACATTTCGATGGTTTGAAAATCTCAACGACATTTTTCTGTCCACATCCTTGTTGTCGAGCAAAGGATTATGGGAGTATTATAAATCTGCGTCGCCACTTCTTCGATGCACATTCTATTGACGAAACGCGGTCTAACTGTGTGAATCGAAAAAGAAAATGGCAAACGGAACCGGAACTTCTCGCTGAAGACAACACTCAATCTCACCCCGAGTACTCAGCTATACAGGAATTTTCCAATGTTGACAATCATCACAAGAAAGGGAAAACGGCCAGTTCCGACGAGGTGTAAGTTACAGAGAAATACATGGAGCATTTTACGTGTTATAATGAAAGCCAGGCTTATCTGAAGTGGGCGTAAGCATTAGAGGATCGTGCCCCGAAACATAGGTAGCGTGTTCTTGAATGGATCATTTATTTCAGGGTGAAGATGTCCTACAGTATTCTACAGTAACAGATTAGACAACTCCGCAAATAGCTGCGACAGCACAATAGTACCCTTGGTCTGGGTGAGTCGGAAAACCGCTATAGCAGTAAATCTGCGACACCTTTTTGGTGAACTCAATGACTTGCAGACCCCACCCACTGTCATGTTTCAGATTATCAAAGTCAAAATGGGGGCAGCCTGCTTTCGGTCGGGCTATAGGCAAGTAACGTTCGAATTGCTTTAAATTATAACCAACGTTCTCCCTCTTCTCCGGGCTCTACCGCTACACCGTAGCTGCTTCTACTGAATCCCTCATGAGAACAATTTCCACTTCGTTCATCATGCAGCTTGTCACTCCTTTTATACTAGGCCTGGCGTGCCTTATCAGAGCTAGTGCCAATATAGAATCCGAGAGTGCTGGTAATACCGAGCTTGCAGTCCGCCGTACGGATGGATATCGCTCTATTGCCTACTTTGTCAACTGGGTCAGTTTTCCTGAAACAGCACAGGATCAGACACTAAGAGTCACTTGATTTCATATTTAGGCAATTTATGGCCGTAACTTCAATCCTCAGGACCTCCCAACCGATAAACTGACGCATGTGCTATACGCTTTTGCTAATGTACACCCGGACACCGGAACGGTGTATATCTCAGATCCTTGGGCCGACATAGAGAAGCATTATCCTACTGATTCGTGGAGCGATACTGGAAACAATGTTTACGGATGTGTGAAGCAGCTTTTTCTCCTTAAGAAGAAGAATCGAAATCTGAAGATCCTGCTGTCTATCGGGGGTTGGACTTACTCGGCTAACTTTGCTAAGCCCCTCGGCACTATGGCGGGCCGTGCAAATTTTGCTTCCTCCGCTAAGGATCTGGTGGTGGATCTTGGATTTGATGGTGTTGACATCGACTGGGAGGTAATATTGTATAAGATACCGTTTAAACGCAAGCGGCATGCTAACGAATACCTAGTATCCTGCGGATAGCACCCAGGCCGATAATATGGTTTCAACGCTTCAAAAATTACGATCGGTATGCGAAAGTATTACTCCTTTTCTTTATCAGGCATAAACTAACACATTGGTAAGAGCCTGGATACATATAGCGCTGCAGAAGCGAGGAATTACCACTTTTTCATTAGCGTTGCATGCCCAGCCGGTATGTTTCTCCGGGCCCCTGGATATGTTATTTCGTTTCTCATCCAATATACAGGACCAGCAAATTACCAAAATCTCCATATATCAGCCATGGACAAGTACCTTGATTTCTGGAACCTTATGGCTTATGATTACTCCGGTAGCTGGGACACCGCTGCTGGCCATGACGCCAATATCTACCCCTCAACCAGCAACCCCTCTAGCACGCCCTTTAACACCGACCAAGCCATTGACTACTACATCTCACAAGGAGTGACATCCGGCAAGATTAACATGGGTATGCCACTTTATGGGCGCTCATTTTTGAATACAAATGGACCTGGGACTCCTTATAGCGGTGTTGGCAGCGGTAGCTGGGAGAATGGTGTCTGGGACTATAAAGCGCTGCCCCGGGCTGAGGCAAATGTCAGCTACCTTGACCAACCTATCGCTAGCTATAGCTATGATGCGTCGCAAAAGACAATGATAAGCTACGACACCCCCCAAGTTGCAGAAAAGAAGGCAGAGTATATTATGTCAAAAGGTCTGGGTGGTGGAATGTGGTGGGAGAGCAGCAGTGACAAGAAAGGATCTGATAGCTTGATCACGAGGGTATGTATCCTAGTCAGCTTTGTCTCCGCGTGGTTATCGTTGGCCAAATAATTCTCTAACCGGACATTCTTACTCTTAGGTTATTTCAAAATTTGGCGGTATCGGTGCTCTAGAGCAAGTCGAGAACGAACTGGGGTACCCGTCCTCCCCTTACGACAACCTGAAAGCTGGATTTCCTTCCAATTAAGAGCTGGCTCTGTCAGCAAAATCCACGATAGGCAGACAGCATCTATTCTGCTCCCTGCTAATAGGTCTATGGAAAAAACGCACCTATAAGATTCATGCCAAGCGCGGTTGGTTACATGTGAGTAAACGAAACATTCGCTTTTCAACAAACTGAATATCTTTTACGGGTGTGTAGTACAAGTGGTGATGGTGGGGATTTTCAGTTAGTGCTTTGCGATATTACCAAGATGTAAAAGATTTTAGTCTGTTTGAAATAGCACCCAAGACGCTACGTCTTAAAACGAGAGAATCTTCAGAGAAAGTTTTACATACGGAGAAATCCCCCTGGGCTTATACTTGGCAGTGAGAACGTTAGACCTTTTTAGATCTAGTAAATTCCCTAATTATCCTTCTTGTCCGTACGATTTGAACTCTGTTGTCTTTGATAATTTATTTCCGGTGGATCAACTCTGACTTCAGCTCCCAATTACAGAGTATTCGCTAATGCACTGGGCCCCTGTAGTCTACGTTCCAGCATCACCATCCGACTTCTGGCTACTGCATGCAAGATGGAAAGATGAATAACTCATTGACTTGTATATAATGAGACTCAAAGTCAGGATATAGAGTGGATGACAAGATGTAACTAAGATAGGTACAGTAGCATCTAAACAAAACACAAATATAAAGCCATTCCCCTAGACTTCCACGCTACCAGCCTACAAAATCCCTCAAGATTAGGCGCAACCGACGCTCATCATTAAGGAATTTAAGCGGAGGATCTTCTTTTTCGCGCACCCATCTCATGTTGTCCCAACTACCCACACGCCTAAATGAACAGGCTCGGTAGATCCTCAGCTTCATCTCATCAAATCTCAACTCAGGATTCTCCTTGCTTATGAATATCCAAGAGGATTTTCCAAGGAAATCCTTTCCTCTCTCCAGCTCCCACTCTGGTTTAGGCTTCCATTTGGAATCAAAAATCCGTTCGTCAAGTGCTGACTGAGGTGTCGACACCGGGACGTCTTTAAGCTCAAACTTTTCTCTATATTTCTGCTGAGATCTTTTATCCCGACCTAGTGGTAACCGTTAAATACGATGGGATGACTAGAAATATGTTAAGATCATTAGAGCATTACTCACGCATGAGAACCTTGAGGAATCTCCCCATGATAATTTCCAAATAATTATAAAATGGGTTGGCCAAAGGAAAATCTTTATATCTCTTAGTCCAAGGGAATTGCATTCATTATATACCCCTCATGTGGTCCAGAAATCGTGTGGTCCATTTCAGGAACACAAAGAACGTCTACAGAACCTAGAGATAACCCACTATCAATCATAATAGTACTGGAACCCAAAATACAACTGGGAGCTTTTACTAGGCAGCTTGTTTCTACTTTCCTAGCACCCCTGTATTAGCTTACAGTTACTGCTCTGGAAAGACCATTTGGTTACCGTGGGGGGTCCATTTTAGAAGCTGCAGGGATCCGTTTCTATAGTTACAGGGATCCTTTGTAATGCCGTAAGCCGTTCTACATGTGACTACCAAAGTGGGCCCTGCGCTGCGACCACCAAAACGGATCCCTGCCACTACCATAAAGAATCCCTGCGGCATGATGGTATGATCGATCTCAGGAACTGCTTCCACTCGCACGGACCTCCTATGATTTCAGAACCAACAATCCGGGATCCCAGACAGGTCTACAGTACGGGAAATAGGGCTTTGGATAAATATCAGGTATATTGCATTGAGACTTTCCACTTTTGCAACCGCCATGCGTTGGTTTCTGGGTACGACTATGTGGATCAATGCCAGGTGCTGTCAAGTTTTGTTCACTGTTTAAACATACTTTATACTGTTTTTTCTAACAGACACAGATTGAAAGCGGCGAGGGGACAACCGCCACCGTACTCGAATGAGTTCGCTCCGACATTTGCTTCTTCCCCGGATTATCAACCTAAGGGACCACAAGTGCCGCCAATTGCCGCGCTTCGGTGTACGATCTGCTACGGCCGTCGATCTCCCTTGTATCACATAAACCACGCAAGAGATCCGATCGGATTTCCAGCGGCAGGTGTTTGTTCTCGCCGAAGGACGAAATGCAAGCTCTATCAAGCGAGATGGAGCGCGTCTGCCATGGGCTTGCCGGCCATTCCAGAATTACCGGCAGATTCGCACATGACAGAAACGGAAAGCTCGCTGAAGAAACCCCGTGCTAGCCTTTAATATACCTGTTTAAGTGTGACAAGAATAGCTGCAAATTAGTGTAAGATGCTCCAATGCTACTTCTTCCCCTCAAAGCTACCTACTGGAATGGGCCTTCATGTAAAACCACAGTAAATTCATATAGCTCAGGTTAGAGTATGCAAAATTTGGGATAGCAATTCCTGGGGAGTGGGCTAGCGCTTGCCTTAGGGCGACTGCTTCCGAGTCCAGTATACGGTACTTTAGAGTTACATAGAATGTTGTGATCGCATGTGTGTCGACTTAGAGCACGAATTATCTTGTTACATTCGTCACCATCATTTCGGCGGCATAAAATTTCAGGAGTGATTTTGAAGGCTGATTTTTCCAAGGGAACGAACAAATTCGGTACCATTGTTTTGCTCATTGTATGTAAAGTACGGTGATTTACGAATTGATAATGGCGGAGATGCTTCATAAAGGTTTCACAGCATTTACTCTTAACGTCAAATTAACTAGAAAGAAAAGAAGCGAACAAAAGACTTGAAGCAAAAAACATCTCAGACTAGAGCAAACTTCTCTACTCCGACATTGAATAGACTTCCTTTCCATCTTTAATGGCAGGCGCTGGTGGACGTGAAAGTCGCGGATTTGTCTGATACTGTAGCCGATGGAAAAACTGTGCTCGAAGACGAGACTGTGCTCGAAGACGAGACTGTTGCCGTAGTTGAGATCATCGGCACAGAAGATGAGCCAGTCTCGGTCGATAACTCATAATCAGATGCACTGCACCAACTACCAACTCGAAGTCCATTATTCAAAGTACATCCTGACTTGTCACCATTCTGGTTGAAGAAAGTGACTTCACCTGTGTGGGTGATCGTTATCCAAGCGACATCCTTGCCATCTTCAGTCCCACACGCTCCTACACTGACAGTAGAGAAGTCCTTGCGCGTGCCGTTTACGAGCTCACTCAATTCTGCGAAACTGTCAATATAGAGTACTCAAGGTAAATAAGTAGAGTTGGTACCTGAACAGTCGGTTCCATTGATCTCTGCAAAAGGTTCAGAGTAACCTGTACATGCATGGCTATCGTTGGACCATATCAGACATTGGCGATCTTGGTCGATGACTCCGAGGGAGGCCCCCAAAGAGGTGCTAATGAAAGCTCCAATGAGAACTGCTGGTACCGGAAGATGCATTTCGGTTGACTGGGAGAGCTTGAAATAATAGTAGATGATGATAGGGGTCACGTAGCTCTTTATAGTTAGTCAAGGTGTGTGAGATAAGAAAGCTACAATACTATTCTTGACCCCTGAATAGACCCTATGTAGCCAGAAACACTCAACCTAGAAAGAAGTTTTGCCCATCTTGCCTGCAGTTATCAAAATGGATCCCTGCGACCACAAAAAGAATCTCTGCGACTACAAAAATGAATCCCTGCGACACCTAAATGGTCCCTCCATTCGTCCCGAGGGAGGAACTGCAAGCCAATTGAGAAGTGCCAAGGACACATAGAAAGAAGCCACTGCAGAAAAGGCTCGATTTGTATTTGTAGTGGGTCACGGGCTGCCCCCAAAACGGATCCCTGCTGCCACCAAAACGGATTCCTGCGACATTAAGATAACGTAGCCGACCACGGTCTCAAGAATTGCTGGCGCTCGCGGTCAGAACTGCACCGCATTTTGCTGGTCCTCTACCTCTTCTTGGTTCCTGAAACACCAACCTCAACTTTCTGGCTTCTGCATTAAAGGTGCTGCAATTATAGAAGGCAGCCACATCGCGTACTAGCGTGCAAGGCAATCGATCTTTCGTCGTCATGGGTGCTTACTTTTCTTTTGCAAGACGTTGGAATAAATCGCCAGGTGAAATAACTGAAGGGTCTGATGCTGTTACTGTAACCCAAGTTTCCATTCATGCGGCGGTGGAATCCTCTTTGTTCTTATCTGCTATATCTATCAACATCCTTCTACTAGCGCTGATGCCCGCATTGCGTCTTTTTCTCTTATGTGCAATCTAATTTGCTTTACAGTAGTTTTCGAAATCAGTTTGACCTTGGACTCTGAAGACTTGATTCCCGGAAAATAAACCCGCGATGCGCTAACCCTATTTAGGATCACCGCTTTATAAATTTGGCAGAACCATGGTAGTAACGACCCGTGACACACCAAGGGCGTATTGTAACCATCCAGTAATGATACATCGAGCTCGCTAGATCCGCCAGTCTGCCAAGATCATTCTGCGAATTTGACAGTTGGAATGGAGCTTTAATCTCTATGAAATCATCAACAGAGGGGTGCAGTAATAAGAATCAAATCTTCATTGTTGCTCTATAGCTTACTATTGACTAGGATTGTAGAATCGTTGCTCCTATCCTGTGCACCCACTGAGGAGGATTTTTCATCATTGGTTCTGGGTTGCCACTGTGCAAAGTTGCCATCGCCAACTGACTGACCACCCACTCGTCCCTTGAATTTCTGCGTGCCTTGGACGGATGGCCTGCCACTGAAATTTCATGTGTGACGGTATCGGGTATTTTTTAGATATTTGATGCCATGGATTTAGTGGTCTTCAACTTGATTATGATATGCTACAAGTATCAAACTTCTTAGCAAAGGAACAGAACATGTACTTCGATAAACCCCCGCTTAGAAATCCGGCCAGTAAGGTCCAAGCGATGGGCTCCAACGGACCGGAATCCGTCATCATAGATTTAATCGGTTTCGGGTTTGAAGGTGGGCTGGCAAGACCCTGGCCTTGTTACCAGGTTATGCTTCTGATCAAGAAGCCTCGTCCCTAACGTACCTTGGACTATGAATGATCAACGTCATACACCAAGATGGTGGTCTCCGCTTTTCGCGTGCCATCTCGCCTCGAAGGGTTAAGTATAACAAGTATACGTTCCACAATTCTTGACTTCTCATTCTATAGCATCAACATCAAAAGAACATATTCCTCTCTAATATATCATCCAACAATGGCAACATTACTTTATCCTCCCAAGTCGGCCATTACCCTGGATTGTTCAAGACACCGTTCTTCCCTACAGTCAATAAAACCATTGCAGTCATCTACACTAAGTATAACGGAACTGCCATGTCTGTCATCGTTCTTTCCATCGCAAAGTGAGAAGGATTTCCTTCTGGAAAAGCCATACGAGAAGCAAGTTTCGAAGGCACCTAATATGCTATCTATAAGCCTACAATCCCCCCTTGAACAGCCAGTTCAACGGACTCGTCGGTCTTCGATAAGGTCAGCAACAAGCAAAGAGGTCAATCCCGGGAGGGCCAAGCATCTTGAGCGCAATCGCATTGCTGTCAAGAAGTGCCGATTGAAGAAGAAGGAGGAGCACGCGAGGATGCAGACTCTATTGAACACCGAAACAGCTAAGCGCGACTGCTTGCTGTCTGAAGTGGGACGATTGAAGGACGAACTTTGGTACCTCAAAAATATGATCTTCGAACACGCCAAATGCGAACAACAAAGTATTAACAATGAGCTGGCTAGAATGACGCAAGGCATCCTTGAAAGCAGCTCGGGGCAGTTGAAATGCCCCTCACCTGCCTCTTCAACAAGTACATGCTCCGACGGGTCGGTTCCTAAGGAACCAGGCGCACTAGAGCACCCAGTCACAATTCCAACAGGAATTGGAAACTGTGGGGGTCGCCCCGAAGCGATATTTGAAGATTTTATTGATCCGGTGACACTATAGCTGGACATAGTGCCGGAGGACTGTGCATTCATATCATGCATGATTGGTATTATCTCGAGAGTTTTTACCAAGGTCATAAGCAACATGAGACGACAGAATTGATGTCATACGATTTCCACGTTATGGCAGCTAGTATATAGATAGCTATACTCCTTCATATTATTTAGTACCTTGATTGATTGGAATCGAACATTGGTTTCCTATCTCCGCGGAGGTTTTTAACGGGTTGCTTCATACATCATAGACATGAGCAATCATTCCGGATCAAAATGCCCTCCAATCAAAATTTCCCATCAACGGGTCATCTGTCTTCATGATTGGTTCACCAACCCCGCAAAAACGAAAGTAGCGGTCGCGTTGTCAGACACTGATGACTCATCACCAATCATGATGAGCAACGCCCTCCGACATTCCGGATGCCACAGCTCAAACTGGGGACTGTGGAGAATAGCGGCTCGTCAATTGTCTGGAACAAACAGCCGACCAATGAATGCAGAATTGCGCCGATCAATGTGCGGCAATAGGAGATCAGCAAAGGAGCTTCAAGAGGTGTCCCGAGGAAACAGAGGATAGATTCAGAGCTTCTTATATATTTTCTTTCTCTCTCTTCGAGTTTCGCGGACCGGCGACTGATGTCATACGGGCCTTGCCACAAGCCACGAGCAAAAGAAAAGATGGGTGTTGTGGATCTGGTATAGGCTTTCTATGATATAACAGCTCACATCCCATCTATTACTTCCTCACTCTTCAAAGCTCCAACATTTTAACTGAACACTAGCCGCATACTACCCTATGGTTTCCATAGGAAGAATTTTGAATTTTATGGAGTTACTGGCAATTTACCATGTCTAAATCATTGGATACAACACTTGCTCCGGGACAGGGGATGGCCCGTTTTACCCAGAGGAACATAATGGGCACGCTGTTTGAGACCACAGCAAGGTATTGACAAGTACTGCAATTTGAGCTGGAAGCAAATTCTTAAATCTCATGTTAAAGGTATCAGCATTTGGAGCCTGTGGGTATGGGTATTACTGGGCTTGTTTGGTAAGGTCGCCTCAATCGCAGGCCTGGCCCAGGCTAATTGCATGACTTAGCTCCGCACGAGACCAGATTTGTCACCAAACTGTTGCTATAAAGAAGCTGTGTCAGCCCTTCAAGACAGACAACATTGCCAAGCATATGTATCGCGAGGTTAGGTTATTGAAGCAACTTCAACACGACAATGTCCGTCGCCCAGTAATTTCTCTGGGCAAGACAATATTGATAAGCATATAGATCATTCATTTAAAAGATATTTTCATATCTCCATCGGAAGAGATGTAAGTATAATATCCCGTTACTCAAACTCATCTAACGCCTCGAAAGTTACCTCGTCACCGATCTCATGGCAACGGATCTTCACGCTCTCTTGAAAACAAAAAAAGTCGACAATCAATTTGCGCAGTACTTTTTATACCAAATAATGGTGGTCACCCATCACGATCCTCTTCTTTAACTATGATTACTGACTTGATTCTTAGCGAGGTCTCAAATACGTACATTCAGCCGGTGTCATCCATCGCGATCTCAAACCAAGCAACATCCTAATCAACGAGAATTGTGACCTAAAAATCTGTGATTTTGGATTAGCTCGCGCGCAAGAAATGCAAATGACTGGCTATGTCTCTACGAGATACTACCGTGCACCAGAGATCATGCTCACTTGGAAACGATACAACGAAAAAGTTGACATCTGGAGTACTGGGTGCATCTTTGCCGAAATGATGACGGGTCGACCGCTGTTCATGGGGAAAAATCATATCGATCAATTCTGTGTCATCACAGAGCTCCTGGGAAATCCACCCGGTAACGTTATGGCTAACATTACAAGTGAAAATGTTTGATTTGATCCCACCATTACCATGAACAGCTTATTGACTTCTTGCCCCATTAGACTTTGAAATTCATCAGATCCCTCCCCAAGAGATCTCGTAGGTCTTTGGCCACGATCATCCCCACTGCCTGCAGAACAGGTACCCAACCCTTGTTGAAAACTGAGTTACGCTGAGTAATAGCTGACTGACATATGTAGCCATCAATCTACTGGACAAATTACTCCAATTTGATCCAGAGAAGCGTTGTTCTGCAGCCGCCGCACTCGAATCCGAATATCTGGCTCCATACCATGATCCTGAAGATGAGCCTGTGGCACCAAAATCTTGCGACTGGTCATTCCTTGAAGCGGATCTTTCCGTAGACGTCTGGAAGACGATCATGTACGCGGAGGTATTAGATTATCATGAGCAATGCGGCGGGCCGTTCCAGCTGACTGCGCAATTTGACGGCATGGACCTGGGTTGAATTTTGTCTCCCATTCGAGTTTCCTTTAATTTATTTTTTGTGGGTGCATTGTCCGAACCTCAATTCTCTCATCTCAGAAGTCGGCGAGGTGTCGTATCATTTCCTGGAGGCATTTCTTTGTGGCGAAAATGTATCACATGGTTACAATAAGCTTTAAAAGGCGAGAGTCTTGGAGCTATGTCGCCTAATCTAAGACGGTTAAGTAGGTAGCCTTTTTCGCAGGAGGTTGAGATTGTTAAGGGAGAGAGAAACAAAGGATCTTATGTTCTGCTAATTTCGTGTAAAATACACCACCTGTGGTACTGAAGTAGTATTGTAAAATTCATGGCCTATGATAGAAAAGGGTCTAGGCAGAAGTGCTCAAAATAACATCCAATCGGAACTCGCGCATTCAGGATTTTATTTTCCCGGAATCAAGTCTGAAGAGTACAAGGTCAAACTGATTTCGAAAAACTACTGTATGATCTCCTCTCTTTGCCATTTGAACAGCCTCAAATCAGCCACCAATGATCTCCATTTATATTTTCGGCTGGACCAGGTTGGGATACTTTTGCACATATAGTCTAGCTCAATTGCAATCATATATCTTGAGGTTCCAAATAGCAATAGTGGATTTATTGCTTTGATGATCACTCTAGTCGGCTTGGTCTCGGCGATCTGTTTAATGTTTCCGTCTTTTGGAAAGACGGAGCGAATCCTGGTTATCGGAGAATTTGGAGCTTTCCCTTTCTTAAGTGCTTTGACCTAAATTGTTCTTTACTCGGACCCGCCCCGAGTAACTGTCTCTTATGTTACTATGGTCATATTGAACAGCATCGGAGGGTGGTCTTATTACCGCGGATCTCACGCATTTACCCAGAAAGGTACAAACAAGGGTTATATTAACTCTGGGCATTCATTCATGCATATATGTTCTCTCTTTGCGTCTATGATTCATGGTGTGGTGCTCGTTCATTACGTTTCTTTCTGATACATATATTGCTACACACACACACACACACAATTCATTAACGCCCGGCGGCTAGGCCGAAAGGGCAACTAAAACTGATCTATAAATACATGTCCCAATATATATATGCCGTGTCTCCTTCGAGCCTATACATGGATGCTTGCAGTATATGTCGTCTTAGCTGTCAATATCATACGGATCCTTGTGGGTTAGTGATTTGGTTAGTAGACTGGCTTGAAGGCGCTTCTCCAAGTGTTCAACATCCTATCTTCGGCAGTTGAAGCGCGTCCACCATTTGTGGCACAAGGTGGTAGGTGCAGGTTGGTGAACGGGTGGGAGGGTGTCGTTGTGGTAGTTGACGTGGTTAGGTGGCGTCGAGTCGGCCCGTGGCGATCGCGAATCGTATTGAGGCTCGCACCGCTTCCAAGTTCGGCATCCATCGCTGATTGTCAGAGGGCGATTTTCCGCCCAGAAAGAAGGAGAGATTGCCCCGGTGAGTTTGGCTACATTGCAGCAGTGCTATTCGTTGTGTGGTCCACTTCCGACATCGGAAGAGGAAGTGTTCCACGGTCTCTCTTACTTGTCCACATGCACACTGGTCCGTTTCTGCAACGTTGATCCGATAAAGATAGCCATTGAGTCTGGCCATGCCCGTCCGGAGTTGGGCCAGCACGCTCGCTTCCTTCCACGATAATCGATCATACAGCTGTCGAGTATGTTTCCCTGGCAGTGCTGCATCTACTCGTTTCACGTGTCTTCCTACGTTCTCCGGCAAGTCATTGCTGGGAGCTGCTTGAGACCGAGCGATCTTCAGTGTTGTCAACTTCATTCTGGGGGCAGATTTTTGCAGGGCGGCATCCTTCTGGGTCGCGGTCCTGGCTTGCTCTTTGGCCAGACCTAGTAGTTTATTGTCCGCGCTGGTAGGGACCCAGAGGATATTGATGTGGTTTCTGTTTCTTCGCAGCCTTTTCATTAACTTGTACGATTGGCAGACGAACTCCTGGCCCGACTGTTGTCGAGGATTCCGTAGCGTGAGGGCCGCTGGTTTGTTTCTCGTGAGCAGCGTGATCCTGTAGTCTTTCAGTCCCACTAGCATGTTCAATGTGTGTGCTAGTGCTGCTAGCTCCGCGGAGAAAGGGTTTTGCTCTAATCTTGGGCCTAGTGTCGTGGAGAAGGTCTTCAGTTTCAGCTTCCGATATCGAGGTGGCTGTTTCTTGATCGCTACCCCAAAACCTACGAGGCCGTTTCGTGCTGAACTGCTGACCGTAACTTACAATGATCCGCCCGGTACGGTGTGCGAGTGCGGTATTGCTTCAACATCGCTCTGTATGCGAGTCTCCTATGGTGCTAACACAAACGGATTGATGGTTTCCAGAGTTTCCATCTCAATGTTTTTTAGCGCGTCCGCTACCTGGTACAGCGGCGAACGGTGGTATCTCCTGAACTTCTTCATGCAGGCTGTGCTCCTACGGAGCGGGTGGGTTTCTGGAAGGGTGTGAATGTCCGTCCACATTTTCACGGCCCGTCTCCAAAAACGGTATTATGCGGTGGCAATGTGAGCCTCGGCCTCCGCTACGCTGGTCGCAACGGTGAGAAATGTCCTGACAATTGCTTACGCTCCTACCCTTTGAACTCGATTGATCGGCCCGCTGGCCTTGTCCTTACAGGCGTGCATCCAGACACTAGAAGCATAGTCTACCACTGGAGCCACTGTCGATGTGAACAGCTGTCTTGCGGTTGCTGGTGTTAGGCCGCGAAGTCGCCGAAGCTCCATCGCTGCCTCCAGGCCTTTAGATGCCGCCCTCGCGATATGTTCCTTGTACTTGAGTCTTATGTCCATGAGAACGCCCAGGATCTTGACATGATCTCTAGGCACAACGGTCTGTCCCTTGACAGTGAAAGGCTCCTGGTCTGTTTTGTGAACTTTGGGAGCGAAGTGTATGATAGCAGTTTTGTCTGCCTCAAAAGTCGCTCCGCTCCTTTTCTCCCAGTCGAGCGCTTCAGTGATAATTGCTTCAATACCTTCCCGATTGCTCTGAGCCGTTGGTCCGGTCACCCACGCGGTAAAATCGTCCACGAACGCGATTGCTCCTCCTTGGCTGTCGATCTGTCGTTGAACGAGGTCTGCGTTGAAGAAGAGGAACAAAATCGGGGATAGCGGCGATCCCTGCGGCAGCCCAGCCTGTGGCAGGCTTTGGACCTCGGACAATTGTCCATTGATTTGGATGGTCGCCGTTCGTTCCGAACAGAACGCCTCAACCCACCGGAGCAGGTCCTTCGGTATGCCTCGCGCTTTCATCCTCTGAAGCAATCGTTCTTTGCACACTCCATTGTAGGCTCCTTTGACACCGCGAATATAATATTGCATTGGTATACTTAGATCTAGTCTGTTCTTTTAAGCCAATACAACGGAGAGATAGGCAAATTCCCTCCCATGCTTTCCCAGCTCCTTATCCAGCTCACTAGTACTCTCATTCCTAGATGTCCGTAGATCCTCTTGCCTTCAAGATCTTAGCCTTTGGGGTTCCAGCGGAGCCAAAAACCTTCCCCCACACTCATATACCCGTTTGCTCCTTAAGCCCACCCTCCAGGCCAAGTTGCAGCTCTGCTAAGTCCCCTTAGGGTCACGGCATAACAACCTTCCTGCTTCTTGTGAACCGACATGCGCATCCGTCTTCTCGGGCTATACTGAAAGTGTTGTAAGGATCTCTAGTCGGCAGCCGATGGCGACGCACCGACCTTCTTCCTAGCCATCGTTGCCATAGTATACCTCAGTCCACAAGTTGGCGTGAATTCTTGCTTCCTGATACCTAGTATCCTCTCGTTCTCTAGGCCGACCATGTCTTGCAGATGGTCCCTTTATACACCCAAGCCTGCAGCGTATAATCCTTCCATCCACTAACCAAAGTGTCATCCGATTTGAGGTAGGGAACCAGCGGGCGATGGCGATGCACCCTAGCCCTAATCCCACAAATCCAATTCTACCCCACAGGTGTCCTGCTCGACTTCAATCCGCACCTCTGAGAGGCTCTGTGAACTCACCTTGGGGTGACGGCATGAGAGGCTGTAACCGTTATCGTCGGATGGTTTTTAAATCGTTCCTGTGTGCCAAAGGGGCCTCGAGGTCGCTAAAATTGCGGTGGAGGCAGGCCGCAACATCGCGGACTCGTTTCCTCTGGTCGTCATTGCGTGTCTCATTGGCTCTGGAGTAACAGAGTCTCCAGGTTCGTAGCCCACGCCTCGTATAGGCTGAGAAATCCGACTTCGTGGGCCTATATTGCTACAGTAGTTTTCGAAATCAGTTTGACTTTGAACTCTTTCGACTTGATTGCCGGAAAATAAATCCGACAGACGCTAATCCTGCTTTGGGTCACCGCTCGATTAATCTGGCAGAACTATGTGTATAATTACCGTTCGTATCCCTAAGACGTATTGTAATGATATTGTAATGATACATCGAGGATCGTTTGCCTGCTTTCCGCCTTCCGCCAGTCCCACGTTTCGCCTAGGTCCATTTCTGAAACTGCGGGGGTGATTGTGGAACCGATTGTCCATGGTCTGGAGGTTATAGCCATCCAGTTGGTTTAAAGGGATCTGCGACGACGAAGTTCCCTCGCCTCTCAAAAAGGCTTTTTCCACTTGCGTGTCTGATCAAAGGAGCTCTCATAGCCTTTCAGTTCGTGTATTGTCTGATTCGAAAAAATATGTTCTCTGGGCAAAGAGCCCTCTGCATTCTGCTGTCGATCATATCTGTCATCCGGCCGGCTCTTCTTGGTGCATTGTACGCGTTTGAAGTCGATAGCTTCCTGTAGAAGCGATAATTCAGAGATCTCAGCTAAAAGGCCCTCCGCCATAGGTATCGGGGAAGTCGGTTCAGATTTGGATCTTAGTTGATTGAACATTGCGCCATTTGATCCGTTTGTGTGCGGAAAATCAAAAGATGAATCATTAGAACAAAAGATTAGATTTGTATTTGAATTGAAAGCCTTGACACGTGATCATTATAAATCAGCTAGTACAAGGCCAGATATTTGCCACAATATCGGACATTACATCACTTGCAACGATAAAGCGAGGGAAAAATGTAAGAACGAATGTAATATTCTGAAACTAGCTGTCATGCCAAGTTCCACATCTCTGTCTCTGTCCACTTCTCAGGTTTGTTGTTCCTTAAGCTACCGTAAGCTTGTCGCTCAGCGACGACATTTTTCTATCCTTTCTCGAAAATGTAATAAATAAAGAATCAAAGAAGGTCGGAATGAAATCAGGTAGGGAATAGTCCTCCAGCATGGCAAGAGAAATGATACGTAGAGATACACTTAGACTAATACTGACTGGCTGACCTAACTAAGGATATCTGTCCCTGGCCTTTTTGTCTATTACGGATCATTTATCACAGCTATAATATTTTCAAAATTCCCTTGTCTTAAAAGTGCACGGAGGCCGCCCTCTCCTCTGAATCTTTGCTGAATAACCATACAGCCTGCTTGAGGTATGAAAACGCTAATTAAATATGCGAAGCACTATTAGTTGATGAACTTAGTAAGATGCGAATGCATGAATTAGATAAAGACATACGGCACGGCTTTGAATATCGTTCCCATGATAGTATTGCTGACTTCAAAATCATTTTCTTTTAGTGACTCTGCGTATCTGTTACAATTAGTACTTCCGTTGTCCCGTTATCGGCAGGACTTGATGCACAAACACTTCGATATCATCCTCGGTGGTGTCTCCAGAAAAAATAACCTATAGTAGGTAAAGCTTAATGCATGATCGTGATATTCATCATGACATAGTGCGTATCACTTACCAAATAATGAGGCATTGCTTAGGTCTCTTGAATGGGCAGCGTTGCGTATAATAAGTTGTCGAAGTTGGTGGCGATCGGACTGTGTCATAAGAAACCTGCAGTACGAATTTTTGCGTGACGTCATAAGGGGCTGCTGTGTAGGAGCCGGATTGGAGAGGAGGTACGGCGTGTCCGCTGATGTAATGTAAAATACATTATACAGTACAGAATCCGTAAGTATTGTGAAATCTATGGACTATTATAGAAAGCGGTCTAGATGAGATATGCTCAAAATAATATCCAATAAACACTCGCAGATTTAGGATTTCTTTTCCGGGAATCAACTCCAAAGAGTGCGAGGTCAAACTGATTTCGAAAACTACTGTACAGAAGCAATGAATTATCACTTTTTGATTAGCGTTGTATTTCCAGTCAGTATATTCCTTAAGATTCTCTCAAGTCTCTCAAGTCTCTCAAGTCGTTGCTTCGTTTCCGATACATAAAAAGGACCGACAGATTACAGTACCACAATCTCCAGATATCAGCCATGGACAATTACGTAGATTTCTGAAACCTTATGGTTTATGATCAATGCGGTAGCTGGGACACCACTGCTGGCCATGATACCAATATCTACCCCTCAATCAGCAACCCATCTAGCACGCTCTTTAACACTGACCAGGCCGTTAACTACTATATCTCTTGAGGGGCGACACCTAGTAATATTATGGGTATGCCACTTTATAGGCGCTCGTGTTTGGCTGCTAATGGGTCAAGTAGGCCTTATAGCGATGTCGGGAGCGGCAGCTAGGAGAATGAAGCATAGGACCGTCAGGCGCTGGGGCCAGGGCAAACGTCAGCTACCTTGGCCAACCTATCGCTAGCTATAGCTACGGCGCGTCGCAAGAGATGATGATAATTTGTGATACACACGAAGGGGCACAGAAAAATGCAGAGTGTGAGCTAATACTTGCTACTGAAACCTTGTCAAGGGTTACGCTGAAGGCGCTAGTCGCTTCAGCGGCCCCACAAATATGGGCGGAGATGGAAATAATAAGCGACAAAATATCACGACCTAACGCTCGCTACATACAAATATCCGGGCTATAAACCACGATCGAATAACAACATAGCCATATATCCTTGGGGAAGTGGATTGCTCACAAATCACCACGTTCTCATCTTGCTTCTTATCGCCCGTTGATATCATGTCTTCCTGATTGGTACAGTGGTAGTAGTAGTAGTAGTATTCATTTACACTGACCCCTCGCCAAAGCGATATGCAGTATACAACAACTATATATCTGAGTGTGTACATTTGGGATGATCCACGTCCTGACATGAACTTAGAGCCTCGTCACGGCCTCTCGTGGCCCATTGCCGCTCCCATTGTTAGGCTGCCCTTATGGCGCACGACTGCGAAACCGCTGTGACGCCTCGGCGAAGTCCAAGACGGCCTGAACCGTCTTGGCTCTCGAGACGATGTCTGGTTTACCTTGCTCACCTTCGTTTGAGCCTCCCAGCAGGCTCGACACACCGCTCAGCGTATTTCCAGTTTTCCGTCTCAATTCTACCCTCAGCTCTCGGAGCCTCGGGCATTCCATCAGCACGTGGGCGACAGTCTCCTGCACACCACATTCACATAGATCATCCTCGCGGAAGCCGAATTTCTTCGCGTAGGTGGATAACCAGTTGTGACCCGTGCGTAGCTGCGTCAGCAGGTAGGCGCGATTCCTTGGTAGATTCCCGTAGAGCTTTCTCGTGTACCGCGCTGGTAGGCCACCGTCTATCTTTCGTAGGTGAGCACCTTTGGTGCTTGTCCTCCACTCTTGTTCCCACTGGGTATGAATTTTGCTACGGACAAACGCGTTCTCCCTCGATAGTAGTGGTCGAAAGGGGTGGGTTTTCCCCGGTTACGCGGCATCTTTGGCGAGTCGATCTGCAGTATCGTTCCCTGGGTTTTCACAGTGCCCTGGCATCCACTGGAGGCGAAGTCTGATGTTCTCCCCTTGAACCTCGGTGGCTGCCTGGAGGATCGCATAGACGATGCGTTGCCCTGATTTATTCTTCACGTTCTGGATCGCTTGCAAGGCCGATTTGCTGTCGCATAGGATTGTTGCTGTTACAGGAACCCCGTTTGCGGCGTTTGAGCGTTGGTGGAACAGTTTGAACGCCATGTTGACCGCATAAAAGATGCCAATGAGTTCCGCTACATGAACTGACCAACGGTCCATCGGCCCCACTTGGACCTGTTGAGATTCAATCACCTCGTCACTTTCGTTGAGTGTAACGATGGCCGCCCCGAGGTGGTCCTTGCGTCCTGAAGCGTCTGAATAGACGATGAGGTCTGATGTGGCGCGTATGGTCTCAGCCCGTTCCGTTGCTGTCTCCCGGTCTGAATTGACTTCAATCTCCGCGAACGCCTCGGTAGGCCATGGTGGTAGCGGTCTTGGGTCGATCGTTTCTAGTGCTGCTAACCTAGACGGGTCCATGGTCTTGAGAGTTTCCGCGAGGGGGAACCTGTAGCGTGATCTCATATTGTCCCTGCGTCTCTGGGCTCGTGATAGGGCACTCCAGATGGGGTGATCGCGAGGCAGAGTGTGTAGTCTTGTGATGGTGCGTTGCGCTCGGTGGCGGAGGCGGAGGTGGGTAGGGAGTATGTAGGCTTCTACCTCTAGTGTTGCTGTCGCTACTGTCCTGAATGCCGAGAGGATTCGGATCAATGAGGCTCTCTGTATCGTGTTCAGTTGTCGGAGGTGAGTCTTGTCCCGAAGCGGGTCATGCCAAACTGTTGATGCATAGTCCACGATAGGCGTGACGCACGCTTGGTAGAGCTGTCGCATTTGCTCTGGTCGCAGGTGTCGTAGCCCACTTAAAGCGATAGTGACTTTAGTAGCACGTTTGATGGCCTGTTGAACGTGTTCCTTCCAGCGGAGTTCCTGATCAAACATCACCCCCAGCAGTTTTGCCGTAGGTGACGGCTTCACATCGGTTCCATTAGAGGTAAGTTGCCCTTCTAGATGCTCACCCCTCTTTCTAGTGAGATGGATAAGCTCAGTTTTCTCGGCGGCGAAGCTGGACCCGGTTCGCCGTGCCCACTTCTCGATACGAGGGATATCTTCGGACTGCATAATAGCTAGGTTTTCCTCGGCCGAGCGGCCTACTCGCCATCGGAAGTAGTCGTCGATAAATGCTGACGTGCCTCCGTGGGAGTCGACAGGTTGGTCGACCAGGTCGGTATTGAAGAATGTAAATAAGATAGGAGAGAGTGGAGATCCTTACGCTAGCCCTGTATGCGCGAGAGGCTCTGTCTTGGTGCGGAAATCGTCAAAGCCGATGTTGGCATGTCGGTCACTCATGAAGCTTGCAATCCACTTCCGTACCACCGTCGGAATCCCTCTCGCCTGTAAAGAGTAGTCTAGGCTCACCCTGTTCACCCCGTTAAAGGCACCCTTGAGGTCGAACGAAATTAATGTTACTACCTTGTGTTTGTACCACGCTTGGTCAATCGCATTAGATAGCACCAACAAGGCTTGCTCGGTTGTTCGGCCTGGGCGTCCGCCGAATTGGCTGTTCGGCAGCAGGCCGTGCTTTTCTACCAAATAGGACAGACGTCGCGCTATAACTGCTTCGAGAAGCTTGCCGAGTGTGTTCAGTAGTGAGATTGGTCGATAGGCGCCAGGAAGCGAGTAGTCCGGTTTGCCTGGCTTCCGTAATATAATGATCTTGGCGCTGCGCTAGTGTTTTGGATGGTGTCCTAGATCTACACATGCCGTGAAGACGCGGACAATAAAGGCCTTCAGATATACCCATACTTTTTTCCAGACCAACATTGGTAGGTTGTCCTCCCCTGGCGCCGTCGTCCCTCTCGCTATTCTTAGTGATCGCTTAACCTTAAGTTCCGTGATTAGGTGCCATAGAAGCTCCGGGAGTGGTGAAGCTGGTGGGCTAGGCTCGGGCGTGTTCATTGCGGGGAAGAACGCGTCGAGGAACGCCTTTGCTTTGTCTTCGTTCTGGATGATCTCCTCAGAGCCAGCTCGCAGTGTTGGGGTGCATCCCCATATTTCTCGATATTTCATATAGGTCGCTGCTTTCCAGAGTTTTCCTTTACCCGCCTCGTCCAGAAACTGTCTCCAGTGTGATACTTTAGCTTTCTCTATTGTCCGGGTCCAAGCTCGCCGCTTTTGTTGCATGGCCTCAAAGGTAGCCGTGGTGCTAGCATGGTCTCGTCCGAGCTCTGCGCAGCTCGCCTGCCACCTTCTGCGTAGTTGATTGACTTTAACTTATTATACCTTGAGGTCCGGGGAGAACCATCTCTTAGAGTATGGCGTTGGGTGTATATCAGGCGTGAATCGGTCGACCGCGTGGGCCGTTACTGATATAAGCTCCTCTACCACTCGGTCGAGTGTTGGCCGGGTCTTAATCTGCTCCCATGAACTCATCTGCCGGGCTACTTCTTCGCCGATCTTGGACCAGTTCGCCCGCTCGTACGCTTTCCTCGCTTTAGTTCTTGGTTTAGTCTGAGGCTGCAAATTCCATTCTGAGTAGGTGGCGCGGTGGTCAGATCCGTAGTTCTCGTGGTATAGATGGCATTTGACGAGCAGATCCGGGCTATCTGTCACTGTCTGATCGATGGTTAAGTTTTGTCCTGGGTTGTTCAGGGCCCAGTAAGTTGCTGTGCCTCGAGGGAGGCAGCCATAGAGGTTATAGGTTTGGAAAAAGTCAATTAGGTCGCTGGCATCCTCGATGAACTTAGGCGCGATGTGGTTGCCGCCCCATATCGGATGGTGTCGGTTGAAGTCGCCGGATATAATAATACTGGTCGACCGCTGCTCGTTTTGTGTGGCAGCTGCGATGGAGCTCTGAATCGTAGTGAGAGCTGGCAATGCCGATGCGTCATCGCCAGTGAAAAGTGGTGCTGGCGGTATATAGATAGAAAAGAGAAGTATTAGAGAGTTAGCTGTCCAGATTTTGATGGCTGCGATATCTGGGTGGTCGCATGATATTTAACGGTTTGAGGAGGTAGAGATTCGTCTGTTGATATAGATCAGGCTGCGAAACCGATTAGCATCGAGCTGTGCGGTAGGCCGATATAGCCGCCAGGCGCTGTGATTAACATATGTGCGGTACGTGGTGATGGAGGGCTCCTGGATCAGAAGAATATCTAGATCTTGGCTTTGAGGGTCATTGATCAGTGCCTCCATTCTTGGTCCAGATTTCATCATGTTCAACTGTAGGATGCGGAGGTTTCTCTCTAGCATCTGATGGGGTTAGAGGTTGTTAATCCTGGATACTGTCGATCACCAGTTGGGTGCTCGCCATTATAGTCTAAGCACCGCGCTCTCACTCCCGGTGGGCAGCGTTCACGCTCGTGCTGTCCTGCATAGTGTCCGTATCGAGGCGTCTCCTTGCATGTCCATACTAAATGTCCGAACCGTTAGCACCGAAAACATCTCTTTTTCTTGATCTCTCGCCGCTTAACGTGGGAGATATAGTGCTGGTTGACAAGGAAGCCGTTCCGTAATATATGTTCTGCTCCCTCTGCGGAGTCAAACTAAATTCCCAACGATGCGAACTTCCCTAAAGCCTTATCTTTTGCTTTCATCCAGGCCAGTTCGTCGATGTGGAAACCGAGTTCCGCTAGGTCATTGTCGTTGATGATCTTCTCCGCTGCCTGGATGGCCCCTGTTTCTAGGTCAAATTCCTCGGTAGGGGTACGGTGGACTATAACACCGAATCGTGGTTTAACCAGTTTCGTGTTGTTGCCTAGTTTATATAGCCATCCAGTGTTATTGCGCGCTGCTTTAGCCGACGCCGTATCTTTGAATCGAATCAGGTAACCGGTCTTAGTGGTGCCAATGCCCGCTACTTAGGCGTCTTGCGTTGCATCGCTGCTCTGCAATGCATTGCGAATGTGGGTGTTAACGGCCTCGGTAGGGAGATATCGTCCAAATGCGTTTCTATCGCTGTCATCATTGTCTCTTGGGTCGACGAAGGTTCTCTGGGTGCTGATTCGGACGCAGTTTTGCTCTTTCTCGGACTGTTAGTGGTTCGGCGTGGATGTGGTGGCATTGACGCTATTAGCTGCGACAGCTGCCTAGGTCCTAGTCGCGGTCACTGCTGGGGCGCTTTCGAGCTGCACCCGTAGTGCTTTCACTTCCTCATGGAGTCTCTCGTTTTGTTCGTGGAGGACGTTCTGGGTGTGCTTGATCTCCTGGAGTTCATTTTGGGTGGCTGCGATGGTCGTGGTTTGGTGGCGAATGACGTCCTTTAGCGTGCTGATCAGTTTCCACACCTCCTTGGTGGTGATTCGACCGGCTGGGTCCGACGGAGCGAAGATATCTCCACTCCGAGTCCGCTTCCGACTTTCGACAGCAGTTCTGGCTTCGAGGTCGTCCTCCGTGAAGCTGGCAATGGTTTCTTGCGTGTTTGTGGGAGGGGTCTCGGGCCCTCCCGCGGGTGGGTCCGCCATCGGTCAGGGGTTAGTTTCCGCTCGGCACACAGCACAACAGCTTTATATCGCCTTGATATCGACAGCAACCTCCTTAGTTACAGTGCCCTCGATCCTTCCGCACAATCGATGGCCTGTTGGTACAGTCGTTCCAATGCTACAGTCGTTCCCGATTGGTACAGTGCCGCCTGTTATCGCCTTCCATGTCTAGAGATAGAGAGACGCTCTTTCAAACCCTAATCACGTGATATGATGGCCTCAAATTGGACTAGCGTAAATTACGCGTTCTGACTTTACATAGTAATGGTACCTGATTGCGTATCCCAAGTTGTATCGATACAAGTCTCTCTCGGCAGGGATGACTATAAGTAAGTTAAAAAGGAATTCATGCAAACCAAGCAATCTGTCAACACTACCCTGCTCTATCTAGGTTCTTCACTGCTGAGGGTTTAACAGTACCTTGAGTTTCCATCTCGGGTTAAGCTGATTAGCAAGGCTTCAGATTAGCTTCGATATAATCATTGCTTATCGCCATAAGACGGTTTCCAGTATCCATTGGGCACCTGGCATACCTTGCTAATCTCTTGCGGGGTACAGCTCTAGAATACCTCTCCTTTTGACATAATTTGGTGGCCATACATATCAACCTCCATACACTGGGTTTTATTGCAGATTTTCTCGAATCATCAAATCGGCATAATGTTCATCTCAGTTTGTGTACGTTTGCTTGGTCGGAAATTTGTTTTCTGGGGCTTGGTGGACGTGTTTATACAGAGATAGATTGTGGACGGCGTGTCGAAGTCCTTTCTAATTCTCCGCCCCGTCAACGGTCTTCAGGATCCAAAAAAATATGAATGGCTTCCGCCACACTTTTAGAATTTCGGATAGATCCTAATAGGTCCTGGAGCTCCTCGTCATTGCAGCGACGGATGCTTTCAATGAAAGCAATTGTAGCGCGACGGTATCGTTCTGCTTCCCGTTGTAGATCTTGAAGTTGATCACCGGATACCTCGGCCTCGCTAACAATTGTGGTTCGATCTTCAACAAAAGTCAGAAAACGCAGGAAAACATGAGCGCATTATAGTATGAGTGTAGTCTACCTCGTGGCTGCTCCATATGTGGATCGTTGTTCACCGTGCGCGAACGTTCTTGAATTCGTCCTTTGGTTGACTGGCAGCTCAAGAGAAAAGAAAAGGAAAAGTGGGGTGGCATTCCCAGAACCTTCGGCAACCCCCAAATGGTTTCGAAATCCACTGATTAAGTTACCGCCCAGGCCAAATCAGACTTCGCCGAGGGGTATCCACTACTGCTGTCATGTGGACACAATTGAAGCTCGGAACTCTGGAGATAGGTTTATCCGAGAAACTTGGCTCCTTGCAGCCCCGTAAGTCACTCCGTGTTCGTGACATGAGAGTGTCTCCAAGGTATCGATAGATTACCGAGGCCCCAATGCTAAAAGAAAGGTAGGTGCTACAGGGTGACACAAATGCCAGTGAGACTGACTCCTCAAAAATTCACGCAGACCGACACAGCTACTAGCTGCATTTCGTCAAGAACATGGCGAGCATTTCCAAAATTCCAAGTTCGCCGTTCGGGAACCCACGAATATAAAGCCGCGAGTTTCTGGGAAGGAATCACATAACACTACCACGGGGTTAGACGCGGAGCCATATCTGCAGGATCCAGATTTGACCCCTAGAGCCGAAGGCACGCAAATGATATGGACTCAGGATGGAGCGCCATCGACGGCGGACACCGCCTTCAAGTCACCAGTACTTCGTTCGTCGAATCTTACTTTGTATTTATTTGGAAATGAACTGACATAGTCAGCGCTCTGTATCTACTTTCGCCTCTACAAGCAGGAGGGGTATCGCGGGGATGAAGACATTTTCCGCGCCGTGTACCTCCGAGAGCGGACCGCTGAACAGTTCGTCAGAGGAGTTTGCGAAAAGTCTACGATTGATAGTACCCGTGTAAGGGAATTAGTATTTCCCGATACCGAAGGCATTGTTAGCAGGACAAATGACGAGGTATTGCGGGAAATGCCAAATGGGCTCCCCTTGGAAATTGGATTCGTACCCCGGTCTGGAGGCTCCCCAGATACGGATAGCGCTGTCGGCAACCTAACAATGCGAGTATTCTGGCTCTAGAACACGACTCTGGTGCGCTTTTTTCTCGAATTTCTGCTTTACCAACAGGAAGGGCTGCTATTGTCCATGATGGGCTGCGAGAAGCGGTGCACACTCTTCGCGACATATGATACCATCCGTAAATCACTGCAATTAGCACTGTATATTAAAAACTTGCATTGCACTATCACAGACCAGTAGTCTCAGCATATAGCGTCCGACAAAATACTGCGTTGTCGCCTGATAGACCGGTCGAAACCGCGGGAGATCTAGCGATATCGAATAATCGCACGTTATTTCTAATGCTAGTGACAGTGCGCTCACTACACTGCGCCGCCTTCGCTATTTGCTTCACGGTGAATCTGTTCTTACGTAGGTCATTCAAAGAATCATCTTACGCTGTCGGGAGTCGATTTTTCTGGCGATTTTGGAGGTGGGTTGGGTGACTGTAGTTGCGAATTCGGGGAAGTGAGAACGAACGACCGTATGGCGGTTTGGGGATTTTTGTTGCGGGGGAGGGGGACGGGTAAGGGGGCAGTTACATTTCTAGACATGTAGCTGTATGTGACTATACTGTTTCATATTTTTATCATTATTACCATACGATCTTGAAACAAATCCATGTTTACATATTTAGCCATATATAGTTTAGCGTATCTCGTGACTAGGGTTTGAAAGAGTATCTGTATATGTCCGGATATGGAAGGCAATAACGGTCGGCACTGTATCATTCGGACCAGGCGCATTCTCCGCCGTTGCAGGCGCTTGGCTCTCTGTTCAACGGCATGAAGCAGGGATTGCTGACCTTTATTGACACCGTCCAGTTCCAGACCGCTCTCCGCTAGGAGCCGACTAACAACCGAGGAATGCCCATTATTGATTGCCCACCAGATAGGAGTTCTGCCATCCACATCTTTGGCATTGAAACTAATATCGGTCTGATCAAGTAATATGTCAAGCATTGGGAGATAACCGTCATAGGCTGCTTGATGGAGAGCAGTAAACCCATCCCCGCTTCGACCGGTTTGATTGATCTTGATATCTTCGTGACTGAGGAGCAACTTGACCATGGACAAGTCCCTCCTCTGCACTGCCAGTCGAAGGAGACGATAACTACGGGAACTGTAGGTATCCACCTCCACTCCGTGGAAAAGTAACATTCTAAGGATTTCTGTATCTCCTGCACAAACCGCAGCAGTCAACAGTGGTTGAGCACGCTCTGTGCTTCCAATACATGGTGACACATTAATATCACTCTGGTCCAGTAGCAGGCCCACCATACCTCTGTCTCGTTCCCAAATAGCATTATGCAAGGGAGTGATGAGGTTTGACCCGGGAGTGTTGGGGTTGGCTCCGTACATTATGAGCAGTTGAGCCGCGTCCAAATTGCCACACCCAGCAGCGTACCAGAATGGCGTGCAGTTAGTCTCGTCCTGCATATGGATCCCAATCTGCCACCTGGAGAGAAGAAGTAACGTCGACTATTTTTGCTTCGAGATCACCGCATGATGGAGCGGAGTCCTACCCTGATTATCTCGAGCATTGATATCCGCCCTGCCGGAGTTGAGAAGAGCTTCCGCAACATCAGAATGGCCATTTGCTACTGCGAGCGCGAATGGCGTCATTCCAAAGAAAGTGTCAGGGACATCAATATCAAGATCCCGACGTTGCAGCAGCTTAGCTACCGCGCACATCCTTCCAGCATACGCAGCATGCCATAATGCGGTCTCTCCATGCGCATTCCGGGCATTCACATCAATATCTTCCCTGGCCAGAAGTAGGTCGATCACAGACTCTGACCCGAATGCCGCGGCGACTAGAAGCGCAGTGCTTGATTTGAGCGTGGAGTTTATATTAACCCCGTACTAAAAGTGCCTTTGCAGCGTCATAGTTACCGTACTTTGCGGCGTAGTGTAGAGCCGTACAGTTTCTCTGTCGGGCACAAGATTGATAGACCAGGATTTGCAGGATGCTGTAGGTTGTGCGCGTGATGCATGCAAACGAAAGGATATCTCGCGGGCCATCGCATTGTTCCGCGATGGCGAGCAAAATTTCGCAAGGTAGATCAAGAAGGCCCATTTGATCTACCGACAGGTATGTAAAAGGGGACATCAATGAGAGAGAATGGCCTTGGTTCGGTGCAGCAAAATGGATTGTTATAGGAGGACAAACAACCTGATCTGGGCTGAGAAGAGTTGAGTTTTGACTGAAACGCCACTGAACTCCAACACTGGGAGCCTTCGATTCCTATTGGAGGCTGGAGAGCCACTTGTTCTGCTGAATGACAGTGTCCTCAGCGAGGCACAGAGTGAACCCCAAAGAGAGAAGACCAAGTCTGCCACCGCACGTTTGCAGCTGCACGTTACTGAGCCCACTGCATGTCTCGCGTTCTAGAGTTGACATAGATCCATATGCTATTTACAAAGATCTATTGATTATCTGATATAATACTTAACGTTCTCACAAATGTCGGTGCCGCAAGGAAAAGTGCATGCAAGCGTAACATGGCGCACTGGGTGACTCCTTCTCCGGTAGCTCCGGGGGTGGTCTCAGTTCCCGAATAGTGTAGAAGATCCTTTTTAATGTCTCCGACTGTTAAAGTCCAGAAGACCCTTACAAGGGTAAAATTTTGTGGGTGGCCCGCTATGCTGAAAGGGCTTTAGTGTTAAACAGGTACTGTAGTTAAACTATATAATAAGATGAAACTTACGCTTCAGGAGGTGAAGAAATTTGCCCATGCTGTCAGTCGGGGAATCGTACAGAAGTGATGTCTTTTACCAAGATTAAGCAAGAGATCCAGCCCCCTTACGTTGGGTTGTAAGGGTTCTTGTACAACTAAATTATCAAGAGAAATTCAATTTGCGCTTAAAGGAATCATGCTTACAGGGATCCAATTTGGTAGCCGCAGGGATTAAAATAGGGCGCACCAGTTATACTTCAATTCATCGGCCCTGGAAACCTCTTTCTTCTCATCTACTATATCCATCCCAGATACTCTAATACCTCAGTTCACCTACGAGTAGGTATTCCTTCTCCTACAGAGCCGAGACCCTAAGCGGTATATCGCTGTAAAGTAAAACCCTACTGACTAGAATAATAAATAATCTTATTTAGAAATGAGACCTGCTCTATGCTGACGCTAAAATATGAAAAACCAAAGCTACCACTAGCTTGAAATGCTACCCCACCTAGTACGTTCCCTCCCTGCGACTATGTCTCAGAATCCTAGATTCAACTAGTCACTACAAGGATGACTGAATAGTATATAAGAGACCATCTCCATGAGTATCCAACAGCAAACCTCCATTTCGTGCTACATATATTCACATAAAGCTGCCACTCGTGAAGCTTTTCTAAGCAAACACTATAAAGGTAAGCCTTAAGAGAATTTCGACATTAGTTATAGGAATCTAATATTATTCAGGATGAAAGGCAGGGTGTACTGGTCATGTGTATCATGCACGGTATTCGAGAACCACAAGATAGATATCAGATTTATCCCCTATGACCCAAGATTCTCTTATACAATCGTGTGGTCTCACTTTCTTCGTGCTAAGCGACGCATCAACATATATACAATCTGTCAAATCTTGTTTAGCGGCTATGGGATGCACCTCATTAGAAGAGGAGATGAATATGATTTTGAAGGTCAAGAATATGCAGGTGTTTCTTGAAAGGAAAATCGCGTGGAATAAAAAAGAATGGAATTTTTGGGTCCACAACCGCGAGTTCCAGGATTTTCACAGGGCCGTGATAGGTAGTCGCGAGATATTTATTCATCTCTTTGGTACTGCCTCATTACCGCTCGCAGTCTACTAAGTAAATAGGAGGTTAGGGGGGAAGTAGGGCTAAAGGATAGTAATATAAGATACGCTATTATTAAAGGCCTTACTCTATAGTAATTTTCCTTTTGTTAGTAGATGGCATTCACCATAATTACTATATAATTAAGGCTTGATATACACTAAACAGGCGGCTCGTTCTGTGAAGCTAAGGGAGAGTCTACGTCATAGGAAACCCTTCTTTGTATTGCACCCGTCTTATAACAGTCACCCTTGTGCTAGCGTGGTAATGAGACAAGTAAAGCAAATGCTAGAACGACACCCCAAATTACTAAACCAAAGAATCTAGCATCATGACTTAAGTCCTGGTATCTAAGCCACTGTGGGATTTAAGCTGGAGAGAATCGGCACAAGACTGTAATGGAGTGAACCCATTCATGGCTGCCCACACAACTGGAGTGAAGACTGACTTCATCCATCCACTGTGTTCATTGCCTGCTGAAGTGGGTCACAACCGCAGTGCCCTCCTATTCGTTTGTCTAGTGTGGGAAGACTCCGCTGCGGACAATAACTCTGGGCTGGCCGCAGCGAAACCTACGCTATTTAAAAATTGCTTTTTCTCCGCCTACCCCACTTATTCAGACCCTGCGGACACTAACAATGGCTGAATCTCAAGCAAGGAGATCTTGATATTCCGGGTGAGGTGTTCGCCATTTACAGTGTTGCCTTTCCCTCGCCTCTCAAACTTGGGGGGAGGGGGGAAAATCTGGGTATATGGGGCACGAGTAGTTTAGGAAAGCCATATTCTGGCTAGTGTGGCTCTCTATCCATACTAAAACATATCGAGAAAGGCCAGTTTTGTAATAGATCTGTTGATCTGCCTCCAGGCAGCCTTCAAATCTGGAGAGATGTGTCTGTGGTTAGGAAGCTGTGGTGGGAAGGCTTAGGCTTAGAATAATGCAAATACAGCACCCATAGTACACGGTCGACGTGGGACCCGTCTGATCCTATGCGGCAAGCCATACGACCCCTAGTGACTGAAGCCCGTTCTGGAGATATACACGGGGGTTTGGGTCCCTGGCGGGCCTAGGCATCTGGTCTGAACACCTACGAGGTCGGGGGCCGTAAAGCAGAGGGCCGGGGTGGCGTGCCCAGGTACCGATGGCCAGCGTCATAAGGTCGGATGCAGCTGCCCTGGGCCATCAGACCAGATATTGCAGACCGGGTACCCCCGACCAACTCGATCATCAGACGCTGGTCGTACGACCAGCTCGACCGCAGGACCGCCAACTGGCGACTGCCTCTGGCGTGAGTCCTCGGCGGTCACTTATCTACGTTCTTGCGGCCCCGCTGGTCGGCCGGTCCGCTATAATGCTGGACGCGCTACAACTCCTCTTCCTCTTCCTCTATGACAGGGCCGGCAGTTTCAACACTCTCGAGCAATTGTGTCGCTGAGGCCACCAGCTTCCGCGTTACTGCAAGGCCTCTTCCCAAACCCATGAGGACCGTGAAACTTCCGTCGTTGATCGCCGCGCGGACACACTGGTCCACAGCAACTTTCCGTAGTGAACGATCATAGAAATGGGCCGCCTGCTCCGGGTCTCGGGCATACCGCTCGGCGATCGCCTGCGCCTCCACTGGATTTGCGGAATCCACAGAGATCGCGTCCGTCACTATCCATTCTCCTCGCTGGAAAGCGCGAAAGGTGATCGTCACCCGCCCTTCCGGTGGCGAACCAGAAGGACCTCGACTGATACTTCCAACCGCGAGGGGAGCCGGATCATTGGCTTCGTCGTGCTCGCGCACCACATCCCTCACACCTGTGCGGACGAGGTTTGTTATGTCCGGTTGAGTGGCATCGAGCTGCGTGACTACTCCCGGCATTCGAGCCTCGAAATCGACCGCCCGTCGCCGGGAGGACCACCCGGCTCGTGACTCCTTGGACGATCCTCCCGGCTGAGCCTGCTTTGGTTTGGCTATCTTGGACGGTTTTGTGACTTTCCAGTTGCGCCGAGCAGCGACCGCAGGAGGACGGTCTTCTTCAAGATCCTCAGTATCAAAGAGGTGATCTTCGCCCTCTTGTCTTGCAATGGCTTCCAGTTGGGCCTGCTCTGGATCGGGCAGAACGGCGGGATATCGCTCAGCATCCGGGGGAGAGACCGCAGTCGTTTCGGCCGTGATCCCTCCCGCTTCGTCGCCGCCCCCATCGCTACCCCACAACTCATCGGCGATGGCAGCATCTCGAGTACCTGCCCGATTGATCTCTCGACGTGTCGTCGGATTCTTCCTCAGTTTACGGACTGCAGGGCGCGCAACGTTTGTTGCATCGGCGGGATATCGCTCAGCATCCTGAGGAGAGATCGCAGTCGTTTCGGCCGTGATTCCTCCCGCTTCGTCGCCGCCCCCATCGCTACCCCACAACTCATCGGCGATGGCAGCATCTAGAGTACCTGCCCGATTGATCTCTCGCAGTGTCGTCGGATTCTTCCTCACTTTACGGACTGCTCCTTCTTGATGTGGCTGCGGTCCGATCCTCGGACCCCGTCGGGGAGACCGGGGCAGATTCGTACCGTCGAAATCGCTTCCGGGTAGTCCCTCTTCCGTGCTCTGCGCGACGGGCTCAAGGGGCGAGGGGCGGAGTGAGGCTTCGTATTCAGGGCACGCAACGCTTGTTGCATCGGCGGGGGGTACACCAGCATCAAGCTCGCTTCCTTCGCGCAACTGTGCGATTAGACTGGGCAAATGCACCGGAATTTCGGTGACAGGGCGGGCGACAGCATGGGCTGGAGATACTTCTAGCCGTGCTGGTTCTTCAACCTGATCGGCGATTGACTCTCTGCCTTGTGTCAATTGCTCCCCGCTTATTCCTTCTGCGCGATCAGACGGTGGTATTTGTGAGGAGGCGGGTTCGTCGCCTTCGCGGTTTCGCTGTTCTGGCTGCTCCATTTGGGCAAGATGTCGCGCGTCATTCCCAGTAGCGTCGCGCTGGGGCGCCCCCGTTGATGTGCCATCCTCGTTCACAGCATGTGGTTCTTCTGCCGGCTGTTCCACCTCCGCGTGTTCCCCGATTGGTTGCGACGGTTCTGTACTGGGCCGGTGCTCTGCGCCTGGGCCCGGATCGGTGGAGTTACCGATGGTAACTCGCTCTTCCTCTGGGGAAACTGTCCGGGCCGCACGGCGGTTCCCTCTCTGTGCGGTATCGTAGGGTTGCCAAATGGCGTCTTTATTCCGGTTCCTGCGTATTGCTGGCTGGGTCCTTGATGTGTGTGACGATCGTATTGGAGAAGGGGTCTGCACGGGTCCACTCGGCTGTTTGTCGTCCGCGACTGCCCTCTCTTCCAATCCTTCCGACATACCTCTTTCGATTGGCGTTCCAAGAATCGAAGTGTCAACATTAGTGTGGTCGCCTGCCCTAGAACCTTCACCATCCGTTCGGTCCAAAACCTCGCATTCGTCTATTTCCGTACAATCATCCTCTCTCGCCTGGCCCTCTTTTCTGTCACTGGGCTCCGGCTGGTCTTCCGCGTCGGAGCTATCCCAGTTGTCGTTAATCACACCCTCATAGAGAGAAGATCCGCATCCTGTAGAGCTTTCTGGAGAAGGTTCTCTGGCCTGGGACGACCTGTGCATTGCTGTCAGCGCGCGCGAAGGCTGTTGACTTTGCCACTGCTCTTCCCGTTGGTCTTCGCGAGTTTCCGACAGTCCGTGACGGCTACTTGCTGAACCTTCACTCAGACCGCTTATCGACATTTCCTCAGCGAACGGTTCGTTTGCGTGTGTATTGTCACGTGGAACAAACAAGGGCGAAGAAGGCTCACTGGCCAATGACCATGCTGTCGGAGTTTGGGAGGATGGCTTGCCGAAAAAGGCGTAGTATACGCTCCGTCTCACTTCCAAGGACGACAAGTTCCTTTGCATCGACGTTACCGAATGTAGCCGGTCCAGGAAGATATGCGGGCGGTCCAGCGGCTGATTATGTTCAGGAGGAATTCCATATCGGTCGTTCAATTTCATCGCCCGGCCAGCGGTGACTGTCATTGGTAGGCCTTTCTTCGGAATAGCGCGAGCAAAACAACCAGCAATCTGCTCGATTAGAGACTCGAAGGTTACCCTGTCGTAATGGTAGTGATCAGGCTTACGAGCTTTGAGCAGCGCCGCCCTAGCGATCTGCCGGTCAGGCGATTGCTGGAGGATTGCTTTAATCTGCGTGGTCCGAAAGCCTAGCTTCCGAGCAAGACTAGCCATATCATGAATCACGCCCTCGTCCGCCTTCGCTCGCGCCTTTGCCCGTGCGGGGTTGGCGGCCTTACCGGCCGCGATATTCTTGGCCATGTCTGGGTAATGTCGCATAGCATACAGCCAGATCTGGCGGTATGCCAACGACAGTCGTTCGTCGTTGGACCCCGGCTGTCGGCGGAACGTGGTTTCAGACGTCTGAATCAGACAATCCCTGTCAGCGGGACCGGGTCGAAAGCTGTGCACTAGTGCAAGCCGAATGGTGGGGTGCCGCTTGTTCAATATTACCAGTCGTTTGACGGCATTGGCACAGACTTCCAGGTACAAAATGTCGCGGAAAAAGGTATGGAGGGACGGGATGATGCCGTCGCACGTCTCGTTCGACCGTAGGCTCTCCCAGATCGCGGCTCGTTCCGAGCGGCTGAAGTTGGAAAACACTTCGCCGCTGAGGATTTTGCCTTTCACGATCTTCCGATCAACTGTAGACGCCCGAGGGGCGTACAGTTGCAGTGTGTCCACCGTATGTAGGTCAATTCGGGCCATCTGAGCACGGTCATGGTTGACCAGCGTTGCCCAGAAGTTCTTCACATGCTCCAAGTAATGAATCACCTCCTACCAAAGTCAGAGATCAGGCGACGGCGACACTAAGAGTCGAACTAACTTCGTCACACTTCAGCGCCATCACGGTGTTTAGTGACCCTAGGCTCATCCCATTCCAGATTCCTGGGATCGCCAGTAACGTATCAAATGCGGCGCAGAGATAGGCATTGTCCTGAGACGTAAGCCGCCGTAACCGCTTGGCTTTGTTCGGCGATAGCCGGGACCACCAGCGATTTTGAAAGAGGGCGTTACTTTCGTGTTGGTATTGACGGATCTTCCGGTACACCTCCCCATCGGTTGGGGGCTTCTCATTCGCATATTCATCGACGAGGGCATTCCGTAGGTCGGGGCTAATATCTAGAAGCCAGGGTCAGAAGAAACGGGAACACGACGCCATGGAGATCCAAACCATCCAGGTATAGGTCGACCGTCCACCACCGGTCGGAGGGGGACAAGAAATCCTCGGCAGCTTTAAGTCTATGTTGTCCATGGAGGCATTTTACCCGTCGTCCATGAAATCTCAGGCGTGGGTACTGTTGTTGGCGAGATTTTAGTTCCTCCAGAGCCAGTCCCGTAGCGTGGCAGGCTCTCTGCAGGTGTTGCCTGGACACAACAGCAGTCACGTGGTTTCGTAGGTCTAGGCGGTTACACCCATCCTTGGCAAAGATCTCACGTAACCGCTCCACATTTTGGTGGTCGATCTCCCGGCTACTCAGAGGCTGGAGTGAGATCTGGTCGAGATTGACTTTAGCGGTACCTTGGTATTTAAGCTGTCGCTCGGTGGTTAGTCGGTATTCGGCATCCGTCAAAATCAACTCCATAGCTAAGGAGACAAGTGGCTTTGATTCTCCTGGTCTGAAATCTACCGTGGAAATGGAGGTATTTAAGCTGATTGCGGTGGATAAAGTTCAGCGCTGAACTGCCACGGATTTAGCATAACTTCAGCCCTTCAGCGCTCTACCAAGGACTGTCGAATCCTCATTTCCATAAAAGCTACGCCCTCCAATCTCCTCCCATGGATGTCTCATTCGACCCCTGGTCACTAGACATCATGACTCAACGCGTCACACAGATATTCATCGATATCCCGGAAACTGAAGAGTCGGATCCTTCGGCATCCACACCAGTGCCTAGACAGACGGAGTCTCAGCCTTTAGTCACCCCTAAGCTAACGAAGGAGGTGAAACAACTATCGAAGCAAGACCCGTCCAAGAATGTCCTGCGCGACCATGGGCGAGACAACCGCCAAGGTGAGGGTCTGGCGGTGCATTCGCCGGTCATCCAGAGAGGCTGTCCTTGGGACACATTGAAAGATCTATTTACCTGTGATCTTGCAGGCCCCGTGACTCTTGCCATCCACAAACAGGACCCTCGCAAATTGATCGCTGTCCGTTCTTTCTCCAGAGATAAAGCAGACAAATGGCTGGATGTCCTTCGGAGGACCAAGCATCCCAACGTCGTTTGTGCGAGGCAGATTTTCAAGGATCATGGGACCACCTACTCCATTTTCGATGACCTCCCTCTGACTTTGGAGCATGTGGTCGCCTGTGATATCTTTCCGTCTGAACTTCAGCTTGCTTCTATCCTCATACAGGTATGGGAACACAGGTTAAATCATAGCCGATACTGACATTATCCCTGGAAGGCCCTAGATGGACTAACCCATTTGCTGGAATGCGGCTTTGAACATGAATCCTTGAATTGTTCCAATATTCTCCTGGGGCAAGACGGGGCCATTCAAATCGGTATGTTCAACCATCATTTGGATACATCTTGCTCACGATCCTGGACAGCGGCCTTGGAACACTGCACTGAGCGCCAGCCGAATCAATCCCAAGCAAAACTTCTTCGCGCTTTGACCAAAATCACCACACTTCTCATGCAGAAGTATTTGAAGGCGGATAGTGTGGTTGGGATCGATAGTACACGGTGGCAGTCCGACCCCCTAGAGTTTCTGTCCGCTACTGCATCCGTCGCGACAATCCAAGACTTAAGGGAGGTTCGTTATCCTACTGGAATCAGAGCTGTTGGGTAAAAGACTTACGGACAAATAGCACTCTCTTATTACCAAGCATCGCTGTGCTGCAGGAACATTGGTCGGGCTTGCCCGTCTCTGTCTCATCACCACGCGTACTTTCATACTAAAACCATGGTCTCAGGAAAACAAATAACGGAGACAGCCTGGAATTACGTGACTTCAGAGGCTCGGTATCATGTCAATTAAATTGTTAGCTCGATTTCCTAATTCTATCTCAGAACGCGTGGCCATCGACGACCGAACCAATAAGTCTACGAACCAAGAAATCTACTAGTAGGAGGCGGACCGAAGTAGAAATCACCACGCTAGATCCAAAACTCGCAAATCACAAAAGAGTGTGGCAGTGATAGTCACCCAAGTGATCAATAATCCGGGAGAAACTCAGCTATCTTCTCCTCTGCAATAGATTCGACGTCTATCGCCATCCAAGTCTCTCCAATTTGTTGGCGGGACAAGGCTTCCTGATCCATTGCATAGTTGCACTCTACTTCAGCTTGTCTGACAGTGTCAGAATTGCTGGTTTGAAGAAACTGGCGAAGCTCGGATGTAGGTGCTCCAAGAACTATTGCCTTAATCACTGGTTCCCAGTTACCAAAAATGTTGACGCTGCCTGGTCGAATGCGCGAGATCAGCGATATAAAAACCTGAAGTTGCTCCTTTTTGGAGCTGGTTATGATTCTACAAACGTGAGTTAGTCGAAACCCTGTGAAAATCTCGGGAAGAGCGTACTCAGTCTCCATGATCCTACTAGCATGCGTCAGGATACCAGACCCTAAACACGCCGCATGTAGCCACCATCGTTCTCCTCGGCGCTTGTGATAGCCAGTAATGTTGTCACGACGGGATTTCATGAACTTCGGGTCTTTCGGCTCCTCTGGGCAGTTGTTAAGGATGAGTGTAGCGACGGACTTACTAGGCCCTTTTATATGTTTTTCCAGCCACCTGTAGTTGAGGTAAAACAGTATCTGTGCGACGCGCTTGGCGAGAAGACTGAGATATGACTTCTTCTTCGCGGCCTCGAGAATGCGATAGTATATCACAGCACCCTCGAGGCCTCTCCATAGAAGGGGAAGGCCAAGGGCTTCCAAGGCCGGCGGATTGTCTTCTCTGTGATTTAAGAGAGGTTGCAGTAGCCTAGCACACTCATCCGAGAGAAGTCCGGCTTCAGCTCGAAGGGTTGATGTGATTTGGATGTCCTCCAGGGATTCATTGCCGTCTTTACCAAACCTGCACGAAAGCAACAGTTGTCGCTTTGTAAGGGTTGAAACGTAGTAATCCAGCGGGGCCAGTGGTTCGTCTCCGAGGGGAAAGTAGTTATATGATTTGGAGGGTGTCGGATAGGATGAAGGCGCCAAAAGGCTGTCAGTAGATCGCGGAAAATCCATGGACTGGTATTGTAATTGGTCGTATCCAGGAGCTGGAGGAGAAAGCGGCTGAACCCCTGGGGGTGATTTGACAGAAGAATGAGGTGTAGGGTAAGGAGGCGCATCTCTTCTGGATTGGGGAGGCGTCACTGGTTCCTGGCAAAGAGAAACAATGTTCGGCGACTCGACGCAAGTGTTGCATTGTGTTAGCCAGGAGTTGCATTGTTCCAATAAGCGATTCAATTCGTCACCGGCGGGTAGTGAGTCGTTCCTGTAACAAGAAGGGTCTAAATTGTAGTTGCCTATCGGATGTGCCGAGCCCAAGGTCAGACGGAAGAACAATGGAGATATGGGAGGGAAGACACACCCAGTGGTTCAGGCGAGTTAAGATTGACAGTATCTTGGTTCTGTCGCAGGGCAAAATATTCGACCATGCCGGCATCGCAGAGCCATTCAAAGAGGCATTCTATTTCTTCTTTCCTCAGTTTCCGGATCTCATCCAAATCAACACCGAGGGCTTGGGTAAACTGGCAAGATATGAGCATATTCTAGGAGAATAGTCAGGGCTGACTAACCTTTCGGAGATCCATTATGCTCATGGTAACAACGCCTGAATCAGGTTCCTACAACCCACGATGAGCGGTTGGGCAAGGTGCAAACAGACTGGAAATCACCTCTATGCCGACCGAGACTGCGTAGGTATTCCAGCACCCACTGCGGAAATCCGACGAGAATATCTTTTCCTCTGTCGCCAGATGATGCCATCGAATATGACCACCTTTTCTGCAACATCCCAGCACTTCCGACTTCTGCTGCAGAGAGAGTAAAATTAATCGTTGGAGGTTTCTGCCGAACCGGTTGACTAACTAGAGAAATGTGAGCGTCTTGTTGAAGTTCGAGCACGGTCTACCCACATCAGAGCGTGTGTCTTCGTCAAGATGAAGCTCTTCTGTACCATGAATCTTCAACGAGAAAGGTGAGCAGTTTCGTCTATATCCATGGGCGGGATGAGGGAGCACTTACAGGAAGGCCGAGAGTGAGAACGAGCATTATAGCGGACCAGCCGTCGGGAAAAGGAAATAGAATCAATAACGAAGCGGCCCAGGGCAGCGAGGGAAAATGGTCGCGTGTGAAGTTGCCTGGTCGGCAAAAAGGTTAGAAGGGCGGTGGGAAGACACATCTGAGGGAGGAAGAGTGAATTCATAGCGAAAGGAGAGAATGGGGGGCAGCGTCTATTTATAGGAAATGGGAGCCAAAATTAGCAGCCAGAAAGTAGTCCTGTAAAGGTGGTCAAAATGGTCAAAGAAAGGTGCATCCTACGACAATAATCGATGGCCATAGTTTGAAACTGCGTCAGCCCAACCAGCTCCACGCACCACCCATCTGTTCCTGCAGATCAGAGGGGACACAACGATACAGCGATGCCTGCTAAATACGTACGAAAGTCAAAAATTACAGTCCAGTTTCACGACTCCATGACATTCTCTTTACTTCTAAGCAACGCCTCCGTAATTTCTGTGATTTTGATTTCAATTCGCTTAGGCTCACCAACCATGTCCTTCTCAATCACTGGGCTGGTACTCCAACTCGAAGAGCTTTACTCCATCGTGGAAGTTTTCTCGTACTACTCCCTGTATGCGATCCCGAAGGTCGTCCTTTGCCGAGACTGGCCAGGATAGTTAGCTGGTACTCCTCGTGCGGAATCGGGACACCTTACCCATAACCAACATCCGGCCTTGCTCGTCCCACATGTTCGGCAGTCTTTCGATCTGGTTACCGCTGGCTTCGAGTGAAATTATGCTTTGGTAATCTGGTAATCCCTGGTATAGATAGACTCGTTCATGGTCCCCGAATAGGAACTTCTTATGGCCAAGGCCCTCCCTGACGTAAATAGAGATGTGCAGTATCTAGACCCGGGGATATTATCAGCCTCAGAAAGAGTTCTCGCGTTGACGCAGTACCCACATAGCCTCCATCCACGATATCATCCTTCAAAAGGCGATTCAGTAGGGTCAAGGCTGCGCTCATCTCGTCGATTGATTCTACCTGCCACACTAGATGCAGCCGGCGAATCTGAGAGGTGCAAGTGTTGTAACCGTAGATCGCTTTCTTCAGGTATGGTATGGCTCCGGCGACCCCACATCCGCTGGCAAGCAATAATATACTTTCGTACTGCCCAACTTCTTCACTCACTCCATGAGGGCCAGTGATGAGTGCCAAATAGGAAATGGAGCTCCCCTCGCTCCGCTCATCAGTAGGTGCATAACGGGCAAGATCCGCAGTTAAGCCTCCGCGTGGCTTCACCATGAGCTCCATGGTGTCCTGTTTGTCTTTGGACCACGACATGACCGTGAATGGATGCGTCTGCATCCACGAAAATAGACTGACCGACGGCATCCAGAGATTGACATATTGACCGGCTTCCACTCTGACAGGTCGAGGTAAGAGGACACGGACATGGACAGCGTTCACCACAATATCTTCCTCGGATTTGCTCACACTGGATGAGACGATGGCCCTGGGAGTGCCACGGCCCGAGAACAGGCCGTTTCGATATAAGAAAACTATACTCTGTGAGAGCAGAGTCAGTCCAAAAATACCCAAAGCAACCAAGAGATATATTTCTGAGGCATGGCTGTGGGAGGAGAGGTGTTGCCAAGTGCCATAGACAAAGAGCCCAGCGAGAACCTGATGTGCTCGGAGGAAGATCTCATAAGCCAACCGTCGAACCGATGGGAGAGAAAGCAAGACAAGTAGCCCCAGTGAAATTGCGGCCTTTTGCAAGTCAGCTCACTGGGAGGTTTAGTATTCAATATCGGAGGCTATACGTACAAGTATGGTAAAGAGGTTTCGTTCTTCTCGAAGAGGGAATGTAAAGTCCTGTGTCTGAAGCGCCACTATTATATGAAACGATAGCAGTGAAACAGCCATCCAGCCGGTAGCACGATGTATCTTGCGACAAGTCTTCCATGTGATACCTAGAAGATCAGCCAGGTAGCTTAGATGTATGGCAGACAATGGGAAAACCAAGTTGACGAGAGCTAACTCTCCAGCCCGGCGGCCAGCCCCGGCCAAAGACTTTATTTTAAAGAAAATAAGTAAGATATTGACTGCCATGTACGTCAGATGCAGTAGCACGCCGGCTCTAGTCCATGGGCCACAGAGACGATGCCTTCGAATGACGAAAGGGAGCGTCAGGTGTCGAGATACAAAGATACGAAAGAAATCTGCCCAGCTTGTAACGCTAGACAAAGTCTGGATCAAGAAGAATGCAAGACAAAGGCCGCCAGCGACAATCGCATAGATGGCTACAACGTCCATTCTGATATGAAGGATAGACAATGTGAATAGTGTAGAAAAGGCTGGATGATAGGGGGTAGGTATATTGTTAAGAGTAGACAGACCTTTTTATACCACAGGAGGCTGAGAACAATGTTCTCGGCGCTGAATTCCCTAGACTTAGACGAGTAAGCATGTCCAGACCTTGGCTTTTCGCAATAACATGTAGCCGTCCTTCGGAAAATGGCGATCCGAGGTCCTGAGAAAACACACCTGCAATTGTTCCCTTTCAGTACTCATGAAAATGCGCAGGTATTCGTCTCTGAGTTGCAGATATACGGCACCGAATTCAGCTTCGCATATGATCGCTATTAAAGTTTTCAGCAGACTTCAATACCGCTGAAGACTTTTTAGATACTAGGTGGTCCTCTCTGAGGCGCGCTAGTCTCATGTGGTAAGATGGATCTTTGGGAAGTGTGTATAGCACACTTCAACTAAGGAGTTATATCGTTCAGTACCGTAATAGACCAACTAGAAAGTTACGTAGGTGGCGCGAAAGTCTGCGAGACCTTCAAGTTAAGCAAGAGGGAACAATCCATTTCGAGCATAATTCAAGAGACTGAAAAAGAAATCATTGTATCTTAGAATAACTTTGGGTACAGGGAGGTTGCGCTGCTGAAGGTAACTCTTAATTTCCGTCAAACCATGCGGAAGCGCTGAAGCTCACTAGTGTCAATCTAACCGAAAAATGCTTAGCCCTGATCTCCCCAAGAGACCTCCGTGGGCTCGACCACGTAGGTTTTGCCTCCTGACCTCTATATATGCAGGGATTTGATTTGGTGATTACAGGGATTCGGTTTGGTGGTCGCAAGGGTCCGTTTTGGTGGTCGAAAGGATTTGTTCTGATTGCTGGGCTTAACGGTAAAATCGTTCTGTGAAAATCCTTTCGAGGAGTACTCCCCTAATTAGAAGAATTTGATAATCAACCAGGCAGGGACGATTCTTGGCAACTACCTTGGGTATTCTAATCAAGGCTGGGAAGTACCGAGCCGCAAAATGGCTTTGCAATGCTGCGATCCCATAACATTCGAATATGATCAGCTCAGTTCGAGTTTAGTCTTTACAAATGACATATCTATAAAAACAGACTATTCTTGTGCTATCCAGAACTCAAATGTACTGTATCTCCATCCATGAAACACTTTAACTTCTAGGAATGACGGAAATTATCACGTGTACTTTGAAATTGATCATGCTGCTTTTTCACCTTTTCAAGCTTGACAAACCGGTAAATTACCAGCAATATGAATGAAGATGCAACGGAAAGACTGGATGCAATCACAGTTAGAAGAGCCATGATTGACCAGTCACCTCCATGCCCAGTATAAAGGCTGATCATGGTGGTTAGAAGACCAGCTGATGAATTAAGCAGAGTCGGCCTAGAATTATCAGTGAGAGATTCTCATAGAAGGGCGGATGAACTTCATTACTCACATGAATATGCGATTGATGAGCCATACATAGTTGTCTCTATACTCATGGTAAAGCCAACCCATGAGCGTTAATCCCACGACAAAGAAAACGCCCGCTAGAGCAAGCAGTGGGGGGTTTTGGATGCTTTTGAGGATCACCGCTCCCGCTTCATTATCTGCCAAGGTGTTGTGGAGGGTAGCTGATGCTTGAAGGGATGTGAACGTGCCAGGGACTACCAGATAACCCGCAAGTAAAACCCAATGAGCTCCACTTGCCAGCAAATTGTATTGCCATGGTATCTTGTCAGCTTCCAGAATCATTCGAACATAGCATGTCTCCAGGGGCTCATATGGCGAGCTGTCTTGTTGATGGCCAACCTGGGGAGAGACACTAGGAGCCATAGTAAGGACTTTACTATGTGAGACAGGATACAGTATTAGCAGATACTTCATACCTTTTATATCTCCTGCCAAGCCCGTTGATTCAGGCGCCTAGCTAATCTAGACTATACAGCTGACGTCTGTCTCAAAACGGTCTGTTTCAACCATGTACCAAAGGAGTCTAGTCATTCTACTGGGGGTAAGTATATGTCGAGAAGCTTCATGCGCTATATTATACCTGACTATGTTACCCGATACACCGTAAACTAGATGCAATAAACTTTATCTTTCTGCCTCGCTACTGCTATCTGTCTCGTCCTGAATATCGAAAAAGGTTGGTTCCACAGTCTTGTGGAGATCCTCAAGTCTGCCATATAGTTCAAACCTTGCGGTAAAGTACTCCTTAAGCCTTTGGGGATCGTGAGGTGGGGTATGTGTGCTTTTCAAGTCGTTGAACGTTTTGCGCACTAGCTTGGGAACAGTGTAATGAAATTCCTGTTAATCATTCAGTAAACCTCGCTATAGCGGATTTACCGAAAAGCTTACAAGCGTTTCATCCGAAGGTGGCCACGAAGCGTCGTAGGAGGAATTATAGACATAATTTTCTCTGTCGTGAACGATAAGAAGATAAACATTTGCACCACAAATTTCCGAAAGCTGATGAGCTTTCTTCTTCAGGGTGTCGCATCTCTTTTGAAATGTAACTCGGGTGTTTCTCTGGGCGTCAGGACCACCCATCGTTAGACCTTGGTTGAGTGAGTCTAGGAATTGGCAAGAATGTGCCCCAAGAGGTGACTTGGGCCGTAGAAATTTGAGCCAGATCTAAACGTGCAGAAAGGGAAGTAGCAGTTATTTATAGTCTAGGGACTACTTAGAATCTATTCTCTAGAGAGTCAGGGATGATAGAACGCCATATCTGATTCGTAACTCAATCTTGGGGGCGTTTCCTAGAACTGGGGTCTCTGGACTCCCACGATTCGGCGATCTTCCTCTTATTTCTAATGGTACCTTTCTTGTCGTCACAGCCCAGGCATGATTTGCGAGAAGGAGAGCCATGATCGCCATGGCCAAACGATGACTGCAAACCTTGTCTGGAAGCAAAGGTAGCAACACTCCCGGGAAAGCCAGATATTCTCCATCTTTTCTTTGTCTTTGACTGGATGTAGACATCAACAGTGTAGTCCAAATGGCGAGTCAAAAACGAGATTGGATGATTGTAACACCCACATGAAGGGCATAGACTGTCCAGTCCTCCGAATCCATCAATTAAACCGCTGTCTGAGACATAGCTAAGGCCATCAGGGTAAAGATTTTCCAAAGCTAGGATGATCTCCCGGGCTGGACCTTTACAGCGCACTAATCCAGGGCACCAAAACGGCAAGGATGTTTGCTCTGGTAAAGAGCTAACCTGGAAAAAGAATCTAGAGATCAGCAATGTGGTTGCCGCGTTCCGGGCCATCCGTGCACTTCCAGGCTGGAGAAGTACAAGATCGCGATAATCGTTCATGGCCCCCACCGCGTCAATCGTCTGAGGTGTATTTGCCAATGAGACATCTAGACGGTGACAGTCACCTCGGACTGACTTGCTCAGGCTACCTTCCCAATTCTTCCACTCAGTGTCTGTGTCCATTGTAGACATCCATGCGTCAAAACCTCTGCGAAGAAAACTGTCGCGAAAGACGTGGCGAAAATGGGGAATCTGCTCGTTTGGAGGGGCTTTTCCGGTTCCCATGGACACCATCCGAATGGATCCTGTGAACAGGGGCCAGATCTGGTTGCAAATCTGACTCGCAATCTCCCCAGCAAAGTTGTGTTTCAATCCACCGTCCTGAAACGAACCAACTCCCTCGAAATCTACAGGGGTAAAAAAGCTTACAAACCAATCATTTAGTGAATTAAGGGAAGCTAATGCATGGGATCAACTTACAAAGGAGCGGCTGCTGTGGCACGGCCACTGTTCTGCTCGTTAGCAAGGCACGCTTCCAATCACATCAGGGGGGGCCGGGGCAGGGACCGTACGCTTTGTATACGCTAGGCTCGTTTCCTATTTCGTCGGGGCGCATTATACGGTGCCCTAGAAGTGTTAGTTACAGCCTAAAACATAGTGACGTATAACTTGCCATATTTGTTCTTCGAGTCCTCAGATATATTGAAGTTTCCGATGACAAATGCACCCGTGCTCCTAGAAATGCTGGTTGCAATTACTCCCACCTTCAGGCCGGACCGTCTATGACCCGGAGAACGTTCCCGTGTAGCACCAAAAAGTAGGCGATTTTCTCCGAAAGCGCCTTTCAGAGCAGCATCGAAGACTTGTGAGTCATAACAGCTGTCGTAGAGAAGCCATTGAAACCATTTGGTCACTTCACCAAGGAGCGATTTGTAGCCTGAAATTTGAAGGAGGGGAAAAATCGACCGTCGTCTTTCCCTGAAAATCTGGTTCGCCAGTGTATTGAAGCGCTCGGAGCATTCTGCGACATCCCACAACATTGCAAATAATCCCAGAGCAATAAGCCCTCCTATCGTCAGACAATAATCAGGCTTTTTATGTCTATGTACAGACATAGTAAGTTTGATTTTAACTGACCTGAGCTTGTGCCGATAGCGAGGTCCACCACATCGTGAATAGTACAAGGCCGCAAATGCTCCTCCATCAGGAGAAGGTATTCCAAAGGTATAACACCTCTAACTCCTCCCCCATCAAGCGCGAGGATAGAAGGGCTCATGGTAGGTGGAAGAACATCCACATTTAGGGGCTTTCGGTAGAGACAGTAGAGACAGCCTGTGACCGTAAACTGGTACTCTAACCCCGGCGCCGGTTCCCCATAGACCTGGGCACAGCGATCGCATAATGTATGACCACAGTCTAGAACGTGCTGAGCGGTATGTAGAATGCAGAACAAGCAGATGAGATTACTCCGTAAACAACTCAGTTGACCGCTCTGAGATTCAAGTTGTTTTCTCCGTAAGTCTGCTGCATTGAGTAAGCCTCCCGAGAAAAGCTCAAATTGTTCAGAGAAATGCCGATCAATCAAATTTGCCTGTTCATTCGGACATAAGCCTGACCATGGCTCTTGAGCTTTGCTTTGGGCTTTGCCATACGCCTGAATCACGATCTTCCGGTACAGGGTCTCGAAAACATCATGAGGATTTGTTGCTATAACTGTTAGGTTCATTAACGTAGAGAGTACATTTCTAACATACCGAACATCCCCGGTACGTAATGATCCATAAAGAGAGCCGATGCAATAGATGGTGCCAACTCATCCGGACACAAGCGCGCGCGATCGGCGATCCCAAGATAATGTACGAGGTTTAATTCCGCGCTCGGACTTACGGGGCGATCCCTTCGCGTGGCTTTCACCACGTCGAACGAATTCCACGAATCTCCGAGAGTGTGGTGAAAAGCTGATTGGAACAGAGCTCGAAAGTGGATAGCGTTCGGACGAGCGTGATGTACCTGTCGAAGAAAAGATATAACGGTTACTTCGTCGGTGATATAGGCTTTGATCCGCTGGTAGTTCGCTGTTTCTGATAAACCGCCCTTCTGTAGAACAAGGAAGGAAACATTGGAAAATAGTACAGACAAGTCTTTGTACCCTTTTCCCTGAAGATATTCGCAGAACACGATGCTGAACGGTCGTTCAGCATCCTTGTCTGTGACTCCAGTTCCATATATAAGAATCAACCTCGGCAAGAGTGTCCGAGAAAGGGAAGATGCTGAACCAAGTTCCATGCAGTTAACCAAGAACTCGACGACCTTTCTCATACTGGAAATGTCATCAACGAATATGCATACCACATCCGCAAACAGAAAGACAAGCCGTGACCACAGTACCTGCAGCAGTATTCCCGCGGAACAATCATCCCACGACACGGATTGACCCATTCCAGCGTTAAGTTTCAATGTGGGATGGAAGCGTTCCGCCTCCATAATGTCACCGTCAGCCAAAAGAACCGGCTCTCGACTTTCGAGGGAGGCAACGTCATATCTAAGCTGGATCTTTGATTTTGAGATGTGTCTCTTGATATTGTTCTGGGTATACACCTGCTGAAGGGCGTGATCCTTAGTTTGCCTGCCCAGAAAAACGCATAACGATGGGTACTGGCTTTGGGGGTCTGGAAACTGGTTGATCACGTGTAGTAGGCGACCGTGATCTAGGACAGCAAGACTGGAATCCTCTTGGACACCAATATCAAACCAGCCGATATCTATCGTATTCTGCATTGTGTGAGATTTATGGAATGGAATCTCTTTCTCTTCTCTAATGAGAGTTCTGGCCAGAGTATTTAAGATCCGGCTTACCCCTTTATTTTACAGATTGTTTCATAGCTGGGGTGATAGTTGAATCTGGACTCGCGATATCGTGACCGAAGAGAACCCGAAAACGGTGATCATTCTCAACCCCCTGACACTACTACATTCTACTCACCCCACGCTCACCTTATTCTCACCATTTCTCACCCAGTCCCCGCTCGCCCTACTCCAACGTACTTTTGCTGTGCAAAGATAGAAATATTGGGGTGGCAAATAGCAACCTGTTTGAATCCAGTGCTTGGCTTGAGTTACGCAGCCAATCAAATAAGACGGACTTCCAACACAGGCGCATGTTGGTACGGCGTGCGCTCAAAACATGGAATATATTAAATGCCTTCGCAACCGAAGATTGCCTTTATCTTCTTCAATCATGTCTTATCCCGGTGGCACAGGCATCCATGAGGCTCCAATGTCTTGTGCTTCTATGCATGAAATACTGACAACCAGTCAAATCCTTTCGTATTTCCCACCTCTTGATGAGAATGAAAGTGCAATTACAGACAGCTCCTTGCTGAATATCCAGGATCTCTTCCAAGACGGCGACTTGCAACTTCCTGATATCACATCTCCTACGTGTCAGGGCCCGTTTGTAGAGGCCTACATGGCAGAGGATCTCGGCAATAATCCAGTTAAACCCCTTCAACAATGCAGGTAAGCAAAGGTAACCTTTGTCCACTGATTGCTGAGGTACTGTCGTTCTAACCGCGTGTCACCGCAAGTTACTCTTCAATCCCCATACCCGGTTTAAATGAAACAAAGATTGACTTTTCCCAAACGGCCGAACGTCTACTTCTCCAGATGGAAAAGTTCACATCCACGATTCAACAATACGGCGATTCAGCGACCACATTGGAGTCAAAGATAAACGCATGTACCAACTCCATTGGCCGCATTGAGCAGCATGTGAACGCTATAGCGCATCAAGTGGACAATATGGAAAAACAGTTAGGTGGTATGCTAGGTGGCATGAACCATCAACTTGGTGATATGAACCAAAAGATACTGAGCCTGGACCTCAAGCTCAAAACTCTAGATGGCTACTTATTTGAAATCGTGAAGCGTGAGAAGGATATGATGAGAGAGTTTTGTGATTTTGCTGGGAAATAGTTGTCCATTAATCAATACATGTTATATCGCTAGCGTTACCCGTGCGCAAGGAAATCAAAGACTCGAGACGTGTTCATTTGATACTGTATGACTGAAATGACTGTAATAATAAAATTATCGTAACACCTCCCATAAATCATCAGGTTGTTTCAACTAGCCAGATTCCATCCAAATAGGAGGAATTAGATGGCCTACATGTTCTAGAAGTAGCCCCCCTCTACTTCCCCGGTCTCCGACTGCCAGAGGTCCAGATATTGCCGCTCTGATTCAAGTAGTTGTGCTGTAGCCTGAGAAAGAGCGTCTTCCAGCGAATTGACAACAGCATACATCCGTTCTTGAAGCTGCAATAAAATTTGTTTGGTCTCTTTGTGCCATTGAAGCTCTGCCCTGAGATAGCTCATTTCGTAGGCGACCTCCTCCATTTTGGTCTTCAGATCGGGGGAAGTTCTCTTCGCGCGCTGCAATCGGGAAGGTAGTCTCTCGAGATTGGATGAAGTCCCCCCAAGGCATAGAACTTGATGGTCTGTAGGTGTGATATCCTCAGAAATAGGCTCAAGGCGCCCGTTTGGATACCGACTCATTGTAATAGGCGGAGAATGCGGATTACTTGGATTGGTAAAATGCTTGGGAGTTTGTCCAAGAGACATACGACGCGGGAAGGAGTTTGTATTGTATTACATTTGTTTCTTCTCACTCGATGACGCAAGTGAAGGCGAGCACAAGATATGAAAAACGGCCACCCAAATTGTATTCAGAAATGGAGCCACTACAAGGACCAGGACTATCAGCAAAGGGGATTGACTGCAGTCAGCGCTCACTGAGTATCTGTACCACTTATGTTTCTGCCTGTAGGCGGGCCTATTATGTTCAAAACCAAATACTAATGAATGGTCACTGTATGTGTTTGCCTAGGTGGCGTTCCCCTTACAAAAGGTACACTGACAAATACTGAAAGCCATCGGTACATAAAAAAGCAACGGAGAACAATAACAAGAACAATTGTTGGGATCTACGCTTTCGCGTCTGTTATTGGAAAACAAAAAAGAGAAAAAAAAGAAAAATGAAAGAACAGACCCCCCCCCTCCCCCGCCCCGCCCCAATGGAAACAAACAATCCCCCGGCACCCAGGGATCTTCTCGAGGGGTTTGGGGCCGTTTGTTTGGCGCCTAAGCTAGCTGCGACACTATTTCGGTGATGGCGCGACAGTTTAGTATAGCGGGATCCATTTCCCTGTTGCAAACGTGCACCGTGAGTCAAGATAGTGCTGCGACACCCAAATGGTACCCTCGTCCCTATGAGCAGTAGGGCCAGGAGACATTTGGATACTAGGTATATGGATCTCGCCACATCCTCTCCACTTGATGAATACAAAGAAAGTAATCATCTTAGGGTGTTTAGTGGAAATGTCTTTCCAGACTTTTGCACTAATGTCGCCATCCGAAGAAGGGGCTCAACAGGTAAAGTAGGAAACCAGCATATTCTCAGCTACTGAAACCTAATACCGTATTCCAGATGATAACACAAACTGCGGACAATGACCAAAATATTTTCAATTGCATCGAAGCTCTCCTGCTCCAGGAGCGGCAATTAAAGAACTACCAAGTCCAATTGGAATCCAAGATCAATAACGATGCGGCGGAATTTCAGCGCTTACGTGCCCATACCCTGCAGTTACAGAGGGTGGTTTGTGGACTGCAGTATCAAAGATCGCAGCTTGAGACCTCATTGGCCCACATGGCAGAGGCCTGCAGGGTTATGGCCCGAGATTTGGGGCTTGAAAAGTCCAAAGTGCAGGAGCTCGAGTCTCGTCTCACTGAATTACACCCAAGAATTGAATCGCTGTTGCAGTACTTGGCCCCTGGAGAGCACAACCGCCAGAAGCTGAATAATGAAGGAGCGAATGGTCATCTTCTCTTTGAAAATCAACACCAGCGAGAACTGATCTCCAGCCTGGAAACCAACCTCCGGGAGCGCGAGGAAGCGATACGAGAGCTGAAATCCAGGCCTCAAGAGATAACGCAAGCTTTTCAATTGACGAGTCATAACCAGCATCAGCCAGATCGACTAGTTCTAGACGGGCTGACTGGCGGTATATCGGAAGAGTCAAGCGTTGAGATCATCACAGGGAATCCTCTTTCTTTTAGTGAAGAAGCGAGACAATCTTGTACATAGTGTTTGCAAAATATGTACTGCAAAGGGATTTTCTTTTAATCCTTTACGGAAAATAACTATTGAAGGAAATTCATTAATCAGCAGGAGTGTATGGACCTTCTAGTGGCCACAACGACTCGGTTATCGCTTTAATCAATGTGCACAAGCTACCTCAGATCGGCAGCCTAGACCGCGCAAGTGGATCGATCACGCTGTAGACTTAGCGACCCATCTTTACAGATTTGGCTACACAGTACGGTTGGTCCGGACCAACTGGAGCTCCAAATCAGGTTACAGCATCCTAGACGGAGAGCGCACTCCATGGCCCACTTTCTCCGCTTCCCGTAGCCGTCGGCTCTTAACGATCCTAGTTTCGAGTGTTAGACTAATAAAGTATCCTCTATAGAGCATTGATTTGACTTTTGAGGGGCTCGGAAAACCCATTCCTGAACCGTCCCGAAGGCGTACGAACTTGCTCGTCCACGCTTCTGTTCTCGAAACTCCATTTCAGGCCTACAGTTGGTGATAACTAGGCGAGGTCTGGTCGGTCTTTCGTGAAATGATAACAGAAGAGCAAAACTAAACTGTACAAATATTACTATATCAACCTGTGGTAATCCACTAACTCACTCGTCTTGGACCTCCTTGGCCCCATGCCTGGCCCAGGGAAGAGTTCCATTCTCCTTGGGAACAGCGCCAGCGTTAGATTGCGATCGGCGCGTTCGTTCAGGCGCTGTGCTCCGGTTAGTGCGATCGGTTAGATCGCCGCATGATAGGAAGATCACATGGACTATATGACTTTCGGGGTTCACCATTGACCCATTGTGGCTCACTTGACCCCTGCTAGAAATTTGGAGAAATTGGGTGGCCAGTACCCCTGGATGTAGGAAACTATTAGAGTTCACCATATGGTTATTTGTCATGCGCTTTCCGGTGGTTCCGGCCTTACTGTTGGTGACTAAAATACCTTTCAAACGGGTCGTCTAATGATCCTTTTTGCGGTTAGGTTACTTTCATTTCGCACTAATTTGACGTCCCTCGTTTTACTGGGCTTGGTTATCCTTTAGGTCCTTACTACGTATGCCTTTAGGTTCTTACTACAGTACGTATGCGCGTCATGTCTAAGCCCCACGTTCCATATTTCCCGAAAATTCCCCGAGGTTTACAATCGCCACACGGCGTTGTTTTCTAATCTGCCTGATAAAATGAAAATAACTCCGAGCGTATTAGAGTTCTCAAAGGAACTATTGCTGGGCCGTCCCGAAAACTTAGGTCTGCTAACTCCAATTACTTAGCTTGCTGAAATTCTAAGATGCTCCATCACCAACAGCGCCTAATACCCAGCCGACATTGGCCCCGCAGGATCTCTCTCTAGTCCAGAACGTGATATTTCGGGGTCATGCTTGACTGAAAATTTTTGGTGCAAAACAGAGTTTTGTCCGAATTCAACTGTTCTATTTCTGAGGGAACATTATGTCAAGGTACAGTATTCAAGGATTTTAATACAGGGAAAAGCCTCGGAAACAACCCGAAGTTCGAAGGGCATACCTGTAATGAATAGTTGTCGAGATATGGTGCGGTTACTTACCACCTAGACAGGGGTTATATCCAGTGACGCACTTTCCTTTATGTTCCGTATAGTAATTTGGTATCTATGCTACTAGTCATTACTGTCTCAGCTTGCTCCGATAATACTACATTACAGATATCGAGCAGTAATGCCGGAACGCCGTTAAAATCCTCAAAGACACAGTGCGCAACCCCCCTTAGGAAGTTAAGATTTCATCTCATCAAATTCAATCTCAAGACCTTCTTTTGATATTCTTTTACCATCAGATATCATAGAGAAAGTCCTACGCATCAGAGGACCAATAATCTCACTGGAAGCGTCCGTGTGTATGCTCATCTTTAATTGGGCCGAGGCACCAAAACAGTGTCGCAGCACCAACACAGTGTTGCAGCACCAAAACGGTGTCGCAGCACCCAAACAGTGTCGCAGCACCCAAACAGTATCGCAGCACCCAAACAGTGTCGCACTTGAAATGTTAAAGGTATTTTTTGGGTGAGAGAGTGTCTCTAATATCAGAGAGAGTCTACGTGGATGAGTTATACGCGGGACTACCACATTCGGCTCCTTATTCAGCTGTACAGTACAGTACCTCTCTGCTTCAGACTCATACTGTACAAAGATGAGATAGGCCTCTGTTCCTCTGATATTGCTACGAAAGTTAACTGAACATTCCGGATCACAATGTTTCTCACTACCTGGCTTTTGTTGGCAAGTATCGGCGCATCGCAGATGGCGAATTTATTATTGCCAGGTTTTCAAGGGCGTTCACTTGAAGCTAGTATCAAAGAGATGGTACGTACAATATACAGAAAGCTCTTATTGATTGACTATTGTGAGAACACACTAATTTTATAAAGAATCTAAATATTACAACTTATATCGTGGTCTGCCCCAAGTCTATTAAAGCATCGGAGTGTGGGATACCCGGGGATGGCATGACTGTCATCGCTGCGCCGACATTCGCAGAGTTGAGGAATTCAAATAACGTCAACAAGTGAGATAATCTTCACCAATCGGTAGGCACTTTCTAATTCATGTGACTGCTGTATAGCACCGCATCTTTATCCTGCGACATTGCTGGAACAACCTACGCATCCTGCCATGCACGGCAAACAATCTCTGTACAGGCTACGTTAGCACCAAAAGACCTGAATTGGATGGAGATACCGGTCATCTCAACGACGGACCAGGCTATATTTGCTCCTTCATCTTTACCAACTGGGATAGCAAGCAGAATAACCACAGACATGTCATTAGTCTCCCATCCAACCGCCGTACAGGAGCCAACTGCAGAAAATATGGGACCCTCTATAAATGTCTTCTCTTGGGCATTATATCGTATTTCAGCTTCGATGGTGTTGTTTTCTATGGGCTATATACTATTGCTCGCTTTTCTGGATTGAGAAATTATCCCGTTTCATCATATGTAGCCACCTTAGATCGCGGCGACAACCCGGACCAAGTTGAAAATCTAATTTCCGAGGTGTCGTTTCTATGATCTTATAATGCATATAGTCATCAATTGATTTCGAAAATATAACGTTTCTCTTCCTCTGCTCCACAGGATTCACAAGTCATTGTTTACCGTACGGCCGTGCTCATTCCTCTACTGCAAATACTCTTAATCCAACGAAAACGACATAAGTATTTGTATATGACTAAATAGGGGGCTCATTGATCAATCAACCAATTATCTCTCTTACGGCTAACCTACAATCCCGTCCTTGTCCCTGACCTCCTATTTCCTCAGTAATTTGCAAGTGGTAATGCGGCACTCCCAGCGAGATGGAGATATATATCTTGGGTATCGCTCACGGCTTTATGGATTTTCTGGAACTCGCGGTTGTGGACCCAGAAATTCCATTCCTTCTTAGTCCAGGAGGTCTTCCTATCAAAAAAAACCTGCAGATTCTTGACTTGGAGAACCAGACTCATCTCCTCTTCGAACGAGGTGCATCCCATGATTGCCAAACAAGACTGACAGAGGGTGTATATGTTGATATGTCGCTTAGCAGGAAGAATGTGAGACCACATGATTGTGAAAGAAGATCCCGGATCATAGGGGACAAATTTGATGTTCAACTTCTGGTTCCCAGAGACTGTGCATGAGGCACATGACCAAAATACCCTCCCCTTCATTCTAAGTCTTATTAGATATCCATTAACAATCTCCACATCGTTTTGCAACTCACCTTCACAGTGTTGATTGAGATGGACTGTAAGGTGTTTTGGACGTAGCAAGAGTGAGATGGAAGTATAGTGTTAAAGTACATTAATAAAGGCCTGAATATATACATAGCAACCAGGTCTCAATAGGGACTAGCTTGCGCTAGGATTCTGAGACATAGTCGCACAGGTGGGGCGCGATCATTTCGACTTTGTTATCCGCTAGCTATTACACACACCCAGAATACAACTGGAGTTGATATATAATGTTCAAGAGTTCAGTATCTGACTTCAAAACATTTGAATAGCAAAGTTAATCCGGACAACCATCAAATCAAATGACGACCCTAACAGACCTCCCATTTGAAATCTTAGAACTCATTGCATCTAATTTGAGCGAAAACACAATCAAATCATTCTCGCTGGTAAGCAGAAAATGCAGAGCAGTGAGCAAACCCGATATGTTCAGAACAATCAAGATTACATACTCGGAGTTTGACTTCAATATGCTAGAGGAATTATCAAAATCTCCTCTGGCAGCATATGTAAAGATCCTCCATTATGATGCCTCGGAGCTATTTGATCCCGGTATGTCACACATGCTCGAAATGTAGACTGTATATTACTGTATGCTTACATCCACAGTCATCCAGGATTGGGATTATTTTACCTCTTGCGTATATACTCCACAGGAGTATGCAAAAGATTATACAGACTTTTGTTGGAATCTCAGGGGCAACAGCTTCGCTTATAAAGCAATTTATACCTATTTCAAACGCCTTATTATCGACCAGCAAGCTATCATGGAGGAAAGAAAAGATATCCATGCATTTACGGAAAGCCTTCCAGGCCTCATAGAACTAAAGTGCATCAAGTTGTCAGTTACTGGGGAGCACGAAAATCAGCTGCTGTGGTTTTCAAATCGACTATTTATTGACAGCTGGAACTCGTTTGCTATCCATTTTGAAGCAGTTCTGAGAGGTATGATATCAGCGAAGTGGAATGGGCTGACTATTCAGTCTTTGGAGATACATGGGATGCCTTTCAGGTCAGCCCATGAATCTTCAAGTATTCTGGAGATTGCGGAACAAGGACTGGCTCTCGTCAGAAACTTCAAGTTAGTGAACAGCCCGGGCTTATTGGACTTGATGTCTGCTGTGACTTTGCCGTGCCTACAGAGATTCGAAATCACAGACTGTTGGCTCCTAGGCTCAAAGTTAGTCCGGTTCCTAGAAGCTCACGGTGGGATTGTGCAGCATGTGGAGTTCTATAGAATAAATCTGTTCTATGAAAGATTTATCCCAGGAACTCGCTCATCAACTTGTGCAAGAACATTTTGGGAAGTTGTCACTGAGACCGGAAATACTGTTAAGGTTGAAAGCCTAGTGATCACATCACTTTAATGTAGATATACAACTAGCCTCAACGCATCTGTCTGACTCTACGTGCAAATATCAATCACATTAAAGCTGTCGTAGTTTTTTCAAAAAAGTGACAAGTCTTTTAACTGAGACAGTCGGACTAGACCTAAAACGACCGATGGCTGCTTTCCAACAATATATATAGCCAGTACCCCTTCGCAAGTTTCACTAACAAACAATATGGACAGGCAAAATTCATCATTTGGAAATAAGAAGCGGGCTGATTGGAGGGCTACTTGCAGGGAGCGTCTTTCTCAGCATATTTGTTATTTTCCCTTCTCAACTCCTTTTGATTTCCTCGCTAACGCCGAACCTAGGGGAAACGCTTGGTATCGAAGTGCAACCATCTGATGTGCGATTAAAAACAGAAGAAGACATGCCCTACAAATGGCAAATAGATGATCCTGCTCTTGAACCATTGTTCCAAAAGCATCTGAGCAAACATTCAGTTGGGACTTACATACTGCTTCACAGGAGGGTAGGCCAGACCTTCTATGCGGTCCGACCGGAGAAGGTATTTAATCACCTTTTATGTTGCAAGTCGAAAGGGCTAAATATCCCAGATCGTGAAAAAGCAGGAAGAGTTGGATCTTATCGCAAAACTACAAGTCGAGAACTTCGGTCTTACTGAAAAATTAAGACTAGCCGAAGAAAAGGCCTATGAAAACGAGCTAGCTGTGGTAGAGGCAAAAGATGAGATTAACTCTCAACGATCTATAATAGAGGAAGCCCAGATGGCTTTACACCGCCACGAGCAGGATATGTTGAATTTGAGATCTCTGTGTGAATGGTACCAGTCGAAGTGTTTCCAGTGCTCTAGCGTGCTGGGCCAGATGATGACATTTCTGCAAGGCACTACGGATGCTACATCAGAGATTGGTAGTTGGCCTACTACTCAAGACCAAGGAGATATTTAGCTTCCCAACAGGAGTTTATTGCGAGGCAGTACAAGAACAGTGAAACACATTTTTTCAAGCTTGATAGCGTACAGTATCTACTGTACAGTACAACATAGCTTCATTACAGTTATTCTCAGATCGTCTTGACCAGTACATACTGAGCCGAATTCTCTGTCGCGGCCACCGTCAGTTTGCACTGGTCAAGGCGATTTCAAGAATGACCACATACATCTGTAGATCTATCAAATTTGATGATGAGGTAGTGTTGACTAATGCTCTTTTGGTCCTGCGACATCCTTTTGGTCCTGCGACATCCTTTTGGTCCTGCGACATCCTTTTGGTCCTGCGACATCCTTTTGGTCCTGCGACATCCTTTTGGTCCTGCGACATCCTTTTGGTCCTGCGACATCCTTTTGGTCCTGCGACATCCTTTTGGTCCTGCGACATCCTTTTGGTCCTGCGACATCCTTTTGGTCCTGCGACATCCTTTTGGTCCTGCGACATCCTTTTGGTCCTGCGACATCCTTTTGGTCCTGCGACATCCTTTTGGTCCTGCGACATCCTTTTGGTCCTGCGACATCCTTTTGGTCCTGCGACATCCTTTTGGTCCTGCGACATCCTTTTGGTCCTGCGACATCCTTTTGGTCCTGCGACATCCTTTTGGTCCTGCGACATCCTTTTGGTCCTGCGACATCCTTTTGGTCCTGCGACATCCTTTTGGTCCTGCGACATCCTTTTGGTCCTGCGACATCCTTTTGGTCCTGCGACATCCTTTTGGTCCTGCGACATCCTTTTGGTCCTGCGACATCCTTTTGGTCCTGCGACATCCTTTTGGTCCTGCGACATCCTTTTGGTCCTGCGACATCCTTTTGGTCCTGCGACATCCTTTTGGTCCTGCGACATCCTTTTGGTCCTGCGACATCCTTTTGGTCCTGCGACATCCTTTTGGTCCTGCGACATCCTTTTGGTCCTGCGACATCCTTTTGGTCCTGCGACATCCTTTTGGTCCTGCGACATCCTTTTGGTCCTGCGACATCCTTTTGGTCCTGCGACATCCTTTTGGTCCTGCGACATCCTTTTGATCCTGTATCACTTTTCTAAGGCTACAAAAAATTCTAAGGCCACACGGAAAGGGCTATGTCCTGATCATTCGGAATAAACAGTTATAAGAGTTCTTTAATGCCACAAGTCATATCATATTCCTCTCAAATCTCCAGATTGAAGGATCGAATCAGTCATGCCCAAAAAGAAAAGCAAAAAGGCCCCAAAGGCCAAAAGAAATGCACGGGACATTCAAACACCTTTTTCCGACGGAGAGAACTCTGAAAGGGCAGAATCAAAGCAAAGAACGACAGAGCACAAAGGTATGTGCCTATTTTCATATTCAGTTTACTTTTCTAATTTATAAATATACGCAGCAGAATCTAGTCACAATAGAAAAGGCAAGAAGGTCGATATAACGAGGAGCCCAACTCGAGAAGGAGACTTTGCACCAAATGCAAGCGACTATGATTCAGGTGACGCAACAGATCTGGAATTGTACGATGCTTCCGACCAGGATGGACCAAGCGAAGAGCAGCCAGACCCTTTGAGCTCTTGGGTGAAGGACATCATCAGAAATGAAACAGCAAAGGAGTCAGAAAAAATGGCCGAAAGCTTTTTTACAACCGACAATCCAGATTATGCCGCCTGCGAAGCGTTCTTTCATAGGCTCAATCAGCTTATCAGAGGCGCTAATGAGCACCACAATGTCGCAGATATTGATGCTGGTACTATTCCTGCAACCGGCTATAATGGCTTATGCCAGACTTGGCAGGAAGCAGGCAAAAAAGCCATTGCAGATCAATCTCCGGAGAACTTTTGGTCTGCCTTTAATGAAACCCGCGATGTTCTGAAAATTTTCAACAAAAGGCATCATCTTCCACGAGCCTGGAATATCAGCAAGGAATGGGCGGAGCAATTGATAGGAGCACCGAACCCGAGAGCTGAAACAGAATCCGATTCGAGTGACGACGGGCAATCCACCTTGACTGGTCAGCCTGCAACGAGCGAAAGGCAGAGTGAAGACATCGATCTGACTTCCGATGACAATGACGGCACAGGCCTTGACGCCTTGGAAGCGAGAGCGATGAAGCAGCAACGTCGACTGACATCTGCAAAAGTCTTATACTGGTGGCCTAAAGGCACCGGTTCTCAGATATTCGTGCGATATGGTGACAGGGCGACACCGATTTACCGTATCAGGGCGGGATCTCATGAGAGCTACAGTCGTCATATGGTCGAACAAGTCCTGTCCACAAAAACGCGCGGCAACGCCAAAGAAACTGGAGTTAAAAATGGCATTCCTGAGGAATTCTGGAAATACAGACGCAAAGACGTGGAGGATATCCTGGGAGTTGGTTGGAAGATTGAAGATGATGATGAGGAGGGCCTCAATCCACTTAATCTCCTACGGCCTGCAAAGGGTGTATATTATCCACAAACACGCACGCTTGTGAAATGGAAAGATGGTGTGATTACATTAGAAGGACGTTCGTTCATTCGTCGGATCACATCTGGCTCGGCTTTGGACGGCGATCGATTAATTTATCAGAAAGCCGAGGAGCTCGAGACGGCTTACCGCAAGAAAAATGGGCTCGTCGACGACGACTACGATGAAGCTGAAAGCGAAATAGAAGTAAGTAATGGAAGAAGATATCGGAGCGAGCCTGCACGCTACTAAAGGTCGGCAAAGGCAAGGGCTAGAAATTATACCAATTATGATTCTAGTGAAGACAGTGCCTCTGAAAGCGATGCAGCCGCGCAGTCACACGACCGCCGGTACGGGAGACACCGCAGTGAGCCCAGCCGTCGTCCAATGAGGTCCACAGGCAGGGCAAAGTCGAGGACTCAGAAAGATGACGAATTGATAAAGGAGATAGAAAGAGAGATCCAGCGACTAAAGGTGGGAAGATCGGATCCTCCCAAAGATCGCCGAAGACCGCCGAAGGTCAAATGGTCGTGAGTGTTAAAATGCGACGTTGAGCTGATGAGTTTATTGCCTTTGGAAAGCTGTTGCAGCTCAAGTGAGCTTGTTACCGTGGAAGTGAAATTTTGATTTTCTCTTTTTATGCGTTTATGTAAGGGCAGGCCCTTTATGAATTTGAGATTTCTTTATTCAAATTGGAACGGATTGCTCATGGACCATGTAACTCCCAGTAAGTATTCTGCTCATAGACTGATTTGAACAAGTACAGTCTCCTAGTGGTGTCTGGAGTCGTCAAGTAATCGTATCAATGCTTCGTGGCGGAGTCAAGCAATTCAGCAGACATTGACTGGAAGATCTTGTCAAGGACCAACAAATCAGTATCCGGCGCTTCAAGCACCATTCCAGCACGAATAAGAAGACCTCCGGTGCCGCCGTGTTCTGCCGTGAGTAGCCATTCGCGCTCTATTCTTCTGAGGTGTAAGATTGGAATGGTACTGATGCCAGTAGAGACGTCCATATAGCTGGTCATAAAATCCAGGAACCATCGGACAGATTGTATACCCTGTGATCTGCACGATTGTATGCCCTCGCGAGCATTCATTGCCTCCTGGTGGCTTCTCATCTTGACAATCGCCCAACAGTCCATGTAGTGGAAAAAAGTTTGAACGTGGCCCAATTGAAAAACGAGCGAACGGATTAGAGTCTCGGAGAAACTGCCATGAACGACTATGGTACGACTGAGGACCGTGATGCAGCCAGGGTCTGTGCGAGAATGACTCATTTTTTTGCGAAATGATATTAGTATCGACGAGGGAAATAAATCGTCTTGTTCCCAGCTATCTATTAGTTTTGCAATTTCGCCTTATGATACCAAGAAGGAAAAAAGGTAATTAGTTAGTTTGATGCACCAAGGCTATTGTATATCTTCGCAAGTATAGTATGCACGCAGGTACGGCCCCGGTAGTAGGCATATAGTTCGCGTATGGAGATGCAGCCCGGCCGAGGTTCATTTTCAATATGCGTGTACATACCTTCTGATTGAGTGGTGTGTGACATGTGATATCAGTCATTAATGCGGGCAGGGATCTAGTGATTCTGTCAACTCCAGCGGCGAGCCTACCATCTGGCGCAGCGTTACGTGGGGGTCGGCCTATCCTGCGGGTAGCTTCCACCCAGTGCCGAGTGATCGAGTCAATGACATAGAGAACGCCCACCTTGTGCGTAATTGGGGCTATCATGAAATGAATACGGATCTTCTCAATGAGATTGACCTCGTCCTATGAAGATGATTAGATTGACGCCCATCTCCACCCAATTTTTCATTCAAAATCCGAGTCGTGCTGGGAAAGCGTACGTGGATATTGAGATAACACAGGCTAACAATCATATTGACTTTGGAAATGGCTATTCCCGGGGGAGGGAGAGCTAACATGGACTCGAGGGACCGTCCTAGCTCCGCTGCGGCTGTCGACATGATGGATTCGTTTACTGATCGTGATCAGAACGAACACTGTTCAAGTCTTGCCAGCTTGAGAATTTTGAGGTCAAATGTCCTATGCGGTTGCGGCACTCGAAAATAGCTCCAGAAGAAGAGAGCATGGGCAAGCGTAGAACGAAGCGGGAACTCGATTCAGTATGAACAAGAACATGAAAAGTTCGGGACTGTCTTGTAAGAATGCCGCACAGCAAAACTCAGGGGTAGGGTGAGAAGACGTACTAGTCCGTGAAATGAGAGGGATGGAAATTATCCGACAGTTCATTGTTGGTTGGCAGGCCAATAAGATTCGATATTGAGGGGCTGTTGGGAGGCCACAAGCACGTCGAGAAGAGAGAGCCTGCTAGCATTTGGGGGCCGTACCAGAAAAATAAGGCTGGGAAAAGCAGGTGAGTGGTCTACGAGGCGAGGCAGGTTGAGCTACCCTATGAATGGCGCTAGTACTTGGCGTTAAGACGACCAAAATGCCGCAAATACAAAATTACCATACAAATACAAAGTTACTATACGAAACACCAAGGAAAGTGGATCTCATTTGTACACGCCTTTTTAGTGGTACGTACCACCCTCAAGTCTCAGACAAAAATAATCTCTTAAATAGCTCGTTCATCCCAGACACAAGTTCTTTCTGCATTCATTCCGCCCTCCCAAGATGACATCGCAGATGCACACCTCATCACCGACTTCATCCACCCAGGGAGTGTATTCGCCTAAAGGCCTTCGCCAGTATGACTCTTCTCCCGGAGAAGAGTCTCCAAGCATAGCAATCCCGAAACCGCCGATTCCTCTACATACCCGGGATTCTTCCCACAGTTCTGTAGGAGGGGCGACATCCTCTCGGCAAGAAAACATCTGGAATAAAATACATTCTAAATTGGCAACCCGTGATATTGTTTCTTATCCGGAAGCTGAGGAACGAGAACACTTTCATTCCAGGTCCGCCAAGCGCAGACCCAGACCCCCCAAGCGCAGACCCAACCCCACCAGACGCAGACACAGACCTATCAACCAAAACCCCGTTAACAGAGGTTCCGACGACGAGACAAAATCTCTTGGCAATGCCGGAATCTCTGACAACAATGAAAGCCATCCTGGTGCTTCAAGGCTTAACACTCCCGAGCTCACTGAGACTACGTCCTTCAGTAGACGTACAAGACCCCCTGACAACGCTGAGCCAGCTGGCAGAGATGGGGTGCCTGACAACGCCAACGCAAAATCCAATAAGGCTGCGGGCCGGGCTGGCGCTTCGGCCTACGAAGCTTCGTCGGAAAACAACTCTTGTCCTCAAGAAAAATCTTTACCCAAGAGTGCATGCTGCGATTCGCTATGCTGGATTTGTCGCCGACCCTTTCAGATCTCGTCTGTAATCAAAGACAACTGGAAGTACCGGCCTATTGTCATTGGACGCGATGGCGATCTACCGCCGGCCCAAAGGTGCGTCCAGGGAGTCACGCCCGCAATACACGATTGTTGCTGGGAAGTTGCTTGCCAGGTTTTTAAATGTTCAAGCCTACCTTTGACTCGTCGTATTGATGTAATCAAACATATTCAATATTTGGGTGCCTTTGCCGAGAAAACCCCTTTCGATACCGAGACTAATTCTCTTGACCTGGAATTATTTACTGACTCGGATTGCATGTCAACTTCGTCGTGTGAGAGCCCTCAACAACTCGTTCTCGAGACTATTCTTTCCAGTGTGGTGGGATTGCTACAACAGCAAGATGCTATCATCTTGATTGATGACCTGAAGAAAGTGGATCCGTGTATAGCGCAGTGGATGGTTCTAGCACATCCATATTCTGTTCAGATGAATAGAACTCCAAATGTCAGACCTCTTTTAGAGCGTGTGGTGAGGAATCTAAGAGAAAGCGATGCTTCTCGGTTTCCAAAGGCCTACAACTTTCGGGTGGCATGGTACAATGTCCAACAGGCGATTGGGGCCTTGGAAGCCATACCACGCCCAGAGATGATCTTGCTGGATCCTCGATTCAAGGGCCATGGACAATATCTCAGATATCGTATGTCTCTAGACAAGTGCCGACGGTATTCATTTTTCTTCTACCCCTGCAATATGTCTCGACACTATCGCTTAACGGGGGTTGTGTGTGATGGATTTTCCATTGGATCCTGCCCAGTTGGGAATCCTCTAATGCGTGCGATTCACCTTCCAATTGAACCGCTGCGAGGGTTGTGCCTAGCTCAAACATCGACGGGACAGATAACAGCGCTTAAATTCAAGAATCGCGACGGGTGGGGCCTTACCTGGTATGGGGAGCTTGCTCATGCCTGCGATGTCGTCCAGATTGAATTGAATGAGTCGAACCAAGATGTGGTCTTTCATTTTGACGTGAGTGAACGCTTCTAATGCCCACCTTGGATTATGCTAACTAGTGCAGGCTTATTATAAAGATATTAAAAAGATCATTCCAATACCGCGGCTGCACTGACTTTCATACCGTGCAGAATCTGGATCCAGGTTTCCAGCTGTGCCTCCATGCAATCTGTTGAGAGATGTCTTGTTATGTTGAATCCCGAGAAAGCTCAATTTTACTTGAAGATGCAACGTTTTTTTTCCAAAGGAACCTGGCTGTACGCCTAATGTCTAATGCTCTCATGTCATTAGTATCAGACGATTGAGCAGTCTGACTCTGCTTTATCCGCGCTTTCAGATACCGCGCTTTCAGATACTTGTTATGAACCCAAACAGATCTGAGCCATTTTCACATCTCACAATCACAGGAACTGCTTTCTTGCCTTCATTTTTCCTGAGAAGGAAACTATTTCAACCGCCTTCGTGGTTTCTGAGCCTTTCACGCGAGTTGCCTGGAGTGCGAGGTCCTACGGCTTTTCTCCTTGTGGAGTGTCCGCACATGTCTTGCAGGAGTCTCATTAGTACATATGAAGATAGCTCTTGATGGGTCAAATTACCGTCGCAGATTGTCAGCTCGAGGATAGTTCTTGCGGCAGTAAGGACATTCGTAGCATAGATTGCTATGTATTCGCGCATGCCGTTTCAATTCATTATTCCGCTTAAACCCTTTCGATTTGTATTCACATCCTTCTATAGCGCAGTAGTAGGGCCGATATTGAGAGTGTACATTCATATGGGACCTTTTCGTATAGCGGGGTTAGCATGGTCTGGTAATCAAATTGTCCTCCTCTACTCACTTGAGCAAATAAAGACTCGAGAATGAGGATTTACACCCAGGAGAGTCGCATTTGTAAATCTGTGTCACTGTCGCGGTTGTCTCTGGACTGAGTCTGGCTTTTCTTCTCCGTTTCGTATCTTTGCTCTGTCTTAAGCTCCTCATGATGCCCCCACCGTGTGTAGGAAGCTGGTTATGTAGTGTACTTGGATACTTTTGCAGATCGGATGCTGGCTGGGGGGTGGGATCATAATCCAATGTACCAAGGTTGGTGTTGTGCAAATCGGCAACGAGCAGGTCCAGGGGTCTCCTGTCTTGCTGTATTCCCTCTCTGGCTGGAATTCCCTCCTGGCTGGAATTGTGGAGTCCCCTCCTCTGGGGGTGAAGCTGATATTGATGGATTGATAATTGCTCACACTGACTTTCATTTTCCCTCTTTTTGAGTCCCTCGACGGCCTTGTGAATCGATTCCAAAGTGACCTTCGTATTTGATTGCATATCTGGCTGTATAGGTGGGAGCCTCACCGGCCACGATGGGTCAATCATAATCAGAAGTTAGGGAGAATCCCCCAGGACATAGCTGAGCGTCCAGTCATGGGGAATGCAAATATCAAGACCACAGTGCTTCGCCTATTTTATATCCAATCGCTCAGGACTACGTTTGTCCTTTTACAGGTCACAATAATTGTGCATATGCTTTGACCAATGGGGAGCATCTGAGGCTCTGAGATTGTGTTCATCGGCAACAAGTATTCTGAGAGCGAAAAGCCGTCGAAACATCGACAAAAGTACGATACAAATTACTGATTCTGTAAAGTGGCATTTTCGGTAGAGTTAAGTGTAGATCATAATTTGAACGGGGGATGCACTCGTTTCGATATGGAAATAAGGACCCCTGAATCCTAGAACTCATGGCGCTTGGACCAGGATCAAGTTCTCCTTTCAGAAGGCAGTATGGTATCCACCCAGGTTCCCGACGTGTCGTCTCTTGCACTCCCAGTTTGTTGGCCACCATCTTGTAACTGTCCGTGTCGCTCGCAGCAAATCGACTAAAATGGGCTGGGCCCCGACTCTCCGGTGCAATTTGTCCATTGAGGCTCCACAACGACGGCAATCACGTACCACGAAGGAAGAATTCCCAGGTCTCACATCCCCATCCATTCTCCAGCAGGGCTGCCATGCATTAATTTTCCAGGGTCAGATCCTTTTTGGTCTCGCTGAGATACCGTCTCATCATATCGTCGGTGGCCTTTTGGATACCCCCACACTCATCATGACAACACAGGAGCAGAATACTAGTATTTGAAAGTCGACCACCCGTGTTGTGAATTTCTGGTCTTTCACACACCGGGCAATGAATTTGCCGTACAGGCACCCCTGTACAACAAGCTCAGGGCGCTCGGTGGGAAGGATCGGCGGAAAGACAGTGGTGCCCGAATCTTCAGGGTAAATGTGGACACCGCCATGTCCCAGAATTAATTTGAAAGCAGTCTGGTTCCGCGCTGGAGTGTCAATGCCAGACAGCTGTCGAGCCTTCTCTAACAGCGTTTCGGCCAGAACCCCTTCCATGAAGACCTTTATCTGCTTCCTCCCTTTGGGTGTGGTCTTCTCGCGCATATGCACCGGGGTGGGAATGCACGGCGGTGTGTATTCGACAATCTGGATTCCAGAAGTGACTGGCCCTTCAGTGTTGGAGGAAACAGGATTGCACAAGCCTGTCTAGTCAGGACTTGGGTATGGCTGTGCATTGATCGCATTGATCGCATTAATTGCATTGATTGCATTGATTGCATTGATCAACTTGATTCGGATGCGATCATCATTCCCCTACTACTACCGGACGAGCGCTAGCCACCACAGGCGCCAGGAGATAATTGCGTCGCTCACTTCGCTGCTTGAAAGCGTGTTCTGTAGGAGATGACGATCCAGAGTAGTTTCTTCATCTAGTTATACGCAATGTAGGTCACACTCTTCTCGCAGAGGAAATCGCTATAGATCTCTTTCCAGCGAGGAAGGGTATCCTCATCGTATGTCGGTAAGGGGATCAGGCGAGTTGTTATGGACGAGTTGTTGTGGACAGCCGAACCCGGATTCTATACCGAAAATGCACGTCAGGTAGGCTAGCGCGGTAGTAGAGCGTATACTGTAAGGCCGAAACGAGCAGAAATTCGGGTCGCTATGATAGGCGGCATCGTGGGCGTAGCGAAGGTACGTATAGCGGGCCTCGGAGTCCTCTATAGCGATACGCCGGTTAGGCTCTCGGCTCTGCAGGAAAAGAAATATCTACTTGTTGGTTAAGTAAGGTATGAGAGTATTCAAAATGATATATTAGATAAAAAAAAAGAGAATATCGCGGTCGACAAATAGGAACCTCAACTGATGCGCCCTACTTTAATCTCTGCGGCTACCAAAATGGATTCCTGCGGCTAGCAAAAGATCCCTGTAGGCACTACGCGCTGTGTTTCTGGAGGACTCTAAAAGACCGAGCAATCAATACATTCTAACCGCACACTTGAGTGATATCGAATTTCCGATGGTTATAGATGATCCAGCGACCGGACTACAAATCCAATCTGTTAGCATGGTTCCGATAAAGTAACAAAAATAATAAGATGTCAGGGAGTGGAGAAATTGATACTAACAGTTGCTGTTACTATGCGGACGCCTAGCCAGAGGCACCTGTGCTTACGAGAGATGCCAATGGAAGGATCTTCAATAACCGACTTTTCCTTCGTCGAAGCGGTCTCTTGGAAAAAGTCGTGGGGATAATAGAGTTGGCTCCAGGTTAGACCACGAATAAGAAAATCTTCCGGGAAGTAACGAGCTGCCCCCTTGTACAGTGGGAATGCTCTGTCTTCAATCTTGTCGAAAATTATGTCGGGGCCAATGAGTGTGTTGAGGAACCTCGCGATGCTGGCCCATGGGATGAATTCCTGGAGTCGCTGCATGGCCTTTGGACGTAGGGCTAGACCCCAGATGAATGACAAAGAAATATGCGCACATGAAGATACACCACCACCCTTAATGGAGTCGAGTAGTATGGATAGTGTCTTGAAAGAGAGGGTAGCGCCTTGTTGGGCCATTGGATGGAGATGGACGCTGGAGGGTGTTAGACCGCGAGCGTCCTTGAATGAAACTGACTCGCCATCTTCCTGAGTAAGTTCCAAAGCTACAATAGCTTCAGGGTCGCCATATTGAAGTATTGCAGCAAAATTACACGACATGATATAAACTCCGGTTTGGTCCTGAACAGCCTCTTCTCGCAAGAGCAACAGGAAATGAGTTGCCAAAGTAAAGAACTCATCAGCTGGTTGTCCATGGTACAAGGCGCAATGGGTAGCAAGGAATGCCGTGGTCATTGTATGCTGACTTGAAGCCATGTCCAGTTCACGATATGGACTGAAAAGGAGCTCCATAACATCTCGGGTATCGGGAAAAGGACTGACACTCACTAGCGCTTTGGTATAGTGAAAAAGCTGTTGGAGAGGGTTTGCGCGGGATAGAATTCCAAGATGATGCTGGATGCGGCCGATGGTAGGGCTCATACCAGCGTTTTGGTTATACCAATATCGCGACGCTGCAGCCCAAACTTTCCGGTCTTTCATATTGAACTCTTCCATGGCCATGCGATAACGTGCTAAATCTCCGAGACATTCGGTCCAGGTCCCGTTAAAGTCTGGGGCATTTTTCAGTAGTGGCATAATTATGGAAATCGCGAAGTTGATAAAGCTCCGTATGTAATCCAGCGTGCTTGGCAAATTTTCCTTAAGTCGGTTCAGGAAGTTATGAATGCCATATTTCCACATTCGCGCCGGCATAGCATATTTCTCGGCAATGAGCCTCAATTCAGAACTTGCAGAGTGATGTTGAGATGCAAGAAAAAACTCCTGCTGTTTTTGAAGCAATAGTTGGTGCCAAGAAATCAGTTCCTGCCATCTGGTGTGTGATAATTGCGCTTTGCAAGTCTTTTCCACTAAAGCCACTTGAGCATAGATTCTTTTGGCCTCCTCCGTGAGCTCCCAGTCAGTGTGTGGTCGTTTAAGCATCTCCAGTGTGCCCATGTATGGTGACACGGCCGATGCTGTTTCGGATTTGGAAGAATTGATAGAATGCGGGCCGTCGCACTCATAGTCAGACTCATGCCCCGAATCGTGTGCAGTAGATGGAGAATACAATTCCATACTATCATCGTCCTTCTTCCGTTGAATAGGCGCCGACCCATCAGTAAGCAAGCCTTTTTTTTGCGTGGATGTGTCTTCCGTAGCTGCATCGTTCAAACTAGAGATTCGTGTTAGGCAACCTAGTCGTTTACGACAATTAAAAATATTGAAGGAGCGGGGAAAGCGAGAGATTCAAAAGCAGAAAACACAGGAATGACCGAAGGATGTGAAACAAACGTTGGGAGCATTAGGCCCTGACAAGGAACGAACCATTGTGGCATAAACATCGCCTCACACGGCACCGGTGAGCCGTCGGGGGCGTGAACTTGGTCACGCTGGGACCCTAACATAACAGGGCTACCTGACGAAGGAGTTTCATGAAAACGATTATTCGATGGAGATGTCTTGTCTTCTATACATGGAAGGTAACAAGACATCTTGATGAATGCCGCAATGACTGATGGTGATGAGTGTGTGCTTAGCTCGGACCGCTTGAGTATTCTGACACCTGGGATCACCGGGAGAAAGCGGCCATTATAAAGGCGCTGGCTGTCTACCCGGGTTGCGTAATCTACTACATAATGTTTCAGAAGTCCTCCAGTAGGTAGCCATCTTTTGATTGCGAAGTTGTCTAAGATCACGGTAGTCGAGTTCGGTAGCAGCCCGGTTGACTACCAGCCAAGTCTAACCGGAAATAGTGGACTTATGGAGGGACTGATGACAATTTTTAGTTCTGAAGTGGTTGCCTACATTCGCTTGGAGTTTAGACCATCTCTAAGTCCCTAGGACCTGTATTCAAATAAACCAACGATTGCACATGCAGGATCGAACTGAAAGTGGACTCGGCAATTTTCGCTCTTCAGGAATATAAATTAGCCACCGTCCTCGTTCTCCACCCTCTCCACGACAGCATACGTTGCATCAATTGACCAAGTAGCCTCTCTCCAATCACATAAGGGTTTCAGTATCTTGTCTTCGGCCGATATGAATGAAGAAAAGAGAGAAGAGCCCTCGCGAGCGGATGGGTTCCCCATATCCAAATTGGAGAACCGAGCTGCAATGAATAAGGCAAGCTACAATTGAATAGCAAAAGGGGAAATCATGCTAATCACTTGTTCTCTCATACAGAACTGCACTCTGGACATAGCTTCCGCAGTGAGCGCCTTGACAATGATGAAAGTACGGAACCAGGTATTACCTCCACGTATGGTGACCTGCTTCAGCCGCATCTAACTTTACTCTCATGTCCCATAGGATGTTCTGGGCGATCTGCTCATGGGTCATTCGGTATGACCATAGACCAAAGCTCAATTGTTGTGAATGGAAATGTCCCAGGAAGCAAAGCTCAGGCTGGTTCTCGAATTCATGTGGCTCACGGCGGTTCTGTGACAAACAACAGTATGCTTGTGAATGGTGATGTAGACCGGGAAATCATTCTCAGGCTTATGTGCAATAAATAGAATAATGCGCTGGGAGACAATTGGCTGGAGGACATTCAATGACTGCAAGTTCATGGTACACATGGGGGTGGTTATGCATGAGATCAAGTTCATATAAAGCCACCAACCCGACTAACCATCTCCGATTTTGCTTTATGATAGCGGTCATATAATCCGGTCGCATCAAATGCCATTCCAGCGCAGGTCTTGGGGCATCCCACTTCTAGTTCCAGTCCAGTTCACTAGAGGTACTTGGAGCAAAGTCAACATGCCTTGAGCCAGTTTTGCCTCTGAGGGTCGAAGGAGTCTTGAGGAGGCCAAATGGGCATATGTAGATAAAATGCAGTATGCTGAATTCACCTTCGGTGAGCATAAGCAACGAACCGAACTCTCTACGATCATGTCCTTGGTGGAAGCTCCCCTCCGACCCTTTAGTCACAAAGTACGCTACGATACACACATCTTGAGAGAGAGAGGGAGGGAGAGAGACAGAGCTATCTTATACCATCGGAATTGAACTTCAGACTTGAATTCTATTCTTTGGTCCCGCTATGAAGATGATGCCCCTGGATCCTAGAACTCAAGAGACCGATGACGCTTAGTCCAGGATCAAGTTTTCCTTTCGGTAGAGTTGCCTCATGGTCCGATTTATCTCACTAAACCGCATCTCATACCATTTAAGTACAGATGATGGAGCATTCCCACTCAGGTTTATCTGTGCATTCAAATACTGGTTATAGACCCAAACACATCTGAGCCATTCTCGCCTCTCAGGGTCTACCAACTTAGCGGCAATGAAGCGACTAGGAACGAAGACCATGCTTAGATCATCCAGTGGTGATGTGACGCAACAAAGGCAACGCTCTGCCCGAGAAAGCTCTTCTTTGACCACTGCCAGATCTACAAGGGTCTGGCGATCAGGGCGGCTAGCAGTTTCTTCAATTGGGACGTTTGTTTGAATAGCATTTTCAAGGTCTTTCGCCTTGATATATTCGTCGATATTGGGGTGGGTATCAGGAATGAGTACTCTCAGAGTCTTAAGTGATCAGTGTGCGAAACAACTCTGCATCATCTCGGAGGCTTACCTCTAAAGGTTTTTTGTACATGGCAATGTTGAGTCTATCGAAGTTTGGGAGCGGGATCACTAAGGACTGGTGTCTTTTATGGGAAAGAGAACCATTTTAGTATGCTGAGAGTTTAGGGGAGGGTGACGGAAATGGACAATCTGAAGTATATTGATAGCATCCCCTCATCCCCTATATTCTCCAATGCGCCCGTTTAGATGATATGCATGCCATTTAAGACGTTCATTTATCAACTGTCCTTTTTGTCAAAAGGCATTAGACCGTAATCTGGATCACATGGCGGAACGAACCTAACGCTAATGATATATCACACGTGACTGAGGCCATGTCCAGCCCCGCTCGAGGCCACGGAAGATGAATTCAGGGAAAGCAGACATCAAACCGTCACCATGGTAAGCGTCATTATACTAAGACCAAGAAGATCCAAGCTAATATGCGTTCTGCCTACGCGTTCAGATGGGAAATCACAGTTCACTGGCCCCGAAGAATGGAATAGCAGGCCCTTTTCTCCTCAACGAAGCTGCCAATGAGGCCCGACGTCAAATGGCCGAGTGGGCCGATCAGCAAGCTACATTATCGACAGACTACCTAGTTGATGCCGATGGCCATCGGATGTATCGCACGGCAAGCTTACAGCCTTGGGCCATCCCACTTCTGCTGGCGATGAAACTGACGGTAAGGAATAAAAGCCAAATTCGACACACTCGCAGACTGTGCTTATTTAACTAGGGTCGTAAATACACCATGTATCGGGCCGCAAACCTCAAGTACATTCATGCCAACATCAACCATCAAGTCTACGCAATACCGATCAATATCATTGATTCTAATCCCCATATTCGTGACCTGGCCACCAGCGCTCCCGTAACACTACTGGTGGGATGGTATTTTCAACTGTCCGGAGACGTCCTAATCAGCCCTGAAATAGACTATCTGGTGTTGGAAACGAGATTGGAAGAGAACCGGTAGGCTGGTTGCCTGATGACAGCGGGTGGATAATGTTTGGTTGCGCGTGGTGCTGTTCGACAACCGCCATCTGACCTCGCACGTCCCCGAATAAGGATAACACGCATGTTTGAAAATAGGCGGATATGGGCTGCAGAGAAGACCATAGTGATCCGTAGCCAAGAATGGTGCAAATCCTATCCAGGCTGGAGTGTTTCTCAGTAGAGGTCCCAAACGGTGTACTGGGGATCTTACGGAACAGAATAGCCCGTGATATGGTGCACGATGCAAGGGAGGCAATATGGAATCCAACCGTTTTCCAATATCGGAACGGACGTATGTCCCATGTGTGTCGTCACAAGCTTATAACTGCTGGCATCGTTGATGGCAAACGCGGCGAGCTGAGCCGACGTTTGACCCCCTAACGCAATCTTTGTTAGCTTAGGCGACATGAGGATTGCTGCAAGAACATACCGAGAAAGAAAAGCTCCCAGCTCCGATGTCCCCATCCATTTTCGAACAGTGCTGCCATACAGCGATTGGCCCAGACGGCCCCTCGACGATACCGCTCTAAAGTCAGGTCACTTTTATCGGCACCCGTATATTGCCTCATAGTGTCGTTGGTTACTTGAATGGAAATACCGGCTTTAATCATGACTTCGCAGTAAGAGCAAAACACTAGGTCTTGAAACGTGGCCACAGTTTGGGCAAAATCTCGGTCGTGGCCGCAGCGAGAGACAAAGTTTCCGTAACGATAACCCCTTACGACCAAATCCTCGCAACCTGTAGGTAGCATTGCGGGGAGAGAGGGGATTGGGTATTCTTCATGGAAAACGACCACGCCCGCATTGCCTAAGATTGATTGCAAGGCATCCTGATTTCGGGCCGGTGTATCAACACCCGCCCTTATTCGTGCCTCGAGCCACCCGGCTTCGGTGGGAAGGGTTTTCAAGAATTTATGAAGCTGTTTGCTCCATGCTGTGGGCTTGTCTGGTTGCGCGTGCTTAGCAGCCTGCTGATTACACTCAACAAACCGATAGTGACCCGTGGACGGGTCTTGAGAATTAGAATCAGAGGGCCCGGGCACTGGAAGTCGGCCCCGGTCAAGTCCTAGACGTGACAGAACAGACTTCAATTGACGCTCGAGATAGTCGATATAGTCTGGATCAGGCCCTTTGAAGGGAAACAGTCGCTCCTTCATTGTGACAAAAGAGAAGAGTGAAGTTGGTCAGTATGGATCGAGAGATCTCTTTTATGTCTTCTACACGTCCGTAAAGGGAATGTCATTGAAGACATTCCCTTTACGGACGTACCCGCAAGCTGGCTAGGAAACATAATCATAATCCATTCTGCCGTACTGGGCGCACGCAACCGGCTAGAGCTGGTCACCGTGAGCTTATCACAGAATGCTTGTCGCGGTCACCAATGGTTGGTAAATTATATCAAATTATGAAATCACGTCGACGTCCACGGTTCGCGTTCCTACATTCTCTAGAGGCCTACTGTGCTATTTTACTCTACTCTACTATGAGAATTATTCTGCGGTATCATTACCTGCTATCATGTGAACTGTGAAGGCTGCCGGCAATGCCGTACATTTATAGATCGGTACGTATTCCTGAATTCTAGAAATCCGCTACATCCCGACTCTACGTGCTGGAATTGTAATGGCGCTAGTGGTCAGTGTGTTCAAGTTCCCAGACCGATCGTCTGTTCGCCATTTAATTCCTCTTTACAGACAGTCCCCATCGGATGCAATCCAACAACATACATATATATCGGTCTGGAGGGTGTTGTCCGTGCTGCCATCTGTCTGGGCAAGAACCGGGTCGATCTGGCTGTGGTCCCGAATGGGATAGATCGAGTCAACCGACGCTTCACTAATCTAAGTGGACTCCGACTTTTGAGTAGCGACCCACTATTTGCCACAGAAGGCAACTGTTCCTATGCCAAAATTAGCATTCCTAGCGCTGAAAGACATAGATGCAGTATTAGTAGCACTCGCCTATAAGTCGGTCTTTATGCAGGATATAGCCACTACATGAATCCCACGCTGCTTGCAAAACCCATCATGGCATTGGAAGTGAGTATTGCGCAAGTCCATTAGTCTGGTATTAGACCTCTTATACCCAGCTGTAGACTGTCCGCATTCGCTCCAGCTCAAAGAATATACGCATTGGTCTCGAGGATGTGATCTGTGCGGTCATCCCTTTGGGTAAAGATGAAGTCGATCTCGCTGTGAGACCGATTGGCAAGAATCGTGTTTTCCAACGCTTTGCCACATATAATGATACACGATTGTTGAGTGGAGACAAGCTTTTCGCACCAGATGGCATTCGTTCTTATGCCCAAAGGGCACACGCAGCGCTAGTTGACATACGTCAAAGATACGAGAGAGAAACTGAGAATTGTACTCTCATATGGGATCAGTCGCTCGCCGATTGGTTCGTAATGTCATTTGAACATTTTGATAAATTGATTATGCATTATCAAAAGCAATGCTAGTTGAAGAAGGCAACGTCAGGGTCAACCCACAATGCGTTATGTTCCCTGTGACTCCAAAACAATAAGTCTCTAACGAGGAAGTACTTAGGGAATATTGGGGCCCTCTATTCTCTTCTGGGAAGATCGATGCTGGGAAGACGTTGGGCTGGCTTCTCGATGGAAACCTCCAGGTGTTGAGTTCGTTTGACGGCGGCGGCGGTGTTCCCTGGTTGTTGGAGATGATAGGCTGAGGTTTGTAGATTGAGGCTGAGTGGCATACCACCACGATGAATAGACCCGCTCTTGGATTTCTATCACGAATTCCTCCTCGTTTGTAGGTTCGTCATCTGGCGTTTCGGCGTCCACGTTTTGGTCATGTGTACAGAAAAGTACCTCCAAAGATCCCAATGACCTCAACAACTCATGTTCAGAAAACGCATTTGGAAATAAAGGTGATCTATGTACTTTGGAAACCATTCGTTGCACTTGTTGCTGATTTAGAGCGGTGATCAGGGAGCTCAACCGGGATTCCATTGGTGTTGATGTCACACCGACACTCAGGCAGACCAAAGTCAAATAGGCTCTCTCTCCGAGTCGTGTTGTTGACGCTGGAAAGGTAACTCTCGGGGTAATCACAGCGTTCAAACTATGTGAGGATATCTGCTCAATGCGACACAGGATATCACAAGTATGTGTCCGTATGTCTTCGCTGGATACTCGGGACTGAATCAGCCTCTCCTGCAAGAGATAGTCTCGAATACTGTCCCAATGCCCTCGGGCTTCCGGACTAATTGAGTCCCAGTCGCTCCCTTTCATCTCGTTGAATCCATCTTCCCCAATTTGGGGGTACCAGTCAGCTTTGTTGCGTGATACAATGTCCTGAATTTGGCGCCAATCGCCAAGTCTGGCAGGTAAAGAAGATTGAAGAAGCATGTAGGAAAGTAGAAAAATCATTTGTTCCATCGAAAAACGCGAGGTAACCAACAACCCCGATTCGAGCGGTGCGGAATATGGAAGCATATTGGATAGTGAACAGAGCAGACACAGTAGGTAGAATAATTATGCTGTTCTTAGGAATGACCACTTCGATAACAGAGAGACACATACGCTTCAATCAGCGGAAGGCAGGATCTTCATATAGTTTTGCACCTCTCCGTAGTTGCTGTTTCCGTGGTCGATTTTCACCGGGTAGAAATTTGCGCACAGAGCCGATTCAAGTTGGAGCAGACATGTAAATATTCGTTTATGTCCGCGCATGAATTCTTTCAGTTACCTGATCTACATGTACCTTCCTCATCGGACATAACTATCTGAAACATCCTTGCGCGGATTCTCATCAAAAACCACTGACTTAATTCATCTCGAAAGGGCTATATATTTATTTACGTATTTTGTAATCTTGAAAGCATCTCTGTCTATTCATCTATCTGGTTTAAACAGGAATAAGAGTTGCTCGGGGGATCCCATCTCAATTAGCACATGGCCACCAAAGGCGGGGAGGGAGATGTGCATCCAGTAGTATCCCGGATGAGTGCGGCCCATTTGTTGATAAGGAAGCAAACGGTCGAATCTGGCTTCTTCGAGCTGGTCCATTCCATTGAGAGGGACAAAATGAGCCCCTTGTCTGCGGACTTTGATAGGCCGGTGAAGGTAAAGTAGAAGCTGTGCGAATCGCCCCTGTTCACTGCAGGCGAAATTGTTATCCATCAGCTGGACCTGCAGCCGAATGAAAAGAGGTGATGTGCACGATTCTGCCCTGGCATATCCAGTCTCGGACTTCAGAGCTAAGTAAATGTCTCCCAGCGTGTACTCATTGTCATTCTCTTGTCGACAATGAAACTTTGTGCAGAGTTCAGAAAGGTGTCGTTGGATCGGGATGAACACTGTGCCGGTAGGGGATTGCTTTTCCACGATAGCCACGTCTAGTACAATTAGCTTGAAGCAATGCCGAAAATCATTTCAACCAATCGTACTCTGAGCAACTTCACAGATATATCCAGTAGAGTCTTGGGCGTCGACAAACTGAGCCTGGTTCTCTGCTGGAGGCGGGCAATTCGATGTCGGCATCATCATGGTGCTGGGAGGGATGGTCGGCTGCCACTCGTAGGCGGGAGCATACTGGGTTGCATTTTTTGTCGCAGGGGCGGTGTTGGCTTGCATTGCATTGCTGTCATCTGGTAGAGATGAATAACGGTATTGAGATATCTGCAAAGACTCAGAGAAACCGTGGATTTTAGGTGGAAGTCCTCCCTCTATTATACTTTCATCGCCAGAGCACTTGCTTAAGGAAATAACATCTGCTTGCGACCTCAATCTTCACCGAAATCAACTCCGTGATGTGCATGTGCAGCTCAGAGATTTAGTCGACATGCTCATCTGGCGTGGCTCCTAATTATCTCTGTGCCCGTGACTGCTCCTGCTGATAACAATCCCGGTAATTCAATGCCCTGGCCGCTGTAGGTGGATATCTCAGCGGAGGAGGAACCAGGCCGTCCAAAATTATCGTGTCCCCGCTGGCCGAGGATGTGCTTCGATGTGATTGCGCGGGAGAATCTGTGATTCGAAAAGCGTATTAGCATTGTGGTTCTCCCTTTGAGTCAGATTTAGCAGGAGCAAGACCCGAATCGTCAGTCAGGAACCAACACGATGCAATTACTTCTGGTACTCGAATCTGCAACTTGATCCATCCTACGAACTGTGATCCTAGGGATAAGATAGGATGCTCTGTCATGCTGTAGGATTGATTGTCCGGATAGATTGAAAGAAAGTGATCAGGCGACCTCGGTAGCCAGTCGACGGACTTATGAACAATTTGGAACTGGTTTGCACGATTGTTACTAATCCAGTGGTAGGTGAAATCTACTGGAGGGTAGAAAGTAATTTTGTGCACAGCATAGTCCAACTGTTACTTTGACTTTGTTTCCAGATAACTTGGTACTAGAATAGAGATTGGCATTGCTAAAGACAAAATCACAAGCGCTCGTTAACCAGGCACAGTAGGTGGAATCAGAGCCACTATTATAAACGAAAAGGTGCACAGGCCTCATTTCCAGAGCTGGCTGTATCTACTTATACAGCTCTAGCCTTTTCGGCATACTGTCCCAAACACCTATTCTTGACTTTTCAGGGGCCCAGTAACGTGTTGCAGCATTGAGCTTATGGCCCTGGACCTTAACGTGAAGATAGTCTAGAGAAACCCATGCCGGGAAACAGATCCAGTTTGCATTTGTCTCTACCGCGGGATGTGTGAACTGTCAGGCGTGGAAAGGATCCCGAGCGGCTAGGCCCCGGGCCTAGGGTGGTATTCGCTAGTCTCGGCTCTTCTGCATGCGCTGCAAGAGATGGATCTATCCATTCATTCTGTGCCTTTATGTGATTTTAATTCTCCCCTGTTCATTAGATAGGGATGAAACATACCTTCGAGCGTCCGAGGCAGGCAGTAAATGCCCCTAGAAAATTGGAAATCGAAAAAATGTTGGCCATATTTGTGGGAAGGATTCATGGCAGGATGGACGTATAACTTGTATGTCCAACTCCATCGACAAAAGTACATCTTCAGGGGTCGCTTTCGATAGGGATTAAAATAAATCCAAAGTTCAGAAGTCTGCTTTTCGCTTTGCTCTATACCCTTTCTGTCATACAATTTCTGAGTCAGCGACACTGATTTTAGGCCATTGGAGAGGCTGACCGTATTCTACTCGCTATTCAGAGACATCGGGTGTGAGAGAACGCAATAATTCGACTGACTGAAGAAATTGGATGGGGGCATTGTTGAAATACCCCTGGCCCATGGGATTTCCTTACTTGCCGATTGCAACCCTGGCTAGACCCCGGCCAATTCCAAGATAAGATGCGCGGACTTGGTGATAATAAAACTATGACTGCGTATCCATGATCTCTAGGGCCTTTGAAAGTTCATGCAATCCAGCAATCTCCGCTTCGATCTTCGTACCCAAGACTTGAATGTTCCGGATCCCTTTGTCAACCAGAGCATGAATTTTTCGGGCGGCAACTTCGTCCACCTTCGCAATATATGTTCGAGAAAATGTTCGTGAATGCTCATCCGAGGGAATCTTGTCGTATCTCTTTTGTTCCTGACACGCTCTGTCCACAATCTGTATCACAAGATTCTGTGACAAGATCTGATCTTCTCTCCAATTTTTTGCTGACATTTGTAGGATGTTTGACAGTATTTGCACGCTCCTCTTATCTGTGCTCTCGGCCGCTACGAAAGCAGCCTCACGCCAATCCTGGCAGTATGTGTCATGACGCATTAACCAGCTTGTTGCTTCGACTAGGTTGTACGTTGCGACGTAAGTTAATAGTTTGCCGGGAGGCTCATGGCCACGGCTCAGGAGCCATTCCAACATTTGTTCTGGATCCACGCGACGCACAATTTCCAACCAACCAGGTGACGCATTCTCTGGACGAGGTTTTCCCAGATCCAGGCCCTTATCAGATAGCTCGTCTGCAAGACCCTTATCGGTAAATCTACATATGCTTCCCAACTCAGCTGATCCAAGGGTATCAAGGCCGTTGTTCGGTGAATTTTTGAGGCGCGTCCAGCACAGTTGAAACAATTTTTGCGACATTGTAGACATCTGAAAGATAGTCATCTGGTACTTCATGGAGAAGGGATTTAGAAGATCTTTGGGTTCCATGGAAGACACAAGGCGTTGGGTCAGATCGCGGTTGTTATTTCGGAGCGCAATGTAAAAGAAGCTGTGGCCATTTTGGCAAATTGAAGAAGGCTTCACCGTTTGACGCAGGAGAAGGTCAAAGCATGACCTGCAGTTTTCGATACACCTTGAGGCCAGATCGTAGGGGGCGTTCTCATCCATAGGCAAGTGACTTTTGGCATGCTCGTAATCGTGGTAAAGCTTCCATTCAACCTGGATCCTTGATCGTAGTGATGCACTCTTCAAGGCCGTGTCGATTGCAATTTTAACCAGAGGGTGTGCGTTTTCCTTGCGTAGTTCCTCGGCCAAAAAATGAAGGGCTTTGTGTGAACCGAGTGGTATCGAGAAAAGGTCGGACGTGATTGCAGAGATTATATCCTGCAGTGGTACATCCTCAATATTTTTGAAGATTGAAGGGCACTGAAGGGGTCTTTCCGGAGGTTCGTCATGTCCGGACATGTTGATCAAGTCAATATGAATCAGAGAATATCGCGAAAGGAGATATACTTTTTGAAGGATAATCGGGGGACAAGGAATTTTTTATAGTAGAATTTATGGAAGCATCGACCATCAAACAATACCGAATTAACGAACAATTCGTCCGAATCTTTTTCATAACAAAAACTTTTCCAGATTCTCATTGCACATGTACATTTGCTGAGTAGGAAGCCCTGCTAACAGCTACTACGAGCTTCTTCAGCATGATTGTGGATTCTCCTGGCTGGTTTTGGGGTTTGATTATATTCTTTCAAATCTAGGGCATCTAGGGCATCTAGGCTACGATGGCGGGAGTTTTTTTCTTCTTTTCTCAAATGAGTTCGACCTCTTTCTTGAAGCTGTCCACACGCAGGGTAAACCCCGTTTGAATTAAGACTAGGATATGTATTTGATAAAATTGTCATTATGGGTAAATTAGCACTCAAGACGAAGCGCTAGCATTTTTTGAGCTTCATTATTAAGTGTCACTTGATACTCCACCAGGCTGAGTAGATTTGCGTCTCTTGCAATTGTCAACATACTCTTGGAAAACAAGAGCGAGTCTTCGCCAAATTGTACTGCACATCCAACTTTTCGGATAGCATACCACTCTACCAAATTCATCCTTCCCTCCTGAGCTTCATTACAAGCACCTTGAACAATCTCAATGGCAAGCCTCTCGACCCAATTTGGCAGAGAAACTGGAACTTGCAAAGAGATACGTTTCATAGCCATCTGAAATACGAAGATACTGCCTGCTGTCTGCCGCCTAGCCGCGTCAATTGCACAGCGCCACAGTTCGTGCACGTCGGTGCTATGAAACAAGAGCCAGCTTGTTGCCTCAGTCCGATCATTTCGAGCTGCAGCAAGAAGTGGTGTGTCTAGAGCGTTTTCTGTATAGGGTAGGTAGTGTCCTTGGCGCGAGAACCAATCAAACAGAACCCCAGGACTGGGGTGATATACAGCAATTTCGGTCCAGGCATGTAAAGGATCGACTTGTAATACGGACGCCAAGTCTAGCCCTCGAGATAGCATCCGATCTGCGAGATTTGATGTAGCAAACCGGCACACATGGATAAAATGACGTTGGTCGAGTGTTCCACACAGCTTCTGGTCCGATAGTTCCTCGAGCCGTGTCCAGCAGATATAAAACATGCGTTCGTTTCTGACGGCTAGCTCGAAAACTGTCTCTTGGCGATGAGCAGCAACAATAGATGCTGGGTCGAGGATTTGCTCTGGCGTCATTTTCGACACTAGCTCACAAACAATGTCGATCAGGTTCTCTTTCAATGCGATATAGACAAGACTAAGGCCTGTGCTAGTAAAGCAACTTGGGTAGATGAGACCATGGCGAAGCAGCTTCCTGAAAAGATCTGGATCATCACGTATAAACTGTGAAACAACGTCGGGACACCGCTGTTCAGATTGTATATATTGTTGGTGGATGACAGCGTGCTTGAAATCGTTGTACAGTCTCCATTGACACAGAAGCACGTCACGGGAGTTCTGCAGAAAGTAGCGAATTCCCTGTTGAATTTCAGGTGACACTTGTCCACATTTCTGCAGGGCAATCAGAGCATTCAATGCTCTATGTGAGTCGGAAGGTTTGTTACTCAGAAGCTCCCGATATAACTGACCCATGGATTCATGGCTCAGTGCATTGAACTCCGTAAAGGAGCCATTTTCTATTGCTGAAAGATGGTTTTTGATATCAAAATAGATCATGAGGGAGGTTTGGAAACAGATGATACTATCTGGGAGGAGGCGAAGGCTGGGAAGACAGGTCAATTAATAACATTAGAGGTTGTCTTAGAGCTTTTTTAACAACTGAACGAATCAAGGGGATCATTTTTAAAGACCAAAAACCCTTTCAACGAGGGAGAAAAACACGACATACATCGCAAAAATAATGATAGAGAAAATAATCCGCAACAAAAGAAATAGTTCCCAATTTGTCTTGTGGCACTGTAGCTGGATTGGGGAGGCACATGAAACGTATCGCCGCTCACGCCAAGTATTTTTGTGGCGGAGGCAGGGAAACGGATCATTCGAACTTGATTTGCTCGGTAAGCCCCAATAAGCTACCTTTCAACGGCACAACGTGTTGTGAACCCAAAAAACGAATCTTTATCTCCCACCTCCCACGGCCAATATCCTGGATGTCCACCAAATTACATTCGTTTTTCAAAAGTCCAGGACAGTGCTGCTCAGCTCCGAGAAGTGAAAATACTCGGGAATATGCAATAGAAAGTCGAATAAGACGGCCCTCATCAGAATCATAAACACCAGGCAAGCACAGCGTTGTCTGCATAGTGCGGAAGAGGAATTGAAGCTCTTGGCAATAGTCCTCATTTGCTGTTGACATCTTCTTAATAGCGATGAACACTTGCTGTGGTGTGAATACGAATGCCTCTGTATCGAAAAGCTCTTGGCATTTGACGAGGATGTCATTTTGGGGAAGAATAATAATTTTGTCCTGGAAATCCTGCACTATCAATGCACCGACTAACAATGTTAGTGGAAGTAAGTAATACATGGAATAAAAGCAATACCTCGACCATTTTCGGCCAGCGTTAGATGCTTCTCCCTTCTGCGCTCTCGGTATCGTCGCGATGCCTCGGTATTATCTTTGCGTCGCTGTGCTTCGCTTAAGGAACCAGACTTATGGTCGACTGCGAATTGGATCGATATCGCCTCGGATTGAGGAGACGCTGCAGGGGGTAGGGAATCCTGCTCCTGTTGTGATGGTTCAATCAAGCCTTGGATGTCCATTTCGCTTTGCTACTGTGGCGAATGGAGTAAGATATATGGCAATCCAGAGCAGGGGTGACCAGAGCAATGTAGTATCTTGCTGCGTGGGAAGCGCCTAAATTATAGAAAAACAAGTATTCCTCATTGATGCTATTAATCCAATTGCTCAAACTCTTCACCATGACAACAATAGCAGATCACTTCTGTTTGGGTGTACAGAGTAAGGATAATCCACAAGATGCACTTCAGCCCCAAAATACAAATGGTGAGTACCCACCGCCAACAGTACTTCAGATTCCCTGTCAAGGCACTCTTCAAAAGTATGAAAAATAACAACACTGTGTTCTGATCGACGTCGATGGGAGCGGAGTCGGCTTGGCAGATCATGAGCCGGCCTGGTAACGTTGTCTCCAGAAGAGTGTAAGGTATTTTCCCGTGTTCTTTCCCATACTCGAAGTTACAGAAGCATAGTTTCCCAGTTTGAGACCTATTGACCACTCGAAATCCTTTGCTACCACGCCTCGGCTGCCAATCTGCGTCGCGGAAATGTTGAAAGGCGTGCAAAAGTATGCACCAGAAGTATCCGCCGTGGTGGAGAAGAAACAATATTCCCAGACAGGAACTCTTCATTTCCTCCAGTGGAATGTTAAGTCTCCATCCCGTTGCCCCCATGATCACGCTATCTTCATGTTGATGCCTAATGTGGAAGGAATCCCAAGGCTAGTCGCGTCAGTAAATTTTTTCTATGAGCCAAGAAAGTCTTACTTCTAATTTAGCGAGTGATAGAGAAGTAACTGCAGTTGAAAGACAGGTACGTAACTTTTCCATATTCGGATTTGTGGAGTCAGTCTGTGCCCTCTAAACCGACAGAGTAGGGTAGGTGTTTTATATCTTTAATGACAAGTTTAAGAGAGATTCGGTAGGGGCTCATATACTTAGACGAAAATGAAATTTTTAACCAGTTAATCGGATTATGCGTATGCAGTCACTTATTCTATGATAGTCAACTTTCCTGGTCGTATATGGAAACTTGCCTCGGTGGTTGTCAGGCGTGGTAATCAGTCCAAGTGCAATTGAGTTCAACATAACTGGGAAAGAGAGGAAAACCTAACGCCGAAGGCATGAATGTAAAAACCACAGTGGCTTCTTGTCCAACTAAAGTAAGAGTGCTTTTAGGCTCTTGTGGTATGAGAAAACCGCGTAGTTTCTAGCCTGTCAGCCTGGCTGGGCTGGGCCTAGTTCTGCAGTGAAGACATTTTACAGAATCAACCGTGAGCATTTTCGGGCATGCACAATTACTCGCGCTAATCCGAATGTGTCGAATCTTGTCCGCGCGGACAAGATTCGACACATTCGGGTTAGCGCGTATTTGTGCTGTTTGGTTGCCCTGTGATAGGCCGAACTCCGCGTGAGGTCATGCAGTACCCCAGGCAGGGAATCCTTGCAGAGTTATCAAGACTCGAACTTATCACGCGGCGTCGATCTCATTGGACCGGAACAGATTAGGAAAAGAGAATGAGAAAGAGGAGGAAAGCACATCGTTGAGTCAAGGGAGGGCGAGCGGTCTTTTACCGGGAGGGGAAGAGAGAAAGCAGCGTACGCCGCAGTTAGCCCGAATGGGGGTTAACTGAGGAGGTAAGGTTTGATACGGGAAGGAACATGGGATGTGCTTATATAGAGCATCGGGACTGCCCTTTCTCGACCTTCCTTCCGGAGCAATATCAATATAAATCTCAAGCCATTACCATGTCATCCAAAATCTCCAAATCTGCTTTCCAAGGGCTGGCGAAGAAGATTCGCGAAAATTCGGACGCTCTCAAAAACCTCCAATTCGCCGATGCTGCAACTTCCAAAACTGCAGTCCGAACGACAGACCTTCGCTTGGACGTCCATCGCAACACACAAGATGCGACGATGGCTACCGGCATAATACAAGCAAATAGCCAAGCAACCGACAAGACCGTTAAAGCATTCATTAAAGGCAAAACTGGAGGCCACAGTGGTACACATCAGGTGATTGGGCAGAAAATAAGTTTCGGGCTCGGTGATAAGTTCGATGCCGAAGCGCTTGCAGGAGCTGTTGAAAAAACAACCTAGGGAGCCGGTTTCTCGAGTTTGGCCTTGATGGGCGCAGATGGATTTCTGTCATGGAAAAGTGGAGAGGTGTATTACAGTCACATGGGATTGGTCCATATTTAACGTATATTTCCTATGTGGTTGTATGTAATATGCGGGTAACACTTCGATATCAGTATTGTTACTCCCATACAGGGTTACACCGCCATGGGACAGCTCAACCTGCCCTTTGCTCAATTCGTTTGGTTTCCTTCTCTATTCTCTAATCGATCAATCTTTACCTGATGGTTCCGGTAGTTCTCATTCGTCCATTTGCATACTAGTCTGTACCAATTCAGCTCGCTTTGACAGTTTCTCGTCCGGATATACAGCAGACTTAAATGCAACTCTGAACAATCTCTTTCTCGCCATTCTTAAAAGTTGTCAGTGTGTCGGTCGTGGTACACCTCAACATTTCAGGTCTTAGTTGGCGTTACGATTAGTAAAAATTTTACATAGTTATTTCATAGGACTGTACATGAATAACCACTTTACGAATGTTCATACGAATTAAATGTGTTGAGAATCATATCACGGTAGTCAAAGCTTATGGCGGGGACTACTAAGAGGTATGTAAAAAGATGAGGAGTCCCACCTCCGACAATGGAGACAACTTGTGAAAGATATGCACTATCTCGTATCAACATCAAGCGCTGCATGGTTCCTTGGTTCGGAGAGTTTCTCCTGACAATCAGTAAATCTCGTCTCTTGTCAAATAGTCTGCCCACTGACACTGGTGACGCGGCAAGGATGAGATAATCTCACGCCGCAGCAGCTAGCCATGGTGGTAATTTGGGGGAATGAAACAGAGTGGCTAATGTCACTGGACAGTGATAACCATACGGTTTCATATTGGGTAGGCGGTGGGTCTCTTCAAAGGTAAGAAGTAGTCTTAGCATAAATTATCAATTCGAACTAATAATAAAAATAAGTTGTAGAAAATGACGAATAAATGAGTAAATACTTACTCGTGGATACACCTCATTTTCATATAGAAACCATAGTAATCATAGAATCAGCATTTCTCCCGTGCTGTCCAGACGAGGTTTTTAACGTCATCACTCATGATCGGGGTTTGGCTAGGACATCGGTGCGGGAAATTGTTTATCCGTCAGGCGGTTCAAACTGGATTAAAAGTACCAGAGAGGAAGGTCTCGCCTCTGTCCAACATGAATCTCTCAACTTGGCGTCGCATCTCTCTTTTCTTTCGAAAACGGAATTGCACTCGTGGCTTGAGTACTTCTCACATGGTACAATCATCGACGTCCCTCTGGAGAGCACTTGAGGATGGGTCAGGTAATTTCCGACCCCTGGAGCTGTTGGTTCGTTCAGCGACTGACTAGCTTGCTAGAGGAACCCATCGATGTGGCCGATCTATTCAGGTATCAACGATATAGGTGGCTGTATGTCGTAAGCATTGGTATACTTGGAGCTGTCTGACGTATCCAGGAGCGGAGAATCTGAGAAGCTTGCAACGCGCTATCGCAAATTCAATGTGCAGGGCCTCCTTGACGCTTCTGTCAAAGCTGTGGGCATTGATGGAATAAGCTGTATGCAATTTTCCGTCTCAATTTTGCAGGGCTAATCGTTAAATTATAGGTGTCAAGCTGTTGAAATGTGTCGAAGGGCAATTTAATAAGGCGTTTCTCCTGACCATGAGTAATGGCTTTGAAATCATCGCTCGATTACCCAATCCCAATGCGGGTCCTGCTTTTTACACAACTGCTTCAGAAGTTGCGACGCGCCATTTTGTACGTCAAATGCCTGTATCGCATCCGTTGAGGAGCTAATCGGAGACAAAGTTACGTGACAACATAGGCCTTCCTATCCCTCGAATTTACGACTGGTCGGCTGAGGCATGCAATCCAGTAGGAGCTGAGTATATCCTCGAAGAAAAAGCTCCTGGTCAGCCTTTAGGGAGAATATGGGGCAACCTCTCATCGGAAACGCAATCGGATTTAGTGCACCAGATTGTGGACATCGAAAAGAAACTTGCGTCTATCTCATTTCCGAAACACGGCTGCATATACTACGAGACAGATCTGAGATCGTCTTCTATTCAATATGAGCGACTTGACTCCAGGTTTTTGTCCTCCCAAACCGAACAGCCGGTGGCCTTCGTCATCGGACCTTCAGCCAGTCCAAATTACTGGGACCGAGAGAAGGTTGAAATGAACCTTAACAGAGGCCCATGTAAGTTCAAAGACGTATATTATTATGTTATGCATATTGACTCAAGTCTAGGGAGCAACGTTGCTGATTACGCCTTGGCCATTGGAATGAATGAATTCGAATGGGCTATCGCAAACGCGAAGCCAAGAATGAATTTTCACCGATCTATGGAGTCTCCCGAGACACCAAGTGATTACATCGCCCTCCTTAAAGATTACATGGCACTTTCTCCATATCTGGCGGCCTGCACCACGGCCGAGCTGCCCAACAGAATTACACATCCTGATTTACACCTTGATAACGTGTTCATCGATCCATGCACCAACCGCATCACTAGCATAATCGACTGGCAGCAGGCTTGTGTCTGCCCAATATCGCTACAACGGTCTCATCCGCAAATGCTTGAATTATCAGCCTCGTCGCAATCTGGCCAGGGCAAGCATGAGAGGAATCTTTTGGACCATTATTATCATGCCGTCAAGGAAAGCGATCCTGTCCGGTGGGAAGTCCTCGCCGACCCATTGCTTCAAGTCAAGACAAATCCCATATTCATGGTGCCTGGATGCTGGGAACGAGAAGATCTATTCTCTTTACGCAATGCGTTAATCACTGCCGTCGCACGCTGGGATGATATGGGGCACAGTGAAACACCATGTCCAGTTAATTTTGGAGACGAAGAGCTTTTAAAACACCAAGATGAGATGGATTTGCTAGAGGGAATCTCTGCAATTCTTCATCAGCTGCAAGAGGATGGGCTCATTCCACTGGGCGGCATGGTTCGTCCAGAATATTATGAACGTGCCATGGGGTTCAATAATTGCTTTAGACAGGAGTTCATTGATTTAGCTGAGAACGAACAGCAACGGGAATTACATGCGAAGGTCTGGCCTTATCAATAAAAATATGCTTTTTATGTATTATCTGAAATTGAAATGATCTCCTTGACAGAGCAATTACCACAACGAACAAGCAAAAAAGTAAGGGAGAGGGACACGATGAGTATGCAGTGCCCAGGCCTTCTCCTCATTTAGTTGGCCGCATTAGTGTGACCAGGGGCAGCGTAAAAGATCGATTCATGACCTATCAATTACGCCCCCAACACGAATCACTGGTGGCCAGTTTTCGAACTACAAAGTATTCGTAATAGCTAGGCGCTTGGTGTTGGGGCTGTTTTCCCTGCAGGAGTATCACATGCTACTACGTGTTGGGGTTAGCCCCCCAAGGGCATTTTATTATAACGGATGGAAGCTTCGGACTCGGATTCTCGGCTCCAGGTTCAGCGTCGTCATCATGGGCATCGCAGAAAGTAAGATACTTTTGGGAAAACTCACCACAGCATGTTCAAGCGCAGAACGAAGCAAACAAAATGATATTCAGCATGTTTTATTAGACAAACAAGTAAGCTATCAATAAGCAGAAAACAATCCGAGTCTAACCAGAGCCAGTTCGTGTCGTGTCTTGCAGCCATATGGGATAATCTGCCCCAGCCTTCGAAGAACGAAATCACCGGTCGCAAACGCTGCAAAAAACCCCCCGAAAAACTCAAGGACCAGCAAATTAAAATACCGGAGCCTCTACAGCTTAACCTCGATTTGTGGACGAAGGACGCTAATTCTTTTCTGGATCTAATCCCCTACGAAAGTCCTGTCGCTGGAGTGACTTGTCCAGTTGCCATATTTTACCAGGAACTTTCGGTCACCGAAACTCGGAGCGCTGGGGATGCGATACGGTTGCGATTTCTAAAGGTTCTTTTCTATCATTTGAAAGATAGGTTTTGTGTGACCTACCTTCGACCTGACGCTGTCACCTGGATGGCCACCAGAGTTGGTGCGGCAGGCGTGGATGGCAACGACTCCAGCAAAATTTCAGATAAAATCAAACACTGGGCTTACTTGGGAGGAAAATACGATGCGTTATGCAGAGATATTGGAAATTATAATGTGGCAGAGGATTACAAATATCTAGGAAACTTGATACGCTTGCCAGAAGACATGACGGATAGATTGTGAGCCCAGAGAAAGCCCTTTCCGCCTATCCTTCCAAACTGACCGCATCATAGCATTCGGAAAGAGCTCAAAGTCAAGGGGCCTGACAGGAAGAAAGAGATCGACTCGTTAATGCGACGCGGGGTCTATCAATCGAACAAAGAAAATGACGACATTGATTGTCTAGCGGATACAATTTTTCGCCATATGTGGGATCAGATCGAGCCCTATATTCCACCTGATGATATTCAACATGAAACCGCTTTTTATTCTTTGAAAGGTATGCAATGTCACCCCGCAGATCTTCCTATATTGACGTATGGGCATATTAGATTGGCGTAAGCTCCACGGAACCCGGGTGCTTAGACTCCAGAATGGGGATTGCCGAACGCAGGTGGTAGACGAGGAAGAGCATCATATCGGCGCCAAAGGTAACGAGCTAGCAGCTTGGAACCAGAATGCAAATGCACGAGCTACAGACCGATGTGTTGCCCTATCGCCCTCGGCACAAGATGAGGAGGATGGAAGAATAGACCTCCGACCCACTAGCTCTTCTGGGCCGAGTTCATCTCGCGACACTTCTGATGTAGCTAGATCTGATTTTTCTGACTCCCCTGGAAGTACAAGCCAAGGAATAATCCTTCGTTGTGGAGATACTCCAATGGGAAACACATTGATTGAAAGGGATTCAGCCGAAGAAATCTTGCCGGGAGCTGCTTCAACGTCTCCTCACCTCCCGGAATGCCCTTCTAATTTAGCACACGAGGGACAACAGAGCGAACGTCTTTTGGCTCAATCTACATTCACTGGCGTTGAAGAAGAAGAAGGCATCTCAGGTACAGGTATGATCCCTAAATTGCTCACTATGGACCACGGAAGCCAGGAAGCATTGGAATTTCCTTAGATTTTGCCCATTCTAACACATAGATAAAGGCTCTTCAGCGCCGGGAATATCTCCAACAGGAACGGATTATCCCCAATGGGCGAATGAAGTAGTTGGAAGCATTCCTTTTCGCCCTGAAATTGATTCTGGCCCTTCCAGCCTCAGGGTTTTCGATGCCATACTCCATCGTGAGACTCAGGATACTAGCATCACACGCCACAAACGAAGGCGGACTCAAACAACACAAGATATCCCCGCGATACAATTCAGGTCTAATTCATTTGCACGTGACACGTTCAACCCAAGGCAATATGGTCAGCCCGCAATGTCGCTGGATGATCCTGCTGCACAAGGTACCCTTGCGATGCAATCCGGCTCCAATCCGTTTGCGCCACATGACACATTCAACCCAAGGCAATATGGTCAGCCCGCAATGTCGCTGGACGACCCTGCTGCACAAGGTACCCTTGTGATGCAATTCGGCTCCAATCCGTTTGCACCACATGACACATTCAACCCAAAACAACATGGTCAACCTATAGTTTCAGTGAATGGGCCTGGGGCCCAAGATGCGATCGGCACGCAGCTATACTCCTCCCAAATGCCGCATGATGCATTTGGAGCCCATAACGCGTTCAATCCAAGACATTATGGTCAGCCCATGGTTTCATTAAATGAGCCTACAGAACAGGGAATGTATAATGTTCAGAATCTTGTCAACGTTGATTTCGGCCTTGTGGAAGTTCAATCTTAAATGCTTTGGGCCTCAACCTGAGATATTGCATCTCCTCTCATCGAGCTTATGCTATATCAAAACAAAATTATCGTCCGCCTCCCATTCTTGTTTCGCTCATGAAGTACGCCCAGGTATATCAGAACAAATAATGGAGCCTTAGTCTGTAAGGATGGCCAAGCCGAGATTTCCTGACCAAGGTTGTACCTGATTGGGGTTAATCACCGAGTGACTATTGTAAATCCAAACAAGCCCTCAAAAACATCACGTACGATCCATTCAAGATTTTTATTACGCTGGGGGAGTAATGAAGATGACCCTCGCACCAGCGCAGATAATAGGATTGATTTTGATGAACGCGTATTGTCCTTCTTCCAATACCTGCTGGGGTGTGGTTCCTTTGTCGGTCTTGAGAGATAGTGTCAAATTTTCAGACAGCGGGACGATATACATCTGAAACGAGTCATTGAGAATTTCCTTGGCTTCGTGAAATTGCGCCACAGTCCAGATCCACTATCCTTGTATGAGCAGAGAAAAAAGGCATAAGGGAGTTTACGCACCTGGCCAATTTTCATTTCCTTAATTAATTCTGAGACCTTTTTAGCGAGGTCACTTCCTCCGTACATGACACCACCCTTTATCGAGGTCGGAAGTCTCTCGGCCTTTCCCGGTTTTCGTTGTTCTGACTCAGGTATCATGTTCTTTATTTCCTTCCGAATTGTTTCAGCGGAGACTGTGAGGGCCAAGGGTAATATTTGTTCACCCATCTTCAACCAGCCCACAGGAAGTGCTGTTTGTTTGGATTGAGTTGTTTTCTTCGAGAGGGACGGGCGCACTCAGTCGGGCTGATTTAGGGAAAGGCAAGAATGAGCTGGCTGGCCGTGTCGAGACAAGAGAAGACAATGAAATGGATTTGCGTGGTGTTGTTCGCAGAATATTATTGGGGTTTTAGTTGTACTGTCGTCTGACCGTGAACCCTAGCGTTGGAGGGGTAGTAGGGGATTGAGGGGTGGTTGCTTTTTAAATTATTGGGTATTCGTTCGGGCGTCATCCCCATCACGTGATCAACTTTCCGCCTTCTGAGCTCGATGTCCTTACACTTCCCCTGATGATTTCAGAGACTCAAAGAGAATTTATACTTTGGCCAGAAGCAATACAGGCTTTGTGTAGTATCGGAGAGATTGTTGAAAATTTAGGATCTTAGTCAACGGCGCGGGTAACTTTCCTACCCTGGTTAGAACGGTCAAGTGACTCATTGCTAATTGATGAAGCAAACAAAGAAAGCCTTGGGCTTAAGGACGAAGGTGAGAATTCTGCTCTCCTGTCACCCTTGACCTCTTCAAAATTTCACTAATCTCTCTAACCATTTTTCTGGGATCTGTCTCAGTCCTAACCTTCCCCCTGTGTTCATTTCAGATACAGAGCTCGGTCCACAATGGGGAAGGTTAAAGACCTTGCGTACGCTCCTCCCGGCGGAAGACAAGCACACAATGCAGTCCTTGGAAGCGAGCCCGAGTCAAGAGATGCGACGCAACTTGTAGATAGAATACAAGCGAATCTGTCGAGCTCCTTGAGTGAGCTAGCCAATCTGATCGTAAGATGGAGCCACAGTGGGTCTCCGTCGTTCGTTCTTTGTTTGCTGCATAGGGTGCGGTACTTTATCAAGCAAACAAAGAAAGCCTCGAGCATAAGGGGGAATCCGAAAATTTCTGCTTTGGCTTACTTCTTAATTCTTAAGACAGTCCCTAATCCCAGTACCCTATTTTCTCAGACCTAGCCCAGTCGCAACCTGTTTAGTGTTTAACTAGCACAGAACTCGATTGATAATGGAGAAGATCAGGACCTTCCGTAGGCTCCTGCCGGCGGAAGATCAGTACACAACACCAAACCCTGGAAACAACTCGACTAAAGAGATGCGACGCAACGTTTCTCTTGCTTGCACAGAGTGTCAGAGAAAGAAGACCAAGGTTTGATCCCCGAAATACAACTGCTGAGTTCGACCACAGGGCTAACACCATGAACCGGAAGTAGTGTTCAGGAACAACGCCGTGCACGAGATGTGCAACCAGTGCACAACAGTGTCTATATGATCAAAACAGTGATCGTAGACGGAGGGAGTACACGGCCGGGCTGTTGAAATTTCAGACTGCCCTTCGTCAACTGGCTGCTACCCTGCGCTCCGCACCTCTCCAAGAGCTATTATGGCTAGTCTGGCAGGTTCAAAGCCTGCCAACAGATCAGGATGCAGTCGATTACCTTGTTCAGATGTTGGGTTAGAAATGTGGGTAGACTGCCACAATAACCAGCGGAGTCAGCAGTACTGTCTGTTGAGTTGTGCATTATGGCTCGCTGAACAGGATCTCAGTCAATATTTATTTTGTGAGCACGGTTGCTTGACCACAGTGTTAGATTTCCTACCGTTTATTCTCAACCAAGAGGGAAAATCATGATTTGCATTGATATGTATTGATCTTTATATTATGTGCATACAGACTTTGGCCAATATTTTCCATCGGAACTATATGATCTTGCTGGAATACCAAACCCAAAATTACACGAAATTACTCAAAGGCCCAGTTTCCACTGCATAGGAACGATGTCTCTACAATAATCTCGTAGTTGGTCTAATAACAAGGCACGATTTTGTGGCGCAAGGCCTCGGACATTCAAGTTTCCGGCAGAGCGCTATGTCGGAGCTGCTGGCGGATCCCCGGAGAAAGGAAATACTTTTCATCCGTCAAGATTAGTCATTCTCTTACCCTCATGAGGAAGTTAACTAGCGGAACTCCCGCATGACCGGGCACCCCCACTGAAAGTCGCATCTTCCTGCCTAACTCTCCTTGGCGATACTTGGTTCTCCTCCCACATGAAGCTCAGAGGCCGGTGAACCCGTCCAACCGACATCATATTCACGAGTATTGGTATCGAGATTATAGATATTCCCTGGCGCTGGTGACGGCGACGACAGTACTACAATCCATAAACCCTTGCGTTAAAAGCCACTTTGATAACTTGAAACGGAGATGGAATTGCTCAGAATGGACGGAATTTCTGTACAATCGCAGGGTGTCTTGGAAGCTCTATCGCGGTTCGTATGCAAATTTCACTGTCAGCTAAGAGGCTTTAATGTGCCTTGTCTTACAGATTATCAGGTGTCAAAAATCTGGCGAATTCACAGATCTGGTCCTTGTCTGTGAAGGAGAAAGAATCAACGTACACAAAGTTGTGGTTTGCTCTCAATCGAATGTGCTTCATGCCGCCTGTACTGGCAACTTCAAGGTTAGTACCTTGCCATAGCGCTACTAATGACGAGCTCTGATTCGTCTAGGAGGCGTCATCAGGCGTCTATGAGTTTTTGGATGACTCAAAAATTATTGTTGGAAAGCTGGTCAGCTTCTTTTACACGGAAAACTATAGCGACAAAGTACAGGCCCCCGAGACGGATCCGCCATTTTTATGCTCTGCGCTTCAACTCCATGCTCGAGTTTTTGTCTTAGCTGACAAATACGTCGTCAACAGCTTACTCGCGTTATGTGTTGAGAAGTATCAGAGGAGGCTTCAGTCCCTAAGCGATCCCATCGAATTCATTGAATCCATTCCGGAGGTATACGCTTTACCTCTTACATCAACCAAAACTTTGAAAGAGGTTGCAGCACGCTTTGCGCGGATCAATATTTCGAACTATCTACGGGAGGAGACTGTTCAGATAGCCTACAACAGTGTTGCCCAAAGCGTGCCCGAGTTTGTCAAAGATCTTCTCGACCTATATATCCAAGCGCCATTGCTTGGAAATTGTGAGAATTGTGGACAGCACGTGGAGATGTTAGCTTTGCAAGGGAGATGTCGACGATGTCGACGTGGCACGACCGCGATTTGATTTGTGAGCGTGTTTAGGGACATGCAGCGGATTGCACACCCTCAAGACCACCCAGATCGAGCCAGATAACTGAACAACCTGGGAAACTGGCTCTGTACACGAATTGAGCGGACCGAGTCGATGGACGACCTCGATCGTCCGCAGTCTACAAAGAAGGTTGGAGTTGTCGTGGTGCTGCTCCACTTGCTCGTATCAAGCTAGCCGTGAACGTTGCTTAGACTCTGGGATTTCATTTCAATAGTAGCATGTAATTTCAATAGCCCGGCATCCACTGCGTCTGCGATAGCTGTTTTGATGAGTAGAGGTCCAAAATGTTACAATAAAATGAAAGAGACAAAGGAAGTAAATTTCTCCTGCCCCTGTAAAAGCTCAAAGATATTGCAACATCCTCAACTAAACACTGCTCTGTAAAAAACAAGACATCTGGAAGTCTCCGAATCCAGCTCACTTCAACTCAATCTCACAGAACAGGAGAGAGTCAAATTAGCTCATCATATCAACCGGAAGAATTTTTGGGCTTCCGGCGCTTATCGCGTACGTAAATTCCGTTTGATTTACCTTCCCGAGGAGGATATCGGTTGACATCAAATTGTGGCAAGGCAGAGACTAGATCGCTGATTTCGGAACACCCGTAGGTTCGAGAGTCGAAGTCAGGATGTTTTTTTGTCAGCAAATTGCCGATATTGGAGAGCTCAGCCCATCCATCATCATCGGAGGCGTTCTCAACTGTCGTATGTAGCAGATTTTTGAAGTCGACATCTCCTTCGGCGTGTCGCACTGGAACATGATTTTTTGGCATCATAATTCTGTCAGGATGGGGTACAATTTCCTTGTTGTAAACAAGATTTTCGATATAAATACACTTGTCACAGGCAGCGACGAATGACTTTGGTGTTTTGTGCTCCCCAAACCCGTACACAATTAATACAGATTCGCGAATACGAGCGGCCAGCGTGTGAATTTGATCAGTGGTGTGAGCCAATCATCTTTGGGTAATAAATCGCCTAACCGTTTCTGTCCCCAGTATTCAATAGTCATGTGAATAATCCCAGAAAAGGCTTTCTGTTTTCTAGGTGACGTATGTGGTCAGGCAGTTTCATACCATCTTTAGGTGGCGATAAAGCGGCCTTTGGTCTAGCCTTTATGGCTCGTTCTTCCCTCATCAAACATCTGCACCGCAGACCATCCTTTGTCAACATACTAAGCAAAAATGGGGTTAGTCGATCTCACATACACAACTCCCTATCCACCAAGCTCCTCAGATGGAAGGCAAGGCTTCGATGCTCCATTTTTGATATCTACTAGCTTCTAATATCGGAAAGCTTCCAAAGAACACACGGACTTCTGTGCCGATGGCAGCGGCAATTAGAGTTCTTCTTGTACGATTTCTGTCGCATAACTGCTCCTGCCCTAGTTGAAGAATGCCACTGGTCTTGTCCTGAGGCTGCGGAGCTGAGCCGACTTTCTGAAAAATTGACCGAATATTTTTGTTTTCACCGGAAGGAAATGTTTCATGACTGTGGTATATCAGACTTTGAACGTGAAGTCTTCTGCTCTGATTTACATCTCATTCGTCGAATCCGACACAGTGCCGTTCACCGAGTCACTGTGAACTGGGTCACTCTCGGTACGTACGCGAAAAGTATGCTCAATGTATTAGCAATTTTGAACCGTCTGGGTGGAACCGAATTCAAAAGGTCAGATGGAGAAAAGGTATGTCTCATGCCATCAATCCCTGAGTCATCAGTCAAGTTTATCAACATTGCCCTCCAAAAGCTGGCATACTTTCTCCAGACTCTCTGGGTCGTGCAGAGCTGCGATATGCATCCAGAAGATACGGCTCAATCGGGTTTTCAACGACAGCAGGATGATGGGTCTGAACTCTACATGCTGCTCCTCGAAGGCAAAGCCGTAAACATTCAAAGAATGCTTCAGTCACAGAATATTGCAATGGAAAGAAAACTGAACAACATCGCAAGGATGGTCGAGGATTACGAAACATCTCTTCTCCAGAAAGCTGCCCGCAGGATGAGGGCTAATCAGCAAATTGAAGAAGCACAGAGAAGAAAAGTGGAAAGACTACAGCGTAGCCAAAACGCAAGAGTTGAGACCGAAAAGAGCAGGGGGCAAGAAGGGCAAATCAGCCAGCAAGGAAAAGAGGGGGATAAGGATAGTGAGCATGAAGTGGTGCAGCATAGTCAACCCAGGAATGGCAAGAAAGAACAAGGCGAATGCGCGCAATCCAGTCAACAAGAAGCTAGGGCACAACGGAAGGAAAACGAATGTGTGTGGCACAACCAACAAGAAACAAGTGAGGTTGAACAAAACCGGAATGAACATGGGCAACACATTCAGCATCAAAGCTTGAGGCTAGAAAAAAAAAACAGAGGGTCTAGCCAGAAAAACCAAGACAAAGAGGATAAGTTATTGAACAGGAGTGCGACAGCCAAAGCAAAAGAAACGAGACACCAAAAAGCGAATATGTCCAATGCGGCGAACACCAAAACGGTAAGGCGGGACGTTAAAGATATGAACATGCGCAACAATTCAAATTCAAGCCAAAGCAATAGGAAGGCCTCAAACACAGCCAACACAAAGCAGATCAGGCTTAAGTCAAAGAGAAAGAGTCCTCACGATACAGCAGGGCCAGAACAACGCTGTTCATGAATATTAATGGATGTGCGCATGAAAGTTCGAGAGAAAATTTCCTCAGTCTGAGTGTACTTAGCAAGTCTCAAATAGTCAGATCTTGGATTGCCAATGCACGAGGGGCAGAAATTGTTGCAAAGCCTGCGATAGGTTTATCTTTGTGTTGTTGGGATTATGTGCCCAAGCAGTCATTCGAGTGTGCTGGTGTATCTCACGAGCTTTTGTGTATGCTGGCCGTTGTATAACCATGATTAATCGTAGGCACACGACCTAGCACGGACTTACAGTAATCGTACAATGGTGCTCTAACAGAAGGAGGTCGGAGGTGCCAACACCAGCATTGCCACGTGATGTATGTACATTTGTCAATCGCGGAATTTAGTTACGCCGTACAGGATGTTGATTGATGTCAAGACTCTTGGTGGCCTGGACACACGGACTTCAGCCCAAGGCATCTTTGAAGTCAGCCTCGCCGTCAATTTGGCCAATACCGGATTAGGATTCGACAATATTTGTAAGTGCCAAGAAACCACGGTTTCAGCTAGCTCTGGGGAACCAATAAGGCTGTATCTGATCTCCGAAGAGAGAGGGTCAGTGCAGTGGTCGCGCGACGGAGGGTGAGAATCACCCGCTCTCACCCGGATTCTCACCCTGTCTATTGCGCACTCACCCTCTCTCACCCTGGTCGCGCGACCTTAAAGCGGCGCTCACCTTAAACTCACCCGGGCGGCAGCCACCCGACTATCTGCCGGAGATAAGCCCCGCACCATTCGCTAATCCTAGTAAATAAGGTAGTTTAGCTTGGCGGAGAAATGGGTGATCGCCGCTTTATGGTCGCGCAACCAGGGTGAGATGGGGTGAGTGCGCAATAGACAGGGTGAGAATCGGGGTGAGAACGGGTGAGACTCACCCTCTGTCGTGCGACCACTGTTAATTTTGCTGTCAGATCTTGGACTCTAGAGAAATAGTTTAAATAATACTGTAGCACAATACCACTACTCGTAACTTGGGCGTTGGATCTGCATTTCCTTCAGACTTGACGAGTGCCTCTCGATTTCTGTTGCTGCTAAGAACGAGCTTTAAAGAAGATCTATAGACTTAGCATAAGTAGGCTCCTGATATAACACAATAAGACGGTTTCTTAAACGTTAGTCCTAATATACCTACTGCCGCCAGATCACATAGGCGCGGTAGTCCTGTACAATCTTACAACCTGTGCAGTCGTTTAAGCTTCTAGTTTTGACAAGAAAATAAGCAAAGCACTTTCATATGTCTAGCGTTGGCCAATCGCCTTGCCTGATTCAAGGATCTTGCTGTACTCCAGTCCAATAATTGGGTCAATGTATGGCCGTTTGTGCGCGCATCGACGCGAGATTGTATACCGTGCGCGCGATTGCGTAGTGCTGATTCGGGTACACTGAATAGCTTCTGCTGCTACGCGTATCGATTTGATTTGGCCTTTTTGAATAGCTTATAGGGCTAATAAGATATTGCCCTCTTGCTCAGCTAACTTAGACCCAGATTGAGCGCGAATTCGTGGCATGGTAAATGGTTAAAGAATGTAGGTGGGTAGGAAGACGCGATTCTAGATGAGGTGCGCAGCTCGGGCGGGAATTACATTATGCCGTGTGCCCCCACTCTCACATAAGCACCCGAGGTCACATGTTGAATTGCGGCCGTGCCATTTTCTTGGCTGAGCGTTAGGAAGAGAGAGACCTTACGCATCAGTCGCAAATAAAACATGCTATTCTGAACATGGGTTCAGAATATAATTATGGCGCCATTGCTGGCATCCAAGTGGGAGTCAACCATGGGACTATCACGGCAGAACTCCGTGCGCCTAAGCGACACAAGACTTTTCACCGCGACAGATCACCCACCTTGAGGCACGATGAATACACCGTTGCCTGGTTCTGCACGTTGCACATAGAAATGGCAGCAGCTCAAGCCATACTAGATGATATACATCGGCCATTGCCAATCCATGCGGATGATACGAACATCTACGTGCTGGGAAGTATCAAGCAACACCAGGTTTTCATTACATGTTTACCAACAAAAGAGCACTATGGACCAAACACCGCGGCAATTGTTATAACCAATATGAAACGAACATTTCCGGGAGTTCGCGTCAATTTGACGGTCGGAATTGGCGGTGGTGTGCCTAGCAAGTGCAACGTCTTTCTGCGTGATGTCGTCGTCGGCACAAGGGTGATGCAGTATGATTTTGGAAAATTCGCCAGAGATGGAACGTTCCAGCGAGCGGCAGTATGCAGAAGTCCTGATATCTTTCTTGGAACAGCCGTGTCAGCTTCGACTAAGTGTGTTAGAGGGTGTCAAGAAGAGAGGACAGTGGCTAACAGGCTGAGTATTATGATATGCAGGTTCATGAGTATTCTGCAGGCAAGCCACTATAGGATCCCCAGTCCTTCACTTAATCTCGAGGACGTAGTTGATGTTCACCTTCCTTGCACTAACATCCGTCCGAGTATATACTGATATGGCGGCGCCGCAAAAGTCTGTGACCCCCAAAGTATCGCGCTAAGATTCTGCCAACAATTTGCATCCCCGCCACTTAATAACTAGAGAAGAAATCCTAGGCGCAGTCATTCCCAAGGGGGAAGTTTGAGGCAGTATGGAAAAAAAACATATCCGCGTCACAATCTGAAAACGGATAAGACACATCAGTTCCACAGGGTTCTTCCAGTGAAAGATGGAATCACCTAGTAAGATTTTCGGGTTGTCCACATAGGCAGGGCCTAGACCGCGCTTCAAATTTCCGTATTCGGATTCAGCCCAACCACTTCAGTTTTGAACCTAGTCACCAGCCCTAACCGAGAGGCTGTTAGTAACATAACGAGACTTATCCTCTGTCATATATCACTGAGTTCGGAAACCAGCAAGCTCAGGTTTTACTCCAGATTTTTCTTCACTTCCAAGAAGTCGGTTCAGACATTGCTCCTTCGCCATGGCGAACCGGTCTTCCTTAAGACACTGCACGAGCAAACCACGAGTCTTTATCGTGTCTGACATTTCTAACGAGCCCGATGATGCCGAGTCACTCGTTAGATTTCTGCTCTATGGCAATGAATTTGACATACAGGGTCTTGTAGCCTGCACGTCATGCTGGATGAAGACCAATGTTCATCCCGAGGACATGCACAAGATTATCGACGCTTACGCCGAAGTGGTGGGCAATCTCAACAACCATGTCCATCCGGAGAACCAATTTCCTACCGCCAGCTATCTACACTCTATTGTGAAGCCAGGCCCCGCAGTGTACGGGAAGCAGGCCCTGCAGCCAAACTTCCATCTCAGCGAAGGCTCCCAGCTGCTCGTTGACCGCGTCGACGCCTCAGATGATGCCCTGTGGGTCCTTTGCTGGGGCGGGACCAACGTACTCGCCCAGGCACTTCAGTACGTTCAAAAAGGGCGATCGAAAGACGAAGCCACAAAGTTCTGCTCCAAACTTCGCATATATGCGATTAGTGACCAGGATGATACCAGTCATTGGATCAGGATCACCTTCCCAAACATTTTTTACATCTGCTCGCTACATGCCTGGAAGGAATACCCAATGGCAGCCTGGACTGGAATTTCAGGAGACCTACTTGCCCCCCTGGATGATGGCGCACCTGATAAGACCAAAATCACTAAGGAGTGGCTCAAGAAGCACATTCAAATCGGCCCTTATGGTAGTGTCTACCCTGACTACTCTTTCATCATGGAGGGTGACACGCCTACCTTCCTATACCTCATCCAGAACGGCCTCGGATCCCCCGAACACCCACACTGGGGTAGTTGGGGAGGCCGTTACGGGCTGGTCGATTTAGGAGGCTCGAGCAAGCATTATGCCGATGTAAAGGATGAGGTGGTTGGGGTGAATGGCATGAAGGCTTTCTCAAGCCAGGCAACGGTCTGGCGCTGGAGGGACGCGTATCAGGATGACTTTGCCGCCCGCATGCAGTGGACATTAAGTGCCGACCGATCGAAGGCAAACCACGCCCCAGTTATTATCGTCAATGACAGCACGGCTGGGCCGGAGCATCTGTACATCGAAATCGAAGCTGGCTCCCACATTACCTTGGACGCTAGGGAAAGTTATGACCCCGATGGAGACGAGTTATCATTCCAGTGGTTTCAGTACAAAGAGCCAACCAGGACACAAAGCGACGTTCATTGGCACTTTGTTCCAGATGTCGAGGTTGAGCTTGCCGATGGAATTGAGCCAAGTGGAGCCATGGTTCGAGTTCAGATACCACCAGCGGAGTTATGTGCCGTGAATATTCTCACTGGAGAACCACTTGAGAAGGGCCAGATCTTCCACTTGATTCTTGAGGTTAAAGACAGTGGAATTCCAAGCATGAGAACGTATAAGCGCATCGTTATGCAGATTACAAATGTAAAGGGGTTGGGGGCCTTAGGAAAAGCGTATGAGACAGTAACAGAAGCTATTGAGAACAAGGAAAGATAAACTAGATCATTCAGAGGAATATCATGCGAGCTCACAATATCTGTGGCAGTTATACTTCAAGGTCAATAGTTTTTTCGTGCGCGCGGGAATTTAATATCAATGAACAGTATAAGTGGAAATGACCGTTTAAGTGAAGTTGACTGCAAACACCTACATGACTACCCGTTCTAGATACGAGACTACTATGGGCACTTGATATTGTCGTATAGACGGAATGCCGGTTTTATTAACTAAGACAACCTGCAGCCAGATCATTTACTTTGATGTTGAATAATTCAAAAACAAGGCGCTTTGCCTTGCCTAGCGCTCATTTTTAATTTGAGACGCCTGTGGCAAAATTCTTTAAAAAATCCGTAACACTCTAAATCGCTTTTTAGTGATTGAAGTAAACAGGAAATTTTGTTTTTATGATAGATTTTGCTTCGGCCATATGTACAAAAACATCACATAACTTCGTATGGCACAGGCGAAATCAACTACCACCTCATAGCACGGACTTTATTGCCAGGTATGTTGACTCTAAACGGATCGAATGTCACGCTGCCAGGATCCCAACACATACGTCCTCCTATCAGCCCCACGTATGTTCGCTTCATTTCGCTGGCTCGGCCGTGGCGTTATTTCCAGACTCATTAGTCTTACCAAATTCCCTCGTCTTCGCCCCAATCCTGAAAAGGTAGTTGAGGCGGACATATGTGACGTCCTTAGTCTCTGGTATCTCAAACCAGGATAACACCAAGCCCACAATACAGGTCCCACAGAACACAAAGCCAGTCTTCCCGCCTAGGTTACCTTCGTCCACATTGTAGATGTATGGAACACAAAAGTTAAATATCCAGGACACGAAGGCGTTGATAAAGAATCCGATACCAAGCGTCTTGGCCCTGAGACGAACAGAGGGAACTTCGGCGGCAACGATGGGGTACGCAGTGGAGACACTCAGGCCACCTACGAAGCCTGTGAGGATAAGCGACACGCCAATGTAACTATTGAGAGGCTTATGATCAGCGCTGGAGGCGAATATTGAGTCTGATAACAATCATCACGGACGATTGGGGGAGGGCAAAGAAATGGAGCACGATCTTACTTTGTAGCTATGGTGGTCTTGTGGAAGCATCCGGCGATGCCCATTGTTAGAAAAAGGATGGCGGCAGCGACGAAGCCAGACATAATGGCGGTTCGCCGACCGACCTTCGCAAGGACGATCCATCCTAATAGCGTGACAAGAATACTTAGCCCGAGAGAAATCTGATTGATGGCAAGGGCTTTAGTTGAACTCATTCCGGCCATTATGAAAAAGTAGGTAGAGTTCGCAATCAGTGAGACACCCATGAATTGTTGCAGTGAATTGATGAGAGCCACGATCCTGGTGCGACGTAGGTCGCTGCCCTTGAAACAGTCGGAATACTGAACCGTACCGAATTCAATGGACGTGGAGCGTTCCTGCTCTATAGTGCGCTGAATGTCTTGGATGAACCCGGCCACATCTGATCTCGAGCCGTGGAGTCGTTTTAGCGAATTCTCCGCTGCGGCCAGATTGTTCTTGTGAATCAGCCAGGACGGGCTCTCGGGCACGATAAAGGCAGTGATAATCGCAAGGCCAGAAAATGCCCATTGCGATCCAAAGGGTATCTTGATAGCCATTTCCGTGAAATTCATGACCTGACCAAAGATGACTGAGACAGACATGATCTGTCCAACGATCTAGAAAGGGCTGAAATCAGCTGAGGCCTCGGCGTTACGTCTTCAAGAATCAAATTGTGACTTACGACAAAGAGAGGGAAAATGCCCAAGAGAATTGTTCGGAGTCGAGGAGAGGAGATTTCCGAAACGTAGGTCTGGCAAGTTGACATAAGGATACCCATTCCAATGCCCAGAATAATCTTTGCAGCCAGGAGAGCCCCACGCCTAGCTTCAAGACTGCCAAGCTCAGGGGAAGCGAATTCAAGGGCTCCACCTGTTTTCCTCATATCGAGGTGTGTCTCAGCTTTGCCACGGGTTAATACGGGGTTGTTTTCGGCATGAACGTACCAATGGCAGCAATAACACCACCTACAAAGAACATCGGCCGCCGTCCAAATTTGTCCTGAAGAAACCCGTTTGAGGAGGCGCCTATCATGATGCCCAAGGAATTCATTGCCGACCAGAGCCCCTGCCACATTGCTGGCAGAATGAGTGCCTCGCCAAAGTAAGATCCATAGTACATACTAAATTACGATGTATGTCAGTAACCTGATGAAAATTCCAACAGGCGTATAGTGTACACCCGCCCTTGATATCCAAAAAACTCACGTAAAAGCAGGCAGGGCTGTAATCGCTCCTTGCATCAGGACATCATAACCGAATAAGAGTGCGCCACTATTAGCAAAGAGGGCATACATGAAGGCGCGTCGGTGTTCGAGAATGAGCTTCCAAAATGGTTGCGAGCGCTCCGTGACTGTAACTTCCAAGTCCTGGATAGTTTCAAGCTGGGCGACATTAGGCTTTGCACCGGTGAAGCTAGGGGTGGGAGAGCCCATGTTTCGTGACAACCGGAGTGAACAATGGAGAGCTTGGAGACTTTGATTTGAATAGAGTGTGTACTGTAGGATATGAATAAACAAACAGGTTCTGATATCGAAACCGAATGAGGGCTGTATCGTATCGTAGTTGATTTAGTGGGCTCAAAACGGTTGTTATATGAAGATCGGGGCCCCGGAAAAGAAAAAGCCACAACTCATTTGCTATAGTGGCACATGGCAGGGGAGAAGTACGGGGTAAGAGGGTGGAAAGGATGCGCGGCGCTTCCAATTACCCCTTCGAACTATTTCCAAAATCTGGTTTCGGGAAGTGGGGGCCGGGGCCTTTGATAGCCATATGCGGCCTCCCCGGGCCGCCGACTCGGTAAATAGATATCCTATGCTGCCGAGATGAAGTTAAGTTAACCTTGTTGGTGACTCATCCAAGTCAGACAAACGCAGCGACAGCATGAACAAACCAAACTCGATCATTTAAGCGCAATCCTCCTGCGAAAGGCTTTGCGCTCGGCATATGTATCGGCTCTTGATGAATTACCCCAAGCATCTCTCATATTTAATATCTTTGAATTGAACAGCTTCTAAAGTCATAGCTCGAGACGTTGAATAAAGTTAGTCTGGGGTTTTTATCTGAGCCAAGATAGACGGCAGAAAACGACGAACAACGGATGCGGCTTAAAAACAAAACTATGACGTCTACAATTGACATCGAGGTTGTGCTAAACACCTTGACACTGGAAGAGAAAGTGAGTGGTATTCCAAGACACTCAATTCTCGCTTGGGACCTACATGTGCATTTTCGCTGAAATATTCGCTCAGGTTTCCCTCTTGTCGGGCCAAAGCCTCTTCGAAACTCGCTCGATTCCCGGCAAAGTCCCCTATGTCAAAGTGAGAGCACCACAGCAATCTTCTTATATCTTTGAGCTAAATCTTATGCTTCGCTAGGTGTCGGACGGACCAAATGGAGCCCGCGGGGCAAGCTTTGTCGGGACCAATTCCGCCGCCTGTTTCCCAGCAGCTTGCTGCCTCGCGGCTACTTTCGATGCAAATCTTGCACACCAGGTCGGCGAGGCGTTGGGGGAAGAGGCGCATACTAAAGGGATTCGCTGCTTGCTTGCACCGACCCTATGCAACCACCGGCATCCACTAGGCGGGAGAAATTTTGAAGCTTTCAGTGAGGATGTAAGTTGTGGATCGCGGCAATAAGATTTGAAGGCGGTTCCAGTTACTAACCGATTAATAAGCCTCTTCTAACTGGCCAACTGGCGACCGAGTTAGTTAGGGGTATTCAATCCAAGGGAATCGCGGCGACTATCAAGCACTTTGTTGCTAATGAACAGGAGACGGAACGCATGCGTGTGAACGCCGTAATTGACGAAAGAGCCCTTCGTGAGATATACCTTCGCCCATTCGAAATAGCCATCAAGGAGGCCAGGCCGTGGGCTGTAATGACGGCGTACAACATGCTGAACGGTGAGCATTGCGACTCAAACGAGTTCCTTCTTCAGAAGGTTTTGCGGGGCGAATGGGGATGGGATGGTTTAGTGATGAGCGACTGGGGCGGCACCAACTCATCAGCCGGCTCTTTGAACGCCGGAATGAATCTTGAAATGCCGGGGCCAGGGAGACATAGAACCGTTTCAGCCGTGCTGAAAGACATTGAAGAGGGCCGTGTCACCGTCGGTACAGTTGATAATTCTGTCCGTGATCATCTCAGATTTCTGGGGCGAGTTGGGGCCTTCACAGACCCTACAGAACATCCAGAGCAGGCAATTGATAGGGTTGAGCATCGCCAGCTCATACGCGACGTGGGTGCTCGTGGCTCTGTATTACTCAAGAATAACGGAGTCCTGCCACTTTCGAGAGACAAGGTCGCAGGCAAAAGAGTCGCCCTTCTTGGATTTGCAAAGAAAACATTGGCTCATGGTGGAGGAAGTGCTGCCGTCAAGGCCCACTACAAAATCTCCCCTTGGGCGGCCATGCAAGAGGCTATTGGTGACATTGCAGAGCTGTCATATTCGAAAGGCGCGCACACCGAGCGCTTCTTACCTCCGGTAACCGACACGACTGACATTGGTATTCTTACTGGCTTGGACGGCACAACAGGCTGGACACAACTGGTATATGATTCAAAGACTCATGTGCTCGTGTCCACCACCCACGGTCTGCCAATATCAAAGCTTGCGCCGTTTGACCCGAGCGGATATGGCCACATTATAGAGTACGTGGCTGATTTGGTTCCCAAAGAGTCTGGCTCTCATTATTTTGGCACCTCTGGCATCGGGCCTACGCAGACATTTGTCAATGATGACCTGATCTATGAGCAGACGAGCCACACTGCAGACTCAATGGGATTTATATTTGGTCTTCAAGCAGAAGGTGTGGTTTCGTATCCTCTGCTTGCAGGTACGAAGTATCGTTTACGGATTCGGACTCTGCCCTGTCCGGCGGTTCCTGGACTCCAAATGCTGACAGGTCGACCTGGGTTCCGATTCGGAATGTCAGTTGCCGCACAATTCGATGCAGATCTGCTCTCTGAGGCTATTGGTTTAGCTCAAGTTGCTGACTTTGCCGTTGTGTTTACTGGTCACACGGAGCAATGGGAGACAGAAGGCCAAGACCAAGTCTCTTTCAATTTGCCAAAGGACGGTTCGCAAGACGCTTTAGTGTCGGCAGTGGCTTCTGTGAACTGTAACACCATCGTCGTCAACTCCACAGGTGTCCCAGTTGCTATGCCTTGGGTCGAAAATGTAGCAGCGATCGTACAGGCTTGGTTCGGTGGTCAAGAGGCTGGGGCATCAATTGTGGACATTCTGACGGGCGCCGTTAATCCGGAGGGCCGCCTCCCGGTCACTTTTCCTAAGTCTATTGAGGATGCTCCTGCATACGGCAACTTCCCTGGCACTTATGTCGAAAATGATCCCACAGTTTATTATGAAGAAGGCATCTTCGTCGGATATCGCCACTATGACCGTATCCCAAAGACGAAGGTCAACTTCCCTTTTGGATATGGTCTCTCGTACTCAACCTTTGAGTTCGGGGACTTGAAAATTACTCCAAGGCATGATGACTGCTACTCAATTTGCGTCAGCGTCAAAAATACCAGCAAACTCGCCGGTGGTACACTGGTTCAGATATACGCTGGCTTTACAGGAACGGATCCGTACCATCCAATCAAAGCCCTTGTAGCGTTTGCGAAGGTCAGCTTAGAGCCCGGACAATCTCGGACCGTGACTGTGTCTGTGCCGACAAGACACCTAGCATACTTCGACGAGCAATATCGGAAGTGGCTCGTCAGGCCAGGGGAATATATGTTTACTCTCGGTGACTCTGTGGCAAAAGCCATTAAGACCGCTAAGGTTTTTGTGGAGAAAAAGATTGTCTACGAACTATAATAATAGAAGCAAAACCGAGTAGTGGTGCATGTCGCCTTTGCTTTTCAGGTTTTGCCAGATAGAGAGGTAAAGTGCTACAGATATATACCATATAATTTGCATGCAATAGTCCCAGCTACGCTTAATAGAACCCTGGAACTTAGCAAAATCTCCTCAACTAGATTTAGGTTCGGCCAAGATTGTGGTAAATAGACCAGTTTCACCCCTGCATTCGCGCACAGTTGTTTCAGTGCTAACGTTGTGCCTAGAGTGATTCAAAGAAAAATGCGCTTCGGATCTTGCACATATTCGATTCCGGAATAATCCATCTTATTAAATGACTCAAAATCGACAGTCCTATAAACGCCTTGACTATTACGCTAGACTACCACCGGCTATTCGGCGAATTGTAGATCTACTTCGAACGCACTAGCACACGACACCAGTACAGGATTGACTCGACAGAACGCAGTCTTTCCATACGTGACCCCTTGTTTCCCGTCACACGATCGCTAACCCTAAGTCCTCATCGCACGGTAGATCCGCCTACCCCCGCTCCTCAGCTTCTCGATGTCCACCGTGCTATTGCACTTACCATGAAACTTAGCGGTGCTAGCGAATATATTAAGAGGGTCATTCGAGATATGGGGGAATTAGATCTTAGAGAATATTGATCAACATATTTAGGACACCTCGCAGACTTACGACTTAGCGGGTGGGTAGATACCTTATCAGTGCATTAGAAATTGGTACGATAAGATTAGTCGTGGGATTCATGCATTTCGTATCTCAGAATATTATCAGAGTTCAAATTATATACAACGTGGCTTACAATAATGCCCGTAAACGCATCCGTTCTATTTAGCCGGAGAGATTAGTCCTAATTCTGCTACCGTAGTAGCGCTATATCACTATAGCTAGGCAGCCTAGGCTAGCGTGCTGCGTGCCGAAAATGTCCCTCCGCGCTTTTCTCCCTCGCACCAACAATATTAACACACCAATCGAGGAACCTACGGAATCCTTACTCTAGATTTTCTTCATAGGTTTAATAATTACGCCGGATAAAGGCCTTGAGCTTAGTAAATAACCTCTTAATATGATTTAAATTAGGGGAATATAGAGGCAGATACACCACACCATCTTTACGCTAGCTTCCGAGAAAATCTGTTTAATTCTGCCTAAGTGATAAAAGGATACGTTGTCTATATCTAGGACGGACTTCGGCTTAGGCCACTTCCTATAGTGCTAGAGAGGGTACTCGATAAAATTCTTAAAGACGGATACGTTAGTTAATCCTTAGAACACTCGAGACAAAACAATGCTATCTTATGCATACGTAGGCAGAATATAATAACGCTAATCACGATAAAACTTCGATACTTAAAAGAGGCGCGGTCGAAAAGCCATATCAACCTGTAGTAACTTGCCGATCTGATTCTATTGCTCGCTGCGTTTAGAAGATCTTGGCAAGTTCCTGCGACCAGAAGGGATCTTCTTCCTTCCTTCACCTCACAATGACCTCTCGGGATGACTCAGCAAAATATCTCCAGACAAATCACGAGCCTGAGAGCCATCAATCACACATACATAGTCAATATCAAACTATCGAACAAACCAAAATATGGATTT